TTTCATTTTTGGGTAAAGTTTATTTGGAATTGTTGGTTTTTGCTTTGTTTTGCTATGTTCTTGCTATGCTTTTGCTGTTTTAGCTTTCTTTTGCTATGTTTTAGCTGTTCTTGCTTTGTTTTTGCTGTTTTAGCTTTGTTTTTGCTGTTTTTGCTATGTTTTAGCTTGTTTTAGCTTTGTTTTGCTATGTTTTTGCTATGTTTTGCTTTCTTTTGCTTTCTTTTTGCTTTCTTTATCTGCTTCTGACTAATTTCTATCAAAATCTAGCTTAATAACCGAAATTTTCGCTATTGATCTTCGAGTTTTCGCTAAATTTCGTAGATTTATTGTCTCATTTCTTTGAAATTCATTAAAAACTAGTGTTTCTCCAACAAAATTCATTGAAAACTACTGTTTTTCAACAAAATTCATTAGAATCTAGTGTTTTTTCAACAAAATCTATTAAAATCTAGTGTTTTTCAGCCTTTTTCAACTAGATTAGCTCAAATTTTCACAAAATATTCATCAGAAAGCTGAATTTAAACGTTAATTTTCTATTTTGACCGTAAAAAACAAAAAAAAAACACTAGTTTTTGATGGATTTTGTTGAAAAACACTAGATTCTAATGGATTTCACAGAAATGAGACAATAAATCGTCAAAATTTAGCGAAAACTCGAAGATCAATCGCGAAAATTTCGGTTATTAAGCTCGATTTTGATAGAAATTAGTCAAAAGCAGATAAAGAAAGCAAAAATAAAGCAAAAGAACAAAACATTGCATTTTCTAAAGCTAAAGTTAGCCAAATTCTTGGATTTTCATGTTTTTCTATGAAAGCAACGTCATTTTTAGTGTTTTTTTATGTTTTCTGATGTTTTCTTATGTTTTCTTCAGCTTTTAAACTTCTTCCAATGTTTTCTTCAGCTTTCAAACAGCTTTAAACTCGATTTTCTTTCAGATAATCAAACGGAGAATGGGCGAATTTTTCTTTAACATCGATCACGGCTACCTCGAGGCGCTGATCCGGGGATTTAAGGTAAAATTTAAACGTTTTAAGCCATAATATCGTAATTTTAAACATTTTAAGCCATAAGATCGTTATTTTAAAGCTTTTAAGCCATAGTATTGTAAAATTTAACGATTTTAAGCCATAAGATCGTTATTTTAAACGTTTTAAGCCATAAGATCGTTATTTTAAACGTTTTAAGCCATAATATCGTTGTTTTAAGCCATAGTATCGTTATTTTAAAGCTTTTAAGCCATAGTATTGTAAAATTTAACGATTTTAAGCCATAATATCGTAATTTTAAACGTTTTAAGCCATAATATCGTTGTTTTAAGCCATAGTATCGTTATTTTAAAGCTTTTAAGCCATAGGATCGTAAAATTTAAACGTTTTAAGCCATAATATCGTTATTTTAAAGCTTTTAAGTCATAGTATCGTAAAATTTAACGGTTTTAAGCCATAGTAACCATAGTATCGTGATTTTAGAGCTTTTAAGCCATAATATCGTTATTTTAAACGTTTCAAGCCAAAATATCGGAGTTTTAAAGCCTTTAAGCCATAGTATCGTAAATTACGGCTAGACGGTTAGTATTTTACGCATAGATGCTTATTTAGCGTCTAAAAAACAGGCTTCTAACTTGTAGATTGTGAAAATTACAGGTTTAACGCGACTCTTAAGGTGCTAACAATGAAATTGATCATAGAAGCTCAGTCCTTACAATGAAATTGATCGTAGAAGTTGACTCCTTAAGTTCTTTGTCTTATTTACTGCTTAACATCTGTGCTTTTCGTGTAATCAATCAGTAAATCATAAGGTTATTTCAGATCTACGTATTGACTAAAGTTCTATGTTTTATTTTCAGTCCGGCATCTTGACCCAATCCGATTACGCCAATTTGGTTCAATGCGAAACGCTTGAGGGTTTGTTTTTGTTCAATTTTTAATCGTAAATGCGATAAATTAAGCTGTAAAAGCTATTTTCATTTAGTAAACTAGAAATTAAGCCTATCTTTCGTCTTTTTTTTGTTAATTTTTCAAATTTAGATCTGAAACTCCACGTGCAATCGACCGATTACGGAAACTTCTTGGCCAACGAGCCTGGAGCGATCACGGTGGGTTTAAAATGGGTGTTAAGAGAAAAATAGAGCTAGTAGAGCTATAAATAAAGCTAATAGAGCTTATAGAGCTTTAAATAAAGCTTAGAGAGCTATAAATAGAGCTAAGAGAGCTAGAAATAACGCTAATAGGACTTATAGAGCTTAGAGAGCTATAAATAAAGCTTCTACAGCTTAAATAAAGCTTATAGGACTTATAGAGCTATAAATAAAGCTTATAGAGCTTATAGGGCTATAAATAAAGCTTAGAGCTAATAAAACTAATATTCAATCCCTTTTTAAAAAGCTTTTTTTAGAAAAATGTTCGTTAAACTTTATTTGAACGTGAAAAAGTTTGAACTGTAATCGTTTTTATCGTTTTTTCGTTTTTAAAAACCAAATTTGAGCGTATTATATTATTTCAATTTTAAAACTGAATCCATTGCGTCTTTTTCTTCAATTTTCCCTTCAGGTACAAGTGATCGACGAGCGATTGAAGGAAAAACTCGTCACCGAGTTCACCCATTTGAGGAACAATGCGCTCGAGCCGTTGGCCACGTTTTTGGATTACATCACGTAAGTGAAATGATCTAAAATAGTTTTTAAACTTACAATAAGATCTAAATAGTACAATTTCATTGCTTCAAACAAAGAATTCAAAGCGCTGCACGTTATGATTGAATCGTTCTTTTTAGATACGCCTACATGATCGACAACATCGTTTTGTTAATCACCGGCACTCTTCATCAACGCCCAATCGCGGAGCTCATCTCAAAATGTCATCCACTTGGATCCTTTGAGCAGGTGAGCTATTTTTGATGCTCGTAAAAGCTATCATGATCATATTTTGGTCCGAAATCTTAAATTTTAAAGGCAATCGGTTCTAGATTGCTAAAATGATCAAAAACTATTATTTTGACTTTTTTAGATGGAAGCCATTCACATCGCGTCTACCCCAGCCGAGCTCTACAATGCCGTTCTTGTCGATACACCACTTGGTAGGCTTTAAGAAATAGTACAGCTAAACGAACAGCTTAACAGCTAAAGAACAGCTAAAAGAACAGCTAAAGAACAGCCAAAGGAACAGCCAAAGGAACAGCTAAATAACAGCTAAAGAACAGCCAAAGGAACAGCTAAAAGAACAGCCAAAGAACAGCTAAAGAAACAGCTAAAAGAACAGCTAAAGAACAGCCAAAGGAACAGCTAAAAGAACAGCCAAAGAACAGCTAAATAACAGCTAAAGAACAGCTTAACAGCTAAAAGAACAGCCTAACAGCTAAAAGGAACAGCTTAACAGCTAAATAACAGCTTAACAGCTAAAGGAACAGCTTAACAGCTAAAGACCAGCTAAATAACAGCGAAAAGAACAGCTTAACATCTAAAGAGTACAATCTAATAGTATAACAAAATTTCTACAAGTTAATCATCGTTTTTAAAGTCTTAACTGATGCAATAAACTTTAAAATTCGATATTCTTTCATAATTCTCAATATTCTCTCATTTTCAGCGAACTATTTCGTGGATTGCATTAACGAGCAAGATTTGGACGAGATGAATGTGGAGATCATTCGAAACACTCTCTACAAAGCGTACATCGAGGATTTCTACAAATTCTGCGAAGGACTCGGTGGGAAAACCGCCGAAGTGATGTGCGACATTTTGGCGGTATGGTTTAAAGAAAAGTTTCGAAGAGAAAGGTTTTGGCTTTGTTGTTTTGTTTTGTTGTTTGTTTTTCATTACTCTTTCTTTTTTCAGTTCGAAGCCGATCGTCGAGCGATTATCATCACGATCAACTCGTTTGACACCGAATTGAGCAAGGATGATCGAGAGAAATTGTATCCACGATGCGGAAAATTGTATCCAGAAGGTAAACGATTTGTTTCGGTGAAGCTTTTTTTAATGGTTTAATCATTGGTAAAGCTTTTTAATGGTTTTAGTCCATGATAAAGTCAAATTCTATCATCAACTTTTCACTTTTTTTCACTTTAAAGGTTTGGCCGGTCTTGCTCGTGCCGATGACTATGATCAAGTGAAAGCCGTCTGTGAATACTATTCGGATTACAAGGTAGAGGATTTTCAAATGCTTTAAATGTGAAGTTGAAATCTTTAGTTACTATTCGAAGGCACCGGTTCGAATCCCGGCGACAAGACGCTCGAAGATAAATTCTTTGAACACGAGGTTCGCTTTTTAACGATTAAATAGGTTAAAATATTAAATATTAGCTATTAAAGATTAAATATTAGCAATTAAAGGTTAAATATTAGCTATTAAAGGTGAAAGATTAGCAATTAAAGATTTAATATTAGGTATTAAAGATAAAATTTTCACTCTATTGCACCACAATTACTTTTTGTACTTTAGGTAAAACTCAACGTGCACGCGTATCTCCATCAATTCCACTTTGGCGTCTTCTACGCGTTCATTAAAGTGAGTGCTTTTCTGCTTTTCTGCTATTCTGCTATTTATAAGCCTAGGATCTGGGATAGGTTCTGTAGATACTATAGATCACGCTAGGTCTTTTTTTCGGTCACCGGATCGCCAGGCCAACGCCAGTAAGCGTTAACCGATCTTTTTATACAGAAGCAGACCCACAGACTGAGCACTAGATCATCATGATGCCCTTTTTAGTTGAAAGAACAAGAGATGCGAAACATTATCTGGATTGCCGAGTGTATCTCTCAACGACATCGTGCCAAGATCGACAACTACATCCCGATCCTGTAAACGACCAGAGAAATTGTTTCTCTTGAAATGGCTTTGTTTTTCTCTTGACCACTTCATTGTCACTTCCCTTTCCCCCCACTTAAATGTATTTTCATTCGCGCAATTTTTCCATTTTTCAACCTGTCAAAGTGTTTGAGGTTTGGGGTAACAAAATTGATAAAAGAATTGAAAGCTGTGCTAGTCTTTTTTTGCCTAAACAGTTCTATAGCTTATTTGTGTAAATTTGTTATCTCTCCATCCTGTGAATCATCTGTGGTTTCTGTACCCACATTCGAATTGTGATTTGCATATGTCCATTCCGAGAAATTTAGCTGGTTTTGAGCAAGAATTATTGTCCCTTTTTCTTTCTTTAGTAAATGTACTTATTTTCCTTTCTACGAGGTTTTTGTTATATTGCCCTAAAATCTAGATCTATTTTTCTTTTTGAAAAGCTCATTAGGTTAGAGTTTCTGCGAAAATTTATGGAATAAATTTATTTCCGAAAAAAACAACAAAAGGATAACAAAACTACAATCTAAACTAGGCAATATTTAGTCAAAAGATTCAAAACAAAAAAGTTTAACTCATCAATTGTTCCTGACCATATCAGGCTTCGGATGATAGAAAAGCATCGAATGGACAACGGTTTCAGTCATATTGCCGACAAGTGATGGATGATATTCACCGACAACGTTGTCCGTCGCTTTTCCCTCCAAAATCAGAAGCTCCTGAATGTTAGAAATTAATTCGATAGATCTGATAGATCTGATAGATCTGATAGATCCAATAGATCCAATAGATCCAATAGATCCAATAGATCCAATAGATCCAATAGATCCAATAGATTCGATAGATCTCAAATTGCTAAGAAAATCGTTAGCTGACCCTTCAACTTATGCTTATTTTAGTCGTATGCTATTCATAGAAGAGAACAATGAGAAATGTCCTTTTTTGGTTACTTTTCAGGGAAATTCGATGACTCTCTCCCTGTCTCAAATCATTATTTTACTCAAAAACAAACCTTCATCCTTTGCTCAATGTCGATTTTCTCTTTCTCCAACTCTTTCTTCCGCTCGTTCATCTCAACCATCTTTTCCTCACGTTCCTTGATGTAACTAAAAATTGGCTTTTTTTTACAACTTTTGATGTTTAACTCCAAACAAACCTTTGATGCAATTCCTCTAATCGTTTTTCTTTCTCCTCTTGAATTCGCAGCAATAGTTGAGCCTCGGACCAAGCCTAAACTCAAATTTAGTGTAAACTTTGAAACTATTAGTCTACCTTTCTCGTTTTTACATGCTCGGGCTGTTTCTGCACATGATAGGCGATCTTGAGCTCTTTGAGTACCTAAAAAAACATAAAATAATGATTTTAACATCATAAAAATCATAAAATGATGATTCTCTAATAATAAAATGATCATCATTTAGCCCTTGTAGACATTAAAAATTCTTTAAAATACAATTAAAATCCTTCAAAATGTATTACCCGTTGAAAAGATTCTTCATTGATTTCCCGTAGTTCCCTCAATAGCCGCCTTCTCTGCCCGATCACCAGCCAGATTCGATGCGTCAACCAAGACGGTTTCTAAAGAATCTAATTAAATATACGATGAAGATATCACAAACCCTTGGGCGATGATTTTTCGCGAAAATCTCATCAACAATCATTGACCAGTGTCTGATGAGAGCCGTGCAAAGAGCAACTGAAAAAGAAACGCTTTCTTTAACAATGTTTACGTGTTTTTGTTGCACAAACTAGCTTAAACGATTCACTTATTTGTTTAAAATAAAGTTTCTGCAAGCTTCTCATGGTTAACCGCTAAACAATATTCTATAGCAAACGTACTTTTCTTCTCCAGACTCGAATTGTCGAGCGTATGATGGTTTACACTTTCGATCATCACCCGTTTCCACTCGCTTGTCACATCGCGTCGAGTGCCGAATTCGAGGCTAAACATAAACATTTAATTTATTTTATTGTCAGATATTATCATTATTTTATTGCTAGATATTATCATTATTTTATTCTCTATTATCGGCAACTTATTAGAGACAAATATGCAGTTTTCTACGGGTTTTAAGCTAAAATCTCACGTAGAATAGACTTTTTAACGATTAAAGAACACTTAATCAATACCTAGACTAGCTAAATATATAAAATTTAATATCAAGTTCAAATCAGCAATTGCTAAAGTCAAGTATGCTTGCATGCGAATTTTAAGCTAAAAATCCACGTAAATCCATGCAGAATAGACTTTTTAACGGAGAAAGAACACTTAGGCTACCTAGGCTTTAAAAAACTCAACCCCTAGACTTTAAAAAACTAAACATTCCTTAAACTAAACTATACTAAACACTACAGAAAGATAGATGCTACTGGTTATATCCCTCACAAACAAGTTAAATTAACATAATTATGCGTAGTTCAAGGATTATTTCTTGACTAACTTACAGTAGATCTACCTAAACTTGAACTACGTAAAACAGTAGTTTGATGCTAATTTCGTTGGTCAATGAGGCAATGGCCAATGAAGCCAATGGCCAATGGCCATGTGGGGATATAAATACAACCGATAAGGCCCAGATGGATTAGTGTAGTCATTTTTTTTCACCTGAACATGTCTAATCTAGTGTGTTGCACTAAATTTCAGCAAGTCAACGTACCTAAAAATCTTCCGCACACTTTCCGGGGCATCTTTCAGCGAATCCACATACGAATACGGAGGTCGAGGCTTAGACAGATCGAGTTGCGGAAGACCGTACGTGATTTTGTCGGCCACCTGAAGATTATAGAATTTTGTCGTTAAAATCCTGCATTAGCATGGCATTTTGTACGCTTTAAACTAATGAACTACGAACGCTTTAAACTACTTGAAAGCTAGAATAAATGAAAAAGTTCGGTCAAACTTTTATTAGCTTAAAAATGTCTCACCAAATTATCAGAAGCTTTCATCGTGAGATCCCTCTCCGATCCAATCTTGTCGTCATAGATTTTCTTCAATTGATCGATATAGTTGTCATCTAGAGAAGAAAATATAGAAATTTTCTCAAAATTTAGAAAATAAGTCCTGTTTCCAAAGTGAAACTCACCAAGTGGTAACGTGCGAGCCATTTTCTCGAAATAATCCGGGTCTTGCTTGGCCGGATCGGTGACCTAAACAAGAAAGAAGTTACAGATTAAAGATTATAGATTACAAGAAAGATTAAAATTACAGCCGGAATAAAATGAAGTGAATCTTAAAGCTAAAGCCCATCAAAATTTGATGTAAATATCAAAAAAAACTCTGCTTATTTGACGTAAACTAAGCAATTAGCTCTATAGATTTGATAGAATCAGTAAAAACTTTGCCTTATTTGACGTAAATTGAGGGATTGAGCTTTATAATTTGATAGAATCAGTAAAAACGCTGCTTATTTGACGTAAACTAACCAATTAGCTCTATAGATTTGATAGAATCGGTCAAAGCACTGTTTATTTGACGTAAACGGAGCAATTAGCACTATAGATTTGATAGAATCATTAAAAACACTGCTTATTTGACGTAAATTGAGACGTTTAGCTCCATAATTTGATAGAATCAGTAAAAACTTTGCTTATTTGACGTAAACGGAGCAATTAGCTCTATAGATTTGATAGAATCAGTAAAAACGCTGCTTATTTGACGTAAATTGAGGCGTTTAGCTCCATAGATTTGATAGAATCGGAAAAAACACTGCTTATTCGATCTAAACTAAGCAATTAGCTCTATAGCTTTGATAGAATCAGTAAAAACTTTGCCTTATTTGATGTAAATTGAGGCATTGAGCTTTATAATTTGATAGAATCAGTAAAAACGCTGCTTATTTGACGTAAACTAACCAATTAGCTCTATAGATTTGATAGAATCGGTCAAAGCACTGCTTATTTGATGTAAATTGAGGCATTGAGCTTTATAATTTGATAGAATCATTAAAAACACTGCTTATTTGACGTAAATTGAGACGTTTAGCTCCATAATTTGATAGAATCAATAAAAACACTGCTTATTTGACCTAAACTAAGCAATTAGCTCTATAGATTTGATAGAATCGGTAAAAACACTGCTTATTCGATCTACACTAAGCAATTAGCTCTATAGATTTGATAGAATCGATAAAAACACTGCTTATTCGATCTAAACTAAGCAATTAGCTCTATAGATTTGATAAAATCGATGAAAATTTCGCTTTCAACACGAAAATTTCGTTATAAACACAAAGATTTCGTTGTAAACAAAAAAAAACCAAGTGTTAAAAGGTCAAATTTCACCCACCATTTTGTGTTTATTGAAATAAACATGACGTCCACGAGCTAGCCCGGTCGTTGTGTGAATGAGGCGTTTCGAGGCGAGATTCATTTACCTAAAAATGTCGTTAATATAAATCTAAATCTAAAGCATAAAAGAATATAAAGAATATAAAATATAAAGAATATAAATAATAATCAAAATAATCAAAAAAATAAATCAACAACACAGGAATGAACCTTCTCCCTTATATACCCATTGCACTTTATATACCAGAAGCTTTACCAAAAGGGAGCATTTTATGAAACGACTTTTAGAGGCTAAAAATCGTTTAGAACGGCTTAAAACGGCCTAAAAAAGGGGTTAAAACGGCTTCAAATGACTTAGAGCGGCTTAAAATGGCTTAAAAGGCAATTAAAATGGCTTAAAATGGCTTAAAAGGCTTTAAAGGGCTTAAAAGCGGCTTAAAATGGCTTAAAAAGGCAATTAAAAAGGGTCAAAACGGGTTAAAAGGCAATTAAAACGGCTTCAAATGACTTAGAGCGGCTTAAAATCGCTTAAAAGGCAATTAAAATGGCTTAAAATGGCTTAAAATGGCTTTAAAAGGCAATTAAAACGGGTTAAAACGGCTTAAAAGGCAATTAAAATGGCTTAAAATGGTTTAAACTGGTTTAAAATGGCTTAAAAGCGGCTTAAAAAAGGCTTAAAAAAGGCTTAAAATGGTTTAAAACGGCTTGAAACGGCTTAAAACGGCTTAAAATGGCTTAAAATGGCTTAAAACGGCTTAGAACGGCTTAGAACGGCTTAGAACGGCTTAGAACGGCTTAGAACGGCTTAAAATTGTTTAAAACAGTTTAAAACAGCTTCAAATGGCTTCAAATGGCTTCAAATGGCTTCAAATGGCTTCAAATGGCTTAAAATGGCTTCAAATGGCTTCAAATGGCTTCAAATGGCTTCAAATGGCTTCAAATGGCAATTAAAAGCACTCAAGTCTATTTGCTATATAAATTATAGTCAAAAACAGGCCAAAAACAAAAGTTTATTAAATTCAATCATGACTTAACTCAAAAAGCAGGGGTAGGCTAATTTCCGCCATTTTATTTGCGCAACGGGGTTATTTGCGCAACTGGGTCGTTTGCGCAACTCGCCCTACCCCAAAAAGCAAGCGGTAGCTAGCTTTCCCTACGCTTTCCCTAGCTAGCTAGCTTTCCCTACGCTGGCTTTCCCTACGCTGGCTTTCCCTACGCTACCTTTCCCTACGCTGGCTTTCCCTACGCTACCTTTCCCTACGCTGGCTTTCCCTACGCTACCTTTCCCTACGCTGGCTTTCCCTACGCTACCTTTCCCTACGCTGGCTTTCCCTACGCTACCTTTCCCTACGCTACCTTTCCCTACGCTGGCTTTCCCTACGCTACCTTTCCCCAAGGCGCCTTTTACGCAACTAAAGCCGGTCAAATAGCTATTCAGTTATGCCAAAAACTGTGCAAGCTTTCTCTCGACTACACATCACTCTTTTTTACACTCTTTTCATCACCTTTCTTTTCCTTTCACCGATCAGCTGAATGTCCCCGAATTGTCCCCCACAATTACCGATTCAAATATGAATCATCGAGAAATTTGATCAGAGTTTTTTCAAAGTTTTTTCAAAGTTATCTCTCTTTCTTTAAAAGCTTTTTAATTTATCACTTTTACAGCTTTTACAGCTTTTACAGTACAGACTTGAGTGCTTTTAATTGTTTTTTAAGCCGCTCTAAGTCATTGTAAGCCATTTTAAGCCATTTTAAGTTTTACAGCTTTCAGAAAATTTTTCTATGCTTAATGAGGCAAGTGACGAGCTGGTGAATGGAAAATTCGTCGATCGACAGAAAAGAGCCGGATCGGTGTCGAGTGGGAAAAGTTCGTTTTTCAGTAAAGCTTAGAGAAATGACTTGATTCTAGCGAATGATCTTTTCTTATCTTATAGCTTTACTTTATAGCTTTTATAGCTAATGGCGCTTATTAAATACAGTTTTTTTGGCGGCAGTTTAGCTTAAACACTTCCAAGTTGATCGGTTATCGGATCATTTGATGTCAATCATTGTCAATCATTGTCATTACCATTGTCAATCATTGTCATTGCCATTGTCAATCATTGTTATTTCCATTGTCAATCTAACTTTTCACTCAAATATCTTGGCTTTGGGTTGTTGAATTTGAATATTTTTCCAATCATTAAATTCGGCAAGGGTTTCTCTGTCGATTGGTATAAAAAGTATTTAAATTGAACAGCCCAGAGCCAAGATATTTGAGAGAGAAGTTAGATTATCAATGGGAAAAGGTGAACGGCGAATGATAAAAGGTTGCCAATGGCGCTTAAATGTCCCACAATCAAGTTGATAGCAAAAACATGTACTAGAATGTACTTTGATGTACTTTGATGTACTTTGATGTACTTTGATGTACTTGAATGTACATAAAACTCAACTCATTGTAGCATCCTTCTTACAATCGTAGCATCCTTCTTACAGGCAAGAAATCAAAACGAAACGCGAAGAAGAAAAGAGCTCGACGGTGGACATGTTTGGTGGAATCGCTGAAAACGAGCACCGATTATTTGTACGAGTTTTGCCATAACGAGAAGAGTGTTGAAGGATGCAAGGTGGGTACTGTAGTTGTTTTCATTTTATAAAATCTGTCAAAAGTCAACTTTACTGTCAATCAGACCGATCGAGATTTCGAAAGAAACATGGAATTTTTCCTCCATGCGTAAAGTGCACCCACAGTAAGTGCACTTTACAGGCTGAGATTCTGAGGTCTGAGATCTGAGGTCTGAGATTCTGAGGTCTGAGGTCTGAGGTCTGAGATTCTGAGATCTGAGATTCTGAGGTCTAAGGTCTGAGGTCTGAGGTCTGAGATTCTGAGGTCTGAGATTCTGAGGTCTGAGGTCTGAGATTCTGAGGTCTGAGGTCTGAGATTCTGAGGTCTAAGGTCTAAGGTCTGAGGTCTGAGGTCTGAAAAGCTGCCACTTTGAGATTTACTCCTTTAGCTGAAAAATGCCAAAAATTAGGATGTCGAGCGTTGAAATATGGGATAGAAAAAATTCCCTTTCGAAAACTTTTCTTTCCCTTTCACTCCTGAGTGTTGGTACAGCGCGTCCGCTTTTTATGGACTAGTCGATATTCACCGCATTTCCATTGGTAACCATCGAGAAGAACATAATTCGAAATTGCCACCAAATTGATCACATTGATCGCATTGATCGCATTGATCATATTTCAATTCGTCGTCCGCGGGAATAAAGCCGAACTCTCTCAATTCGTTGAGCCACATATTCGGGTTGACAGAAGCTTTAACGAGATAGGTTTAACGAGATAGCTTTAATGAGATAGCTTTAACGAGATAGCTTTAACGATAAATCTTTATCCATCTACAGTATTATCAAATCATTGTCCACCATATCCAATTCCAGGACGCGATCATGTACTTGACAAACTCGGTGAGGGATTTTGAGGCGCTGATCAAATCGATTGAAGTCGAGAATGATTTCGAAAATCTCAAGGAGAAAACCGGGTTGGTGTAGGCTATAGTAGGCTATAGTAGGCTACAGTAGGCTATAGTAGGCTACAGTAGGCTGTAGTAGGCTATAGTAGGCTACAGTAGGCTATAGCGTTCTTTAGACTATCGTACTTAACTAGTTTACGAATCTAGACGCCCAAATGTTGCGTGGGAGATTCGGAAAACGATGGGCTCACCGTCGCACGTGCTGATGGATCGACTCGTTCAACCGAATGGGTATTGGCTTAAGGAGTACTGTGGCGTTCAAATACAACTTTAGACCGCCATTCATTCTGATCAATGAGAAGAAACAGGAAATGGCACAGAAAGAGGCACAAATTGGTGAGTGAGCACAAGGATAAACTCTTTTCGAGCCAGCCAGCCAGTTTCGAGTCAGTGCTCCCTGAAAGGTTGTAGTGCTTTAGAGACTTGGAAAGTTTCAGCTACAGTACTCTTTCCAAGCTACAGTACTCAATCAATCTTTAGGCTACGAGGATAACGATGAGAATGGCTGGAAAGTTGTGCAACGACGGAAAAGGAGTGTCTCAAGCGTAACCACACAGAGTTTAGTGGATGAGAAAGAGATGACGCCGGAAGAAGTCGAATCGATAATCGTAAGTTTCATGAATTTGTCAGTAAGCCTTCAATGAGTCCTGTGGCAAGAAGGCGTTAAAAGCTAAAATACAACCACCATACAACCACCATAATTCTACTGGAGTTCCATTATCATAACCCTGTGTTTTAAAATGCCTATCAAAATCTACAGACTCAACAGGCTGGACCGCTTGAACCAGTTCAGTTTCAGAAACAGTTCAGTTTCAGAACCAGTTCAGTTTCAGAACCAGTTCAGTTTCAGAAACAGATTCAGTTCAATATCCTTTCAGCCTCCAAAACAATCCGTCTACGATCGTCTCTACTCTTCCGCCGTGAAAAGCCGTGATGGACAGGTTTACACAATTCGGCTTCAACTTTCACAATCAGTAATTCAGCCATCAACCTCGAATGTGTTCACTTCGTCACGCGGTGGAGCCACATCGGGTCGGCTGATGTGCCCACGAAGTGTGATGGATTTGCCGCAAACGAGGGTACAGTGAGATTGCACGGTTCCAATACGGTTCCAACACAGTTCCAATACGGTTCCAACACAGTTCCAACACAGTTCCAATACGGTTCCAACACAGTTCCAACACAGTTCCAACACAGTTCCAATACGGTTCCAACACAGTTCCAACACAGTTCCAATACGGTTCCAACACAGTTCCAACACAGTTCCAATACGGTTCCAACACAGTTCCAACACAGTTCCAACACAGTTCCAATACGGTTCCAATACGGTTCCAATACGGTTCCAACACAGTTCCAACACAGTTCCAATACGGTTCCAACACAGTTCCAACACAGTTCCAATACGGTTCCAATACGGTTCCAATACGGTTCCAACACAGTTCCAACACAGTTCCAATACGGTTCCAACACAGTTCCAACACAGTTCCAACACAGTTCCAATACGGTTCCAACACAGTTCCAACACAGTTCCAATACGGTTCCAACACAGTTCCAACACAGTTCCAATACGGTTCCAACACAGTTCCAACACAGTTCCAACACAGTCCCAATACGGTTCCAACACAGTTCCAACACAGTTCCAACACAGTTCCAATACGGTTCCAATACGGTTCCAATACGGTTCCAACACAGTTCCAACACAGTTCCAATACGGTTCCAACACAGTTCCAACACAGTTCCAATACGGTTCCAATACGGTTCCAATACGGTTCCAACACAGTTCCAACACAGTTCCAATACGGTTCCAACACAGTTCCAACACAGTTCCAACACAGTTCCAATACGGTTCCAACACAGTTCCAACACAGTTCCAATACGGTTCCAACACAGTTCCAACACAGTTCCAATACGGTTCCAACACAGTTCCAACACAGTTCCAACACAGTCCCAATACGGTTCCAACACAGTTCCAACACAGTTCCAATACGGTTCCAACACAGTTCCAATACGGTTCCAACACAGTTCCAACACAGTTCCAACACAGTTCCAATACGGTTCCAACATAGTTCCAATACGGTTCCAATATGGTACATTGAGATTGCAATGCAAATTAGTAACTAACTCCCATACCTTAGACTTAGCAATTCTTTTCTAAAATGATTTGACACGAAACCCAAGACGAAGCAACAAGAAGATCGCGTTGTGGCAGCTTATTTAGATTTAGATTTTTAGATTTAGATTTTTAGATTAGATATTTATATTTGCGTTTTAGTTAAAAGTAATTGATTAAGTTGAGGATGTAATCCTAGTTGGGCGGCGCATATGGGCATGCCTCAAGAAATTTGCATTTATTTTCTAGGTTTTCAAACGCGTTCTTCTTTCGTTCTTTATTTTCTAGGCTTTCAAACGCGTTCTTCTTTAGTTCTTTATTTTCTAGGTTTTCAAACGCGTTCTTCTTTAGTTCTTTATTTAGTTCACGCGCAAGTTCTTGATTTTCTAGGCTTTCAAACACGAAGGGAGGGGAGAAAACTTGGAATTTGACATAAAAATCGGGAAAAGTTTCTGATTCCATCATGAAATGAAGGAAAATGAATAAAGAAAAATAAATGAAGGAAAATGAATAAAGAAAAATAAATGAAGGAAACTGAATAAAGAAAAATGGGTTCTTTTCCAATATCAGGGGAGCGGAAGGATTATCGGGGGAGCGAAAGGAAAATCGGGGGAGCAAATTTTGGCAGCGCTACAAATTGTGACGAACGGGAGCTTGCTTTGTTGCAAAAAGTTATCGACTCGAATTCCTCTTGAATGCTTGGGGACCTTTCGCCGTGCACAAGTGTCACATACCCCAGCGAAATAGATCTTTTCCCTTTGAGCGGACTTTCATCGATTCGCCACAGTCGCAAATCCACAACTGGATGACTTCTTTGGTGACGAAATAATCGATTGCCGTCGATTCCTTGAACGCACAAATATCGGAGAAGCGCATCGTCGTTAAAGTTTTTAAAAAAAAAAAACGTTGCAGTTAAAATACAGTCTCGGAAATGCAGGGGGCAAAATTTGCTCCCCCGATTTTCCTTTCGCTCCCCCGATAATCGGACCGCTCCCCCGATAATCGGCAAAGTACCGAAAAATGAATAAAGAAAAATGAATAAAAGAAAATGAAAAAGAAAATGAAAAGAAAATGAAAAGAAAATGAATAAAGAAAAATGAATAAAAGAAAATGAAAAGAATGGAAAAAGAGGAATTTTGTCTGGGGTACGGTAGCGCATCCACTCTTTAGAAAGCGTGCCACGCCGCTTTCGCACCAGTCTCTTAAAACCTCACGTTAATCGGAATCTAACTTGCAGAATGCCTATTAAAATAGTTAAAACTTGAAACTAACTTGCAGACTACCCCCCCTACCTCCATTTTCAGGCATCGATGGCTAAAATCGCGTACAGCCGACAAAAACTGTGGCAACAACGCGCACAAACGACACTCGCCGAGAAATTCAAGGAGAGGCAAAAGTTGTATCGGAAAGAAGTACAGGAGAAGAGGTGGGATTGAGATTTTGAGAATGAATAGAAGGCTTGAATAGAAGGCTGAATAGAAGTTATGAGTTGGCAAGGCCAGGGTTAGAACAGGATTAGGAGCAGGGTCAGCCTCCTTGCCTCATCTGGCTTTATTGCTTGATTAGAAGCCAAGATTCTGGTCAGAGCCTGGAGAGCCTGGAGCCTGGAGAGTCTGGAGAGCCTGGCTTGTCTTATCCGAGGAAAGCTATTCAATTCAGAGCTCAAACCCGTTGTGGGCTAAACTTTGCCGATCCAGTTGCTGTCAAAAAAGCCGCACAAGATTTCATCGAAAAGAAGAGAAAGGTGAGTACGGTGAGATCGTAAATAGTAAACGGGTAAATCCAGAAAACTACCGTAAGAGTATTACGATAGTATTCTGAATTACGATAGTATTCTGAGATTCTCTACTTGTTCAGATAAGGGAAGCCGCTTCTGCAATCGATTTGCGAAGTCTTGGATCAATATGTGAGACGGGTGAAGAGGCAGATGCTATTCCGGCTGACCCAAAGCCAAGTGATCAACAAAATATGGATTTGGAGAGGATACGGTAAAGATCAGTGAATGTGAATGTGAATGTGAATGTGAATCTGAATCTGAATGTGAATCTCAATCTCAATCTCAATCTCAATCTCAATCTCCTTTCAGTCCCCTGAGAGTCCCATTGCCACCAGCTTCTTGGCACGGTGTGCCGTTGGATCTAGAGGATTCGGTGGAATGGCGTGAAATGACCGAAGAGGAAGAGAGTTTAGCAAACGAGGAACGATCGTTGACAAGAGAACTTGAAAATGTATGTTACTTGGGTTGCTTTAAGGGTCTGATGGGATGATGGGATGGATTTGACCTGGTCTAGTCCTTTAACCCGGCTCTATACCCAGTGTAAACCCGGTTTCAGCCGGCTTGAACATCTTTAGAACATCCTAAGCCAAAATCTCGTTTACCTTATCCAACCTTATCCAATCCAATCTCAATCAAACATCACATTTCCAGGAGGAAAGTATCTCAATCGATGAGGAAATCGAGCGTCACGTGGCCGCTGATGAGGACGAAATTGAAGAGAATCAGGAAAGCGTACAAGAAACGGTGAGAAGAGAATGGTTAGGATTCTTGGTTTCATGATGGCTGGTTCGATTCTGGTTGTTGTTGTTGTTGATCCTCGTTGTTGTTGTTGTTATTATTGATCCTTGTTGCTTTTAGGGAACCCAGACAGTCGAGCCGCAAACTTTCGCAGAATGTTTAAAGAATTGGGATGGTGAGGGGGCTGAAGAAGTTCAAGAAAACGTTCAAATTTTAGCCAAAATGTACGCAAGTTTCCCGTGGTGTGAGGTGTTTGACGACGATTTCACTGGACATTACAAAGAGCCGGGAGAGGAGACAGCAAAATTGGAGAAGTTGAGCAGTCCGAGGAAGAGGTGGCAAAAAGTGGAGCATCTGTTTGAATCCGTCCATTTTAGAGACATTTCCAATTTGCAAGAGAAAACCTTGCTAAGACAGCAACGAGCCGAAGAGTTACGCCAGCAATTGCTTGAGGAAAAAGCTCAACGATTGAAGGATTTATCGAAAAAGGCAAGATTTTCGATTTAGCACGATTTAGGCAGGAATTAGCACGCTCTAGCTAGCTCTAGCTCTAGCTCTAGCTACCTAGTCTAGCTCTAGCTCTAGCTACCGTAACCCTAAAGTTCTTTTTAGATTGATGAGATCCGAACCCGACAGGCTGAGATCTACGAGCGAAAGATGGATTTGTACGCGACAAGCATGGAGAGTCATGAAGAGAAAAGAAACAAGAATATAGCCGAGATTGTGAAAAAAGCGAAAGATGATGATCAGAGGGTTGGGTTAAAAGAATTGTCTAAAAGAATTGTCTACAATTGTCTACAAGAATTGTCTACAAGAACTCTACGATAACTGTCAGCTTTTAGGTACAAGAGGTGATCTTTTGTAATACGGTTGAAGCTGATTTGTCGGCACATGAGAAAGAGATTCGGGAGAAGGTGAAAGAGAAAGAATTTGAGAAGAGAAAAGATCGGATCGCGAACGAGAGACAGAAGAGACACGGAGAGGTGAGTGGGCGGTCGATAATACCCATTCTAACCCATTCCCTGAGCTGAGCTGTGCTGAGCTGTGCTGAGCTGAGCTAGTCAAGCCTAGAGCAGGCCTGACCCTCGAGGTCTGACCGTGGCTTGCTCTAAGTTGACTAGATCCGATTCTTGGGACGATCTGAGCTGTCTAGGGTTAAACCCAATCTAGGCTGACCTCTGGGCTGTTATAGGCTTTCCCTTGGCCCGATCCAGGCCAAGCCTGATCCCGCCAATGAACCTAAAGTGAGCCTTGACTCTAACCTAGACTAGCTAGCTTGTCGTTAATCTAATCCAGATCGGATCAAAGATCTCGGTGAAACCCAGCCAACCTGGCATAGCTAGCCTCGCAGAATGGCTAACTTTCAGAAAGTGGCAAAAGAGCAAGCTGCAGAGGAGCGTCGAAAAGTGGCTGAACAGGAAAGAGTTGCACGATTGCAAGAATTGGCTGAAGCTAAACAAGCCCGCTCGTCTTTGGTTGAAGCACAACGGGAAGAGCTGGAGAAAGGAAGGAGGTGAGTGGAATCTGGAAGTAGAGAAAGATTGAGGAAACGGAGGAAAATTCAGAGAACGTCGCCGCCAACGAGAAGAGCGCTTCGAATTGACGAAAGCGGCAGAGATCGAGAAAAAGAGCAACGAGCAAAAGAAGAAACAGATCAAAGTGAGGGATTTGGTTTAGATTTGGTTGAGAACGCTTTTTGCAGTTTGACTCATCGATCCGCAGACACGAGCAAACGATTGAAACGGTGCGGGCAAAAGCGCACGAATTGGCCAACGCAAAGGTCTTTGCTAGGTAAGTTGTCGAGTTCAAAGAATGCCATAATCTAGGGCAAGGATAGCTTTTCTCTAGCTTTTCGAAAGTCGTCAACTTTTGAGTACTTCCTACTTTTGAGTACTTCCTTCCTAGTACTTCCTAATTCTAGATGGGAAGCGCTGACGAATGCGAGTGCCTGGCCGAGTCAATCGACGTCGAAACAATGGTTATGCATACGATGCAATATTACGGTAAGCTACGAGTTACTGTATCTGGAGCACATCCTAGAGCGGCTATAGGGCAAATACTAGCCGGATACTAGCTTCACGTTCAACTAACCATTTACTCTTTGCCATTTATTCTTTACCATTTGCTTCAGTTACACTCTGAGCTTGAAATCATGGCCCACATCATCGGCCAAACTCATCTCGACGCCTGGAAAACGAAAGCTCTCGATGTGACGCATCACAAATTGGCCATGGAGTTCTGCGAGTCGGTCTTTGAGGGTGACTCGACGCAGACATCGCTTTCAACTTCCATTGTCATTGAAGAGGCTTTAGATAAGAAAAAGATCCAGAAAGCTAGACAGAAAATCACACAACGGTGAGAGTGACACAACAAATCGTCAATGAGAACAATTGCAGAGTGAAGAAATGCTATGAACAAGTGAAAGAATCCACACCGTACAAGGAGCAGCTGAAGATCAAAGTGTAAGTCTCTTTCTTTATGTTTTCTTGTTTCTGGTTTCTTTATACCTAATTTGGACTAGTTTCCGATCCAGATCTGGTATTGACTTCGCTTAGATTGATTCCAGAGCTCGAAAAATGTTCCCTAGTAACCCTAGTAAGGTTAGCCTTAACCTAGTAACCATTTTCTTTAGCAAGGATCGCAGCATCCGCGATTTGCAAGCGAGTTTAAACAACGAGAGACAACAAAGGCCAATGGAGCACGCGATCATCGACTTGATCAAACAATTCAACGCCGATGATCAATTGCCGGGTCAACTCTTTGCTTCTGGACTTTTACGAGCCATTGCTGAGCACATTCCATCGTTGGCTGCAACCATTGATCAAGAGAGGTATTTGAAGCTCGGGGTTACTGTGGCCAAAATTCTCAAATCTTTAGAATCCGTGCCAAACTCTTCCAACTGCTCACCCTCATGTGCGACAAGCATCCAATGGCTTCTTTGTACCTCTTCACTTGCACAAATCTTCCCATTTGGTTTGCGGATCAAATGAGCGCTTTGGCGAAGGTACAAAATGGGATTTGTTTTTAAAAATCATCTTATAGAGTGTAAATGTGGAAAAACTCTTGGAACTGCTAGAGCTTTGGGAAGGATTTATTCCAAAAAGTGTCAAATTGGATAAAAGTTACGAAATCGATCAGAGGGAGATCGCGATCCGTGTGGACATGTTTGTTGGGTAAGCTGGGAACTTGAGATTTGGTAAAATGTGACAAATGTATCGTAATTTTGTCTCAATAAGATCTTGCTTAAATTCAAACGAAAATGGATTAAATTAGCACAAAAGTGCATTTTGAATTTGAAATTAATTTGAAAGGGGGCCTAATTTGAAAATCAACCTTCCGAAGATTGGATTGTTCTGAAATTTTGGGAAACTATGTAATCGATGAAGGGTTTTATTTTAAAAAGTCTGCAATCACTCAAAAATATATTAGCTCATGAATGCGAGAAACCAGGATTTTGAACTCTTACTTAATGTCTTTAATGTACTTAAAAAAAAAAAAAAATACATTTATTGAAAACCAATAATGTGATACAAACAAAGGGTACATAATAAGACATAAAGGTTAAACACACAATTTTATGGCACTGCGGCCGTTCTCAGCCCTATTTACCCCTATCACCCAAATGTTGTGAAAGAAAAAACCCACTTGGTGGGAAAAAGAAACATTTTTATCTTGCCAGAGTGATTGAACCCTCGACCTTCCGCTTAAGAGACAAGACTCCTAACCGGTCGGCCATCTGGCCGGTCCTAACTTAATGTCCTTAATGTACTTAATGAACTCTTACTTAATGCCTGAAAAAGTTCTAAAATAAAACATTTTTCAAAAATTCAAAAATTCAAAAAAGCCATTTTGTAGGTTAAGGATAGGGCTTTTGAATGAAGCAAACCGTTTTTTGATTGGATAAGCCGTTTTTTCAGAAAACACATTACCAAAAAACAATCGTTTATAACTTGCCAACCTAATAGCTACTTCTAGACTTGTTTTATGTGTAAAAAACAAAACAGAAAGAAAAACAAGAGCAAAAGCATAAAAAACAATGATTTGAGTGAGAGAAACCGAAAAATGTAATAATTTCCACCAAAAAGCGCTAAATTATGGCAAATCTTTGTGCTTTTTTGCGTAATAGCTACTTCTAGACTGCTTTATGTGTAAAAAATAAAACAGAAGCAAAAATAAGAGCAAAAGCATAAAAAACATGCAAAATTATGAAGGCAGTGGGAAAAATTCGGCGCGAAAATGAATCCGGAAAATGAAAATAATGGCAAAAGGGGAATTTTGTCTGGGGTACGGTAGTGTATCCACGCTTTAGAAAGCGTGCCTCGCCGCTTTCGCGCCAGTCTCTTAAAACCGTACTTAATAGGAATCTAATTGTAGTCTGGGCATACTATAGTCCTTTTCGACTGAAAGCTTGAGGTTACTGTAATTTGGGAGCAACTTTTAAGAGTAGAATGAGCCTAATAGAAAAGCCTAATAGAAAAGCCTAAGCGTTTTCTATAAGATGACTTTCTGACTACTGTAATCTTTATCGGATTGGAAGAGAAGATTACGATAAAGGAGCACTATTAGCACAGGACGTTTAGGACGTTTTAAGGACATTTTCGGATGCTTTAGAACGTTTTAAGGGCATTTTCGGATGCTTTAGAACGTTTTAAGGACATTTTCGGATGCTTTAGAACGTTTTAAGGACATTTTCGGATGCTTTAGAACGTTTTAAGGACATTTTCGGATGCTCTCGGACCTTTTGAAGATCTTTAGAACGTTTACGACATTTTAGGTACTGTTTGACTCTAAATGTGCCAGCCGATTTGGACTCTCTGATCACGAAACTGATGCTGAGCTGTGAGAACTTGAGCCTCGTTGAGCGTTTGTACAAATTTGCGCAAAAGCTCAATGATGTGTCGATGTCGGAGAGCACGTAAGAGAATTCGATTTCGTGTCCAGCCGCCAACGATTACGCTACTTTAGAATCGAGTTCATCAACAAGTTGATCGATCCACTGCTTATTGGCATCATTGAGCAAATGCAGCTAGCTGGATCGGCCATGGAAACGTCGACCGCTTCGTCGATTGAGGTAAAGAGGGGAGATTTTAGTCCCTTAGCCATTAGCCAGGATCCAATACGGTTCCTCCTTTGATCTAATACAGTTCCAATCTTCTAACCACCACCAATCGATTCTCCATGTCAATTCACATATAATCCGTGAGCTAAAAACCAGATTTAAAGCTTGTGGAGCGAGCTAGAGGAGCTCAAAGTTGAGCAGAGGCACAAAAAAGACTTGAAAACCCAACTTTGAGCCCCTCTAGCTCTACAAGCTTTAAATCAAATTTTTCGCTTACGTATCGTATGTAAATCGACACGGAGAATCGATTGGCGGTGGTTAGAAGATCCGGGATAACGGCTAAGGGACTAAAATCTTCCCTGAATATTTAACATTTTTTTAGGAGAGTAACACCGTAATCCCTCAACTGCACGATAATCCGTACTGTTTGATAGCGTTGGCATTTTGCTCGAGGCTGAAAGAAGTCGATTTTAAGGTGAGTTCAATCTTCCAGTGATTTGAATCTTTCCCTAAACCATGCCAAAACTACCGTAGTCTTGGCTGCGACGAGGTTACGGTAGTTTTCTCAACTACAGTACGAGTACTAGGCACTAGGTTTAAAATCGATTTTCTAAAAATCTGATCAATACCAATTTTTACATGATATCCAACTAAGAAAAAGTCAAAGTTTCATCAAAATCTGTCTACAGTTTTTGGAAGAAATCGCTTGGAAACGTGTTCACCCTATTAACTTTTTTTTGAGTAGACAGATTTTAACGAAACTTTGGCTTTTCTTTAGTTGGATATCATGTAAAAATTGGTATTGCTTTGGTATTGGTATTGCTCAGATTTTTCGAGAATCTATTTTAACGTTACTTGATCGCTGTGGCTAGATCGTTCATTTTCAGAAATCCTTCTGCAACAACGATTCTCGTTTCATGCGATTGGGTCTGATCCTCTCAAAATGTATCCACTTCACTTCTGATCAAAATCCTCTCCGCAATTCCGATTTCTATGCCCAATTACCTGTTTATAAGGGATTGCCTTCTGCAAAAATGGCATCCATTGTGCTAGTTGGACGGCTGACCGTGTTGAGCCCGAGTCATCAGGTTTTCATTCACAGATTCATTTCAAATCTCATTCTTTCAGCTCCTCTTTCAACTTGGCGGCTCAAGTTCGACTCTAGCTACGTTGTGTCAATTGCCGATTCAATATTATGTACGTTTTAACTGTACAAATTACGAAAAAGTCGTAATCAAATTGATTACGACTAAATAGATGAATAATCAATAGTGAATACCGTAATCCGTTTTCCATCCTGCACTTTTGTCAAAGGAGCAACTCAAAGAAATCAAAGCAGTCAAAGAAATCAAAGCAGTCAAAGAAGGCAAAGCAGTCAAAGAAGTCAAAACAGTCAAAGAAATCAAAGCAGTCAAAGAAGTTGTGCCAAAGCTATTTTTAGATCCAAAAGCCAGGTCCTGGTCTAGCCTTACTCTAGGGCTCGTCCCAATCCGTCAGGCTTGGCTCCAGGCTCTGATCTGGACTCTAGAAGTTAGATCTGACCTCTAGAAGTCAGTCAGACCTGACCTAGCTTAAACCCCGTAGAACTCAACGTAAATCAACGATTTCAGACAAAGAAACCCTCTCGTGAGCTGATCGTGATGGCGATTGCTTTGATCGCGCGAAACTCTGTTTCCGGAATAGATTTGATCAAGCAACATCTTGGCATTGAATGGATCAGCAAAAGTTTAGAGGTAGATGATCTCAAAATGGCTACCGTAATCCCAAATGTTAGAGTCGAAATAGTAGCTTAGAGCATACTTTAGAAAACAACTTAGAGCACCTTTTAGAAGACATTAAACAGTCGATTTCAGCTCTCTACTAGTCAGCCACGATTCCAAAGCTACAGTTTCTCCAAAGATGATCTTTCTTCAATGATTCAATTCTTTAATTCAAATCTCTAACTGTACATACTTTTTTTGAGTTTTTGATCTCCTAAGTTTGTAAAAGTTTAGTTTTTTAGTTTTCTAACAAATTTACGCTAGGCTACGGTAAATTTGATGCCTTTCACGTTTTCTTCAAAACTTTCCGAGTGATTTTTTTGAGGTTTGGTTTTTTTTTATAGCTTATTTTATGGTTTTACTGTACATAGAGTTTAAATGATTCTAGCTGCTTCGATAAATATTTTGGTTGAGGTTAAAATTTGTCTTGTAAAGTTGGTATTACCATGCTTATTCTTGTCTTCTTGTCAAAATTGAGTCGTCCTACAATGCGGTAATATCTATAGTAATCCCCGAACGTAAGTAAGTAATCTCAGTCTTTGTACTAGTCCCGGAACAGCCAAGAGGCCTTGGATTACGACAGCTCTTGTTTACGGATCACGGCAGTCAAAGCTACCGTAATCCTAAAATGTCTATAAATTCTCTAGCCTAAAGATAAAACATATAAAACATATAAAACATAGGAAACATAGGAAACAAAGAAAACAATATTCCTAAATAGCAATTCGCAAAAGTAGTTAACAAACAAATGTAAAGATCTACAGCTAAACGGCGGAGTATCAAAATTTGCTCTAAAGCGACTAGTTAACAAAGAAAATCTGCTTTTTTGGGGGGTGGAAGAAATGCGACCTTTTTTTGCGCACCCAGCCAAAAGCGCCTTTTTTTCGCTGGAAAAGGCTTTCGGAAAGGCCGTAGAGCTTCAAAAATCTTTCCATATCAGGGAATCGTATCCGTAGATTACTAATTTTGACAAATCAGATCTCGCTGACACGTCAAATTTGAGCTAAAAGGCAAAAACTGAAAAAGCGCTAACTTGCGTAGTTTTTGCCTTTTAGCTCAAATTTGACGTGTCAGCGAGATCTGATTTGTCGAAATTCTTAATCTACGCATACGATTCTCTGATATGGAAACATTTTTGAAGCTCTACGGCCTTTCCTAAAGCCTTTTCCAGCAAAAAAAAGATGCGCTTTTGGCTGGGTGAGCAAAAAAGGTCGCATTTGCCCTACCCCCGTTTTTTTCCCTTACAAATTACAAAATAAGCATTAAAAACAAGAGATTTGGGGGCATTTATCGTAAAAGTGGCAAATTTCTATATTTTCTTTGAAAAAAGGGATAAATCGAGCTAATTTTGGTCGTTTTTGCGCGCATTTGATGCCTTTGGCCGCGCTCTATGTGCAATTGATGGAAAAAAGTGCAAAAACATTAGCGAAACCATAAAAACATGCAAAAACATTAGCGAAACCATAAAAACATGCAAAAACCAAGAATATTAAAATCTAGTCACGCTGAAATTAATGTTTCGAGTTTTTTTTGCGCGGCGCTGAAATGACTCGCGCTGAAATGAACGCGCACTGATTCGTTGGCGCTGTAAAACTTATAGGAAACAAAGAAACCGATATAGTTATAAGAAATGAAGAAGCTGATATTCCCAATAGCAATTTTGAAAATAATAGTAATTAACGAAACAATGAAATTAATTAACAAGACAAGTGTAAAGATATTCAGTTAAAGGACGGAGTATCGAAGGTTTCTCTAAAGCGACTATTTAATCAAGAAAATCTGCTTTTTCCGCTCTTTCGCACAAAATTTAGCATTTTTCTTCTTTTCTTTATCATAGTTTTGATTATTTAACATTTTCTTGCTTTCAGATGATGGAATGTTTCTCATTTTTGGATTCTATCGTCAAAATCGACAATAAAACGGCGGAAATCTCAACGGAATCATTGCAAGAAGCGGCAAGGTTTGTTTGTTTGTTTTTTGTTTGTTTGTTTTTGTCTTTTATTTTAAAAGTTTTCAAAATATAGAGTAAAATAGGCGTTTTTTTTAAGTTAAGTCATCAAAATCAGCGATTCAAGCTACCGTAAATACTATAATAGTACCCCACCCCCATAATGACGGTGCGGAGCGTTACGTAGTCTAGCTTTGGACGCGTTTTTCTCGACAATGATTTATGCTACAATGCGCGCTTAGGTATCAAAAAAATAGCCCTGAATTTCCGCTATTTTTTGATACCAAAGACGCATTTTTTGAAAGTACGGGCGCTTTGAAAAAACTAAAAAACTTGCGACTACGCGACTGTACGAGGGGTGTGGGGTACTATTACAGTATTTACGGTAGAGTAAAATAGGCGGTGCTTTTAAGCTAAGTCATCAAAATCAATGATTCAAGCTAAGTCATTAAAAAACTGAAAACTACTGTTTTTTCTTTCATTTCAAGCTACACTACTGAACAATGAAATATCATATTTGAAAAACGATCGTCACTTTCGCGCGTCTGTAACTCTCTTGTCTTTACCTTATTTCTAAATATTAATAGTACCATTGTGTAGCCCTTGAAAAGAGCTTTCAGAAAATGTATAACACTAATAGTTTAAACTCAAAGACAAGGGAGTTACAGACGCGCGAAAGTGACGATCGTTTTTCAAATATGATATTTCATTGTCCAGTACTGTAGCTTTGCAATTTTCAGATCTTTTGCTCTTCAGCCGACCACCGCCGACTATTTTGACTCGTTAACTGAAAAAGTTTGTTGAGATTTTCTGATTGTGACCATTTTTTTTTCTAGGACATTGCCCATTTTCAAGAGAGGCTTTTCTCGATCGCTGTTGAGGTGTTTTTACAAAGAAAACCGGATTCTATAAGTAATTTTAGGGTAGAGCTGATGACGACGAGAATTCACTGAATGATCGACGGGCAACTCTCGCACTGCGACTTTTATACAATGCGGGAAATCGATCGGGTAAGGAAATGATAGGGAAATTAATAAAATGGTGTTAAGATAGGTTACGAAAGACGCTACCAGCTGATGCCATTTCACTATTTCGGGCGCTTCTCCGTTTTGCCGAGCTCCGATCGGAGGTGATCGCGCTGATGGTTCAACTTTTCGACAAGATGCATTTGGGTATCGTTTTGTTGAAGTTGACGTTGAAAGTTGAAAAGTTAGCTTAGTTATTTTTAGATTGTGCATTGAAAGCCGATTACCAACTGCTTCTTGGCGAGATCTGTGTTTTGTGGGAAAAGGATGGGAAAGAGAGGTAAACCATTGGAAATCGATCATTTTATTTCAGATGTTTGTAAGAAGAATGTTTGTTTCAGGCAATGGATTGATGCTTTTCTCTTGAATTGCCTCGAGAAAGATGGAGCATTTTTAGCGCATTCTTTTGCAGGTTTAAAACATCGTAATTCATGATCAAGTTTTCTAGATTTTCAATCGGATCACTTCTCGGCTCTTCTGACTGTTACTGAGGCCTTCATTGAGGCGGAATTGGAGGTAAAGTTTGTAACATTAAGTTGTATTAAGTTAAAATGTATTAAGTTTTACTTTAGATTCATATGAACAATGTGCAATTTGCGGTCGATTTGATCATTCGAATAGTTTACGATTTTGGTGAAGAATTAGTAGAAGAACGACAAAGAACCTACATCGAATGGCTGCTGACATTGATGAAAATTATTGGTAACTTGATCTTTAATACAAAATATAATTTCTTACAGGCTTTGCGGCTCTTCAAAAACGTTATGAAAGAGAAGTTGACTCAAGGAGATTGGTTCACTCGATACGACAAGTTCTAGAAACGGTTGGTTTTTGAATCGGAAACAGTGGCCTAGTAAGGGCTTTTCTCTTACTAGGCTAGGCTCTTGCGCTCTTACGTCGGCTCTTTGCTTGCTTCAAGTAGCATTGTATACTAGAAGACCTGCTCTCAAGTCTATGATGACAGCCAAACACAGGAGACAACGTCTTCAAAACTATTAATAGCTTAAAGAGCGCCATGAGCTAGCTTAAAGGGCGATGAAGCTAGCTTAAAGAGCGATCAAAGAAAATCGATGAAATTTTCTAGAAAATTGAGTGTTAAAAGACTTTTGCACATGACTGTAGGTTGTTGACGCCGAATCTTTGGATCAAATCGACGCGCCGGTGATCATTCGAGCTCCTGATCGACCACTTCCTCCACCGATCACTCGACGAGATGCTGTGCTGGTATGTGAAATCTTTTGCTGAAGCTAACTTTAGAACAAAGGTTAACTTTAGAATTCACCAGGTCTAACACGATTATCATCAGCGATTCATCGGACATCAATAGAGAAACGGGCATTGCTGAAATGTGAAACGATAGCGTCGATTGGTAACTTGACGTTAGAAATCTGATTCCATGTGATACAGGGAATTTGTGTTCCGTTTCCGAAGCGAATCGCTTGGAGGCTGGTCAAAATGGCGGAGTGCTTCTTGTGCTATCTTGTGCGAAACTTGGACCAAATGATCGACCATTTATTGTAAGTTTTAATGGTATTAAGCGTCAGAATCGATTCTATTACAGAGTGAAATATTTAGGTTCAATGGTGTATCACCACTCTTCGTTTCATGGTGCTTGGATGTCCGGAAAATCAACGCGAATTGGCAATGCTTGACGATGTAAGAGTTTTTCGATGATTTGTAAATTGTAAATTGTTTTTGGATGATTTGTAAATTATCTACCGTATTCTAAGAGATCTGGTTCAAATAAAGGTTAACTTTTTTTTTAGAAACCCTCTGGTGTAATCGATCGATCGAAATTACTGGAACAACTCGGGTTGAAATGCGAAATCGAAGCTGATGGACGAGTGCGGATAATGAATGAAAAACGATAGTTTTGTTAATTGTTGTTGTTACTATTTTGAAGGTAATAAAGGTTTAAAAGCAGTTAAATTTTGTGGAATTGGTTAAAATCCAATACTTGTCTTAATTGAAAAAAGTCCTTCCATACCGATAAGTGATTTGTCCGACATCAATTCTGACCGTGACATTTTAAAGAATGTTCTTTATTTTTCCAGGCCATGTTTCTCAGCAAGTTTATGCATCGATTTAGATTTTATTTTAATAGAAGCTTTAGTAAAGGCTCTAATAGAAGAGCCATCTATATCGTCGCGTTTTCTACACTTGTTTACGCTCAAAGAACCGCTCAGATCTTGGCGCTCAGGTACGCTCGCGCATTTGTTTTTGCGCGCTTAGGTATCAAAATAAAGTAAAAAGATAGGGGGGATTTTTTGAGCTATTACAAGTATTTTTTAGCTACAACCAGCGCTTAGAAAAAATGACGGAAAAGTGGCGAAGAAAACGCCGATTTTATAGCAGCGTACAGAAACAAATGGCGGCGAGATATGAGCAGTTCTTTTACGATAATCATGCTTTGTTAGTGTATTTGTACAATTGCGGTTTTATTATATTAAAATCCAATTCAATCCAAAATCCAATTTAAAGATTCAAGAAAAAGCAGTTAAATTTTGTGGAATTGGTTTGAATCCATTCTATTACTTGTCTTGATTTAATTTTATTCTATTTCTTGATCCATTCTATTACTTGTCTTGAGTAATTTTGTTCCTTAAGTGCTTTGTTAGATATGCTTGGAATCTGACTTTTGATTTTTTGATGAATGTGATTTTTTAATGAATGTGCATCATATTCTTTTTTTTTCAGGACATGTTTCGCAGCAAACCAAAGAAATCGGCTCCGAGTGGTGCAGCGGCGGCGAATGTGCCCGGGGGAATGGATTTGCTCAACTTTGGAAACTTTGATGAGGCTTCAATGGGACATGGCAGTGAGTTATAAATAGGAAGTATGTGCACTGAAAAAAAAATGAAACTTTCATTTGATTTGATGATTGTGGCTTTTGAATATATTTAAATTCGTTTAAAACTATTTAAAATCATTTAAAACCCTTGAAAATCATTTAAAACTATTTAGAACTATTTAAAATCATTTAAAACCATTTAAAATCATTTAAAACCATTTAAAATCATTTCAAACTATTTAAAACCCATAGATCAACATGATTTTAGGTGGTGCCGATTTGGAAAATGATGCCGAGCTACTCGCCGAGTTGGCCGCTTTACAACAAGAGGAACTGCGAAGGTATCTACGAGTTAAAACTTTTCACTTTAACTTTTCAATGTTAAAACTTAACTCGACAAAATTGTCTACCTTAGTCGACCCGCTCCCCGACAACCCGCAGCAGCACCAAAGAAGCCAAATCCGTTTGTGGAGCTGAATGACGACGCGCTTGCTTCGGCACTCTCCGAACTGCCAACATCTGGGGATAACGATGACGATGCATCTTTTGACAATGACACCGATCTCTTGGTATGAACTTTACACGTTTAATCGACTAGAAACCGTGATTTGTCTAAATTTACCTAAATCTAAATCTAAATTCAAATGTAATTGGTTTTAGCAAGAACTCACCTCTCTCACCGATGCCGGTCGATCGTCAGCAAGTCTTCCACCAGTTCCACAACGACCATCGGCTTCTAATGCTATTGTAAAAGGTTAAATTGTTTGTTGAATTTTCTAACTGATAGTTTTAGGCGTTGATAACTCTCTTATCGGTCGACTTTCTCAATTGACAACAGTTTATCAGAAGCTTTTCACCGACTCACAAGCGAAAGGAGATCAAGCAAAGGCTAGAAGGTAGTTTAGTTTAGTTTAGTTGATGGTTTAGTGTTACAAAATATGTTTTAGACATCAACGTTCCATTGATAAGCTGAAGGAACTCTCGGTGAAAGCGACTCGTGGAGAGAAGATCGATGAAGATGAGATTCCGCCGGCTCCACCTGGGTTTCAGGTGAGAAATTCGAGAAAATTTAAGGAAAGATCTAAAAGTTGTCAATCTTGTGGTATGGGTTAGAAAATCTTAATTAAGCTAGCTCCAACGAGTTCATCGTCTTCTATGGAACCCCAGCGAGCCGCTCCACCATTGCCGCCAAGAAACGCTTCGAAAGCCGAAGCTTCTGGATCAAAAAGAGAGGAATTTCGCAAAATGCTCATTCGGCGGTAATTGCTTTATCACTGAAAGGCTTAATAAGCTAAAAGTTCACACTCCAAGGTCTAAATTATATAAAAAGCTTGAATCAAACTTCAATTTGACCTTTTTAGTCGCGATGCCTACACGGCCAATGGAAAACTAGCCGTTGCAGCTAAGGATAAAGCATCGGCTCTACATTTTGTGAATACTTCGAAGATGTTTGATCAGGTATTTTTGGATACTATTCAAAACTTTATCTATACGCTTGTGTTTCAGGCTTTAGCTGCTATTGAGGGTGTGCCAGAAGAGGATTTGGATGCGAATGAAGTTCCACCAAGTCCACCACCTTACAAGTAAGTTTGAGCTCAGTGTCTTTGTAAATTTATGTCTTCGTTTTTAGTCCTCAATCAGCTCAACAAGCATCGCCTGTGAAAACAAATTCACCAACAGTTGCCCCACCAAGAGCTCAAATTCAAAGCAATGATAGAGAGAAGAAGAAACGAATCATGGACACCTTGCAACGAAGGCATGGATTTAAACTTTTGAGCTGTTAAATTTTTTTTTTTGTGTTTAGGAAGGATGCGAACATTCAATATGGAAAAGCTGCTGTAACAGCTGGAGACAAGATGGCCGCAAAAGAGTACATGGATTCGGCTAAACAATTTCAAGAGGTATAGTTTATAGATAGCTAATAGCTAAAGCTAAAGATAGCTTCAAGAGGTAGCTAATAGTTAACCATCAATTTGTAAAATTCTTTATTAGCCATTAAAAATGGCTTTGAGATTTATAGTTTTTCCATCCATGTTCTTCATCTTTTGAAAGAGTAAATTGGCAAATAAATCTTCCTCAAAAAAAAACTGTCTTTTAAACCTTTTCAACTTTTTGCAATGTTTTGACGGGTGCGCCTCGTATGAAAGTGACTCAAAATGCTCGCAAATAAACCGGCTTTTCAGAATTGAGAGAAAAGAGAGGAAAGAAAAAGAACTCGTGCAAAGTGACTAGTCATACTCGGCCAAAAAATTTAGGCATTGACGGCTTTGGAATCGGTGTCGATTGAGGATTTGGATGAATCGGAGATCCCCGATAGCCCGAAACCATATCGGTTTGTTTAAACCACCGATTTATAGAGGGTGACCAAAAATAGCCCGTTCTTTCTTTTTTTTTTCTAGGCTCATATTTCTGTGATTTGTAGACCAAAAAGGTTAATTTCTTTTTTTTTTTAAATGAAAATTCACATCGTTTTCTGTATTTGTTCAAAATTTCATGACCATAGCATCGATAGATATAATTTTTTTATGAACCCTCAAAAATGTCTGATCAAAAAAAATAACGAGCCGCAATTCAAATTTGGGACTTTGGTCGTTTTGGGATCGTTTTGGTCTACAAATAACAGAAATATGAGCAATAGAATGGACCATTAGGACGGGTTATTTCTGGTCATGTCGAATGAAAAATTATTTGATTATTTGGTCATTATTTGATTTTCAGACCACCACCAAAGACTTTCCTCGACGGTTTGATGTATCGACAGAAACAATTTGAGGATTTGGTCGACAAGTACAAACAACAGGATGATTCTCGAAAAACTAGGTTGGTTTGGAGATGATTGAAAAATTGTGTATTGCTTTTTAAGAATGAACGAGCGAATGGCCGCACAATACATTGAGGCGATTAAAGAGTACAGAGCGGGACGACCGGTTAGTTTAGCGCTCAAAAGATAGTTGCCTTGAAATTTGCTAAACTTGCATTAGTTTTCATGTTTATGTTTAGGTCGATGTGGAAGCACTGCCAACCCTGCCCAACATGACTCCACTTCCATCACAACAGGGTGTGCCACAGAAGAGTGCAATCACGCCACCGAGTGCCCCTTCAACTGGATCGAAAAGGCCATCCGCTTCTCCGTCACGACACAGTGAGATATTTTTGGGAACTATGCAGATGTAGATGCAGATCTATGCAGAACTGCAGATTTGTAGTTGTTGAATGAGATAACTCACTTGATTATGACCAAGAATTCCTTTCAGTTCATCAACCAGAAGTTGGCCCTCTCGCTCCGACGGGGGTCGCTGGTGAATCGAGAAATCAAGTACAATTGGAGTTTCTCGTTCAACGACAAACCGAGTTCAAGGTTTGGAAAAGAATTTGTGGCTAAAATATAACTTTGTATTCAGCAAGCAGCAATGCACGCCAAGTCAAAGGGGAACATTGAGATGGCAAAAGAGTACCTACTGAAGGCAAAAGGATTCGATCCGATGATCAAAGCCGCGCAAGCAGGATTGCCAGTATCAATCAAGGTTTTTACGGTGTGATCTAATTGGTATGCCGAAAGTTTTTTTTAGAATACACCAATTCCACCGCAAGAGCTGACTCCGGCGAGCGCTTTGCAGCCGAAAATTGTCGTTGCCGGCTCGTCGAGTGAGACTGGAGTTGAAAGTGGGGTTATTTAAAGGCTAAATAAAAGGATTATTTTCTTTTTAGAACGTGGAGAAGTCCTTTCGTTGATCGAGAAAACGCTGATCGAACAAGTGCAAAAGGCGGAGAATAATCGATTGAGGTTCACAAGGCTGGGAGATGTTGGAAAGGTGAGGAAATTGACATTGGCATTGGCATTCGTTTAATTGTATATTTCAGGTGAAACTCTTTGAGGAATGGGCAAAGCACACGAAGAGTGACTTGCTTTTGGTGAGAGAGGTGGCAAAGCAAGGGTTGAGGATTCCGCAGTTGGTTTTTGGAAAGAAGATATAGCTTTATTATTGGCAGTATTTCAGTGTTTAATAAGTCTATTGCAGTGTTTAATGAGTCGATTTCATTGTTTTGTTTCTAGATTTCATTATGAGCAACGAGCCGTGCCAAATGCGGATCTTTTCCCCGAGCTAGCTGAAGATCTCTTTGAGTTGACGATTTGCAGTAAGTTCATGCTTTTTTGCGAAAAAAAAGTTCATAAAGCAGTAAGTTCATAAAGCTGGTTTAGATGCTGTCCAAGTACCAATACCGTCTGGTTATGAGAGTCAACACGCAAACATTTTTGTGAAGTTCGTCTTTGAGCTCTCAAATTTTATACCTTCAACACCTTTTAGATACGAACTCCCGTACCCGCCCGAAAAGCATCAAGCTGGACAAACGAAACTCGTCGCTGGCACTATTAGTCCTGGTTAGATTTTTGAAATCGATTTTAACTTGATCTGTTTAGATTTCAATGAGATAATCCAATTGCAAGTGGGCACACGAAAATCGAGAGGGCAAAAGTTGCTGCGCGTTTTGAAAAGAGCTCCACTCAAATTGGAGGTTTGTTTTCTTTTAGTTTTACGATTCATTTCCAACTCTGTGTGTCTAGGTTTATCAAAAAGGCGGCTTTCTGCGAAGTGACAAATTGTTGGGGACGGCCGAGGTGAAGTTGGAAACATTGGAGACAACGGCACAATTGGAGGAGAGTGTTGCGTTGAAGGTGGGGTTTTAAATTTTCTTATCTAAAAATGGTTTAAGTATACGCTAGAGTCAAAAAAAATTCAGGTAATCTGCAAAATTTAGATTTAAATTTAAATTTAAATTCAAAGATCACAAAAATGCTTTAGACTGACATTGAGCTTTGAAATTTTGATTTTTGATTTCCTTTCAAATTCAAATCTGCGAAACTTTTGAACACCTTTACAACTTTGCACATTGCCAAACCCATAATTTCCCTCAGTGCATAACATTCATTCAATGTCATGTCATGTTCTTACCCTTTGCACGGCTTAGCTGATTTTTTGATTTCCTTACTTGCTTACCTTTGTTTTCCATATAGGGTGGCTGGCTAATCAAAGAACCCCCGACGCCTTGCTGTGTTTTGCTTTTTGGTGATGCAGGGAATAAAAATAAGCGACGACAAAGGGTAAGGGCTATTTTCTTTCTTTGATTTCTTTCACAAATCACACCCAAATCCTACCTTCTATCTCACAATTTCGAAGATCACGAGTATCACAAAAGAATCAGAATCATCTTTCTTTCATGTTTGAGTTCGCTAGCACTTGCACATGTCGAACTTTTTATTTTTGAAAACAAAAGATCAAAGTCATAGAAAGCAGATAAAAACTCGTTTAGACTATTCCAAGCAATTTTCTCATTTCAGGACAACAAGAAAGCCGTCGGTGGAATGTTGCGTGTTCGCGTCCGTGTCCGCGAGCCGCTCGGAGACACAAAATTGGCGATTCGACACGAGAAATGGTTGGTACTCGATAATTAGACTGTTTTTTTTCGATGATTTTTCTTGTTTCTATTCAACTCGAGTTCTTGTTTTTTTTTTGCTTTTGCCAGTGATCCTTGTTACGGTTCATTTATTTTGACTTTTGAGTAGCTTTTTTTCGTCTTTTTTTAGCATCATCATTTGCTCATTTCTCGACATTTTGAGCTATTTATGTCCCATATTTTATCTGTGATTTACTTTTTTTTTCTTTCTTGGTTTTTGTGTTAGTTCAATGTGCATGTCTGTTATTGAAAAAAGTTTAATAAATATTCTCGTTTAGAGCTTTGATTAGGAGACTTTATACATTGTGAGGTGTGCTGAAAAGTATTGGATTGTTAGGTTTTGTTTTACAGTGATGTGCAAAAGTCTCTTTTAACACTCAATTATCTTTGAATCGTTTTCCTCGCAATTTCGATTTCAAATAGGCCCATAGATTTTCGATAACATTTAAATCAGATGAAAATAGTGGAGCTTTGATCAAAGAAACTGATCTCATTGATTGATCTCAAAACAATCCCGGTAAATGCGCTTTTCCTTCATTCGAGAGAGTCACAAAGCGGCCCATCAAAAGTTTGCTTTTTGTGTACTGACGAATTATCTTGATAAACCATCGTGGATTCATCGAAGCAGTCGCAAATGGAAGTAGACATCTTTCAAATATCTCAATATATTGGCGAGAATCCATTGTTGACTTTACGAGGAAAAGCGGACCCGTTCAACTTTTACACATCACACCTAAAGAAAGTGTTGAGCTTCTGCGGAAACTTAGAAACCGTAAAAATAGTCATGAACTCGGCTCGGCGCACTACTATTAGAGAGAATACGGTAACAATTAACAACTATCATTTATCACAAATCGCATCTAAAGAAATCACGTTGAGCTACATAAAAAGAAAATTTATCTTATTTTTTTTTATTTCTTATTGTTTTTCTTTGTTCACTTATTTACTGGTACCAATTTATTTTTTTTAGATGCAACGAGGGTGTTTATCAACTCCGGATAAAGAAATGATCGTCGAGGCAACGCAGCAACGAATGCCACGACAAGACGTTGCTCGCCTCTTAGGATGTACGCCCACAACAGTCTCTCTTTTTACGGCAAAAATGAATGCGTCTGAAAATGTGCACAGATGTAAGAAAAAGGGACGACCGAGGATTACAGCAAAGAATGAAGACCGATTCCTTACGAGAGCTTTCAAGGAGGATCCGAATTTGACGTTGAACGATGGAATAACTTTTTTCAAGCACTTTAAACAAGAATATTTCCCTCTGGACCTTGCAACGACGCTTGCTTCAAGTAACATTGTAGACTAGAAGACCTGCTCTCAAGTAGCATTGTAGACTAGAAGACCTGCTCTCAAGTCTATGATGACAGCCAAACACAGGAGGCAACGGCTTCAATTTGCTCGAATCTATTCAAGTTGGACAGTCGATGATTGAGCCCTGGTGATTTTCGTTGAATGAAACAAAAGTCGATATTTTTCTTCAAATCGAAATCATCTGATCGTCGTCGTCGTCGAACGTCGGACTTCGGTCCAATCGGAAAGCGATATCAACTCAAGTACTTGCAACCTACGGTGAAAACAGGCGAAGGATCATTATGTGTTTCGGTGAGGATAACTTTCTTTTTATGTAGTTCGACGTGATTTCTTTAGATGTGATGTGTGATAAATGATAGTTGTTAATTGTTACCGTATTCTTTCTAATAGTAGTGCGCCGAGCCGAGTTCATGACTATTTTTACGGTTTCTAAGTTTTCGCAGAAGCTCAACACTCGAATCCCCCACAAGATCTCATTGTCAGCTACATTTTCCGACCCCACATCGATAGGTTCTGATAAGCGCTTCTCGAGATTTCGAGGAATTTAGGCAACGCTCAGCATGCACGACGATTAGAGAGAATCCGGTATATTGTTGTTTTATTTATTATTGAAAGTAATAAAAGTTTAAGAAAAGTTGAATTTTGTGAAATTGGCTAAAATCCAATCCATTTGCCTGTCTTGATTTAAATAAAATTTGATTTCCATAGTTGGACAGAAAATCTGATCGTCACATTTGAATAAATGCTCTACAGTTTTTTGAAGGCCATTTTTTGCAGCATTAATTTATAGATTGTATTTTAGAGATAAGCTATGGAAATTACGATCGATCTACGAGGGTAAATCTCCTTGGAAAACAGTCTACACGATCGACAATGAGGTTTTTTTTTCTTGACAATCTTATCAACAGTCAAAACCATTTGTTTAGGCGAAAGTGAAACAAATGAAGGGAGAAGTGAGTGTGGTTTTCAAAATCGTGCCAATCGAACAAAATCTTTTCTGGAGAAACTGGAGAAGACACCAAACTCTTCACCGGTTCATTTGCAAGCGTACGGATGGAAGAATCGTGACATCGGTTCTTTGCAAGCGTACGGATGGAGGAAGCATGACACCGGTTCTTTGCAAGCGTATGGATGGAAGAATCGTGACACCGTCACTTTGGTAACTTCACTTTTTTTTGATTTTTTACATTATTAATGGCAGAATTTTCGATTTACTTTTATGGTTAGAAAGGTTTTTCTCATCGCCGCAATTGTTGCAATTCACTTCAGTAACTCAGTAACTCGACTACCGTAGCCATTTGTGTTTAACCTTGCTTTTGATCGTTTGAAGATCTATTTTTGCCATGTAAAAACCATGCCAAACCTATTTTGCCATATAAGAAACCATGCCAAACCTATTTTGCCATATAAGAAACCATGCCAAACCTATTTTGCCTATAAGCCTATTTTGCCAAACCATTGAAACAAGTGTTTACTCTAGTTTAAGCAAAAATTACTCTAATAAAAGCAATTTAAGTTGTAAGTTTAGACTAGATTACTGTAATTAAAGAAGCAAGCATTAAAAATAAAGCACAAAAATTGGCGGCAGGCGGCAGCAAAGGTCATTTTCCCGTCTTTTTTTTTTTTTTTCACTAAGCTAAAGACTAAACTTGTGTCGAAATTGTCGAATTTTTTTTCCTTTTTTAAATCCAAAGTAAATTTTAAATCCACTCACCGAATCTACAATTTACTTACTTACTCATTTCCGCGTTTTTTTCTTTTTCTTTTTTTGCCTTAGAATTTTGGTCACAATTTGATTCCTTTTGAGGTGAAAAATGGAGAAATACGCCCACTCAATTGATTTTTAAATGAGATTGATATTTTTTTGAAAACTAAAATTCGATACTTCGATACACTAAGCCTTGAAGTTGCTTTGAAGTATTCTTTATATGGTTAGCTGGCTAGATTTCAGGGCTACATTTCAAGGCTACATTTTAGGGGCCAGATTTTAGAGCTAGATTTCATGGCTATATTTCAAGGCTATATTTCAGGGCTATATTTCAGGGCTAGATTTTAGGGCTAGATTTTAGGGCTAGATTTCAGGGCTATATTTCAAGGCTATATTTCAGGGCTATATTTCAGGGCTAGATTTTAGGGCTAGATTTCAGGGCTATATTTCAGGGCTAGATTTCATGGCTATATTTCAGGGCTATATTTTAGGGCTAGATTTTAGAGCTAGATTTCATGGCTATATTTCAAGGCTATATTTCAGGGCTAGATTTCAGAGCTAGATTTCAGGGCTATATTTCCAGGCTACTATATCCCTGAACTATATTTTTTCAAAAGTATTCCCTAAAAAATCATCAATTTCCTCCTCATTTTTTCCCGATTTTGGCGATGATTTTCATCAAAAATCTCAAAAAAAGAATTGAAAATTGTTTGATTTTCGAACGAGAAATGGGAAAAAAGGTTGTCTTTCCTCTCCCCCTACCCACAGAAAATCTATTTATTTTGAGGAAAGTCGGCAAAACATGAAAAGAAAAGGAAAAAGATTAAGAATTTTTTTTTTGTCATTTTAACTTCTCTACATCATTTTCTTTGAGCTTTTCTGTATCCTTTGAGATTTCGAAGTGTTCATCTTCTTGAGTGGGCTTCTCCATTCAATCAATAGTCATTTTTTTTAGCTTTCTCGAGCTTTTGAGAAATCTTTCGTCAAAGCTTTCATTTTTTTTGATTTTCGATTGAATGATGCATTCAATTATTATAAATGAGAGTATTTCATCGATTGATCGCTGTGGAAGAGAGGGAAGTACAAGGTAAGTCGGTGAAAATGAGATTTGAATAAGTTTTAAGGGTTTGTTAGGTTAGGAAAGGTTTTTATTGGATTGATAAGTTCTTTAAGAGTATTATGGATAGCTTAGAGTTTAGAGCTTAATAGATTAGAGTTTAATAGCTTAGAGTTTAATAGCTTAGAGTTTAACTGAGATACCTAGGCTGACCTTTAGAATTTAGATTTTAAAGAATACTATAGAAATATGTTAATTAGTTTGGAGAAAATTTGAAGAAAAGGTTTTGAAAAAATTTGCAAAAGATTTTTTTGACTTTTTTTTTGATTTTTTTTTTTTTGATAGTTTTAATTTTAAAAGAATTTTGATTTTTAGAACTCAAACGTCGTCTTCTGCGAAATCGCAGAATTCGTCGAAAAACGAGCACGTTGATGATGTGGAAATGGGAACAATTGAGAAACTGAATGGAATGGGATACGACGAGAAATTCGAAATCGATCCACCCCTCGTTCTACAACCACCACCAAGGAGGAAAAATGGGAAATTGCAAAAGACGGATCGACCTGTGATAAGGGTAAGGTTTTTGATTTTTTTGGGTTTTCATTTTTTTTTGTTCAATTTCGAATGTCCGAAACTGAACCAGACGTCCGAAAGTAAATGCTTTTTTTTTTAAAAACCAAATTTTCGCTTAAATGAAAATGATTCAAAACAATAATCAGAGTATTATTTCAATATTTTTATGTTTTATGCATATTTTTCGTCATTAGTTAGTCTTAAAATTGAAGAATAAGTGTTAGGTTTAGTTTTAGTGGTAGTGGTAGTGGTGGCTTTAGTGTTAGCTGTAGCTGTTAGCTTTAGTGTTAGCTTTAGTGTTAGTTTTAGTGTTAGTGTTAGTTTTAGTTTTAGTGTTAGTGTTAGTGTTAGTTTTAGTGTTAGTGTTAGTTTTAGTGTTAGTTTTAGTTTTAGTTTTAGTGATAGTGTTCACTTTTAGTGATAGTTTCACTATTAGTTTCACTAATTGCTGTGCAGTGTGTGAGAGGGTACCGATGGGGCGATGATTATTAGAAATTTATTCGGAATATAGCACAATTTCACTAAACTAGCCATAAAATAGTTAGTTTCAATAAAATAAAAACTAGTTTCAATAAAATTAGAAACAATCGTTGATTCAGTGTTTCAAAGCCAAAGAAAAGCAATGCAAAGTGAGCTCCGTCCCTTTTTATCACACAAACGATCTTTAGAGGACAAGGACAAGAGAACTAAAGGAGCTTTAAAGGAACTAAATAGGAACTAAATAGGAACTAAATAGGAACTATAAAGGAGCTTTAGAGGAACTAAATAGGAACTAAATAGGAACTAAATAGGAACTATAAAGGAGCTTTAAAGGAGCTTTAAAGGAACTAAATAGGTATTCAAGAGATATTCAAGATCAAAGCATCAAATAAGATCAAATTTCAAATCAAATCTCACGGAAAAGAGCTACTTTTCTGCAAAATTGCTTTTCACTATAAAGAATTCGGATTTAAATTCAAAAACGTGCTTTACTTCGAAAGCAAGTTAACTAATAATGAAGATCTTTACTTGTTAAAACATGTTAAAACAATAAATTACTTGTTAAATGAGTTAAATGACAAATATTAGGCACTTGAACAAAAGAGCGCCAATGCAAAAAGGTTAAAAAGAGTGCCAAGCGTTAACTCTTATTAAATTTAACCACTAAAACCAACAGCGAATTTGAGTTCCCAGTCGTTTTTTTTTGCCTAAAAAAAATGTAAATAAACAAAAAACCAGCAAAAACATCAAGAAAAACGGAAAAAATTGAGCAAAAATCTAGTGCTCTTTTGGTGGCGCTCTTTTGGTGGCGCCTTTTGTGGCGCTTTGTGGCGTTTTGTGGCGCTCTTTTGTGGCCCTTTTGTGCCTCTTTGGTGGCGCTTTTGTGGCCCTTTTGTGGCGCTCTTTTGTGGCGCCTTTTGGTGGCCTCTTTTGATGGCGCCTTTTGGTGGCGCTCTTTTGATGGCGCTCTTTTGGTGGCGCTCTTTTGATGGCGCTCTTTTGGTGGCGCTCTTTTGATGGCGCTCTTTTGGTGGCGCTCTTTTGATGGCGCTCTTTTGGTGGCGCTCAAAAATAAGTGTTTGAAACAAGAAGCTTGTTGGGAACAGCTTGTTCTCTTTTGAACCCAATATATAGAAAGGGATTACAGTACACCTTACAGTACGTAAAGGTGTACTGTAATTTGAACTATAATGTACAGTACGTAAGGTGTACTGTAGGATAGCTTGATTCTGGATGTCAATGAAAGTTGGATATTCTTTAGGAAGAGGACTTTGGCGATGACGAGGCACCGGAGACGAGTGAGGGATCGTCAGGGAACCGGAAAGTTCATCTAAATGTTGAGGTGGGGTAGATTTATCTAATATACCGTAGCTATTCTAATCGAAAGAGCACTCCAATAGACGGAAATCGAAAAATCGTTTTTTACCTTTTCGGGATTGAAAATGAGGCTTTCTATTAGAATAATTACGGTGAGCACAGTAGAGGGACGGGTTACGGTAGCTGGGATAAGCTGGTAGGCTTTAGAGTTTATGAGTGATTTAATAGAAGAAATTTTAGCCAGATGACGGTCGTGATAGTGGATGTCAAGTGGATGTCGATGACGAGGAAGTTCAGCACTATCAGGTAAGACTGCCATCGATTTTTCGATTCTCTAGTGGCTAGAGTAAGCTGTAGCTGTAACTGTAGCTGTAGAGCTGAGCTGTAGCTGTAGAGCTGAGCTGTAGCTGTAGAGCTGATCTGTAGAGCTGAGCTGTAGAGCTGTAGCTGTAGTTGTAGTTGTAGTTGTAGTTGTAGTTGTAGTTGTAGTTGTAGTTGTAGTTGTAGTTGTAGAGCTGAGCTGTAGAGCTACAGCAATTCGCACGATGATTACTGATTTTTTAGGGTCGTCGAAATCGGATGAACAAACGACCGGCGGCGTTCTCGATCGAAGCGCACACAAAGAAATACATTCCACGAGGGTCCATCAGAGTCACGCCGACAACGCACAATCCGGTGAGCTTTATTTAATTGAGTTGGGTAATTAAACCGGGAAAATCTTTCTCAGTCTAGTATCCTCTATGCACTTTTTTTCGTTGTTTTAGGTTTAGTAAAGAAAAAGAAAAGAGTACGGGCAATTTCCAGTAGCCAGTACAGGCCAGTACAGGTCATCCAGTAGCCAGTACAGGCCATCCAGTAGCCAGTACAGGCCTAGCACTACCACAGCCGCTACAGTAACTAACTAACAGCTTACTGTAGCTCTAACTAACAGCTACAAAAAGGTTTAGTAAAGATAGAGATATTCGGTTGATGGGTATGACTTGGAAGTTGTTTTTTTCTTCAAATTCGAATCCCTGACTGTTGAAAGTCTATCTAGAGATTTGTGACACGTTATTTTCTGAATTGAATGAATTTCTACAAAGAAATCAGAGATGTAGAATCTCTGATTTCTGTTTTTGTAGAATGTAGAATTGTTGCACCATAATTATCGAAAAAAAGATCGAAAATTCTGATTTTAAGGCAGATAAAAGCAAAAAAAAAACCAAAAAAGACAAATTTTGAACTAAATACCATTTATTGTACATTTAAAAGCCAGAAATGAAATATCAAATTCGATCAAATCAACCACTATTAGCATTTGAGCAGAGTCGCAAGCGTTTCGGGAAGACGTCAACGTTGTCAGCGTCAATAGTGACCACCAAATAGCTTGCATCCTTCTAGATTCTAGACTCCTTCTAGATTGTGCACTTTGAGAAACCGTAGCATTCGGTCGAGATTTAGCTCATCATCGATCATTTTGCTTGTTAAGGCCTTCAACGGTAAAGATGTTTCCATTTGTGAAGAAAAGATTGTGATGGTCGATTTCAAATAAAGCCCAAATGATCTGCTCTCAATTTTCCTTGTTTTTTAGCGCAAGAAGGCCTTGTTTTTTTCTTGTAAGCAGTAGGTTTGAGCTTATTTTTAAGGATCCGATGCATCGGATTTTTAAGGATGCATCGGAAATTGCTCCCGTAACTCTTGGTGCATCAGAAATTGTTCCCGTAGCTTCGTAGCGTTGAATAGTGCGGAAAATAACACTTCTGTCGACTTTAAGATGAATCTCTAGCGCCGAGACTCCTGTGCAATTCGATGATCGATTGTCGATAGGGATTTTCTAACTGTCAACTTATCAACTTTGTCAACTGTCAACTTTTGGAGAAGGCGCCAATTGGTTGCTGAGGGGGGGAAAAGCCCAAATCATGTGCATTTGTATGAGAAGACAACCAAGGCAAATGTGCGTGAGAAGAAGTTTATGCTCTCGGTGCTCTGGGATTTGGAAGAGCCTATCTACTGGGGAACTTTTGGATAGCAAGACAACACTAAATCAAATACTCCGAGTAGCTTAGCAAGTCAACCAAATCTTTGCCACAGAAAGACCTCAAAGATATCTTTAGATGGCTTTAGATGGCTTTAGATGGCTTTAGACATCTTTAGATGGCTTTAGACATCTTTAGATGGCTTTAGATGGCTTTAGACAACTTTAGACAGCTTTCGATGGCTTTAAATAGCTTTAGACAACTTTAGACAAGCAAAATCTAGATCTAGATATGATTTTAGACCCGCTGGCCATCGGCTTTCTATTTCCCGGACGCTGAATCGCCGGTTGTCGTCAAAGAGGAGGATTTGGAAGAGAGTGGTCGGTTTCAAGCATACTCTAACTACAGTAAGTCGGGGATTACCAGTAGCCAGGGTCTTTAAAACGCATATTCATAGCACGATAGCACGATATATTCATAAAAAAACCTTTTTTTTTCCTTTTTCCAGCCCGTCTTCAAATCTCGCGCAATTGTCTCATCATGTTATTGCTATTCGTCGTCTCTTTTTGCTTTCTAATGGGCATCATGATGATCGATATGGTTCGTTATCATCGAGGAATGTTTGAGGTAAGGGATTTCGAAGGTTTTCAATGCGTACTGTAGTCGAGGTCGAGGCCAAACGACGCCAAGGTACTGTAGTCTTAGCATGGAAGCTGTAATACTAAACGCTACTGAATTCTATCAGTTTCCGAGGCAATATTAGAGCTATGGCGGCATAGATCGTACTGTAGCCGGTCTAGTGTGCTTAAATCGTACTGCAAACGGTACTGGTTATTGTAGTAGACTGTAGTTACTGTAGAGGACTGTAGAATACTGTAGAATACTGTAGCTAGTACTGTAGCTAGTAAAAGAGTACGGGCAACTTCCAGTAGCCAGTACTGGCCTAGCACTATCACAGCCGCTACAGTAACTAACTAATAGCTTACTGTAGCTCTCAAAGTATCCAATTCAGACATAGCCGGCCTACTGTAGCTCTCAAAGTATCCAATTCAGACATACACCAACGACTATCCAAAAAATCTCCCGAATTTCCCCGGTTACGCAAATCTTCCCACTGTTCCATCGGATTTGCAAAATGCTTGAGTTCTCCAGTCTCCAATTTTCGGTTCCCCCCGCCGGTTGCCCCTGATCTCATTTTTTTGAACTAAACGAACGACTTTTGTGCTTTTGTACGGATTGTACAGATTGTACAGATTATTGCTTGAATAAATATTTATTTCTTCCACAAGATTTATCCGATCGAATCGCTTAGAAACGACGACGACGATGACGGTGTTTTTGGGTGGCATGCGATCCCTCAGGGCAATCACAATACTCTCCATCTTTACCAGGAGCTCCCAAGAGACCTTGCTGAAATCAGAATTTTCTAATCGTCATGCCTGACTGGCTAAGAGTTCTGTATCTTCGAGTCGAGAGATTAAGGGCTCAATCCTGCTCGTTTGTTTTTTGATTTTTCCATAGCTTCTCTACATTTAGGGCTGTTCATATCTAGATCAAAACTGTAGCTTGTAGCTAGGCGTACTGTAGCAGTACCTAACTGAGTGCTTGTTCATATCCTTGTTCATCTAGTCAATAGCTAGTACTAGAGGCTTTCTGCAGCTCTATCCCTCTTCCCAAACTCACATGTCCTCGTGGTCCATCGTGTCCAGGTAATCCATCTTTTCCAGCGAATCCTTGTGGTCCGAATGGTCCTTGCTCTCCATCGGGTCCATTGTCTCCAGCTCGTCCTGGCTCTCCAATGCATCCAGTGAGTCCGGGACGTCCTGGCAATCCAGGTGCTCCTTTACCAGTGACAGCATCTTGTCCCGGAGTTCCATCGGGTCCATTCTAAACAAAGATATCAAATAGACAGTAGTACAGCTACTGTAGTAGCTGCAGTAACCTGTAGCAGGCCACAATAACCTGTAGCCCATCCATTCTACAGTCTTTACCTGTCCATCGAATCCAGGCTCTCCTTGGTCTCCAATCGTTCCTTGTGGTCCATCTTCTCCATCTTGTCCGGCAGGTCCTTGCTTTCCGGGCTCTCCGGGTGCTCCGGCCAATCCCTCCAATCCCTGGAGTCCAGGCTCTCCGGGTGGTCCCTCGGGGCACTCAATGCAGCCCTGAAATCGGCTTTGATCAGATCTTCTTTCTGAAAACACTCACTCGTTGCTCAAACTCGGGATGTGGTGGGATAAGAGCTGGTTCTCCGGGATGTCCAACATCTCCATCAGGTGCAACCTCTCCAGGGTTTCCAGGCAAACCTGGAGGTCCAGGTGGGCCAGCTGGGCAGCCAGCTCGTTGAACTCCGCAGCCTGAAGAAGAGGATTCAATCTTGATCTATTTAGACGTAGACTACTCTAGACTACTGTAGACTGCTCTAGGCTACTGTAGACTGCTCTAGGCTACTGTAGACTGCTCTAGGCTACTGTAGACTGCTCTAGGCTACTGTAGACTGCTCTAGACTTCTCTAGCCTACTCTAGACTACTCTAGACTACTGTAGACCACTCTAGACTTCTCTAGACTTCTCTAGCCTTCTCTAGACTACTCTAGACTACTATAGACTGTAGGAAACTCACGGCATTGCTGTGCGCTTCTCTTGTTCCTTCCAAAGACCTCCTCGGCATAGTCTCTCAACAAATTCGGGTTCTTTCCACGTTGCATAACGAGAATATCGGCCCAAGTGTCCTCGGAGATTCCCTAAAGATTCAATTATGATTTCCCTCGCCGAATACTCTCACTCTGAATTGTCCCATATCGCGCATGATATCGTCATACATGTCATTGATATCCTTGTAGATGATCGCTCCCGCCCACAAGCATGCCACAACGACGAACACCGAACAAGCGACACCAAATGTGATCGCCGCTTTCACCATTTCTGAATTCCTGGTTATGAAATTGGAAATTCAAGAAAATCAAGAAAATCAAGAAAATACGTAAATGAATGAGTTTTTTTTACTTAACTTTAATGCTATTGAACTATGAAATGACTAGCGTCTAGAAGCATTACGGTAAATGTCTAAAAGAAAAAAATGAACTGAAAAACTTGTGCTGACAATAGATGGATCCGCCACCCCCAGGCTCTTTTTATATTCACCACTTTGCGCAACGAGTCCGATCCAGTCGAAAAAAGAACCCCCATTTTGGAAAGAAAAAGAAACTCGAAAAGCCTGTCAGCCACTAAGCGAAATTAGAAACTGAAAAACGCGGTTTGCCTTTAGGCAAAAAAAAGCCAAAAAAAAAAACTTTCTAACGCTAGGGAAAAAGTTTTGGCTTTTTAGCTTTTTCAATGCATTAAATTCATTTTGAAGAACTTTATGAAATGCCAATGAAATGCCAATGAAATGCCAATGAAATGCTTTGAGAACAAACGAGGCGCCGGTTTGATAAGAACGAATATTGGGAATGGTGAATTGGTGAATTCCACTTAAAATTTTCTGTGTTCTTTGTGTTCTTTGTGCGGCCGCGTAATCGCTCGTCGTCTGGCGCAGGGCTTTTACATAACTCCTTTCCCTCTCCCTTTGCCAAACCAAACTGCCGGCTATTAACAATGAATTTTAAACAAACAAAATAACATTTAATTTTAAGACAGACAGACAAAAAGACAGACGAAAAGACAGACAGGAGTACGGTAGCCTTCGAAACAAAAAAAATCAAAAAAATTTTAAATCAAAAAATTTTAAATCAAAAAAATTTCAATCAAAAAAATTTCAAACTTCGGGGGTGGGACAAATGCGACCTTTTTTTTGCGCACCTGGACATTTGCGCACCTTTTTTTTTGCTGGAAAAGGCCTTAGGAAAGGTCGTAGAGCTTCAAAAACGTTTTCATAGAAGGGAATCGTATACGTAGATTCAGAATTTTGACAAATCAAAGCAAATCAGACCTCGCTGACACCGTCAAATTTGGGCTAAAAGGCAAAAACTACGCAAAACTTAAGTTTTCCGCAGTTTTTGCCTTTTAGCCCAAATTTGACGTGACAGCGAGGTCCGATTTGTCGAAATTCGGAATCTACGCATACGATTCCCTTCTCTGAAAACGTTTTTGAAGCTCTACGGCCTTTCCTAAGGCCTTTTCCAGCAAAAAAAGGTGCGCATATGTCCCACCCCGAAAAAACGCAAATAAAACATTTTTTCTCCACACTGATATTTATATCCAAAAAACCTGCTTTTTCTACCGTACCCTTGCCTTCCTATTTTCAAAAAGTGCTTATCTTTTAAAGATATAAAATTCTTTTTTAGCTTACATTTTTTTTACAAGAAATTCTGTAAAAAGAAAATTTCCTTATTTTCCAAAACAAAAATAACGTTTATTTAAACAAATGTGATTTCCCGATTCGGCAAAATTGCGTTTTTCGGGGTGGGACTAATGCGACCTTTTTTTGCTTGAAAAGGCCTTAGGAAATTTTCGTTGACTACCAGATTTTCTTTCTAACCTGACTTATTGTCGTGAATTTTTTAATTAATTTTTTAGATTTGATTTTGTCGAAATAGATCAATAGGGTCAACTTTTTAGACCAAGCCAGTTTCATTTTTTTCTTAATTTTACCTCAATTTTTAAATAAACCCAAACCAAAGGCCTGGCTAAGCCGAAAAGTGGTTGGCTTTGAACGGCTTGGTTGCTAGGCCTTTTCCAGCAAAAAAAAGGAGCGCAAATTTGTCTAAGGAAAGCGAAAAAAGGTCGCATTTGTCCCACCCCCAAATTTCAAACCACTGCCATCTTTTTTTTATTAAATTTTTTGAATCAAATCGACTTTGATTGATTCAATTTGAAATTAAATTGAACTATTGGTTTGGTGAATTGAAAACTGCCGGCTATTGTCATGGAGGACTGGAGATGTCCCAGTTTGAGCACGTTGAGCACTTTCTTCAAAAGAAACCCATTTTGGTGTCAATGGAAAAGTTGTAGAGAATCAAAAATCAAGCTTATATCCAAATTTTCAGGACGATTCAAAAGCTGGTTTTCAAGAAATGCGAAATTTACGAATTTTTACAAAACTTGCATTTTAAGCGAAACTACTAAGTGTATCTTTCTGGAAATTTGGGTATAAGCTTAATTTTTGATTCTATACAACTTTCCCATTGGCACCAAAATGGGTTTCTTTTGAAGAAAGTGCTCAAATGCTCAAACTGGGGCATCTCCAGTCCTCCATTTTTGAGTCTCACACTTGTCTCACACACAAACCAGAATCCTACCACGAAAGAGGAATCCGTAAATTGCCTGTAAAATGGGCAGAAGTCGTCAATAATAATGGAAATTATTTGGAATGAATTGATGGTTTTATTTTGAATAAATTTTAGTTCAAAGTCCGGCAGTTTTCAGCTCACCAACCCAATATTAGCGCCAGTGCCACTATTTTTTCCCTTGACAAAACTTGACATAGAAAATCGTTGATAAAACAAAACTTTAGGAAATCCTACAGTGCTAAGGCACCTCCATACCCTTGGATTTAAATCGAAACTTGAGGCTTGGGTGCCCCATGACCTCAATAACCCCCAGGAGTGACAGCACAGCCTCGATCAGTGCCGCTCATCTCTCACAATACAAAAGGAAATCTTTTCTTTCTCGAATTGTGATACGAGATGAGAAATGGGTTTTTTCTGTGAAATTTCAGAGGAAGTGGCAATGACAATGGGAAATGGGCAATGAGCAATGGGCTAAGGCAATGGGCAACGGCATTCAATCAACTCCTGAAAAGTGGCGCCGGTTTTTGCCGATTTTCAAACACTTTTCTAAGCACTAGTTAATGCTAAAAATCTGTGTTATATCTTAAAAAATTACCCATTTTCTCTACTTTAATTTGATACCTAAACATGGACAAAGAAAGGCATTGGTGCTGAGTTATGAGCGTTTGTTTGAGAGTAGACATAGACTAAGCAAAGCTCGCTCCTATAAGACCTTCTATTAGAGTATTTATTTTAAAAATAAATCAACAATTTATCCAGCTTTTTATTACGAGACAAGCGCACCACGTCGTTCAAAACCAGCACGATAAACGGAAATTTCTAGCACGTCTTTGCTTGTAATGAGACAGCAGTGATGCTTCAACGAGCAAGTGTATCGAATAGATTCGAGCAAAGGAAATTGGTGTTCTCACTCGTGGCTACGACAAAATGAACGCCGCGGTCATGTTGACGAGCAGATGGCAAAAATGCTTGTTTCCAGGATTTCTGCGAGAAAAATGTCAATTCTTTTATTACCAAAGGTGATAATTCCGTTGTGCCGCTCAAAATAGTAACATTTATTCAGTGAATAACAAAAACCCAAAAACAAACGACGCCAAAGAAATGTTTAATTTTTTGCCAAGAAATCGTGGAATTTCTGATAGGGGGTCTTGTCGAGGTCTTGCTCCTTCCACAAATCGGGTGTCAAGTAGGAGTATGTTCTTTGAATGGCGGAATAGGTGGCCTTGGCGAAGTTTCCGAGGGTGGCCGTTTGTCCGGTGGCACAAGTGTAACAATCGTCAATACCTGATAATTGGGATATGATAATGGTTTTTGGAACAAAAGAACTAACCAGCCATTTGGAGGAGTTTCTTGGGGACAGGCGCTGACACGATTCCGGTACCACGAGGGGCAGGGACGAGGCGCACAAGGACGGAGCCACACTTGCCGGTGACTTTGCAGGGGACGGTGTGGGGTTGACCTAAAGTTTAACATTAAATGACATGAACCACTCCGTAGGTTATAAAAGAAGTCCTAGATCTAGAGCTTACCAAGTTTGTTGCCCCAGTATCCTCGTCGAACAGGGATGACGGCGAGTTTGGCGGCAATGATGGCTCCTCGGATGGCGGTGGCGACTTCTTTTGAGCACTTCACTCCCAATCCGACGTGACCATTGTGGTCCCCGATAGCGACGAAAGCCTTGAAGCGGGTACGTTGACCGGCACTAAACAGATAAAACATTATATACCGATCAACGAATAGCTGTTGCAAGAAACAATCAGTATTAATGATTAACATACTTCAGTAACTGTAATAAAATCAGGACTAACCGGGTTTGTTTCTGGACGGGCATAATCTTGAGCACCTCATCCTTAAGATTGGGGCAAAGGGCATCAATGATCTCGAACTCCTTGATTGGCAACGAGTGAAGGTAAATCTCCTCGAGGGTGGTGATTTTGCGGTCCTTGACGAGACGTCCGAGCTTGGTGACAGGCATCCATTCCTTATCTTCCTTGCCTCCACGGCCACCACCTCTGAAACAAATACAAGATTCTCAAAGACTAAGATTCCCTACCGTACACTAGCATACCGTTAAATTTTAATTAATATATTAGTAGTGATCCAAACAGGCAAACGACTTGGCAACACCTTTCGCCACGTTTAAAACTACAAGTTTTAATCCCTTTAAATTCCTACAGGTTTTAATTTCATTTCAAGACCAACTTCAAATCATACTTGACTTGTTTTTCGCGTGCTTAATCAAAAAACAATTTCCTTCAAAACAAATCGAAAGGTTTTATCATCTCTAAGCAATTCCTTAGTTATTTAAAACATTGTAATGACATAACTAAAAAAGCATCCTTACCTTCCACCGCGTCCTCCTCGACCACCACGGCCTCCACGTCCGCCACGGCCTCGCTCGCCTCCAGCAGCAGCTCCTCCGCGTCCTCCGGCAGCACCGCCACGACCTCCACGGTCTCCGCTTCCAAATCCTCCTCTAAATCCGCCACGATCAGCCATGATTGTTTTACCTAAAGTACAAAATTTTAAAGGCAAAACATGAAGAAACAAAAAAAAAAAGGGTCACACAAACTTAAACATCTCGGGGAAAAGCGTAAATTAATAAAAGATTACAATTTTATTTCATGAGATCTACTGCAATAGTCTGCACATCAGAAAAATAGCTTTGTTGGATTAAATTCTATTGTTAGAAATGGAGAGTTTATCCAAAAAAAATTAGTAAAGTAAAGTTAGAAAAATTCGTCCCTCGCAAATGAATTTTAAAGATGTAGACCGGGAAAAAATTTAAACAAGAGAGAATCGCGACAAGGTTACGGTAGAAAACGTCGCTGTTGCAAGACAAATGGATGTCATTTGTACACGCGCGTCGTCACTTGTCGAAAAAAGGTTTATAAAAGGGAGATTTCTTTTAGAAAAGAAAAAAACGTTCTTTCGGAATTTGTTTTAGTTTTCAAGTTGGACTTTAGTGCTTTGATTAGAGTTGAAATTTAATCAAAAAGTAAGCAGTAAAGTGTTTAAAATGGGATTTTAGCGATTAAAATGTGTTATAGCTCGAAAATTTGCACAAGTTATTGCCTAGAACATCCTAGAAATAAGGTAAAAAAGGCGTTCTTTGTCGAAAATTTGCGTTTACCAGCTTAAACGACTCAAAAAAAAGGCTGAGCTGAGCATTTCTATAACAAAAATATTGAATTTGAGATGAATTTGAACAAACTATAAGCATTTTGACATAAATTTACAATGCGATGACTTTGGCGAGCAAATTAAGCCTGTTATTATTCGTTTAGCGCTGTTATTAATCGTTTAACTCTGTTATTAATCATTTAACTCTGTTATTAACCTTTCAGGTCAATGGTGAAAAAGAAAGAGCCAAGGAAAAGCAATGGAGTCGTCGAGGAACTTTCGACAGATCAATTCTTCAACGAGTGAGTTTTGCTATTGTCATTAGTTCAGGTTCAATGGATTCTGATCGTTGATTAACTTTTTTGCCTTTAGTCCAAACAAATGGAAAGATCTGCTCTCCGAATATGCTCACGAGATGTACGATTTCGCTACAAGCGTCGTTGTAAGTGACTTTTTGATGTGAACCTCCTTTTTATCTCTTCTTTAGCCTCGAAGCAACGATTTGCCGAAGGATTTGAAACAAGAACACCCGGAGACAAGATGGCAAATGCTTGCCCATTCGACAAGCCAATTGAGAAAGGATTTCAAGAAATATTCGGTAAAAGCCTATTTAATGCTGCCTTTTGCCTTTCAAAAAGACTCATGAGCTTTAGTACTTGCTCGACAAGGAAATCATCTTGAAAGATCGCGAAGAAAGAGACGTCGATGATGATTTGGAGGTTAGTAATAGTTTAGTTTAGTTTTTGGATTTTAAATTTGTTTTAGGAAGATTCCTTGGACGATGAAGACGATGACGAGGAAGAAAGCGATGATGACGAAGAGAGGAATGAAGAAGATGAAATCGATGACGAATCAGAAGGGGATCTTTTCAATATGAGGTAAACTTGCTTTTCTTTAGTTAATTGTTTGTACTTAGAGAAGAAGACCTTGAAGATATTGATGAAAAGTTGCAAGCTATGCATTCGGATGAAGATGAAGAGAAAGAGGAAGAAGTGGCTCCAAAGGAAAAAGAAGTTTGTGTATTGGTGTGCATAAGTTTTAATCTCTTTTTCTAGGCAAATACTCCAAGCTATAGAAAGACTGAAGTTGATGACGCGTTTTTCTCGCTTCGCCGAATGGAAGCCGAATTAGATGAATTTGAACGACAGGAAAACGCTCAGCAATTGGAGGGAATTCTTGACATCGATGTGAGGATATGCGTTCATTTTTTATAATGATATATTTTTAGGATGATCAATCGAAGCCGTCCGATTATTCATATGAAGATTTCTTCGGGAAACGGTCTGACGTGGCTCTGGATGAAAAACCGACTAAAGGAAAGAAACGAAAAGTAGATGCAGATCAAGAGAATGGGTGAGTTTATCGAATTGAATCAGTTGATTGCTTATGTTTCAGGACGAAATCGGGAAAGAAGAGGAAATCTGTGTCTTGGGCTGATGGAGATAACGACGAAGATGAAGAATCGGTATGGATTGGATGCATTTTAAAAGAAAAATTTCTTTAGGAAGGGTCTTCGGAAAAGGAAAACGAAGAAGTCGATAATGGGGACGAGAAGGAAACCGAAAGACCAGTTCTATTCGGAAAAGTCGAAGAAAGTGTCGATGAAGAAAGCGGGTTACAGAAGCGAATGAAAAAGGTGATTAAAGTCTTAGTAATTTAGTAGTTTGAACAAACAAACTACGCAGACGTATCTCGCCCCGGAGTACAAAATGTCCGTGGTGTCGTAGCTCTGCAAAAAGTGACGGCGTTTGCAACTGGCCTTGGTCAAAACAGACTCTGGTCATACTTTTTAACGACCACAATTAATTTGAATCAAATGTCTTTTACTAAACGGAAGCAAATGAAAAAGGTGATTAAATTCTAAAGTGCATCGCATATTTAGATCAGCAATCGTATAAAAGAGCTCGAGGAGGAGAATCTTGCGCCACGTTCATGGGAACTACAAGGAGAAGTCGCGGCCACAAATCGAGACGAAGACACTCTACTACAGAAACACATTCAATTCGATGCATCAAATAAACGACGTAAGATTCTATTAGCATATTGAAATCATGCTTACATTTAGCTCCTGAAATTACTGAAGACTTCACGGCTAAATTGGAGGACATCATCAAACAGCGCATCAAGGACAAGATTTGGGATGACCCTGTTCGGACTAGAAAGGTTTTTGGGATTTTCATGTAATCGGTGATAATTTTTGTTTAGCTTACCGAAACTCTTGAGCCGTATCGAAATGAGCGAATTGAAGATCAACAAAAGATGAAACAATCACTCTCGGAGGTCTACGAAAAGGAATTCCAGAAAAACTCCGGGGTCAGTTTGTTTTTATTTTATTGCAATTCAGCAAATTTAGCAATTGAGCAATGATGGGCCTCAGAAGAATCCAGCTCACGAGGAAGTTGAGTCGTTGATGAGTGCACTGTTTCAGAAGCTTGACGCCTTATATCACTACGAGTTTGCTCCACCGCCGGTAAGTGTTAGGTTGTAAATGAAATTTTAAATGATGTGATGAGCGTGCAGGCGTATCTCGCCCCGGAGTACAAAATGTCCGTGGTGTCGTAGTTCTGCAAAAATTAATGGCGTTTGCAACTGGCCTTGGTCAAAACAGACTCTGGCCATACTTATTAACGACTACAATTGGAATTAGAAACTTAAAATGACTTGCTACTTCTAAAAGAACTTGCTTACATGTTATGTTTAGGTCAAGCCCGAGCTTAAAATTGTCTCCAACATGGCAGCTCTACAAGTTGAGGAGGTAGGTTTATCAATTATGCTTTTAAACTTTAACAAAATAGGTTGGAATTATGGCCTCTACGGATGAACAATTGTTGGCGCCAGAAGAAACCAAGAAACGACAAAAAGGAGATCTTAAGGTAGGTAAAAACTCCATGATTTGTGAAAAAGTTTTTAGGCTGATGATGAAAGAACCAAAACGGACAAACTCCGAGCAAGAAGAAAGAAGAAAATCAGACAAAAGTGGGTTTTTTGCTAGAAGTTTCATGAATTCTTGCTTATAGGGTTATGGCAATGCGCGTATTGGGCAGTGAGAATGGCAAGAGTAACGACAAATCACAGGAGAAGAAAGGAACAAAGGTTTTTTAGCACAAAATCTGTTACATTGTACTTATAGGGTAAATCTACAAAGATGCGCTCGTCAGACTTTATGCAAAAGCTCAATCAAACCGTTCGCGATGAAATCGAATCAAAGGCAAAGAAGTTGGAAAAGACAAAAGGACCCAAAAAGGTAGTTAAAGTAAAACAGATTCTTTGATTCAACTTAAATTGTTTTAGCTCCACAGCATCTCCAACAAATTCGTCCTTTAAGATGGAAAATAGATTGTTAAAGTTGTTTTTTTGCTTTGTTATTGTTTTTCTTGTCTTCAATTTGTTCGACACGGGTTTTCAGTTTGTTACTTTTGAATTGTTCTTGTTGTTCATTGTTGATTATTTTAGAGTTGATAAATTTTTATTGAAATGGTGGATTTTGAAAAGCAGGAAACGTTTGAATCGATGTTATTTGGTTTTTTCTTGACTTGAACGCATTATACGAATAAGGAATTCGCAGCTATTTGTTAAATTCTCATTGCTTTACGAGTTAAAGTTTGAATTAGAGAACTGAATGGCATTTAATTTCATCTAAACCAAGAATACCTACCCATTTTTTTGTCTTTTCAGAATGCGTCTCTCGGCTCTTCAACGGATAGAGGCCTCAATTTCGTGTCTGAGCAATAAAACTGGCTTTGGACCGAACCGAATGTACAGAAAGGGGAAACATTTTGTGGGCACCGAACCACCGGAACTCAAATATCATCAGGTTGGTTGTATTTTTATTAAACTAGTTCTACAGAGCATAACTATGCGTTAGCTTTGAATTAGAATCAACGCAAGACTGTTTGATTTAGTTACAAGACAAAAAGCCCCATGATGCATATGGTTTGCAAGGGACAAATCATCAACTGCCCGGAACTGGAAAGGTAAATCTTTATCCGAGAAAAACATAGAAGCTCTTTTAGATTCACAGCAAGTTGCCGACGAAAGTTTTAATGAAAAAGGACAAAGTGTATGCTTGGTGTAGTTGCGGATACAGTGGGACACAGGTAATTTGCATAAAATTGAACAATTGTTGAACCATTTTGTTTAGCCTCTTTGTGATGGGACGCACAATATGACACACATTCCGAGACAAACGCTAAAACCCGTGAGATTCATCCCCGATCAAGTGAGATTCATTGTGATTGCTTTTGGAACTTAAACGCCGCCAGGAATGCTTTTTGGAATGCTTAAGAAATAGTTCACTAATGTTTATTGCCTAAAATATTTATAAAATTTCCCCAGGATATGACCGTCTGGCTATGCAATTGTAAACAAACGAAGAATCGACCATTTTGCGACGGAACACACAAATGTTTGAAAGAAGAAGACAAAATTGCGGCTCTTTTTGATTGAAATTTACCGGTATTTTTGTAGAGTTTTCATTTTAAAGCGTAAAATTGATGAGATTTCTCATAGCTTTGTTGATGATTTTTCTTGTTTTTGTTGATTCTTTTGCTGTAAATATTAGGATTTTTGCTAGTTTAGGGATAAATTTTTACAGATACGATTTATTATACGGCACCAAGGACCCGAAAATGATGGAGATCATTCGGAAATTGATGGATTTTGATTAGCGATTCAATCGGCGTACATGTGTTTTGTGTGCTTTTGTCGACGGACCTCGTTTTTCTTCTTTTTCGGCAAGTAGGCGACGAATTGTTGGTGAGGGTCATCGGTTGGGGAAGTAAGCTGAAATTTGGATTTGAAATTGTAGAGCTAATAGATCAAAGCTTCTAAAAAAATGCGCTTGGAGAAAGCTATCGTAATCCTTTTAGAAATGGTTTCAGTTTAGCCAGGAAGGCTTTTTAGTTATAAGAATAGAGTTTAAGTGTCCAGTGTTTCTCTCACCTCTTTCCCTTGATCTTTCCCTTCATCACCATCACATTGTTGTTGTCGCATTCGCCAAAATCTTCGATCTCCATCTTTGCACGTGGTTGTGTAGGTGAGCACTGTGTAGTCGAGAATATTCTCCTTTTCAGGTCGACACTTCCCGCAAATGCAAATCACTCGAATCTCCTCGTCAGGACAATCATTGCTGTTTCGGGAGTGCTTCTTGGGGCTGAAATTTGGATGTTTAGAGGTATATTGGTGGGTTTTAAGGAGCTCTACACAATAGTACATCGAAATCTGCACTCACTTGTTCCACGTCCTCAATTGAGCGCGGCCGGTTCGGGCCATCTTTTTCGTCATTTCCCCGTCCTTGGACTCAAGAAAATCGATAGCTGAGGCGCCTAGATGGGTTTTTGTTAGTAAATTAGAACTATTTCCTTCTGAAAAGTACTACTTAAGTAAGCTAGATGAAAAAAGAAACCTTTGAGATGAAATCTCTGATCGTAGCTCTTCGTTTCCTCGATTTTCTGCAATTCTTTCTTGCTAAAGGCCAGGTTGACGTTCACTGTGGAGAGGGTGGCTCGCTGAAATCGAGAATTTCGGGTACACAATGAAGAGACTCTGCTTTACCTGATGTCTGGGCAATTCACCGGCAATCACCTCCGGCAATTCCCAGCGATTATTCTTGTTCAGCGAGTACTCGACGTTGAAATCCAAACCGAATTTGTCGTGGTCTTTGAAGGGTTTTCCGCTTCTCGACGTTTTCACTAGGACATCGGGACCGAGTCGACGGGGCTGAAAATGGGATTGAGGTGATTGTCGTGGTTGGTTGAAGATCTGCACCAAGATTTACATTAGATTCGTATTCGTCTTGAACAAAAGTAAAGCTTTGCCAGCGATCCCAGTTTTCAAATGAAAATCCTTTCTCTTCAACCTTGTCAACCAACCTTGTTTTTCTGTCGATATTGAAAGCTTTTTAAAGCTCTTTCTTCTTGTGATCTTTTCAGATCAGACGCGTCGAGAGTCGATAACGCCATTTTGTACAAAGAAAACTGAAATTTTGCGGAAATTTTTGGAGGAAACTACTGGATACAGTAAGCAAAAAGGGCAAAAAGTTTTTTTTGGTACCCTAACCGTAAAGAGGAGCTTAGTTACAGTCAATGCAAAGTTACCGTGCAAAACAAAGGGAAAATTTGACCTCAAAACTGATACAGCAATTAAAAGGTTTTAAAAAGAAAGGCTTTAAAAAAAGGTTTAAAAAGGCTTTAAAAAAAGGTTTAAAAAGGCTTTAAAAGAAAAAGGTTTAAAAAAAGGATATTCATCTGTTGAAGCATGTCCCTTTCAATTTCTGTCCCATATTTATACAAAAACTCGTCAAACAACACAATGTTGTGCAATTTGGTGAAGGATTGGGAGAAGTGGGGAAATATTGAGAGAAAACGAGAGATTTCGAGAAAAATCGCGGAAAAGCGAATTTCGATGAGTCATCGAAAAGATTTGAATGAGTTTCGATTTGGAAAGAATTGACAATTTGAGAATTGACGGTGTTTCCGGGAATGATATCGTTTTTGTCGTCTAGCTGTAGCTCTAGTCTACAGTACCCCCGAATTATCAACTAAATTTGCATATTAAGACAAAACAGTCCTCTTCTACACGAATCTCCATTTCTATAGCCGTTGATCAAAAACGGTGCTCCTTCAAAAGTAGTATGTCTACCCAAACATCTAGAAGTTATTTTTCCTTTAGTCAGACTCGTGATTGTCTTGCTCGTGCAGTGGTGTCTATTCGTCGCTTGTGTGACTGCTTTTGACTATTTTATCAATTCCTGGGGGTCGAACCGGGCTTTCAATTGCAATTTTCTGAAATTAGCGGATTCCAGCTAATCCCGATGATCGTCAGACACATGAATCGAATCCCCGCCTAAAAGAATGTCCCAAAACTGTTAAATTTTAAAATTCTTCGTATAAAATGTGATAATACTTATTTATTTTCTTTTAAAAAAATTGAAAAATCTCAAAAATTGAAGTAAACGTTATTTCTTTTATACACACAGAAAAAAGACGAATCACAATCGAAATCTACAAAAAGTTTAAGAACCCTATTAACCGTTCAAAAAAACCGCGTGAAATCTCAACAAAGAAAATGCTAGCTACTTTTTTTTGAGGTCTACGAAATGATAAATTAAGGCATTCCTCGTAAAGACAACCTATTTGGCCTTGATGAATCCTGAGCGTCTTCAATTTGTTGATCAACGCTGGCACATCTTCGACGAAACCGCCAGCTTGACGTGTCGGTGGCTCGGTTACCTGAGAAAACAAAGAGAAATTAGGTAGATAAGCAGAGGAATCTCCAGGATTATTAGGTAGATAAAATTAGCTGATTTTAACAAACTTGGGTAACTAAACCAGGATCAATAGTTGGGTAATTGAAACAATACCTCAAGAATTTTCGTCTGTGGGGTGAGATCGACGCCTGAAATCTATTCATTAGTAAGATGAACACAAGAAACAAAGTCCCTACCCAAATCTTTCACCGTCAGCTTCTCGAGTGGTTTCTTCTTGGCCTATGAAAAGTAGCATAGAGAGAATTCGCTATAAAAACAGCTCACCTTCATGATATTGGGTAAAGTCGCGTATCGAGGCTCGTTTAATCGAAGATCAGCCGAGAGAACTGTTGGTAGTTTTACCTAAATACACTTTTAACACCCATTTCACCCAATACGATTAAATTGGGGCTTTAAATTTCATAATTTTATTAGGATTTGTATATAGCTATTAAATTTATTATGAATCAAAAAAATAAAATAATACAAAAAATAACCTTCACAGTGTCCAAACCTCCATCAACCTCCCGAGTCACTTTCAGATAACCTGGATCGCTTGACTCGACCTAAAATGGAAAAGATTATATCTATTTTTAACTCAAATCTTAGCACTTTACCCGCCTAAACTGCGAAATTACCTTGCTAGCGTAAAGAGCCTGTGACCAATCCAAAAGTCCGGCAACCAACGGCGCCGTTTGAGCTGCATCATCGTCGATTGCCTAAATTATACCCTAGAATAATGAGCAGAATAATTCTATTTACTTGTTTTCCACAGAAGACCACATCAAATTTCTCCTTCTCGACGAGCTTCTTAATCACTTGCGCAACGTGAATCGGTTCAACCTTAAAGTTGACTTAAAATTTAGTAAACAATTCTTCGTTTTACCTGATCTTTCTCCGTGATTTCCACATGAATCGCTTTGTCGGCTCCTTTGGCGAGAGCTGTGCGTAGAGTTTCTTGAGCCTTTGCTGTGCCTAGTGAGAAGACGACAACCTAAACATCGACTTGTGTAAGTAGTAAGTCGTAAAATAGTAGTAAGCTGCCCTTATGAGCTCAAGCTTTTTACAAGACGGCCTACTTTAAACGTAATGGTTTGAGAACAAACTTTGTGCAGGCTATTGAGGTAGAATAGATAATAGTCTAGGTCAAAAGCTTTGGTACCACAGGGCGATACAAATCTTTTATAATCAAACAGCCTTTACTCACCTCTTTCGCTAGTTTGTTTTCCTTCATTTTGACGGCCTCTTCAAGAGCGATCTCATCAAATGGATTCATCGATTCGGGCACATTTGCGGTGACGACCCCGCTCTTGTCGGGCTTGACACGAACCTGGGAAAAGACAATTGTATGCATAGTTCGAAGTACTGTTTCTAAGCGAATTCAGGTATTGTTAGTTAAGGTAAGGTAAGGAATTCAGGTAACGTAAGCGTTAACGGTTGATAACGGTAATGAATAGCCAAAATGTGTCATAAGATACTTACTTAAAGCTTTTGGAGCATGTCATGTTGGGGGGCTTTTTTTCTTTCGAAAACACTTTCTGGGGTAGTTTTGTGCGTAGATTTTGAAAAACACAGCGAGATACTGGGAAAATGCGTTTTAAGCCGAGTTTCGGGGCTCCAAAGTGCGCGCTTCTATAGTGTACTTCACTTCACCTAAGCCCAAGCTATCGACTATTGGGGCACTCTTCAAAGTCAAAACTAAGGTCAAAACCATTTTTAACCACTAAATACTCATTTTCTAACTTAAATTGACTGTGGAGGCAAAAAAAAATTGAAAAAATCTTTTTTGAGGTTTTGACTCATGTGGGGGACCACATGGTCGAAATTTTGAAAAACGAAAAATATTATTTTTCTTTTGCTCCAATTTGATCAGAAACGTAATCAATAGGTTAAATTATGCCAGAAAAAGTGTTTTTGGCTTCAAAAAATGTTTTGAGAGACCATTATTAGGCCGCTTCCCTACCGTAAATACTGTAATAGTACCCCACCCCCATAATGACGGTGGGGAGTGTTGCGTAGTCTAGCTTTGAACGAGTTTTTCTCGACACTGGTTTATGCTACAATGCGCGCTTAGGTATCAAAAAATAGCCCTGAATTTCAGCTATTTTTTGATACCAAAAACGCATTTTTTGAAAGTACGGGTGCTTTGCAAAAAATGAAATACTAAAAAACTTTTGCGACTACGTGACTGTACGAGGGGGGTGGGGTACTAGTACAGTATTTACGGTATGTGTATCCCTATCAACACACTGCATGAGCGCGCACTTTGGAGTCCCGAAACCCAGCTTAAAACGCATTTTCTCAATCTTTCCCACACCCCAACATTTACGTTAGCTTGCCTTTTAAAAGTTAACTAGATAAACTTAAAAGAAAATCACCTTCACAGCAAAGTCAATGACTCGCTTGACTCCCACCAAAACACGCATCCTTAAAAGGCTCACATTAAAAATTCTTTTAACTTTAATAACAAAGATATCCAACCAGCATTTACAATTTAGTTGCATTCAAAACCTATTTGCCACGTTTATTTACACCAGTGTACAAATGTAAAGATAAAAAACGGTTCAACACAAGGCATAAACTTAAAGAAAATCGAATGGAATCATAGGCATAAACTTAAGAAAATCAAATGGAATTAAAAGTTCGGCTACGAATAAATGAATGAAATAACTTCCCGTCAATCACAAAAGGATAAATCAAATGAATAAGATGCGAATTTAAATGATCAGTTACAGATTCCGAAGAGCGGCCAATCGTTGGGTGAGCTCGTCATTCTCGGCCACGCTCGCTGATGATGGGAGAGATGGAGCAGCGGTGGGGACCGATTGAGGCAATTCGGCGTTCAACTCGATTCTGAAAAGAAAATTAAAGTAAAAGTAACGATTTGAGCAAATTTCCTCAACAAAATAAGACTAAAGTTATCGTAACCACTAAGAATCTGGATTGTTTTTAAAATAAAAGCACTTTAAAAGCCCATAAATACTTACCCAGCCTTATCAGCAGCCTCCTGAATGAGAGAGTCGACTTGACTCTTCGGCGCGGTGAGCACGGTCGTTCCATCCATCGTACGTTCCATCGTAGCCGTGTGCACATCGAGATTCTCGAAGTCCCGCTCGAAACGATCCATCAATTGTTGGACCTGAAGTTTCAATTATGAATTCATATCTGAAGAAATGATTCAATGATTTAAAGCTTAAAGATAAAGGATAAAGGATAAAGAATAAAGGATAAAAGATAAAGGATAAAGGATAAAAGAACAAAGTTGCTATCGAAGTAAAAAGAACAAAGAGAAAGAAAAAAGAAAAGAACAAAATTTATAAAACATTAACAAGTCGCTTAAGCTTACTTTCTCGAGATTCATGCTCTTCATCGCACTCTCCATTGCTTTCACTACTCCTTGCATGCTCGATGTAACGCGTTTCTGCGTGGCCGCCGTCTGCACTCGAGCCGCCACAGCATCAATCCTAAAAATATGAATAGTTGATGTTCAACTTTTATTTAACTAGCATAGCTTCTATTTAACTATCATAGCTTTTATTTAACTAGCATAGCTTTTATTTAACTAGCATAGCTTCTATTTAACTAGCATAGCTTCTAGCAATCTCAAACCTTCATATACCTCAACTTAAACTTTAAGCAAATTCCAAAGCATTCGCTTAATTCGAAAGCAAAGCTGTTCTCTTGAGTAAGATCAAAACTCTCACCTAGCAGCCATTCTGATGTAGTTGAGCGCCTCGTTCTTCTTCCGGATCGCATTCTCAGCGTGCACTTGAGCCACCTCTTTGTTTCCTTTCTAAAAGAAACCAATAACAACCAAACCAACAACTATCTAAATCCCATAGCTTTATCCCAAACAAAATCCTTCCCTTGATAGCCGACAAAAGTTTATCCTTTTCGACTTTCTCCTGTTTATCGCATCGTTGAGCGCTCTTCTCGAGTTGCTTGGCGGCGAATTTCAGCTCGAACAAGTGCTCTAAACGAGAAATGGGTAAAATTGATAGTTTTCCAATAAAACTCACTGTCGAGCGACATTGTTGATTCTCCAGCTCCCAGTTTTAACGAGTTGCAAGAAGGCTAGTCTAAAATGAAAAGATATATAAGAATCCTTATATAAAAATAAAGATATTGTAAAAATATTGTAAATTCAAGAAAAAATAAAGATCAAATAAATAGAAAGATCGTTAAAAACTTAAAATTGATCAAATTCTAATATTTTTAAGCGTTACGCGCCAATTTTTCAGCTTTTACATATCTTTAAGAGCTTTGTTATCCATTTAACAAAGTTCTAGCAATAAAAAGTTCAAAAAAGGTAAAAGTTCTGTAGATTTGTAGACGTTAACGAGCGAAATGAGAGCAAAATGATTAAATTTTTCGAAGCGATTTAAATAGTTTTTAATTATCGCAAAAGTTATTTAGTTAATAGTGAAATGGCAGAATGACGAAATGGCGGAATTTTGCCAGATATTCAAGTCATTAGCTGAATATCTTAAGCAGCCTTTTATTGCTTATAAAAGGAAAAATTTTGGCAAAGATTTTAGTTTCAAATATTACAAGGATTTCGGTAAAGGGTTTTTTAAGGTTGTTTTAGGATTGTTTTAAGGTTGTTTTAAGGTTGTTTTAAGGCTGTTTAGGCTATTTTAAGGCGGTTTAGATTGTTTTAAGGTCGTTTAGGTTGTTTAGGTTGTTTTAAGGTTGTTTAGGTTGTTTTAGTCGTTTTAAGGTCGTTTAGATTGTTTTAAGGTCGTTTTAAAGTTTTTTAGATTGTTTTAAGGTCGTTTTAAGGTTATTTAGATTGTTTTAAGGTCGTTTAGGTTGTTTTAAGGTTGTTTTAAGGTTGTTTAGGTTGTTTTAAGGTCGTTTTAAGGCGTTTAGGTTGTTTTAAAGTTATTTAGATTGTTTTAAGGTCGTTTAGGTTGTTTTAAGGCTGTTTAGATTGTTTTAAGGTTGTTTAGGCTATTTAGGCTATTTTAAGGTTGTTTAAGTTGTTTTAAACAAACATGTTTTTTTTTAAAAAGTGCAGAATCTAACGTTACTTATAGATAAAGCTTATTGTTAGCCTTAAAACTTTAAAAGAAAAACTAAAATTTCGAAAGGTGGAGGCAAATCGAATGAGCAAAAGTTGAAATGAATCATCCATCTCTTCTCATTTTCCCCTTTTTATCATTTCTCCCTTTCTTTTCCCCCTTTCGTTTTCTCCACACTCTTCACATCAATCCAAAAAGCGTCAACTCTGCGTACATTTGCGTACACTTTCGAGTGGGAACATTGGTTTGGTTAGGTTCAGGTGCATAAGGTTTTTGTTCAAAGCTTTTTCTGTTCAAAGATTTTGCTTTCTTGCGTTTCTTGGATTAAATATTCGTCTTTTAATCGTTTTGCCTATTTTTATATGGTTTTAGGGTTAGATAACAGCCTTAAGTAAGGAAATTTTCAAAATCAAAAGATTTACCAAAATAAAGCTGACATTTGTGTCAATCCCAGCTAGCACAAGACGGCTCTACAGTTTTTAGCTTATTTTAACCTTTTGAACTGGTAAGAATTCATTGTCCAGCTTATTTCAAATAGTTTTATTCAAAGAAATCGAATTTTCTGTTCTTTCTTGAATCTGACTTTGTCCGTTTTCGATTTGGATTTGGTTTAAAAGTAAGCTAAAGTTTTGATTTGGTTTATTTATTTTTCAGTCTTGATGTATTTTATAGCTTTTACATATCTTTAAAGGCTTTGCTTTCCGTTTTAACAAAGTTATAGCAATAAAAAGTTAAAAGCGGCAGTTTTTCAGATTTTCGGAAGCGAAATAACTAAATTTTTACGAACCGACTTAAATAGCGTTTAATTGTCGCAAAAGTGATTCAGTTAATGGCGGAATGGCGAAATTATCGCTAGATCTGCAAGTCGCTGACTGAATATCTTAATCAGCCTTTTATTGCTTGTAAAACGCGGTAAGATTTCACTAAAAAGGTTGTTTTTTTGCTGTATTTGTTCTTTGTCCGCTTTCAATTTTGATTGTTTTAAAAGTAAACTTTATTCATTTTTTTCAGTCTTGATGTATGATGAGAGTGAGGACAGTGATGATTATGCCCATTCATCCACATCAACAGCAAGATACCGCAGAGGAAATAACAGCTATCGAAGAGGGAAACAAAGCTACAATCCGAAGCCGCATTTGGTGACGATCGTCAAGTCGAATACAGGTAAAAGTTATAGTTAAACTTATGGAATATGGAAGTTCCTTAATAGTTCCTTTATAGTTCCTATTTGGTTCCTTTAAAGTTCCTTTATAGAACTTATGGAATAGTACTTTCTATTTAAGCTTAGGCATAGCACTTTCCATTTAAACTATAGTACGTCTTAGTTCTCTAATTATCTGAATATTTTCTTAATCTTCTAGGGTTCGGGTTCAATGTGAAAGGTCAAGTCTCGGAGGGTGGCCAGCTGCGAAGTATCAATGGGGAATTGTATGCACCGTTGCAACACGTATGTGAATTTCGACTTTTATCACTGTATATATAACAAATATCGCCTCTTGCTTAGTTTCCGGGTATTTTGAGGCCGGCCGTCACGCTTTGAAGGTCTATGACTTTTTCCAGAGATCATATTTTTGCTAACTTTTTATTTCATTGTACAGAGGAGATTTCAGGCTTTCAAATGATATCAAATAGAGCTTGACTGGATTTTTCATTCCCACGCAAACCAGGCGGCACGACACCCGAGTTGGATAGGCCTCATTTGCTCAGAGTTGGCTCTGATTTTTGTGGACTGGATTATCCAATAAACCTTTATTTGCTATCATTTGAAAGCCTGAAATGTCCTCTGTAAAATGATATAATAATTTGGCAAAAATATTATTCCTGGACAAAGTTATAGGCCTTCAAAGCGTGACGACTCGTTCAAAATACCCGGGAACTACGCAAAAGTCCAAATATCTAGGGATTACGGTAGATAATAGTTGACGATAAAGTACAGGATCATAGATAGAGCTTACGAGAGTACACGAATACAGTAAAAATTTCCAGGTAAGCGCAGTGCTGCCAGGTGGAGCCGCGGAGAGAGCCACACTCCGGAAAGGGGATCGAATATTGGAAGTGTAAGTAGATTATATAGATAATAGAGAACTTCTACAGTCAGTACAGTACAATTTACAGTAACGCAGTGAATGTCGAGGGTGCTACTCATAAACAAGTCGTCGAGTTGATCAAACATGGAGGGGACCAGCTGAAAATGCTCGTCATAAGCGTACCCGATTCGGAGGCGAATAGGTTTGTGTATTAACTAAGTAGTACAGTGGACGAAGTAGCCAGGACAATAACGTGTTTCACTGGCTACCGTGTGCCTGAAGCCATGCGTTTACAAAAAAAACCTTTCTAGATTCGAGAATGGCGAGGAAAGCACGATCTCCTTTCGTCACGATTACTCCGATAGTCGAAGTCTTCCGATCTCGATCCCAACCTGTCAAACGATCTCAAATAAAGAGGGGAAATTTGTGGTTAGCCTTAAAGATATTCAGCTATATACTGTACTTTAAAAATTTAAAAAATAATCCATTTCTAGGTTTTTCACATTCACATGGCTGGTCGTCATCTTGGCTCTCGTCGATATAGTGAATTCGTTGAGCTGCACAATTTGTTAAAGGTGAGTTGATAAGGGCGAAAAGCACGGAGGGTGATGGTCACCGTGTGGCGCAAAGGTAAAGCAGTCGCATCATGAGCGAGACTCGACTCCCGGGGTCGCCGGTTCGAATCCTGCTCATGCCAAACTCTTTTGAATCTTTTCTTTTGATATCTAAATGTTATCTAGATATAAAAATAATATCTAGACATTGAGTTGAACCTTTAAAAATAATATTATAATATATATTATTATTAATATCAAAAAAGCTGTTCTAGCGTGAGTTCTGTGATTTCGCTTTCCCGAAATTACCTGGGAAATGGCCGTTTACCTTGTCAGAACAACAACTGGACACGAGGAGGCGGTGAGTTACAATAAAATGAAAACGATAAATCTATGCAGTATCTTTATATGCAAAATTTTATCCCAATCATATTCCAGGGGTCTCGAGCTTTATCTTGAGAAAATCTGCTCGGTGAGGGTGATCGCTGATTCGGATATCATGCAGGTTTGTTGGAAATGTTCGAAAAATTTACAAAAAATTAATCTAGATTTAAAAAAACAGTAAAACATCGATTTTTTTTAGGATTTCCTCATGGAGTGCGACTCGATTTGCGAAGTGGATTTGCGAGTTTTACTGCCCGACGGGAAAACGGTCGCGTTTAGCTGTGGTGGGTTTCGATTTCTCCTTTGTACTTTGTGCTGCCCCGGCTAAACACTAGCCTTCTGGCACACCGACAAGCTAAAAAGTTATCGAATTTCTTCTTTTTTTTGAAGGAAATTTTGATTCAAAACGCTCTAGAATCGTTAAAATTGAAGAAAATTGGCGGAAAATTTTGGAAATAGGGTTTTTGGGATGGAGAAGGAGATGAGAATGTTAGATTTGTCCACTTTGATATAGGGAATTCGATGGGATTTTAGATTTTTCCAGTTTCAAGCCCCACCAGTCTGCCAGAAGGTTTTAAATCACAAAAGATATCAAAAAGATGGACTGTATCGTATTGGAGTCTTGGAATTATCGAAGATTTTCAGCTCGTACCTCATCGACGTCAACTGTCTACAGTCTTGTGCAAAGTAATCTGTTGATGACTCGAGAAACGGCCACTTTCTGTGCATTGTATGAGGCACTTGACCCGAATTTTGGTGCGTTTTTTAGAGTTGGATCTAGAGCTGGGTTTAGAGCTGGATTTAGAGCTGGATTTAGAGCTGGGTTTAGAGCTGGATCTAGAGCTGGATCTAGAGCTGGATCTAGAGCTGGAGCTAGATTTGATTTCTAACTAACAGAGCCAGATCTTTAGATTTATTTCTTTCTAAATCAATTTCAGAAAGAAAACTCTGTGATGAGGAGTTACCCCATTCGTTGTACATACAAAACTACTCATCCGCCTCGTCGTCGTGTCTCGTTTTGAGAAAGGTACGGGATCAAGGAGATCCTAGGGGGCTTAGGCTAAAGTCTAAACAGTCATTTTAGTGGATCTTTGACGTGAGTTGGGAACGAGAGCTGTGTGAGCGAGATCCATTATTCCGAAGAATTGTCTATCATCAAACGATTCATGATATAAATCATGGGAGAATCAAGGCAAATCAGAAAATGTATCAGTTGAAAGCATTGCAAAGTGAGGATCGAGCTGAGCAGGTGAGAGAAATACTGGACCCTGGTCTGGACCTGGTTGGCTCTGGTTGGCGCTGGTTGGACCTGGCTGGCTCTAGCTGGCTATGGCTGGCTCTGGTTGGCCTTGGCTGGCCCTGGCCCTAATCAACAATAGTCTGCCTGCTCTCTAGTCTAGATTATCTCAGACTTCAACCCAGTCAATTCTATATTGTCAATTTGAGTACTTGGAAATGGCTCGTGCCCTTCCTGGCTATGCATGTATCACTTTTCCGCCGTGTCACTGCGATTGTCGAAACTCAGGAGAGGTGATATTGACGCTTTCGTTTGATGCCATCACTCTGTCCACATGGCCTGAAGAGGTACGGTACCTAGGACCCAAAATAGTTAGCGTAGCAGGAAGTACTGTAGGATTATAGGCCACCGTAATCCGCTACAGTAATCTCCACCGTAATCCATCCTTTAAATAGCCATTTGTAGTGTGCTATCCAGAATAGCTATTGGATGGCTTTATTTTAGTTTTATGCCTTTCAGTCACCGAAAAAGCGCCCCAAGAGAAAACCACCGTAATCCGCTACAGCAGCCCACTATGTATCTGCCATTTTTAAATAGCCATTATCTAGTGTGATATCCAGAATGACTATTGAATAGCTCTATTTTAGTTTTATACCTTTCAGTCACCGAAAAAGCGCCCCAAGAGAAAACCACCGTAATCCGCTCCAGTAACCTGTTAGGTATTTGCCGTTTTTAAATAGCCATTATCTAGTGTGATATCCAGAATGACTATTGAATAGCTTTATTTTAGTTTTATACCTTTTACTCACCTGAAAATCTCCTCGATCTCCTTTTTGTCCGGTAATTTGTCCGGTTACAGTAAATTTTTCTAGGACTCGTCCACTTCAATCGACTGGTCGATGATCGTCGGTTATCGGAGTGGAGAAGAGGGACAATGGTTCGCATTCGAGCACGAGAGAGCCGGGAAAAAGAATAAGATCATCAAAATGTATACACAATATGTAAGTGATGGATGATTGATGGAAAGCTAATGGATATTATATGGCAATTCAGGGCGATTATATGGCTGAATGCTTTGCGAGGATTCGAGTTGAGAAGGATATGGCAGTGAAGAGGGGAGACAGAGTCGAGATTTTGAATGGAGTTAAAAGGTTGGCTGGCTGGTTGGCTAAACATTAAAGAATTTCTTTCAGATTTCAATCTTCCATCGAAACTGATGAGGAAAATGGGGATAACGAGCGAAACGAGCAATCGGAACGAGCAGATGGAAAAGCAAGAAATGAGAGGAGAACGGCTGAGATTCTAGATGAACTCTAGTCAAAAACGTCAGTCAAAAAACGATATAATCCAATTTTTCCCCCATTGAATCGAGTTCAAAAGGTAAAGATGCGTTTAGCGGCTCGTTTACTAGTTTTAACTTTCAAAATCGTCGATCCTGGATGTCACACTAGTTCACTAAACGATAATAACAATTGCTTATCGACAAAATTCTCATGTCTAATCCCATCTGATCGAGTTCAAAAGGTAAAGATGCGTTTAACGGCTCGTTTACTAGTTTTAACTTTCAAAATAGTCGATCCTGGATGTCACACTCGATTTCTAGACGTTAATAACACTTGGTTACTGTCAAAAATTTTAGATAAATATTATTGCTTTTTTCCCCCAAACACTGGTAGTTTCTTGTCATGTCATATTGCCAAAAAAAAGTCAAAAATCCCAGAAATTTTGTTTTTTTTTCTGCTTTTTATGCTCTTTTTGTCTATTTCTACGTTTTAAAAACGTTTTTTGAAAGTTAAAAGTAAAAATTAGAATTTAAAAGTAAAAATTAAAAATATTCAATTAAAGCTTTATTTTTTTGATTTTAAATTTAAGCATGTTTTGAGAAAATTTGAAAATTTGAAGAAAAGGGGTTTAAAAGGAAATTTTTACGGCGGCCCAGGGTTGTCGCCATGGCGTAGTCGGTTAGCGAGTCGAACGCCAGTCGAACGCGGCCCTAGAACCTCACGGGTTCGATCCCGCTAGCGAGAAAAATTATATTTTTTTCAAGAAAACTTCTTTTCAAGTTTAGAATCAATTCTAGCCTTCAAAACATGCTAATTTTGCATTTCTGATTATCTTCGTTGTGCTTTGAGAGTGAATTCAACTGAATTTAGTGCTTTCTTCGTTTTTGGAGAAGATCTTGAGAAGATTTTCTCGATTTGAGCTTTATTTTTATGATTTTGATGATTTCTTTTGAGCATTCCATGTCATTTTTTTCATTTTCCTAACCCCATTTGTACATTTTATCCAATTTTTAGCAAAACAAAAGACAAAAAACAAAACAACAAAGCTTTCTCATTGAATTTGGCCATTTTTTTCGACTTTTGTGCTAATAAAGATTTAAAATTGAGTGTTTAATTTGTATTTAAAGTGGTCATTTGATCAATTGAATATCTTTATTTGTGAGGATTTTGCTGATTTTTTAAAAAAATTTTCATTTTAGACCCGTTTTTCTCTTCAGGGAAGCTCCGACGGGACACAAAAAGGAGATCGAAGAGGTTTTTAGGTGAGTGAAAGGTTTACAAGTAAAATAAATCTATTCAATAGTCATTCTGGATATCACACTAGATAATGGCTATTTAAAAATAGTGGATATCTAACGGGTTACTGTAGCGGATTACGGTAGCTTCTTTCTGGGGCACTTTTTTAGGTGAGTGAAAGGTATAAGACTAAAATAAAGTTATTCAATAGTCATTCTGGATATCACACAAGATAATGGCTATTTAAAAATGGCGGATTACGTTACGGGTTACTGTAACGGATTACGGTAGTTTTTGTCTGGGGCACTTTTTAGGTGAGTGAAAGGTATGAAACTAAAATAAATCCATTCAATAGTCATTCTGGATATCACACAAGATAATGGCTATTTAAAAATGGCTATAATCGTACATTTTCAGATGGACACCCCCGATTTGGATGGCTCCTCATCACTTCAAGATGGATCCACTGATCCAGCGACGAGGAAGAGAATAGCAAAGGTTCGAGTTCTATCTGAAGGGATTACGGTAGCCAGTGACTACAGTAGCCAGGGATTACGGTATCCAAAAATTCTAGGTTCACAAGAAGAACACTCGGGGTGAGACGTCGTTGCATGTTGCGGCGAGGAAAGGCGAGACGGAGACGTGCGCACAATTGCTAAGAGACGCCGTTGAGCCGAATTGGGTACGGTATTCTGGATCTAGAGTTTATAGTAGATTTAGATGAATATCTAGACATGTAGCCTGATATACTGTAACTTATCGAACCCCATCTTTTAGGTAAACCTTCCCGATTACGCTGGTTGGACGGCGCTGCACGAGGCGTGTTACCAGAGTCGATACGAGACTGCGGAGATGTTGATCAGGTTGGGAAATTGGGATTACGGTAGCCAGGGACTACGGTAACCAGGGACTACGGTAGCCAGGGATTACGGTAGCCAGGGACTACAGTAGCCAGGGATTACAGTAGCCAGGGATTACAGTAGCCAGGGATTACAGTAGCCAGGGACTACGGTAGCCAGGGATTACGGTAGCCAGGGATTACGGTAGCCAGGGATTACGGTAGCCAGGGACTACAGTAGCCAGGGATTACAGTAGCCAGGGATTACGGTAGCCAGGGACTACGGTAGCTAGTTAATAGATAAGATCTGCGATTTAGAAGTGGAGCCAACGTGAATCAAGCGTCAAACGAGGAGTTGACGACACCGTTGCACGATGCGGCTCAAGCTGGCGATAATGCGGTTGGGATTTCATTTTTTCAATTCTTTATTTATTGAAAAACCTCTTGTGCCTTCCAGATAGACCAATTATTATGCTAAAAAGATTCTTGAATAACTCAGAACCGATCTACAAGCGTGCAAAGGTTCATCCCTTCAGTGACTAAAACCCCTTTACACAATTCTCGACATTTATCCTTTGAAAAAGCTCTTGTGCGTTCCAGATCAACGAAATTACTTTCAGAAATAGTTCGCCCACTTTGCATTTCTTTCAGATAGTGTGGCTTCTCTTAAATTATGGCGCTGATCGAAATGCACACGATTCAAAGGGGCAACGACCGATCGATTTGTGCGAGTCGGGCTCGAGAGTCGCCTCGTTGTTGACGTGGGTTTGGAAATGGATCTAGATATGTATCTAGATCTAGGTCTTATCTAGATAGCTCAGATTCATCAACTACCGTAATCCTTTTCCTTTCAGAAGTGCTGAATTGCCGAGCGAATGTCCGAGTGAGTGCCCGTCGCCACAGCAAGCGATTGAGGGTCGGTTTTCGAGGATTTAAAGGATCGATTACTGTAGTCCTAGATTCTTTGGTTCTCTCAGTACCCAGAGATAGGTCAGGGATCAGTTGAGGATCAAGTCCAAGATCCAGGCCATGGATCAGTCCAAGATCCAGTCCATGGTCCAGTTCATAGTCCAGTTCAGGAATCAGGGCCAAGTCTAAGGACCAGTCAAGGTCAAGTCCAAGTTCCAGTTCATGGACCAGTCCAGGGTCCGTCCAGGGTGCAGAGTCCAGTCTAGAATCCAGTCAAGAGTCCAGGGTCCAGGATTCACTCCAGGCTCAGAGTCCAGTCCAGGATCCAGTCCAGGATCCAGCCCAGAATCCAGTTCAGTCCAGGGCCCAGGGTCAACATCTAGACTCAAGTAGTCCAGGGCTAAGTCCGGACCTAGGCTGGAATCAAATCCATGGTCCAGTCCATGGTCCAGTCCAGGGTCCAGTCCATGGTCTAGACTCAAGCAATCTTGGGTCAAGTCCAAGCCCTGGTCAGAATCTCAGATTCCAGCATAGAAAGCTACCGTAATCCCGGTGATCTGGGATACGGTAGCTTTTGTAGATCGAGGAAACTGGTGCCTTGATTGGAAACTGGTGACTCTACAGACATCTCTAGATAAATGTTCAGATAAACCGATTCAAGGAGTGATTGAAGCCTCAAATCTCGAACTATTGACTGAGCCAACGAGTCTTTCGAATCTCCCACCGTTGGGCATATCAACGTGTACAGAGGATGCAACGTCATTTCATAGGTAGATTACTGTAGATGGATTACTGTAGATGGATCTCTGAATCTCTGAGCTTCTCGTTCTCTGAGCTCCTCCTTTGAAATCCCCGAAATTTCAGCCCTGGTGTCGGCGAGTTGCTCTCCTCGGTGCCTTTCGTTGTCCCGGAAGCTCTCACGAGTCTTGTGGTATGTGCTCTTTGTGCTCTTTATAAACGCACCCATCTGGCGCATCAATTCCCCAGTTTTAGAATGCTACTCTACCGCCAATCATCCCAAACATTGAACAACCCGAAGAACCAAGAGTTGAGCTCCCGAAAGTCGAAGGTTTGAGTGCTTATCGTACTGTACTGCTTACTGTACTGTACTGCTCGTACTGTACTGTACTGCTCGTACTGCTCGTACTGTACTGTACTGTACTGTACTGCTTATCGTACTGACATCCAGAAAGTCGTGGAATCCTTTCAGAAATCCTTTCACTCAAATTTTCATTTGCATAAACACAGCTAGAGTCAAATCAATGCTCAGTAAAGGGCTGTGAAAGGGTGAATGAATCAGATAGAAAAAGAGGAGAACAGAAACAGAAACAGAATAGAACTGGAGAACAGATGGACAACAACAGTCCCCCCCCCCCCTCCGCCTTTTGCATTCTTTTTCCTCTCCTCATTTCACCAAATCTTTCCCTTTCTCCCCCACATCGATGGTCATTTCACTTTTTCTATTGATCATTGCAAAAAGTCCCCCCAGCTGTAGCCAGCAATTTGCATTTGCGTCTTATTCTACAACTTAAATTGTACTACCATAATCCGCTACAGTAGCCCGCTACGTAACCGCCATTTTTAAATAGCCATTATCTAGTGTGATATCCAGAATGACTATTGAATAGATTTATTTTACTTGCAAACCTTTGGCTCACCTAAAAACTGCCCCAGACAAAAACCACCGTAATCCACTACAGTAACCCTTTACGTATCCTTCATTTTTAAATAGCCAGTACCTAGTGTGACATCCAGAATGACTATTGAATAGATTTATTTTCCTTTTATACCTTTCACTTACCTTAAAACCTCCTCGATCTCCTTTTTGTCCTGTCGGACATTCACCGACCGTCTTAATACCGTATTTTCTAGATGCTCGTAGTCGAATAGAAGGCGGTCTACAAGAGTCAATGGATTTCGATGATGAGGATGAGAATCGATTGTTGATTGAAGATGAAGAAGAAGAGGAAGAGGGAGAAGGAGGAGGAGGAGGAAGAGATGGAGAAGGAGATGGAGGAGGAGAAGGAGAAGGAGGAGGAGGAGGAGATGGAGATGGAGATGGAGGAGGAGGAGAAGGAGATGGAGAAGGAGAAGGAGATGGAGATGGAGATGGAGATGGAGATGGAGAAGATCAAGAAATACAAAAAGTTCAGAAAGGAGAGGTTGGCATTAATGGAGATGAGGGGAGACAAAGGGAGAACGGTTGGTTTGACGGTTAAGGCTTTGATTTGTTGGTAGTATGATCATAGCTTTGTAGATGATCAAGTCGAGATCTCTGGCACTCCGGACACCGATCCACCGCTGAGAATTGATGAGGAGAGTCCAGAGGCGTAAGTTTTTAAAAGAAATAGAGCTAATGGAAATTTCAGCATGGAAATCGATTCAGTTTTGCTGGGGAAAAGAGGGAAAGTGGGCAGACCGAAGTGTGAGTTTGGAAAGGATAGAGTTTAGAGCTCTAGAGCCTTAGCTATAGCTCTAGAGCCTTAGCTAGAGCTCTAGAGATCAGCTTCTCTATTATCTATTCAGCTTCACGCACTTCTACACCGATTCCGACAAATCACGGTCTACGCGATCCGAATTCCGATCGGAAACGGGGACCCGGGTAAATAAATAAAAGATTTTCCTCTTTTCTAAATATCTAGAAAAAATCTAGTACTTCTTTAAATCAATAAAATTTCAGACGTGGCCGAAAACGAGGCGCTAGAGCGACTGGCCGCGGTGGCTCGTGCACCTCATCACCCAGAGCCTCCCGCTTCAGCGAACAGGATATCTACGAGTTCAAAGATAGTCCCGATAGTGGCAATGAACAGGTATAGACGAGGATCTAGACAAGACAAGTTTATCTAGATTAACTATATAATAGAATTCAAATCCGGGAGGTGTGGGCTATAGAAAAGCGCGCTCTCAACTGCGCCATAGCGATCATTCAGCAAAAAGCTTGTCTAGGCCAGTCTGGAGCTTGTCTAGCCTAGGCTGGAGCTTGTCTAGGTCAGTCTAGAGTTTGTCTAGCCTAGGCCGGAGCTTGTCTAGCTAGTCTAGAGCTTGTCTAGCCTGGTCTGGATCTAGATCCAGATCCAGATTCAGATCTAGATCCAGATCTAGATCCAGATCCAGATCCAGATCCAGATCCAGATCTAGATCCAGATCCAGAATCTAGATCGAATCGAATTCAGGGTGAAGAGCTGCCCGAGCGCGAGTCCTCCGCTCCACCTTCATGGAAACGAATGCGAATTGATGAGGATGCGAGCAGGAGTGGGGATAGTAATGGTAGGAATGGAAAGATCATATTCATTTGGATCTAGATCAAGACTAGATCTAGATCTAGCTCTAGCTCTAGCTCTAGATCTAGCTCTAGCTCTAGATCTAGCTCTAGCTCTAGATCTGGCTGGCTCTGACAGCTCTGCCTAGACGCTCTGCCTAGATCTGCTCTGCTCTAGATCTGCCTGCCTGGCTCTGCTCAGCTCTAGATCTAAATGAATTCTCTAGGCAGTGCCTCGTCACCTCTTCAATCAAACGGTCAACAAGTGCCAGTGCTTCGGATCTCTCTGAAGGGTGGATCAGATGATGAGACGATGGACAACGATAGTCAGTCGACGAGCAGGTGGATATAGAAATTGAAATCAAGTACTGTAGGGATTGTAGGATTGGGGAAAGCTTGCAGTAGGGAGTTGGCTTGCAGTAGTGAGCTCGAGGAATTGATTACAGGCTAAGCCTCTACTATCTACAAACTTCTTGTACGTTTAGCTGAAGCTAGGATATCCAGGCAATCTTTTAGAGTCTTTCAGAGTCTTTTAGAGTCTTCTAATCGATTTTCTAAACTTTAGTCGTGGCGGTAAAGGCTCTTCTCGGGGTAAAAGTCTTTCTCTGAGCTCAGCAAAGAAGCCAGGCGCACCGCCGACTCGCGAAGGGACACCATTGGGACAAACGGACGACGATGGACAGAGTCGAATGACGAGAAGCAGGGTGAGGCTGATAGCTTGCCTGATAGCTTTATTCTTTAAACAAAATCCCCTCTCCTCAAATCCCTGTAGAGTAAAACGACGGCGGCAAAGAATCGTGTGAAACTTCGGCCACGAAATCATCAAAAATCTGATTATTTAAATGATGGAAACGATGAGGAAAGAGTAAAGAAAAAACGAAAAACAAAAACTTCTATTGTAATCGTGAAAATTCGAGTCTTTCTACGAGTTTTGCGCTCATTTTGACCAATTTTCCGCAAACTTTCACCATCTGGTGCACTGAATTTGCCAACTATTGTCCAATTCAGTGCACTAGATAGTGAAAGTTTGCGAGATTTCCCTCAGAAACTCGTGTTCTTTGTGCTCGCACGTAAACGCGTACCTTGTAGCATATGACCTGAAGTGTTCGCGTTCTTTGTGCGCGCACGTAAACGCCTACCTTCTAGCACACGGCTTGGAGAGCTCGCGTTCTTTGTGCTCGCACGTAAACGCGTACCTTGTAGCACACGGCCTGAAGAGTTCGCGTTCTTTCTGCTCGCACGTAAACGCGTGCCTTGTAGCACATGGCTCGTCGCCTTTGCCCTTCAACGGGGGTACTTTGTGCTCGCGCGTAAACGCTTGCCTTCTGGCACACCGATAGAACCAAAAAAACTAACTAATATTCGGCTAGAATCCCTTTTTATAGCATTTTTCTTTCAAAATCGTCTCTCCACCTCTACGCTCCGTACTTTGCGCGTGCTCGTAAACGCGCGCCTTCTGGCACACGGCTCGCCGTCGCCGCCCGCTTTGGTTTACGCTCGCCTAAGTTGCATAAATGCTGATTTTATGATTCCGAAAATCTAGTGTGACATCCAGATTGGCCATTTTGGGCTTTAAACAACCGGGCTTTCGTACAAAGTACGGTTTAATTACCCAAGAAACCGGAAAACTGCTCTAGGATCGTCAAAATTGAATCAATTTTGCTGAAAACTGGGGAACTGGGGGTTTTTCGGGACGGAGAATCCGATGAGGCTATCCTTGGGCTAATCTTGTGCGCTAGAGAAGGTGCTTTTACGGGTGCACAAAGGACAAACTCGACTCCTCCCTCTTTCAGCACTTTCGATTTCTCAGCGATTTCCCAGCAATCTCTTCTTAAATCTATTCTTTATAAATGAAAGATATTCAGCTGAGAACTGTTCAATTTAGATTCGTCAATCCGGCAAAACGATCGAAGAGCCTGATTATTGGGGAAAAGGCGGGAAAAAGGTCAGTTTTTTAAGGTTTAGTACGGTAGGATTACTGTAGAATTGCTGTAGAATTACTGTAGAATACTAGAGGATTACTGTAGCTTTGTCATCTTTCAGAAAAAAAATAGAAACGGATAAAATGGCGCACTGAACTTTGGAGTTTTCGGTGAGCCAGGTCTCAAACTTTGGCAAGTTTAAAACTCGCCAAATTCAGGCATACTGTAGCTTGAATTACTCCGTGACATCCAGATAAACTTATAAAAAGGAAATTTTAGTTGAAACGAACCCTTGCCGAGGGTGAGGGCGGGGAAAAGGAAGAAGAGATGGGGGATGAGATCGGTGAACAAGATGAAGAAGAAAGAGATGGGGAAAAGGAGAAAGGTTTGCAGAGGATAGATAGCATTCGCTAGACAGACAGACAGACGAACAGACAGACGAACAGACAGACGGACGGACGGACAGATGGACAGACAGACAGACAGACGAACAGACGTCTCTTCTGCTTTCCACAACATTTTCAATATGAACAATAGAATCCCTTGCGTCCTTCTAGAAACTCGTACAACATTCTTACAAGTCATATCCACCAATCCAACAGTAGTATGATATGTTTCTCTAGTTTTAGAATCTAAAATCTATTTAGAAGACTATATAGAAGCTCAGTATGACATTGAGCAAATTGCACTGAAAGAGACCAACATTGCGCAAAGGATTATGCTTTATGACAGCACGAAGAGTCGCTTGGAGTTACAGAAACAGGTGAAGATCATAGATGATAGATGATAGGCTTAGGCTTGGCTTAGGCTTAGGCTTGGCTTAGCTTAGGCTTAGGCTTAGGCTTAGGCTTGGCTTGGCTTGGGCTTAGGCTTGGCTTGGCTTAGGCTTGGCTTGGCTTAGCTTGGGCTTAGGCTCAGACTGTCTATTGCTAACGTAATCCCTAGGATTACGGTGGTCAAGCCCAGGTCAAAGTCTTCAGGCCCATTGAGGTCCACAATAGCTCAAGATTATCAAACAACTCAGCTAATCTCTCGTTGGATTGAAGACTCTTCCCTTGACACAGCATCAACAATGGCTGCTGAGGTAAAAGAGTAGAGATGAACAATGGCTCCAGAGAAACTGGAGTCTGGTTTTTGGCTCAGGCTCAGGCTCAGGCTGGCTCAGACTCAGGCTTAGGCTCAGGCTTAGGCTTAGGCTCAGGCTTAGGCTCAGGCTTGGGCTTAGGCTCAGGCTTAGGCTCAGGCTTGGGCTTAGGCTCAGGCTTAGGCTCAGGCTGGCTTAGGCTGGTTTTGAAAACGTGTTAGATTGAAGAGAACTGAGCTTGAATGACTCTGTGACATCCAGATGAATGAAAAAGATCAATTTTAGAACACAATGCCTCCAAATTATCCCCAATACATGATCGCTACTCGAGATTATTTTACGGATATTGATTGGTACAGAGAAATGATCGAAAAGGAACCATTGCTTGCAACGATTCCAAAAGAATTGAGAGAGTTTTGGGATTCGCAGCAGAAAAAGCGGTGAGTGAGCTTTGGGAAATGCCAATCTAGTGCACTGACTCATTAGAAAGCCAGCAATGCAGTAGGACTTGGTTTAACTGGATTGTACTCTCTAGGACTGTACTGTAGCCTTGTAGCTGCACTGTACTGTGTACTAAGTACTCTTAGTACTCTTAGTACTGTGTACTCTAGCTAGCGTCCACCGCAATCCCATTTTAGTGAGCACATCTTGCAACGAGCAAGCTACGATCTGGCTCGACAACAAATGCTTTATGAGAGAGAGTACGTGAGACACTATCGACGATCGATTTGTGGGGTGGGTGAAGCACTGTAATTAGTAATCTATGATAGCCTATAGCTCGCTAGAAACGAAATCTTTTAGCCAAATCGTCTAAACCTGTGCCGTATGTTGAGAGAGCTGGAAACATACAAGTAAGTCATCAAAAAGCTATTCAAAGGTAAAATAAATCTATTCAATAGTCATTCTGGATATCACACTAGATAAGGGCTATTTAAAAATGACGGTTACGTAAAGGGTTACTGTAGCGGATTACAGTAGTTTTTGTCTGGGCCAGTTTTTAGGTGAGCGATCGGTATAAAAGTAAAATAAATCTATTCAATAGTCATTCTGGATATCACACTAGGTACTGGCTATTTAAAAATGGCGGATACGTAAAGGGTTACTGTAGTGGATTACGGTAGTTTTTGTCTGGGCCAGTTTTTAGGTGAGCGATAGGTATGAAAGTAAAATAAAGCTATCCAATAGTCATTCTGGATATCACACAAGATAATGGCTATTTAAAAATGACGGCTACGTAACGGGTTACTGTAGCGGATTACTGTAGCGGGTTACTCTAGCGGATTACGGCTAACAAGTCTTAATCTACAGTAATCCCATTCAGTTCAATGACCCTTCTTCAACCTGGCCATCCAGAGGATGAAGCAGTGCTGAGAAAAGAGGATTTTACGAAAACCATGGAGTCACCAATACAAGAAATGTGGAGAAGGCACTGTATCGAGGCTGTCGCATTGGCTACGTCACAGGTGCGGTCCATTAGAATGCCCTAAAATCATGATAGTCATGATAAACTTCAAATTTTCAGCGTTCCCACTTCTCGATCGAGGCACGTGCACTTGGTTTAACGCTTGAAACGAGGGTTTTGGAGAAGCTGTGCCCAGAAATCCCAACAAGACGACTTGAGATGTATTTGTAGGGATTGTTTGTAGTTTTTTGTAGAAATTGTTAGAAAATTTTTGAAATTTTGCCGACCTGGATCTCACTTTTTGTTTAAAAAACGTTATTTTTTGTTTTGGAAAATAAAAATTTTCTTTTTTACAAATTTCTTGTAAAAAAAATGTAAGCTAAACAAGGCTTTTATATCTTTAAAAGATAAGCACTTTTTAGAAAATAGGAAGGCAAGGGTACGGTAGAAAGAGCAGGTTTTTTGGATATAAATACCAGTGTCGAGAAAAAATGTTTTATTTGCGTTTTTTCGGGGGTGGGACAAATGCGACCTTTTTTTTGCTGGAAAAGGCCTTAGGAAAGGTCGTAGAGCTTCAAAAATGTTTTCATAGAAGGGAATCGTATACGTAGATTCAGAATTTTGACAAATCACACCTCGCTGACACGTCAAATTTGGACTAAAAGGCAAAAACTGCGGAAAAGCTTTAAGTTGCGTAGTTTTTGCCTTTTAGCTCAAATTTAACGTGTCAGCGAGGTCTGATTTGTCGAAATTCGGAATCTACGCATACGATTCCCTACTACGGGAATATTTTTGAAGCTCTACGACCTTTCCTAAGGCCTTTTCCAGCAAAAAAAAGGTCGCATTTGTCCCACCCCCTTTCATTTGCGTTTTTCGAGCTTTTTTCTCGTTTTTTAATGCTTTTAATGTTATTTTTTTTTAATTCTGATGTTTTCTATATTTTTCTTATTTTCTTATTTTTTAAGTGATGGTTAACGGGGAGATTGAGGCAACCGCCTACGCGTCAATGGTTCTACATTGCATCAAATACCCATCGAAAGGCGTCTCAGGGTTGATGCTCGGGAAAAGCCACGGCGGAAAGTTGACGGTTCGTTGCATTTGTGATTGGGTTTTCGTTCGAAAATGCTTTGCTTTGCTCTGCTTTGCTTTGCTTTTGCTCTCTTTGCCTGCTTGCTTTGCGTTGCCTGCTTTGCTTTGCTCTGCTTTGCTTTGCTTTGCTCTGCTTTGCTTTGCTTTGCTCTGCTTTGCTTTGCTTTGCTTTGCTCTGCTTTGCTTTGCTTTGCTTTGCTTTGCTTTGCTCTGCTTTGCTTTGCTCATTTCTAGTTGATTGTAATGAGTAAAAATACAATTTTCAAGCCTAAAAGCTGCTTTTAAACCAGTTCAAGCTGCTTGTAAACCACTTATTTTGAAGAAATCACTTAATTCTCAGGCTTTCTTAGGTTATTTTGCTTTTCTTGAATCAAATCTAGTCTCTCAATTGGTTCTAAAATGCTTTTTGACCTTTTATAGTTGATTTTAATAGATAAAACACAATTCCAAGCCTAAAAACTGCTTTAAAACTTTACTTTTGAAAGTAAATATTGAAGAAATGGCTTGAAATTGCTTGAAATGGCTTGAAATGGCTTGAAATCACTTGAAATCGCTTGAATTTCGCGTTTTTTAGCTAGTTTTTTGCTTTTCTTATGTCAAATCTAGTCTCCCAATTGATCTAAAGCCATTCTTGCATGACTTAAAATCAAAAACTGTGCACAAGCCATCAAATTTTAATCATTTCACGATTGAACGCCTAAAATTTGATTGTAAATTGGGGAATATGAGCTAAAAAAGATTTGTAGAAGATCTAATTAAGGACGAGATTTGCTTTAATTTGATTTGATTTGGTTTAATTTGGTTTAATTTGGTTTAATTTTATTTAATTAGCTTTAATTTTCTTTAATTTGATTTAATCTGCTTTAATTTGATTTAATCTGCTTTAATTTGCTTTAATTTCCTTTTTTTCAGATCACTTCAGTCGTTCCATTGGTTCACGAGAGCGCTCCGCTGTCGCCGTCAATTGAAATCGCGTTGGCGCTGGTAAATTTCGAAATCTAATCGCTAATAACTGATCGATAGACCGTTTTGCAATATTCGAGCATGAAAACCGTATTTTTTTAATCTAGCAATCAATGTTTTACCTTAATTTTGAAGATTTCACAGTAAAATACCCATAAATTACTTAGTTTTAAAGATTTTACGCTAAAATACCCAGAAATTACTTCATTTTCCCTTTCAGGTGAGCTCAAAAGACGACCAATCAATTGTCGGTATTTACTATTCAAATGCAAGCTATCAGGATAAAAGGTTTATCGGTTTTTTTAAAGCTAAAATATTCTGTTTTAGTTTCAATCCCTATTCGATTCGATTAGCCGAGAAGATTGCGGCCGTGACGGGGCAAAGCACATATTTAGCACAGGTTTAAGCATTTATGCTTTGATCTTTGATAATTTTTGATCAATTAGGTCGTCAACTGGCATTTGACAGCCGATTGCTCGTCGCCATGCATATCCGTTTATCAACAACAAGATTCCGGAAGTTGGAAGGATATTAAGTGAGTTTTAAAGCTGATTTAGTGATAAACCTTTAAAATTACTAAAGGAAACTTTGTTTTGTTCTGTTTTGAAGCTTATTAAGCTTAGTTATTGCTCAAAATTGTTTTCCTTAGTTTCCTTAGTTCAAAATCGTTCCTTCTTCCCTCGAAATCGTTAAGATTAATAAAGGAAACTTTGTTTTGTTCTGTTTTAAAGCTTATTAAGCTTAGTTATTGCTCAAAATCGTTTCCCTTAGTAATTTTTAGAGGTTTATCACTAAAATGACTATAAATTTCAGTTATTGCCGAATTTCCGCTCAATTTTTCATGCTGGAGAGCTTTAAAAGCTTCAGTTTAGAGTTTAATACTTAAAAAACAGTAATGCAACTTTAAAGCTCTCTATTTCATTTCTTTTTTTTCATTTCTCTATTTCATTACTTAAACCATTACTCTGAGCTTAAATTGAGTTAAATAAGCAACTTCGGGTTTAAGTTAAGGCTTTAAAATCTTTTATTTTAGAGTTGACGTCGATCCAGTTGCTTTAACGCTTGTTTCGTCAGCGCTTCAGAAGAAATTGTACAGAGAGTGAGTGCTTTTGGTGATGTAATGTTAAAATAAGCTTCTAGACTTCTTAAAATTGCCTTAAATTAGAATTTTTCATAGTTTTGCAAGCTTTTAGATGCATTGCTAGCTGAAATCAAATCGAGTAGACTGATGTCATTTTTGCAACTTTTCACCATAGCTTTAGCTTTTATAATGAATTCAACAGCAAATTCAACAAATTTTCAAAAACTTTGAGCTATTTTTAAGATTTCAGCACTTATCTATTTGGTTTTACTCTAAATAAACCCTAAAACCCATATTTTTTACTAAATAACCCATAAAATCCTCCTTTTTTTTTACTAAATAACCCATTAATTTTAGATTGGTCGACTTCGAGAATCACCTCGACAATCCAGAGCTCGATTTCTACAATTCATCGCTCAATCGAATGCTTCGAGAAGAACTTTAAAGGAAAATTTCGTTAGTTCTTTCGTTTCTTAATGTAATTACTTAAATTTATCAATTCCAGTATTTTTTTTTAAAGTTAATCGGTTGTGATAAGAATTTGATGCGGTATTTTCATTGTTTTACGCTTTTTCCTTGTTTTGTTGCTTTTTTGATGAAAAGACTCAAAGAATAAAAGGTGGAAAAGAAAAAAGCAAAATGAAAAAAGCAAAATCGTTTCTTAAATAAAATCAAAAAAATCACTGAAAACAAAAATTTCTGATGAGAGTGGGATTCGAACCCACGCCTCCGAAGAGACCAGTGCCTTAAACTGGCGCCTTAGACCGCTCGGCCATCTCACCATAGGGTGGGGTGGCGGGGAAAAGGGTGAAAAGGCTCAGGCAGGGGAATGGAATCACTCTGGAACAACAAAGAAGGTTGGTGCTTTTCTCGATGTTTACTATGTTTTTTAAGTTTAGCTGTCTTTAACTTAGCTATCTGGAATACTGTAGCTTTTCTACTGTAGCTTAAAATCTACACCAGCTACTCGAGAATTGATTTCTTGAAAAGGGGAAAACTGGGAAAACCGGTTTTTCTCATTTTTCTATCACTTTCTCTGGTGTTATCCATTTGGATTGGATTGATATCGATTTTAGGCAAAGAGATCTTTTGTTTGCTTTTTAGATAAACTTATAAGCTTTAGATAAGCTGATCTTTATAATCTTTATAATCGATTTTATAGAATGGACGAAGTGGAACCGGCTGAGGATCGAATGGAGAATTATGTGCGAATTGCTGTTGTTGGAAGGGGAGCCTATGGAGTTTGCTGGTTGTGTCGAAGAAAAGAATCACAGCACAGGGAAAAGGTGAAGAGGTTTAGGAGTTACTGGAGTTAGTTAGATTACTGGATTCAATAGATTCAACTTTAGGTCATTCTAAAAACGATTCCTTTACACGGACTCTCAAACGAGGAAGAAATTGCAATTATGGGTTTGTTTAGAAAAGGATTATTGTAAAGAAAAAGGAGAACTTTTGAAGAAAACTTGTAAAGAAAACTTGTAAAGAAGAAACTTGTAAAGGAAACTGGTAAAGGAAACTTGTAAAGAAAGCTTGTAAAGGAAACTTGTAAAGAAAACTTTTCTTTAGGAGAAGTAATGTTATTGAAAAAAATGCGACATCCGATGATCATTGGATATTATTCGTATTTTAAATATGATAACACGTTGGCGATTGGTAAGCATTCAAGAATACAAAAAAAAAAACAACCTTTTTAGTCATGCAATATGCTGAGGGTGGCACAATGGAGCGAATGATTCAAGAACAACGCGGCGAACACTTTCATGAGAGCTCTGTGCTTGACTTTTTCACTCAGGTAAGGGGTTTTTTTTAAGATTAAAGGGAAAATTGGATGTCACGAATGAAAAGGGAATAGTTGAAAGGCCGGGAATTACGATTTGGGGAAATTGGGTAATTGAACCTGGCTTTCAAGAGAGCTTTGTGCTTGATTTCTTTACTCTAGAGAGGGATTTTTAAGGTTAACATTTAAATTGGATGTCACGAATGAAAAGGGAATAGTTGAAAGGCCGGGAATCACGATTTGAGGAAATCGGGTTCGTGAACCTGGCTTTCAAGAGAGCTTTGTGCTTGATTTCTTTACTCTAGAGAGGGATTTTTAATGTTAGCATTTAAATTGGATGTCACGAATGAAAAGGGAATAGTTGAAAACCCGGGAATCACGATTTGAGGAAATTGGATAGGCTAACTTTGCAGATTCTCATCGCTCTTCACCACATGCATAGCAAATCGATCGTTCATCGAGATTTGAAGACTCAAAACATCTTAATGAACAAGTAACTAGATACAATGATAATATAGTCGCTATAATATAGTTTTTAGAAAGCGAACTCTCGTTAAACTCTCGGATTTCGGGATCTCAAAGGAATTATCGACAAAATCAGTGGCTTCAACGGTGATCGGAACGCCAAATTATTTAAGTCCAGAGATTTGTGAAGGTTGGGGTTTTTGTTTAGCTTTAAACGCAGGTTTCCTGGCGCACCAGAAAGCAGACAAGATGCGTTTACAAGAGCACAAAGTACAGGAATCTAGGTAGAGCCTACAATCAAAAGTCGGACGTTTGGTCACTTGGATGTGTGCTTTATGAGGTGAGTAGTCTAGCTTGGCCTAGTCTAGGCTGGTCTAGCCTAGCCTAGGTCTAGCCTGGCCTAGCCTAGTCTAGCCTGGTCTAGCCTGGCCTAGTCTAGGCTGGTCTAGCCTGGCCTAGCCTAGTCTAGCCTGGTCTAGTCTAGGCTGGCCTAGGTCTAGCCTGGCCTGGCCTAGGCCTAGCCTGGCCTAGCCTATCCCTTCCCTATCTCCAGTATCCTTTTCAGCTGCTGGCTCTGCGTCGTGCCTTTGACGGTGACAATCTCCCTTCAATCGTTATGAAAATTACAAAAGTTAGTGGCCGTTTTTTCGGAAAACTTTCAAATCTAGTGCTCCTATTCTCCAATTGGTGACCACGCAACACAAGAAGTGAGAGAACTCGTTGGGAATCTTTTGAGACTAAACGAACATCAGAGGCCCAATGTGCAAGGTAGACAGTGGCTGCAGGCTAAAGACTATCTATCCCAGGCTTGAAAAGAGTACTGCAATGCAATGTAATGCAAGAGTGACATCCAGATTGCAAGAATATTGTTTGATTATCCTCAAAAACTTATCCAAACAAGGGGTAAGCGATGTAGATCAATGACATCAAGAATGACATCTCTAGATCTGTAAGTTTCTAGGTTTCTAACTTTCTAGATATCAAGTGTGACATCCAGATCACAAGAAAATTCCCCAAGCATCCCCAAAAAACTCACCCAAACAAGGCAAAAGCCATGGAAATCTAGAGATCAAGAATGACATCTCTAGATCTGTGATTTTCTAGGTTTCTAAGTTTCTAGATATCAAGAGTGACATCCAGATCGCAAGAATTTGCAAGCAATTGGGTAGCTAGATATTACTGTAGGCTAAAAGTACGGTAGAGATCTATCGAAGGGTTGAGAAGAGTACTGTAGCTTATCGATTTATTCTTTTAGAGCTACTCACCCATCCACTTGTTCTACCGTACACTCTAAGGATTCACTGTGATGTGGGCAGAGTGATCGTACCGGAGAATAACAAGGTAAAGTAGGCCGTAAGCTACCGTAACCCTGAGCTACTGTAGCCCTGAGCTACCGTAACCCTGAGCTACTGTAGCCCTGAGCTACTCTAACCCTGAGCTAACGTAGCCTTGAGCTAACGTAGCCCTGAGCTACGGTAACCCTGAGCTTATCTCCTTCCTTTCCAGCGTCGTGCCAACTCTGTGATGGGTGGCCGTTTACGGATCACTCCATCCGCTCAATCGCTTCGTCCACAAGAAAGATTTCCAACGAAAACCCCGATTTCTCTCTCAAATACATTGCGATAACGTAAAGAAATTTGCAAAAAAAGTTTACCCGCAATACAAAAAAAATGATTTTGATATTATTTCGATATTATCTCGATATTATCTCGATATTATTCAGCCTTTTAATAATCCCATAGTTTTGCGTTCTTTATCGAATCTCTTGCCGATTCATCGATATAAGGAATTCGACTTGCATCTTTTGGCACATAAGCAAACCAAACTTCTTTCGAATTCGAATCTGGTCGGATTTTCTGGAAAAGAAGGGTTTAGACGATGGATTGCTGGATTGCTGGATTGATTGGATTGCTTGGATTGCTCAGAAAACACTCACCCTGAACATCCCCAACTTTCGACCTTTAAAGAAACCAGAGATGCCAAGTCCATGCATTTTAACAATTGCTGCCGATCCAACCACTTCCACAGTGAGTGTTGTGAGGACAAGACCTAGATTTGAGATTGGATTTAAGACAGAATTCCATCCAACCAATGAACAAAAATCCTATCGAGATAGCCACGTCGAGCTCCGTTTTCCCGGAGGGAACCAGATCCCCAAAGCCGATCGTCAACTGGAAATGGATTTGAGAATAGATTTGCGATTAATTAAGCAACTTTCTTCAGATCTGGATGTCACACTTGATATCTAGAAAGTTAGAAACCTAGAAACTTGCATATCTAGAGATGTCATTCTTGATCTCTAGACTTGCATGGCTTTTGCCTTGTTTGGGTGAGTTTTTTGGGGGTAATTAAGCAATTTTCTTGCGATCTGGATGTCATTCTTGATTTCTAGCTAGATATCTGACTTTAAATTCCATTTCGTCAATCTCCTGGAAGAGTCAGTTCTTCTGCATGGCCTTAGCTTTGTTTTGGTGAGTTTTTTGGGGACGATTGGGGGAATTTTCTTGCGATCTGGATGTCATTCTTGATATCTAGATACTTAAATGTCTAGATATCTTATACTATTGTAGCTGGGTACAGTAGTATGATCTACCGATGGGGTACTGTAGTCTGGATCAGCCTAGGCCATCCTAGACCAGCTTAGACCGGCCTAGAATAGTCTAGACTAGCCTAGACCAGCTTAGACCGACTTAGACCAGCTACAGTAGCCCCAGAAGTACTGTAATGTAGCCGGAAGGTCTTTAGATCAACTACAGTACTCTGTAGCTGGCATTATTAGCTAGATAGACTACTCTAGATAGAGTAAATACTAAAAACCAACCAGTGAGACCAAGCAAAACGAGAATGACATGAGGAAATCCCATGTTGGTTCCAAGAAATCGTAGATCCATGCCCAGATCACCATGTAGAACATCAGGACGAAGATCACTTGGAAGCGACGATTTGCGGCAACCTGAGTAAACATTTCTAGCTACAGTAACCCTTTGAATACTATAGATAGAAAGGATGAAATCCAGATCTCAAGAGAATCCCCACCTCAGCAAATGGATCGTCTTTCCCGCCTAAACGGTCTGAGAAGAATTTCGCTACATCGGCTATCGTGATTAGTGTGAGTGGGATACTGTAATAATTTAGATATGATAATAGAGGAATTTAAGTTTCTAGATATCAAGTGTGACATCCAGATCGCAAGAATATTGTTGAATTATCCCCAAAAAACTCATCCAAACAAGGCAAAAGCCATGGAAATCTAGAGGTCAAGAATGACAGATCTAGATTTGTAAGTTTCTAGGTTTCTAAGTTTCTAGATATCAAGAGTGACATCCAGATCACAAGAAAATTCCCGAATCGTCCCCAAAAAACTCACCCAAACTAGGCAAAAGCCATGCAAATCTAGAGATCAAGAATGACATCTCTATATATGCAAGTTTCTAGGTTTCTAACTTTCTAGATATCAATTGTGACATCCAGATGGCAAGAAAATCCCCCAGTCCTCCCCAAAAAACTCACCCAAACAAGGCATAAGCCATGCAGAAGAATTGACCCTCCCAGGAGATTGGAATGAGGTGACCGTAACCTGAAATTTTAGAGTCACAAAATCAAGAATGACATCCAGATCGCAAGAATATTGGCTATAGCAGAGGATACTGTAGCTATAACTTACCGATTGACGTCAAAACTGTAGTCGTAAAAAGATTGCCGATGGCATTGTCCATTTCGACGCAAAGCTCTCATTTCGGAGATCAGCCGGCTGAAATTTTCGTGTACTTTAGGCTCCCCGGTAAACGCCAGCCTTCTAGGTTACTGAGATTTCTAAAAACTTGTCGAATTTCTGCTTTTTACAAGGAATTTTCATTCAAAATCATTTTCCTGCCACCCGCTTTGTTACCCCTCCCAAAAACTTGCAATAATTAAGTATTTTGTGAAAATTTTTTGAAAGCAATGCACGATCTGGATGTCACACAGTACGATAAGCATCAATTTACGGTAGCCTAACATCTTTTGTCGGGTACTGTCCCATAGCTGTCAGCCAGAGTCTCTTTCACATAAACAATCCCTTCTGGGACAAAGCAATGCACGTCTGGATGCACACAGTACAATAAGCACAATTACGGTACTTGCTATTTCAGATACTGTCCCATAGCTGTCAGCTGCCAGAGGTGTTCTTTGTGCTTCCGCATGAGCGCTCGCCTTCTGGCACAAAGCGTTACCCGATCTGGATGTCACAAAGTACAATAAGCATCAATTTACGGTACCCTAGCATCGTTTGTCAGATACTGTCCCATAGCTGTCAGCTGCCAGAGGTGTACTTTGTACTTTCACATAAACAATCGCCTTCTGGCACAAAGCATTGCCAGATCTGGATGTCACACAATACGATAAGCATCAATTTATGGCTCTGCTCTTTTGTGGTACTGCCCTGCTGTCAGCTGCCAGAGATGTACTTTGTGCTTCCGCGTAAACGCTCGCCTTCTGGCACAAAGCATTATCCGATCTGGATGTCACACAGTAAGATAAGCATCAATTTACGGTACCCTAGCATCTTTTGTCGGGTACTGTACTATGGCCTTTAGCTGCAAGAGATGTACTTTGTGCTTTCGCTAAAACGCTCGCCTTCTGGCACACAGCTTGATTACAGGGAAATTGCTCTAGAATCGTCAAAATGAAAGCAAATTTGCTGAAAATTTGGGAACCGGGGTTTTTTGGGACGGGGAATTCGATGGTAGTGTTAGATTTGTGTCAAATACATACCTTAATCCCTTTTTCATAGGCTCTCATCGTCACATAGGTGAGATGATCGATTCTTCTCAATAAAGTCACATTTTCCGGGTCGATTTCCGGATCCACAGATAGAAGGGCTTCCTGGAAAGGGAAATTTGATTGTCTAGCTTTGAGAATCTAGCAATAGAATATAGCAATAACGAAAGAAACGAGAGAATTAATGTCTTTCTTGATTTATCGTCGATTTTCTCGGGAATTGACTTAATTGGGGTTTTTTTTGATGGAAATTTTGATGAAAACGTTGAAGAAAGCTCTCTAGATCTGTTTAGACAAAAGATTTCAATATAAATAACCTTTTAAACTTCTCACCTGAGCTCTCAAAATCTCATTGAGATGAAAATTCCTTCGTCGAACTTCATGCGGGATTTCGATGATTTGAAAAGCCCACGCGCCACCAGTGATGTAAAGAGTTGTGGCTGAGATGAGGAGGATATGAGGGAGAGCAATGCTGAACGAAAATTCGATAAATTTCGATAAATCAAGCCCGCACTTTGTGCTCTTGCAACCCAACCCCTTCTGGCACACTTATGGCTTCAAACTGACAAATCTGAAATCTCCATCCGATTCCCCGTCCCGATAAACCCCGGTTCCCAAATTTTCAGCCAATTTGCTTGAATTTCGACGATTCTAGAGCAATTTTCCCGTTTTCTTGGAAGCGCCAGAAGGCGAGCGTTTAAGAGAACGCACAAAGTACACCACAAAGCTTGGTACAGTCCGACAAAAGATGCTAGGGTACGATAAATTGAGGCTTATCGTATTGTGTGACATCCAGATCGGATAATGCTTTGTGCCAGAAGGCGAGCGTTTACGCGAAAGCACAAAATACATCTCTTGCAGCTGAAGGCCATAGTACAGTACCGGAAAAAAGATGCTAGGGTACCGTAAATTGATGCTTATCGTACTGTGTGACATCCAGATCGGCCAATACTTTTCAAAATTTTCACAAAAGACCTAATTATTGCAAGTTTTTGGGAGGGGTAACGAACCGGGTGCCAAAAAAACACTTTTGAATGGAAATTCCTTTAAAAAAGAAAGAATTGAGGAACCTTTTAGATAGCTAGGTGTGCTAGAAGGCTGGTGTTTACCGGGCGAGCACAAAGTACACGAGAAAACCGACCGAATTCGATTTTTAATCCTTCCTCCCCACGTCAAATCCTCTTCCTCTTCGACTTCTTGCCCCTCTCCAGTGAGATCCATTCCATCTAAAAGGATTACTGTATCATCTATCAGCTAGAAACCTCTCCTACAGTACCCCTTCGTGAAATAAACCCAATCTCCTCATCATCGAAACTCGTCGACTCCATAAGACTACGCTAGGCTTTCAAAAATCTTCAAAAAAAAGCGAATCTTCAAAATTCTTTCCGAATTGAGTGCTGTGACTTCCAGCTTGCAGAACGTGATCATTATTTTATATATTTTACCTGCAATCCCGCCCCTTCGCACAATGCGAGCCGCATGGCCTCCTTCGAGCATTTTTTGTCGCCACACCTAAATCTCTGGGGTTTTTCGTGAAAAGATTTCCGCTTTCTGGAAGGCACCCTCTCGATTGGCTTTAATATTTTTTTCGTAATTCGGCTTAGGAAAAAAAAAATGTTGCTGGGTTTTCGGGTAATTATGTGTGAAATTTTTTTTGATTTTTTTTTGGTTTTTTTTTGGTTAAAGAGTGCAATATTTTGTTGGAAGATTGAGGGAAATGTTAGATCATGGCAGGGAAACGGAAAGGGAGTTAAATGAAACGAAAGGAAACGAAAGAAAACAAAGAAAACAAAACAAAACAAAAACAGAAAATTTGTGTGCAAAACTATCGAAATTAGAGAATTTGTCGGAAAGTACAGTACCTCTCCATGAATCATCGTTGATTGTTTTGCTAAAAAGTGGGAAAAGTGATAGAGAAAATTGGAAAAAAAAAGATTAGAAATTGGAAAGAAATTAGAAAAAAAATGAAAAAATTGAAAAAATGAAAAAAATTGAAAAATTTAGAAAATCATGTAGTTTCTTTTTTTTGAAATTTAACGACTACATTATAATCCTTTAAACTGCAGTACGTTAGACTCCACTTTACGCACAGTACAAATACTCCTTTAAGATGCTTTTGCATCAACACAAAGTCCAAAGCTTGTACCCGACCGTGGCTACTAGTGTTGGCCCGTGAAATGAGAGAGCTCTCGACGAATCGTTTCGAGTTGAGTTGTACCTTTCGAGAAGAACACGGGCTTTCATATCTATTAAAAAAAAACCGAAAAATCAATAGTTAGTAGCGGATAGCGGACTCGAACCCGGGACTCGAACCTGAGAAACGACCAAGAACCAAGGGTGCTAACCACTCGGCCATGGGGGGACGGGGATGGCCGCTTGAAGAGGGGGGCTATCCCCGTCCCTCATAGCCGAGTGGTTAGCACGCTTGGTTCTCGCTCCTCTTCCCCCATCTCGACCCTGGTTCGAGTCCGCTTACGGTTTTTTTTCAATAAAAAAACTTCAAAACTGTTTGGAGATGAATTCAGTGTGCTAGAAAGGGTGCGTTTTGAAGCAAAAAGTACACAAGTTATTGAGAAAATTAATAGAAATTAGCGAATTAGCGAATTAGCGAATTAGCGAGATAAAGCTTAAAATTCGAATTGAATTGAACTAATGCTGGCGATTGTTTACAAATTTCTTGTCTCTTGTTGACATCAAAGGGTTCTCTCAAGGGAAAAATGGCTTTCTTTTTCGGGAATATATTGCAATGAAATAGACGAAGTTGTCGGAAAAGTCGGAAAAGAATTTTTTTTTTTTGCTGTCGACTTTAGTTGACACTTCTTTGGCTCTTTGGCAGCTATTTGACAAGTTTGGACTCAAGCGTGACTTCCAGTTTCAACGAATTGTCAAAGGGAATTTGATTTTCGTTTAATTATTCAAGTTTTTTTGCAACGAGAACTTTGAGTGCACAAAAGTGACAAGAAAATTTTCGCACAAAGCATTGGTTATTTGAGTTTAGAAATCTATTGTGACATCCAGGATGAGCGATTTTAAAACTTTAAAATGTTAATTAAGCAATTAAACGCTTCTTTTACCTCTTCGACTCGATCAAATGGAAAAAAATGGAGAATATTGGAGATCATTTCTTTAAAATATTGAAAAATGAATGTAAATTGAAAGAGAAATCAAAAAGAAATGTAAAATGAAAGTAAAGATACTCAGCTAATGCGTAAAAATAAAAATTGAAAATATTTAGCTAAGAAAATTTTTTTTTAGTTGAGTTCATTGAGTTGGAAAGTGATTGACACCGGAAATGGCTTGGGAAAGGTTTAGGAAAGAGAAATCTATAAGAAAATAGATTCCTACGTCTCTATAGTCTTTAAATTACTGTACTTAAGCGCTGAAATTACCGGAAATCTTATTTTCAGAAGTTTTCTGATTCAGATTCACTAAAATCGAGCGAAATTAAAAATCTCAAGTGCTTTCAAGGGGCAAATAAACCCCAAAAGAGCCTCCAAAGCTCTCCAAAAACGATTACGCAAAAAAAACATTAAAAACGAAAATTTCTATCACCTAAAAACAGAGCCGGGGATCGAACTCGGACAAGGGAGAGCCGAGCGTTCGAGCGAGAACCCAGCGTGCTAACCACTCGGCCATGGGGGACGGGGATGACCCCCCTCTCCAATCGGCCATCCCCGTCCCCCCCATAGCCGAGTGGTTAGCACCACGGTCTCTCACCCCAAACGATCCTGGTTCGAGTCCGGTTCGAATTTTTTCTTTTTTCATTTCAAATTGTTTAAAAACTTTTCTAGACCCAAATTTGATGAGGATTTCGAATTTTAAATTAGTTTTTTAAAGTTCTTTTGAGAATTTTGAGAATTTAGAGAAAAACAAGAATTTCAAACCTTTAACAGTCCAACAACAGCCATGATCGATTTTTTTGGGGAAAATATGAAAGTAAAGCTATTGAAGCAAGGGAAAATGGGGAAAAACCGAAAAAAATCATTTCCCAGGCCATTAGCAAATTGAGAAAAAAGCCTTGGGAATAGAAAAATTGTAAAATCTTCTGATTGAAATTTTTTTTTGATTTTCGCGTCCCAAAAGGGAAATGTTTACATAAAATGCTTAAATATTGTCCAAAAAGCTTCCTTTTTTTTAATTTTCTCGAAGAAATCCATTTGAGTTTATTGAAATCGCGAAAAAAGCCTTAGAAAAGGCTGAAAAAACGAAAAAAAAGCGAAAATCGCTTCATCTCGGTTTTTCTTTAAGTAAATCGATCTTTTTTAAGATTTCTTAAAATAAAAATAGCATTCTGGAAGTCACAGAACAGGTTGCGATGAAGATGGAAGCGTTTATTTGCACTTAGCGTTTTTCGGTTTAGTTACGCAATTTTTGATTGTTTCTGAAAAAACTCGTTTGATTTTGGTGCTTATTTTGTCTCTTTTTCCTATCATTATTAAAGGATTATCTGTTTTATCCAAAAAATTCGCTAAAAATCGATTCAAACCCATTTCTCACTTCCACACAAAAATGCTCAAATTCTATTTTTTAATTTTAATTTTTCTAAAATTCTCTTTATCTCAAGAAGATGATGAACCAGAGATGATTATCAATGGAAAAACAATGCCAGAAGAGGTTTGATTGCAATAGAAAGCGAGCGTTTAAAGCACAAAGAGAGCACAAAGCACAAAGAGCACAAACATCAATACCAAAAAAAAATTTTTTGTTTTTGATAAATTCAAAAATAAACTTAACCAAAACCTGTTGTGACTTCCAGATCGAAAGTTAGAATTGATAAAATAGATAAAATTGACCGATGATGAGTACAAAAGTGTCGCCGAGCTTCAACACCAATTGGACGATTATCTCAAAGCTGATGATAAAGAAAGTATCGTCGAGGAGATGCGCACATATGTTACGATGGGTTTTATGGCGCCTGTGAGTCGAAAAAGTTCAGAGATAAGATTTAGAGATAAGATTTAGATTCTTGATCATATGACAAAGCTCTTATTGCCTTATGTGCCAAAAATTGGAGCACTCATGACAAAATTGGTTCGTTTTTTGAAAGGAATTATAGTATCGTATCGTACTAGTATCCAAAAACCTTTAGGAAAGCTCTCTTCATGATAAAGAACCCGTTTCAAAAGTCATGGCGTTGATGCAAGAAACGAATGATGTTATAAAAGTAAATTTAGATATAAATTTAGATATAAATTTAGAAATAAATCAAATTTATCTATTATTTAAACTTTCAGAAAGGTATGAAAGCAATGCGAAAAGAGCTGAAAGAGAAGAAAACGAGAGATCAAAAAGACTCGAAAAGAGAGGACTTATAAAAGTATTCAGTTATAGAATTTGAAAGATATTCAGCCTAGTAAAATGTTTTATTGTCAAATTTTTGAAATTTTATCGAAAAACACAGCTATCAGCATATTCTATGCCTTCCAGAACTTCAAAAAATCCAGAAGGATCTGCCCGAATCCAACTCTTGGCTTCAGAATTTACCCATTCTCAATAGCAATCAACTGATTCTTTTCTAGAATCACTGCAAATGGGACCAGATCGAATCCAGCATATTCTGTGCCTCCCAGGACCTGAGAAAATCGAAGAAGATCTGCCCGAATCTCGATCAGAGCTTCAGAATTTACCCATTCTCAATAGGTACCAACCGACTCTTTTCTAGAATCACTGCAAATGGGGCCAGATTGAATCTAGCATATCTTTTGCCTCCCAGAACTCCAGAAAGTCGAAGAAGATCTGCCCGAAGCTCATTTTTAGCTTTAGAATTCATCCATTCTCAATAGCTACTAACTGATTTTTTTTTTCTAGAATCACTGCAATGGGATTAGATCGAATCCAGCATATTCGGTGCCTCCCAGGACCTGAAAAAATCGAAGAAGATCTGCCCGAATCTCAGTCAGAGCTTCAGGATTCATCCATTCTCAATAGCTACCAACTGGTTGTTTTCTAGAATCACTACAATGGGGCCAGATCGAGTCCAGCATATCCTATGCCTCCCAGAACTTCAAAAAATAAAAAAGGATCTGCTCGAATCTCAGTCAGAGCTTCAGGATTCATCCATTCTCAATAGGTACCAACTGATTCTTTTCTAGAATCACTGCAATGGGCTCAGATCGAATCCAGCATAACCTATGCCATCCAGCACCAAAAAAAATCACAGAAGATCTGCCCGAATCTCAGTTTTAGCTTCAGACTTCACCCATTCTCAATAGCTACCAACTGATTCTTTTCTTGATAGACTGCAATGGGGTTAGATCGAGCCTAGTATACCCTATGCCTTCCAGAACTTCAAAATATCCAAAAGGATCTCAACTTTAAGCTTAGCTTTGGTGTCCTTTAATTGGGAAACGAAATAAAAAAGACGATTTTATTAGATTACGGCACCTGTGTCTCCGGGTCGTCCATGAACGAGATCTTTTGATCCCCACAGAGACTACCGACCCGAGATGGACAACGAGACGATAAGCGGCTGGGAAAAGTGCTGAAAATATCACTCTAGACATAAAAATGAAATAAATAACAAACCTATTCGATTTCCTTGCTGAGTAGAGTGATGGAGACAAAGAGATCGACTCGTACTTCGTCGTTGTGCTCAGCATTTTATCTAGAAAGGGAAATGTGACAACAGGAGATCGGTTATTATTCGGAGAGCTCAGTTTTTGAGTGAAGAAACTTATCGGAATACCTAGTTTAGTCTTTGGAAAATATCTTTTTTTAAGAGAAAAGAGACCCAACAATGAAAGACCAGGAAAGACACAAGAATTGAGGTGAGAATTCGATTAGGGAAAAGGAAAGGGAAACTAGAAGAAAAGAGAAAAGTTGAGTGAAACAAAAACGAGAAAAGAAAGGAAAACCGATTTGGACTTTTGGATTGAAAAGGCGATGCTCAAGGTAAATTTGGGGTTGAGTGGATGGAAAGAACGGAACATTCGGTAGTCCGGGGGGAATTCACGGCAAATCCTAGGAACTCGGATTTTGTGGCTTTGTGGAGTGGCTGAATTTGCAAAAAATGAATTCCCGAATCAGGAATTCGTTTCAAAATTTCAAGGCACCAAGCGACTCTTAAACAAACTTGAGTAATTAAACCGAGGCGCAATTGAGCCAGACCGAGTTCAGCATATCCTATGCCTCCCAGGGCTCTAAAAAATCCAAGAGGGTCTGCTCGAATCTCAGTCTTAGCTTCAGGATTTATCCATTCTCAATAGGTACCAACTGACTCTTTTCTAGAATCACTGTAACGGGACCAGATCGAGTCCAGCATATCTTATGCCTTCCAGAACTTCAAAAAATCTAAGAGAATCTGCCCGAATTTCAGTTTTGTCTTCAGAATTCATCCATTCTCAATAGCTACCAACTGGTTGTTTTCTAGAATCCCTACAATGGGGCCAGATCGAATCTAGCATCTCTTTTGCCTCCCAGAACTCCAGAAAGTCGAAGAAGATCTGCCCGAAGCTCATTTTTAGCTTTAGAATTCATCCATTCTCAATAGCTACCAACTGGCTCTTTTCTAGAATCACTACAATGGGGCTCAGATCGAGTCCAGCATAACCTATGCCTTCCAGAACCAAAAAAAAACGAAGAAGTTCTGCCCGAATCTCAGTTTGCTTCAGCCCCCATCCAATAGCTACCAACTGCTTCTTTTCTAGAATCACTGCAATGGGCTCAGATCGAGTCCAGGATAACCTATGACTTCCAGAACCAAAAAAATCGAAGAAGCTCTGCCCGAATCTCGATCAGAGCTTCAGAAATTACCCATTCTCAATAGGTACCAACTGCTTCTTTTCTAGAATCACTGCAATCAGGTCAGATCGAGTCCAGCATATCCTGTGGCTCCCAGAACTGCAAAAAAATTCGATTGCGAGTTCTTTCTTTATCATTGAATGTGCTTTCTTTCTTTCTATTCTTAAAATAGTGTTTTATTATTCAAAAATCGACATAAAAACGTAAACCTTTCATCTCTGAGGGTACATAAAAGAAAATAAAAATTTTTCGGCAGAGAAATTCAGAAAAAAAAAACGAAAAAAACGAAAAAACAAAAATAGAACCGAAAACGATGGGGGAGGGGGGGAAACTCGGAATTGATGGAAAGAAAAAGAAAATTGATAAAAATATATTTGAGAAAGGTAAAAAAAAAACTCTCTGTAAGGCCTCGGAGAGGTGAAAAAATGAAAAATGAAAAAAAAATTCTATAAAAAATCTATTAGAACAACCATTTTTTGTTTAAAAAAACCTAATATTTCAGAAAAATTTGTGTTTTTTTTTTTGAGCAAGATTGGAAAGGGAAAATCGTCGAAAATCGTCGAAAATTGTGGCCAAATCATACTGTAATTTAAAGACAACAGGGTTACGGTAATAAAAATGATTTCCTAGAATTTCAAAAATTCCAAAAAAAAAGCAAATGGCAGTGAAAAACTCAAAAATCCAGAAAATTACAAAAATCGGCTAGAAAATCTGAGGGTTTTTGCACCGTGGGACCAAAAAATCTCAACAAAACCTGCATAGAATATGTTAGGGAAATCGGAAAATCGGAAAATATCAATTCTGTAGGTCCTGAGCTCACAGGACTGTCAAAAAAAAACACAAAAAACCAGAGAAAAAGAGAAAAATCGGTTTCTCTGAAAAAGAAACCCTCTGAAATGGGGAAGAGATATGGAAATCGGGATATTTATTCAAATTGGATGTCACAGTATCTGAATCCAAGATTGAAATCTCAATTCAACGCGTTTTCCGTTTCTCATAGGTGAGCACTTGATAGAATAGAGCCAGAAGGGAGAGATTTGCGGCAGCCAGCAGGAGCGGCACTTTCCATCGGATTAGCCAGGCCTGGAACTTTGGATTGTATAATTGGAATGGATACGGTAACCTATAGCAGCTACAGTAGTCCTAGGGTAACCTACAGTACTCTTGATAACCTAAGGGTATCTACAGTACCCTTGAGATCACTGGATTACGGTAGTTCCTCTCCAAAACTTTGTCTAACCCTGCTGTGACATCCAGATCATTCAAATCTGGTAGAATTTCTAACCCTACAACAGCTACAGTAGTACTAGGGTAACCCTCAGGATACCTACAGTACCCTTGAGACCACTGGATTATGGTAGTTTTGCCCCAAAACTTTGTCTAGCCCTGCTGTGACATCCAGATCATTCAAATCTTGTAGCATTCCAGCCCACTCACCCGAAAAGCTGGATGATACAGGTATCGTAATGGATTAGCCCTCAACAATTCCCTGTCCTCTCCTTCTCGTAACACTTCTTGCCTTCGTTGATGCGCCAGACGGGCGGCGTCTTCTCGTCTACAAAATAGGAATCAGTAAACTCATTTCTAGAGCAAAAACAAACCTTAACCGAATCCCGGTTTGTTCCAATTCGGCGAGATTCGGTAAACTTCCCATATTCTCATCAACTGATGTATTCTTTGTTGCTTCGATGATTGGAAGAGCGGCACGGTCACGATTTGAGGCGAGGGTTGAGCGACGATTCAATAGCTGAAAAGATATTGAAGTTTTTGGAGAGCTCAAGTACCCCAATAGCATTTTCCCCACTCACCGCATTATTCTCATTTATATGATCAGTTTGTCGGGTCAACGAGGGTCGATTTCTTCGAATTTTTGCCTGTTGAGGATTTCCGGCCATCACATATTGATCATAATGGTCATCGGATAAGGAAAACCTAGAAATATATTTAGTATATCCAATTATCCAGATAGATCAAACCTCGATCCAGTTCTCGAGCTGCTTTGTTGCGACGAGGCGAAGAGACTCCCCAAAGCGGTCTGTTTTGGCGCGGGTTGGGGAGGCTCAGACATCTCACTGAAATTTCGATTACTTTACGATGTTTATTGATTTTTTAGGTTTGAGAATGGGCGCTTTTAACTTGATGCGTGACCATTACGAAAAGTCTAAGACCATTTCAGATCTAGCTGGAAAGCACTTTAAATGCTCAATGTATCAGAAAGTTGAAAATTCCAAGAATTTCAAGTCCTTGATTTCTCAGGTTTGAGAATGGGCGCTTTTAACTTGGCTCGTGAGCATTATGCAAAATCTAAGATCATTTTCGACTTAGCTGGCAAGCATTTTGAATGATTAATGTATGGGAAAGTTGGAAATTCAAGAATGTCAAGTTCTCGATTTTTCAGATTTGAGAATGGGCGCTTTTAACCTGACTCGTGAGCATTTCTACAAGCTTGGAGCTTTTTTCAAGCTAACTGGAAAGCACTTTGAATGCTCAATGTATCAGAAAGTAAGAAACTCCAAGAATTTCAAGTCCTTGATTTTTCAGATTTGAGAATGGGTGCTTTTAACTTGATCCTTGAGCATTATGCAAAATTTAAGATCATTTTTGATCTAGCTGGAAAGCATTTTGGATGCTCGCTTTAAATTTCCTAAACGCACTCTTTCTGGTGCACTTAAGAGAATTAGGATCTAGTACGCCAGGTGGTGAACGTTTCCAGACTTTACTCGCACAAAGTAGACCGACTCGCTTCTAAATGCAAGCCTTATGAAGTAGCTCAGACAGTTTGTCAGCTCTACAGTAACCCTACAGTAGTATTATAGATCCAGTTACAGTAGGCATCCAGTTCTCATTCGTAGCTACCATATCCCTACAGCCTTATTATCTCGTAAACACTCGCCATCTAATACACTGACCTTTCTCGCTGCTCTCCCAGCGCTTGTTCGTCGATTGATGGCTGTTGGGTGGATGTGGATTGTCCGGCCAATTGTGCATGAGATTGGGGATGGGGCTGCTGTTGTTGAAGATGCTGTTGGGCATAAATCTGTTGTTGTTGCTGTTGTGGCTGTTGGTATTGTTGTTGTTGTCCCATTTGTCCCATTTGTCCCATTTGTCCCATTTGTCCCATTTGCCCTCCTCCACTCATCATACTCGTGCTCGGGTGCATCGCCTGGAAATTCGCATATGAACAGAAATTTGAACTCGAATAGTGTAAGTAGTATTGCACCGTACACAGCACTGTACGATCTACTAGTTAGCTTTGGCTCTGAACTGACTTAAGGGCAGCCTTGGATCTTAGAGCTGAACTTACTTTTAATGTTCTAGCCCTACCCTTCGAGTCCAGCATATCCGATGCCTCCCAGAACTTCAAAAAATAAAAAAGGATCTGCCCAAATCTCAGTCAGAGCTTCAGAATTCATCCATTCTCAATAGCTACCAACTACTCCTTTTCTAGACTCACTGCAATCAGGCCAGATCGAGTCCAGCATATTCTATGCCTCCCAGGGCCTCAAAAAATCCAAGAGGGTCTGCTCGAATCTCAGTCTTAGCTTCAGGATTTATCCATTCTCAATAGGTACCAACTGGCTCTTTTCTAGAATCACTGTAACGGGACCAGATCGAGTCCAGCATATCTTATGCCTCCCAGAACTTCAGAAAATCTAAGAGGATCTGCCCGAATTTCAGTTTTGTCTTCAGAATTCATCCATTCTCAATAGCTACCAACTGACTCTTTTCTAGAATCACTACAATGGGGCCAGATCGAGTCCAGCATATCCGATGCCTCCCAGAACTTCAAAAAATAAAAAAAAGGATTTGCCCAAATCTCAGTCAGAGCTTCAGAATTCACCCATTCTCAATAGCTACCAACTGATTGGTAGCTATTCAGAAGTTGAATCTGAAATTGTTGAATGCCAAATCCCTTGTTTATCCAAATTTAGAACTACTCTAGCTGATACAACTACAGTGCAAGCCTTTTTTCACTTAACAAATTACAAAACGCTACATGTTGTCCTTGCAGGATGGCTTGTTGTTGCATTAGATGATGTTGATATGCTTGTTGTTGATTCATTTGTTGTTGATTCATTTGTTGTTGATTCATTTGTTGCTGTGAATACGGTTGATAACCGATCTGAAATGACTATAACATGACAAGAGCATTGATTAGTAAAGCATGCTGTGAATGCTGGGAATTAGAAGGGTAAGAACTTGAGCCTAAACACAAGCCTTCTGGTACACGGAGCTCTTGTAAACGCCCAGTTTTTAGCCCACTGCCTGGTACGCCAGACGCTGTGTCTGGTTTGCCAGAAGGATTGCGTTTACGCGGACACAAAGTACGTCAAAGTTCGATTCAAACTAGAAAGGGCTGTGTGAGCATTTTAGGGCTATCTCTTTCACACAGAACCTGTTGTGGGCCGGGGATTTGATGTTGTTGCGGGAAAAACTGTTGTTGCTGTTGTTGAGCGGAAATTGCGGGGGTTTGCGGTGGGATCAGCTCGATTGTTGGCTACAAGAAGCTTTATGAGCGAGATTAGGCAATTGTACAGGGTTATTTTTAGAATATTTCTTTTTTTTTGCGCGATCTGGAGCGCATGTAGACGAAATCTTTTCAAAAAAACCCACCGCATCAGCGAAATTCACATGCATATCATGTCCAGGGTTGGCATTTGTTTGCGAATGACCCGCGTAGCCAACATGGTTTGCATAGGGCATTGTGGCATCCATTTCGAAGGATGGTTGATGCTCGAATGATGGTTGCTGAAAGGAAAACGGGATTCAGTCTCAAAGTACGTCGAATCTCAAATACTCACATTAGATTGTGTCATCGAGTGCATTCTCGGATGTGGTTCAACAGCATCGAATGATTCAGCCGCATGAGTGGACTCCATCAATTGCCGTCGCATAATATCGGTGCCCGGTTGTTTGAATGATGGATCGAACTGTTTCGCGTGTATCCGAGCTACGTTTGAGTCCTCGGCAGCCTGGAAGGGAACTTTGGAAATACTTTTAGATATGTATTCAAGTGAGAATGGGTGCTTTTAACTTGATCCATGAACAATATGCAAAGTCTAAGATCATTTTCGACCTAGCTGGAAAGCATTTTGAATGCTCACTACACCAGAAAGTAAGAAACTTCAAGGATTTCAAGTCCTTGATTTCTCAGGTTTGAGAATGGACGCTTTTGGCTTGCTCCGTGAACATTTCTACAAGCTTAGAGCTTTTTTCAAGCTAACTGGAAAGCATTTTGAATGCTCAATGTATCAGAAAGTAAGAAACTCCAAGAATTACAAGTCCTTGATTTTTCAGCTTTGAGAATGGGAGTTTTTACCTTGATCAGTAAACATTATCCAAAGTCTAATATCACTTTAGATCTAGCTGGAAAGCACGTTAAATGCACATTACACCAAAGGTTGGAAACTTCAAGGATTTGAAGTCCTTGATTTATCAGGTTTGAGAATGGGCGCTTTTACTCTGATGCGTGAACATTTTGCCAAGTCTAAGATCATTTTAGTTCTAGCTGGAAAGCACTTTAAATGCTCAATGTATCAGAAAGTAAGAAACTTCAAGAATTTCAAATCCCTGGCTCCTGGGCAAACCCTGGCCAGGCCTGGTTTGGATTAGGATCCTCTATTAACTGTTCTATGTACCTGTAGCGCCATGAGACTCGCTTGTTCAGCTCGTTCCTTGGCGGTGCTTGTACGCGAGGCAGCAATGTCGGCCTGGAATTTGCATTTATAGAAATGATTACTGTAATCCAACAGTATTCTTAGAATTCTCAAACCTTTTGTTGTGCAATACTGGCTGCTCTATTCGCCGCTTCGACACTCGCCTCCACCCTTTCCCTTATCTTCGATGCTCTCACAAAAAGGACTCCTTTCCGTCTCGTTGACACTACCAATACGTTGTTCTTGTATTTGCCCTCCTCTTTTCTAAAGAACAATTAATTTTTGAAAGATTGAATATCTAATGGATCTAGTACAAGGCCCAGTACTACTTTTGTCTGAACTCACGTTCCATCGCGAAACGTCGTCACTCCGTATCCATTTTTCGCGTTATTCGACCATTCACCGTGATATTTCAAACCGTCGGATCTAGAAATGAAATCTTTTAGCTACAAAAGACACTGTTCGGTTACTGTAACATCAACTCTTTACCTCTCACAAACGCCGAATCCCGACCGGGCATCGTTTTTCCACTCTCCGCAGTACGTCTCAACAGCGCTCTCATCAATATTCTCTTCCTGAAAATAGGGATATGAATAGATATGCAAATTTATCTAGATATAGCCTAGATAATAATTGCATAGTACAATACTGCCACAATACTGTGCCAGACGGTGCACATTTATCAGAGCTTGGAGAACTCCAAGAATAACAAGTCCTTTATTTTTCAGGCTTGAGAATGGGTGCTTTTAACCTGATCCCTGAACATTATGCAAAGTCTAAGGTCATTTTCGATCTAGCTGGCAAACACTTTAAATGCTCAATGTATCAGAAAGTAAGAAACTCCAAGGATTTGAATTCCTTGATTTATCAGTTTTGAGAATGGGTGCTTTTAACTTGATCTGTGAACATTCTGCAAAATCTAAGACCACTTTAGATCTAGCTGGAAGGCACTTTAAATGCTCCATGTATCAGAAAGTAAGAAATCCCAAAAATTTGAAGTTCTTACTAATCTTAGACAAGTCAGGTCAAACCTTAATGACTAGTCTTGGTTCTAACTCCGCCACTATAACCCTGGCAAGCTTAGGCCACCGATCAAAACGAACAGCAATGAAAAGACAAACGAATCCAGTGTGTGCGATTTCTTCTCTCTCACAGCGATGGATCTTCTTGGGCATTGGTTGTTCCCTGGAAGCGGCCCGTTTCCTGCACGCCGCACATCCATGTCTATGAAAATCCATGAAAGCTGTTGGAGCCAATTTCTCGGTGTGATATCGACGCTTTTCGAATTGTGACTCAACACCGTCGCCATAGGAAAGTCTCTGCAGATCCCTCCTCGACCAATAGGTGCTGTGTCGATGGTTGTGATGTCCATTTTGGTTTAAATGAGGCACAGACGGGCTTCGGGACCTATTCATTAATGGATCCTGGATGTCACGGCGTGCCCTCCTCGGTCGCAGCGTGCAATAGTCGGGAATTCTCGAGTCCATCATTTTAGTGTAATGAAGGAATATTCAAATGTGATTTAGTAAGCGCAGTGCTGTCCAGGATCGATGGATTATAGATTAAAACGGAATATCGGCTCTTCCATGGCGATGAATCAATGAGAGATGAGGAAATCACTGCTTTGCGAGGAAAAAAAGTCATGTTTGCAGTCTTGCTTTCGGAGAAGGGAAAGGGACAAGCTCTCGAAATTCGGGGATTTGGGAATTTGGTAGATTTTGTCCGATCAGATCTCATCTTTTTCGATTTACGAAAGGGGATATTGTTCAGTTTAAGTAAACAATTCGAAATCGATATTAAACGTGTTTTTTAGACTCTGTGACTTCCATAGTTGGCCTCAATTCGATTTCGAGCTTTCATTCTCACCTCAGCTGCCGTGAAATCGCCCCGTCCTCGATGGAGCGAGTCTTCCGAGGTACAACTCATCGTGCTTCCACTCGATCGAAGAGAGCCTATAAAAAAGTGATTAAAGAACGAAAATCTTCGCTAAAAAATGTTATTTAATGAACTCCTGAACAGATTTTTTTTGTTATAAAATGAAAATTTGGAGATTAGAGGAAAAAAAAGCTGGGATACTGTAACCTTTAGACTTGAGAAACTCACGAGTATCTAAATATTAGTTTATCAGATAAATATCTAGATTATTGTAGAAACCTGTCATTGAAGTGACCCTTTGATGGATATCCCCGGTACTGTGTTGTTTTTGTATCCGAAGACCGGAGAGAATCGTTCGTTTCACGGCCAGGGAACGCTGGAAAGTCGAGATTAATGATTTTCTACAGTAAACCTTTCTACAAACCTACAGTAATCTGCTACTAAAGTAAGCACTTTAAATGCTCACTACACCAGAAAGTAAGAAACTTCAAGAATTCCAAGTCCTGGAATTCTCAGGTTTGAGAATGGACGCTTTTAGTTTGATTCTTGAAAATTATGCAAAATCTAAGATCATTTTCGACCCAGCTGGAAAGCATTTTGAATGCTCAATGTATCAGAAAGTAAGAAACTCCAAGAGTTTCAAGTCTTTCATTTCTCAGTTTTAAGAATGGACGCTTTTCACTTGGTCCGTGAACATTTCTACAAGCTTAGAGCTTTTTTCAAGCTAGCTGGAAAGCATTTTGAATGCTCAATGTATCAGAAAGTAAGAAACTCCAAGAATTTCAAGTCCTTGATTTCTCAGGTTTGAGAATGGACGCTTTTGGCTTGGTCCGTGAACATTTCTACAAGTTTAGAGCTTTTTTCAAGCTAACTGGAAAGCATTTTGAATGCTCAATGTATCAGAAAGTAAGAAACTCCAAGAATTTCAAGTCCTTGATTTTTCAGTTTTGAGAATGGGTGTTTTTAACTTGATCAGCAAACATTATGCAAAGTTTAAGACTATTTTAGATCTAGCTGGAAGGCACTTTAAATGCCCAGTGTGTCAGAAAGTAAGAAACTCCAAGAATTTCAAGTCCTTGTTTTTCCCGTCTACAGTAACCTCTAATTGAGCTTCAATTCTTTCATCCAAACCTCGGACAGTGATCGCCTTCTTCTCGCCGGCGCCGCACTGTTTGCCTTGAGGGCGAAACCGCCTCTTCCATCCACTCGTTCTTCTAAAAACAAAATTTTACAAAAATTCTAAAAATTCCCTCGTTAGAGAACCGGTTTCGAGAAAAATTATTTGACAAATTGGTAGGTTTTTAGAAATTGGACGGACGGACCCAAGAACCCTTGTAGAAGTAAGAAAATGGCTTCCAAGGTTGATAAAAGTTTAGGTTTTCAGTCTGGAAGCCATTTTTCGACAGAGGGATGAAAAATTATCACAGATAAAAGATCAAAATTGGTACCCCTTTGGGCTCGGCCTGGAATCGCTAAAATGAATTGGATAACTCCTCCAGCTAAAGCACTTTTGCTTAAGCTTGAAAATCTAATTCAAAACAAACTCGTGTCTTGCTCATCCCCACGGCCACTCCGTAAACTCGTCAATGAGGCGTTTGTCTGCAAATTTCAACCTTGGCATCCTAGTTCCAAAAATAATATTATACCTGGGATTTGTTCCGAAATTTCGCCGCGTGTCCATATTGAGCACTTTTTCGTACCCCGTACCCATGGCGCATCCCTCGCAACCATTGACCCTGATAGAGACCTGGAATGGAAATTAAATAGATTTTTTGGCTTTCAGAAGCATGTAGAAAAGGCTTGTTTTGAGAATGGTTTCCTTTAGCTTGTTTCGTAAACATTTTGCAAAGTCTAAGGCCATTTTAGATCTAGCTGGAAAGCATTTTGAATGCTCAATGTATCAGAAAGTAAGAAACTTCAAGAATTTCAAGTCCTTGATTTTCCCGATTTGAGAATGGGCGCTTTTAACTTGATGCCTGACCCTTATGAAAAGTCTAAGATCATTTTAGATCTAGCTGGCAAGCATTTTGAATGCTTAATGTATCAGAAAGTTGGAAGCTTCAAGAATTTCAAGCCCTTGATTTCTCAGGTTTGAGAATGGGTGTTTTTACCTTGATCAGTGAACATTATCCAAATTCCAATATCATTTTAAATCTAGCTGGAAAGCACGTTAAATGCACAATACACCAGAAAGTTGGAAACTTCAAGAATTTCAAGCCCTTGATTTCTCAGGTTTGAGAATGGTCAGTTTTTACCTTGATCAGTGCACATTTTGCCAAGTCTAAGATCATTTTTGATCTAGTTGGCAAGCAATTTGGATGCTCAATGTATCAGAAAGTAAGAAACTCCATGAATTACAAGTCCTTGATTTCTCAGTTTGGAGAATGGATGCTTTTAACTTGATCTGTGAACCGTTCTACAAGCTTAGAGTTATTTTCGAGCTAGCTGGAAGACAACTTGCGTGCCTGGTGAGCTGTTTTTGTTTTTTCTTTCAGTCTCATTTTTTGGTTGACCATTTCAACTTCAACTTGGTGTATTGTTCAAATTTCGGCGAAACACAAAACATTTCCCTTTCAATCGTTCCCTTGCTTTTCCGCTCATTGTTCGAAGGGGCTTACAGCGGTTCTGTGGAGCACATGAGATAAGGAAAAGGGAGATCCCAACAAGAGGCTTTTGGGGAAAAGAGTTGCCCGGAAGAAAAAACACAAGGAGTAGGGAAGAAAGGAAAAATGAACAGACTATTGATTCGATCAGAGGGAGGGATGAGTGGCTGTGAGAGAGGGGCTTTTGAAAGAGCCACGTACGAGTTCAGGGTTTAGAGTAGGTGTTGAAAATTTTCAAGATTCGAAGCTAAATCTAATTCAAGCATAAAACATGACCTCCAGTTGGCCTAGAAATGGGCTTAAACTCGTGAAAAAGTTTACGGATGAAGCTAGAAGGATCCATTCTCAAATGTATGAAAATCAAAAATGTTGTTTTTCTACTTTGCAATGAGTCGAGCACTTAAGCTGAGGTCCAACTAAGAAAATCTCGGTATTAAAAAAATTCTAGCTTTCAAGCAAAGCTTTATCGTACCCAATTCTCAATATCTAGAACCGAGCCTACCTTGATCGGCGTAAATCTCTGTGCCATATCCATCATGAAATCCGCTACTCCAAGTGCCTTGATATTTAGCTTGATTGAGACTTGATTCTAAACAAAACTTTGCTGTTTATGAAAAATCTGGCTCACCGTTTTTGCCATGACACTGCCTCACTCCGTAGCGTCCCTTCAATCTGAAAGGAACACTTCAAATCAAATGAAAGTGATCAAAGCTTACCCTTGGCTCCATTCTCCACGATAGACCCATCTCCCTCTCGCTTCGACCCCTGCAATTATTGCTAGACACTCCTTTCACTTTCCTTACCCAATCCACATCGTTTCCCATTTTGCCATTGTCCTTGATATGTATTTCCCGAGGGCCAAGTGTAGACACCGGACACCTAAAATACATGGATATCTATTCTATCTATTCTATCTATTTGAGTGTCACTCCACAAATGTCTCTTGGCTATTTTCAATGAATGGGTGTGGGTGGTTTGGAGAAAAGGGGAAAAGAGGCAGTGAGCTCCAGGAAGGGTCTTTTGAGTGACGACTGCCTTCCTGAAGTCACCACCGAATGAAAAGGCGAGTCAAGGGGAGAGTTGGAATGAGAAGGCGTCGATTTGCCGAGAACCATGTCAGTTTTTAGTTTTTTGAGACTAGGAACAATGATCCTGGAAAGCAACTTAGCTTCCTTGAGTAAAAGATTTGGTGAGGAGCGCTTTTGACTCAGATTGAGAATGGTGGCTAATTGAGAATGGTTAAAAATTTCAATTCTCCCATGAGTTAGCAAGAAGTAAAGTTATTATTCGGTGAATATGGGTCGCATTGTGATTGCTGATACTCAATAACATTCACTAATACAATTTTTGATAGTAAATCCCATAGCTCTGTAGCAGGGTATGCTTTTCAGGGTCCTTTTCAGGTCCTTTTCAGAGGGTCCTTTTCCGAAAGGTTGCCAAATAAATCTAGGAGTTTGTGAGAAGGAAACTTGAAACAATGGATTCGAAGAAGCACTAGAACAACAAAGGATTCAAAAGAATTGTTTCCTTTTCCTCGTCAGATCCCAATACTTGTGGGAGAGCCATGTGGCTTGAAGAGTGAAAATTTTGAGTAAAAGGTAGAAATACTTATTGATGAGAGGGCAAAGATCAGAAATTTGGACTTCAACTTCAACAATAACTAATGGAATTTCTTTCTAATGGAATTTACGAAATCGGGTCACTTCAAACTATTCTGAGGCTCAATTTTCTGAGTCGAGACCTGATTCTAAAGCCTTTCAGCATCACTTTGACAAACCTCAAAGCCGTAGTGCCACGCTCCGGCGTATTCTCCTTTCCCCTGTGGACCCGTGCAGATACCGTGACCGTGAGCCTGGAAGATTAAGTTAACAATAGAAGGTTTGAGAATAAACGCTTTTAGCTTGATTCTTGAAAATTATGCAAAGTCTAAGATCATTTTCGATCTAGCTGGAAGGCACTTTAAATGCCCAATGTGTCAGAAAGTTGGAAACCTCAAGAATTTCAAGTCCTTGATTTCTCAGTTTGGAGAATGGATGCTTTTAACTTGATCCGTGAACATTATGCAAAGTCTAAGACTATTTTCGATCTAGCTGGAAGGCATTTTGAATGCCCACTGTGACAGAAAGTCAGAAACTTAGAGAATTTCAAGCCCTTGATTTCTCAGGTTTGAGAATGGGTGTTTTTACCTTGATCGGTAAACATTATCCAAAGCCTAATACCACTTTAGATCTAGTTGGCAAGCAATTTGAATGCTCAATGTATCAGAAAGTAAGAAACTCCAAGAATTTCAAGTCCTTGGTTTCTCAGATTTGAGAATGGATGCTTTTAACTTGATCTGTGAACATTTCTACAAACTAAGAGTTATTTTCGAGCTAGCTGGAGGACAACTTGCGTGCCTGGTGAGCTGTTTTTGTTTTTTCTTTCAGTCTCATTTTTGACTGAACATTTCAACTTCAATTTGATGTATTGTTCAAATTTCGACCAAACACAAAACATTTCCCTTTCAATCGTTCCCTTGGTTTAACAATAAAAAAACAGTTTGGTAAGAAAAACGAAATGTCCTATCACTCTTTAAAGTCTTTAATCAAATCGATTAGCTCTTCAATGAGTCAAAGAGCTTCAATTCTCAAGTTGAATCCATTTCCGCACTGACCTTTCCCTCTTCCCATCCTCCGCAATACGCTCCGCCGTCGTCGAAGTCAAAACGGCCGCCGTTCATCGTACGCAAAAGAAGCACAAGTCTGAAAATGGGCACTGAGAACGATTGACAAATTGGAAAATGAATACACCTCAAGTTTGAAAGAGGTTCAGCAAATAAAATGCTTATTTTTCGATTACCTGAGCCTTGTTCCCGACTTTGGCTGAAGTAGCAGCCCGCACGGCGCTCACTTGCATCCCAACACACCTAAATCAGCTTCGGTTCCGAAATTCTCGAAAAAACCCACGTGCCACTGTGTGTTGGTGTTGGGGAAATTGAGGAAAAATAGTCGACAGAAAAAATAAAAGGCGAACGAAAAATGATTATGGTCGGCGTTTCAAAACGGCGATTCTCTCCACCACCCTCGGAAATCGATTCTCTTCGATCTCTTCCTCGATTTTCACGGAGATCGGGAGAAAATCGGATCGATCGTCGTCTGAAAAAATTAGAAATTCTAAACTTTCAACTTTCAAAAAACGTTCAAATAAAGAAAATGGTAGATTCTATGAGTTCCAGGAAAGAGAATTTGTTGTCTTTTTTTGGCAAAATGACTTGACTGGAATGGAAAAGAGCTGCTTAGAGAGAAATTGATCAATTATAAAAAAATAATATAAATTTTTAGCTATATTTGTTTACTTTAGAAAAAGGTGTAAAGCGTAAATAAGATTGAAAAAGGAAATCAGGACGGAAGGCGGCGGGGGGAGCTCGACCAGTCTAGAAGGGGCATAGAAAGGGTCCCAATGGGGCGATCGATAGACACAACTGACACACAGAACCCCCATTGAAAAGGAGGAGGAAAAAGGAGAAGTGAGGGGGGAAAGATGTGGGGAGGGAGGGAAAGGGAATCGGGGAAGGAGGAGAAGGAGGAGGGGATCGGGGAGGGCTGGGGAGGGGTGGATTGGATCAGGGATCTTCAGGTAGAGGTGAAGCTAGATAGATCTGGTGTAGCGAGCATTTAAAGTGCTTTCCAGTTAGGTCGAAAATCGTCTTAGACTTTGCATAATGCTCACGGATCAGGTTAAAAGCACCCATTCTCAAATCGGAAAAATCAACGACTTGAAATTCTTGAGGTTTCCAACTTTCTGATATATTGAGCATTCAAAATGCTTGCCAGCTAAGTCGAAAATAGTTCTAGACTTTGCATAATGCTCACGGATCAAGTTAAAAACGCCCATTCTCAAATCGGAAAAATCAAGGACTTGAAATTCTTGGAGTTTCTTACTTTCTGGTGTAGTCAGCATTTAAAGTGCTTTCCAGTTAGCTTGAAAAAAGCTCTAAGCTTGTAGAAATGCTCACGAGTCAGGTTAAAAGCGCCCATTCTCAAACCTGAAAAATCAAGAATTTGCAATCCTTGAAATTTCCAACTTTCTGATACATTAATCATTCAAAATGCTTTCCAGCTAAGTCGAAAATGATCTCAAGACGAAAAGCGACCCAGGCTATAGATAAAAAGTTATGGGCATTCAAAGCCTTCACTCAAAATTCCTAGATTTACCCCAGTACTTTCGGATTTTGAAAGGGAGATGAGTGAATGAGATCGGATTGGGGAATTGTTGTATAGATTGGTCTTGCCTTTAGCCTGCCTAGGCTGGTTTAGGAATTCAGAAACCAAGGCCTAGCTTGGAGATTGACGAGGGAGTAAATCAGGAACAGATAAAGATCAAAAAATGTCGAGGAAAACGAAAGGTTATGTAGGATTGGGTGAAGAGAAGTCAAGAAAGGAGTCGAAGGCGCTATGGTAGGCCTAGAAGAAAATCTAGTTCAAAAATTCGAGAAAATGGTTAGATAAGGGTAAGCTAAAGACAAAAGACAACGTTAAAACTCGACCTTCCCTGCTTCTCTCTGATCAGTTTTATCCCAGAATTCACCATATGGCCACAGTGGAATAGATTTCGATCGATTGATTCTCGAAAAAAGAAAAAGGCCATTTTTCATTTCGCTTTCATTTTTCATTCAAAAATCCCGAAAACTATTGAAAATTTCGAAATTTTCATAATTCAATTGAAAGTTAATGTACTTTGAAACTCGTAAACGCCCTTATCTAGCCTAGAATTTTGTGGGCTAGATCGAGTGCGTTTTAGAGAGTTCATTGCACCAGAAAGGGTTTGTTGTATAGCTTAAAGTACACGAGAAAAAGATCAAAGGGAGAATTTTACGTGTTAAGCTAGAAAAATGGAGATTTTCCTGTTGAAATTTATGAAAAAGCCGATTCGTCACACTAAATTCCCAGCCATATAAGCCTTCTAAAAGACAAGATTCGGAAAGAAAAAATGGGAAAATGTTTACAAGTAAAGTTCAAAACCAAAAAAAACATTAGGAAAAATGGAAATAGAAAAAATAGAAAAAATCCAAAAAATCGGAAAAAATTGGAAAAAAATGGAAAAAATTCAAAATCAGTTAAATTCAACGGCATTTTAGTCACTCGGGAGTTCAAAGCTCATTTCTATCTGTGGCCACTCATCGCCTCGATAGCTCAGTTGGGAGAGCGTTAGACTGAAGTGGTCACAGGAATCTAAAGGTCACCGGTTCGATCCCGGTTCGGGGCATTTTTTGAGTTTTTTTGTAAAAATCATCGAATTATCAACAATGAAATGGCAATTTGGGTCCTTGGCAATCAATTTAGGCCATTGAAAATCTGGCTAGCTGTCAATCACAATGCTTTGAATGATCCACCACCATCGAAAGACGTTGGAATCAGTTCAACCATCACCATCGAAAGACGTGGGAATTCGTTGTTCCCTGGGCACCTGAGCGGGGCGGTTAAAAGTTGAAAATGTCAGAAAACAGTTCACAATCAAGACTTGGCAAGGTTTTGTTCAAAAAAAATGAGAAAGAAGGACAATGATTAAGTAGAATGATGAGTCGTCAGGGACCGGGAGGACCCCTGGCCCTACCCTGGCCCTACCCAGCCCCTACCCAGCCGCCCATCCATTCATTCGCCCAAAAATCGACGTGAGGTGCGAGAGGGGGGCCCAGGGAAGAAAGCTGGAAAGCGGAAAGACGAGAAAGACCGAGGGGGCGCAGCAGTTTCAATTTTCGGCCTCACAGAGTCGGGGCCCAGAGAGATGCGGGAGAGATAGAGAAAAGGGATCTAGACGGCCAAATCTCAGGGTCCTCCATGAGCTTCTTCTCAAGGAAAGGAGAGAGAGAGGACGATCTTTTCGTCTCCCGCATTCACTTGATCTCTGCAATGTCTGGGATATGTGTGCCTTGGGTCTCTCAGTGTGTGTGTGTGTCTCCTGCAACAGTCGGCGAGGGTTACTAGAGAAAAGCTGAAAGAGGCGATGTGTATGTGTGTGTGGATCCGGGGACACTCGAAGTCCCCTCCCTTTTCTCTTTTTTGCGAAGCTCTCCCCGGGGATCGATCCACCTCCTCGCCCATTTCTTTCCCCTCAAGCCTTTTTTGCACCTTGCCCATGATCTAGAGCTCGTCGCGTTGAAGGGCTGACTAAGCTGGGACTCACCAAGCACTTCCAAAGAATGACATCTCTCAGAAATGTTGCCATTGATCTGGGTGACCTCCTTCTCACTGATAGAGCCTCCTTTTTACACCTTGTAAATGATCTAGAGCCGATCACATTGAAAGCCTAGCTGAGCTGGAGCTCACTAGGCAAATCGCAAACAATAACAACAATGGAATGAGAAAAATTTTCTGACGGATTCCGTTCATTCCATCACAATACGAAATGATCTGAGTTGATCGGGAGGGGGAAAAAAAAGGGGGAAAGGAATAAGGAAAAGGGGCTAACAACAGCTGTGCGCCAGGAGATGGCCAGGAAAAGGGGAAGGGGAAGGGAGGGCGGTGGATGGGGGAAGACCCCGGGGTCATAAACTTGAGGGTGGCACCGGGAGAGTAGAGGAGGCGGATTTTTTTCTGCAGAGAAAGGGATTTTCATTAAAGAATTAAAGAGAGTGTGACATCCAATTCAAAGAATAAACTAGTCAACGGTCTAGATTATCGCTGAAATTCTCTAGTTTTCTAGAGCAATTGGATTGGTGGTGAAATCGCTCTTTTTAACGAAAAGTCGATTGAGCAAATTAAAGTGTGACATCCAGTTTGCTGGGTAAAGCATTAAAAAAAATTGTTTCCTACTAGAATGCGTGAGTTTTCGCATGGCATTAGCTATCGAGCAAAAGAATGGATCTAATTTCTCGCTCATAAAAAGCCCAACTTGCGCGTGGAACTAATTGTTTCTGTTAGCCGATACGAGTACGAGTAAAATCTTCAGTGTACTTAAAGAGGAATCTGTGCAAAAGTTGAAATATTGAAAGAGTGAGGGTGTGAAGAATTGAATGAAGAAGGAGAAGAAGGAGAAGAAGGAGAAGAAGGAGAAGGAGGAGAAGAAGGAGAAGAAGCACAAGAAGCACAAGAATCGTCTCTTTGTTTGTGACGATCAAGAAAGGGAAAGAAAAAGAAAGGGACGGTCGATTGGGCACTCGAGTGAGGGGAAAATGGGGAAAAGATTGGGATGAGTGCGGGAATTTGGAAAGGAATGAGGATAAAGGGGATGAAGAATGGGATTTGGATGATGATTGCTCACAAAAATAGCCTCCAGATTACCTAGACTCTGGGTTTTCTAAAAAGACGCTCTTCAGCAGAAACTACCGTACCTCCTTTCGTTTTTGGTCACTCAATAGATTACTGTAGCTTTAACCAAAACCAGAACCATGGTAGCTTTCTGCTGTTATAGTATTGCAGGCTGAACTATTTCCTAAAAGCTGCTCTTCCGGAAATGCTACCGCAATCCGCTAGCTAGGAATCTCATAGGTGTAATTAATGCAAAAATTTGCATTTTAAATTTCCCGAACACTTTATCGCATCAAAACTGAGTGTTAGTGGCAAAATCACAAAAAGATAAATAGAATAAATACAAAATGAAATGACACTTTTGTTAATACTTATAATTTGTAGCCGAAGGGGCGGTTGTCGTGAAATATTTGGACCTTTGATGGGGATGAGTGATTGGGTACGATGATGAAGTTGATGAAGTTGATGAAGTCAAGGAATTCCCAGTTGTCACCACTCTTCTCAATGTTGTCGTCGGTTTCAGATCGCTTGTCTGAAAAGGGGAACCGTCAAAATCTACAGTGCAACATCTGTTATTACTAATATACGAAATTGGGTAAAGTAAACCGGCTAGTTCGTTCAAAAGGTTTCTGCGGTTGACTTGTTTGCGAATTTTTCAGGAAACAGCCAGTTTAGATACCAAAGTAAATCATATCCATAAAGGTATTCTCATGAAATAGTTCAACTGAACAAAGTTGGGTAACTACTAATCCGTCAAATTGTTGAGCCGGTTTATTTTTACCCAACAAAATCATCGAATTTACCAATTCCCTCAAAACCCACTCACCCTTTGAATCGTTCTCACCGGTCCTCCGCCAACAGCATTCAATCGATAGCTGGCATTCTTTGCGGTCATCGATGGCGGCGATAGGGCTTGCACAGAGATTCGTTCTGAAACAACAATAAATCACAAAGTTCATCAATTAACTCAACTACATGTAAAAACATGTGTATATGATATGTAAAAGAATTCCTGTAAATGGGGAAACATTGCAGTAAACTGGCTTCCGAATAAATAAATTATCACCTACCCGATATAATCCTCTTGTTCGGCGTCAAGGCAAACGGTCGAAGTGCAGGCAATTGCAGGTGGAGAGAGGCGAAATCGGTGCTCTCGAGGCGTTTCACAAAATTCTCGACTCTGAAAGGGAATCAATCCAAAAGACCTATCTAAATCCAACCTTTGTATAAAAACCCGATTATAATACGTGATGATGTCCACATTCTCGTGTTGAGCAACGGTGTGCTGTGATGGTGGGCGGTCACCCTAAAAAAAAGAAATCAAAATCCAATAGCTAATTCAATCAAGTATGGATAGTTTTCAAAAACAAACCAGACTGTTTCCATCTGGATCGAGTGTTTGATTGGTGCCATCGTTGGGTCTAAAGTTGAATCATTTCCATATCAACTAGATCCCATACCGGTCAATTTCCACAACGACTGCTCGATACACTTCGGAAGATGCTTGAGGTTGTTGTTTGTACTGTTGCATGATTTGATTGAATGTGATCTCCAAATTGAGTGAACGAGCCGCAACATATCTGGAAATGGGAAAAGAATTTTCAGGCTACAGCATAGCTACAGTATACCCTAGCTAAAATACTGTCTCAAATTAACCCACAAGCAGCACATCAAATTCTGATCGAGATGTCGTCCAGCCATGAGACTCGTCTCCGTGCGCAGCATGTACTCAACCAGTGTCCATACCTAACAATATATTCAATGATCTCGAAAACCACCGTAACCCACCCTGCTCTTTGCCGTTTCGTTCATTTTCAGTCGCTCACATAAGTCCACGAGTCGAACCGATGCAAGGTAGTAGATCTAGAATTTGATATCTAATCCAAAAAATTTAATTGAATTAATAGCTAATCCAAGGCTTTAACTCAAAATCACCTTTCTGAAGAACAACGTTAACACACCGCTTGACGGCATCTCGTCTTCATCGACCCTAGAAAAAGAGAAGTTTAATCAAATGGTGCTTAAGATATTTAGATATCAACTAGTGCTATTTATATCAAAAAATATACCTCATTCTTTTCGCCGGTGAATACAAATCGCCGCTCATCTCCGACGTCCACACTTGTTTACAACTCGGAACAACTGGAAAACTTGAAATGTAGATGGGCTTTTTTTACTAGATACATAATACATATTGTACCCAATAACAGCTTATTTCACCGAAAAGCCCACTCACCATCAGCTCTTCTCGACAAAAGACTCCACAGTGGACTGTCAAACGACCAGGCGTACTCCTCGAGGATTCGTTCTTCTAACTAAAATCAGTATTATCAACTCAGTGGGTCAGATAACTCAATATCATTCAAAAAGTGTGGTTCGTTTACCCGATTGAGATGTTTGACCATTTCCCTCGACAAGGCGCTCTCCGATCGAATGACCACCTCGATGATTTTGTAAAAATTGACTGCCGGCAGACCAATCATGTCTAAAAGAGGGGAATTCTATTGTTGTTCGAATAAAATATAGCCTCACCAAGCACCCAGGGGAAAGATCGGATCGACTTCTTCGACGCCATCACTAACTCCAGCACCAGCGCGTAGAGTGAGGCCAAGAATTCGTCTTTGCGCACGATTGCCTAAAGCATTGTTCTAAACTTTTCAATTTCAAAAAACAACTGTGAAATCGACATCTCGATAAACGGACATTCGGCTGCGCTCAAAAATGATGATCTTCTCAAGGAAACGGTAGAAAAGATTCGCGGAAAGGGTTCTGAAAAGAAAAAGGAACTGAATAGACTAAAATTAGCCTCTTACTTGATCTTCTCGATTGATCCATTCACTTGTTGATCAAAATTCGCGCCAAGAGCCGTTTGTTCTTCCTCAATTTTCGCTAGGAATCTAGATTTTAAGTTTAAAATGGTAAAGAGTTTAAAAATCAAAGCTTTTACCTTTCAGACAGGGTCTCAATCGCTTGCATAATCTCCTGCAACGGGTCATCGTGGTAATCGGAGAAGCAACGGTACAGTTCAGAGTCTAAACATCAAAAAAATTATGCAGCTAATCTAGATATATCTAACAGCCATTTAACCCACTTTCAATAGTCCATCCATCCGGGATCAACGCCTCGAGCCGTTCCGTCGACAATGTGGGCGCCTGCGCCGGGGTCATCGGACAGAACTGCTCAGAGGACATGATGTATCTAAAAATATCTAGATATAGATAATATTATCCAAATATAAAAATATTCAATTAAATTCACTTACGCTTTGCCGGACAATGGAGTCGCCTTGAATTTGTCGACTTTCTCGAGGCAAGCCTAAAGAGAAAATGGGTCGAATTATGCAAATTTGCATCAGATATAGATAATTCTCATAAGTAATCTTCGAAAAAAGCTACTTTACCTGTGTTGACATTCGCAGAATCAATGAGGTATCGACGGACCACTCGGATTGCTCACTTCGGCGTAGCATTTCGATGGATACGGCTAAAAATCGTTATTGCTTAAGCCATAGAATTATCCAAAATTTATCCAATAGTACCATTTGAATAAAATAGTATTTCTAGACTCACCATCAAAAGTCGAATTGTAAACGAGGGAAAAGTTGAGCGGGACAAAGAGTCGTTCATCAAATTCACCCCTCAAATGCAATTGCTCACCGTAAACCGCCTCGAGATCGTTTCTGAACAGTAAACAATAAGCGTTTTAAGTTGCTGTAGGCCATTTGTTTAGTTCGCTAAAAAAAAAAATTCAAAACCTACATATAATGCTCAGCATTTTGTGCGAAATCGGGCGGCTCGTTGAATGGGATTTTCTGGAATTGGTTACATAATGTCCAAAAGATATTCAATTAAAAAGAAAGCTCAATACAAATAGATAAAGATATTCAGCTGACCTCTAGAATCGTTTTCTCGAACCAGTGCATTTTGAAGTGTTTCGCATCGAGGGCGGCTCCCTCAAAGCGATTGCATAAAGTCGACAACAACAACTCGCCGCCGCCTTTCGTCTCATTCACTAAATGAGGTGAATTTGATAGTTAAAGCAATTAAAACTCACAAAATTCTTGTGTTAGCGTGCTTTGATGTTCGTGTGCATCGAGATCCCTAACAACCAGGTCAACACAACAAAGAAGAACGTGGAAACAAACAAGAAGATCCTCATTTGCCGCGGCTGATAGTTGGCCTGGAAAATGGATTGTTGCTTGAAAGTTGACCTGATAATGCATAACCATTATAGGTTTTTAGGCTAAGAATATCAATAATTCTCAAAAACTCACGTTTCACGTTGATGAACAAGTACCAGATTAGGCGAAAGATCTGTTGTGGTGCCGCGGGGAGATCCATGTCGGGAGTGGGACGGGAAAAGACGTATCTAAAGGGGAAAAAAATAGATACTGTACACGTAGATATTGTAAATAACGTTAGATTATAGAAAAATCATAGTACTCACCGAAAAATCGGCAAATATTTCTTGTAGATCACCGCCGAGATGGCCAACGTGTTCTGGATTCGGCGACACTGAAAATAAATGCAAATGAACAAAAAGCTCGACAGTAAAAACAACTTGGTTTGGGGTTTTTTTTTTGCTGAATAAGCGTAAATTCACCTGATTCAACAGCCGACTCGATGTTGCCTGATTGAAAATGTCGGAGATCCGGGATAAACGATCGAAAAATTCAATAGCACTAAAAAAAAATGGCAAAGTTAACTTTATCAGTTCTTTAGAACTCACCTTAACTTTCCAGCCTCCAAGATTTTACACAACGGATATCTAAAAAGAACATATACACTTTGATTTTCGTAAAAGTTACCGAAATCTCGGCATATTGACGATTTTCTTCTGCATTTGTTGATGAGCGAAAAGAGAGGCGGCCATCCAAGGGATTTCACTGCTCTAAAAAGGTAAAAATTTAACAAAAACACCTCTAACTCGCCTCTAAACAACATTGTGCATTCACTCGATCATACAAAATCCAGGAATCTCGTTGAAAGCTTTCATCCATCATCGGGTCAATCGATTCGCAAAGATAAAGGAATTGATTGGTGGGCGATGCTCGACATTGATCCTCGTCGAATGATGTCGATGAGTGGGTTGATTCTAAAACAAAACAAAAAAACTTAATAAAGGGCTATCTTTGCCAAGTCTACCATGGTTTTTGCCACGTTCAGCTACAATAGTTGATTAAAAACATAAACTACACAGTTTCATCATTACTATTTCAATTCCAAAGCTCATAATACAGTTTTAAAACTTATTGAATAGACCTAACTCTAAAAAGCATTAGTCCAAAGTCACCAAACTCACCCCGATCATCGTATCCATTCTCATCACCGATTTCTTCATCTTTAATCACCACCTAAAAAAAAAACAAAAAATGGTTTAAAGATATAAATATCTAAGCTAGTACTGGGTAATCAAAAGCTAAAGCTACAGCTAGATAGATTCAAACTTTTTTAATTCAAAAACAAACAAACCTCTTCCGAAATATAGCTCGGCTCAACCATCACATTGAGCAAAAAGAAGCACGATCTAGAAAATCAAATTTAAAAATAGTAATTAAAGTTTAAGTTAAGATGAATATCAAAACAAATTGCCCAAGATTCCCGCCTACAAAAGTCAAAGTCAAATTTTGAGGGGGTGAAGGGTTGGAGGTGAAAAAAAAAGGGGGGAAATTGGTGTGGAATGGGGGCCGTTTGGCTTCCCGCCATCACTCGTTTCTTTTCCATCTCTTCATTTCATGCACTATTCCCTTTTTCAACATTTAGCGGACCTCAGCTCATTTTTAAAGGAATATCTTGATCGACCTTATACGAGAAAACTATAGTGCTTTACAAATCTTGAATTTTGTATCATTCTCAAACCAAATCCAAAGCCAGAGCTCAAGTTATGCATTTCATTGGCCCTTTAGCCACCAGCGCACGTAATATCCCTTTCAATATCCACAATTTATTTGCATTTCCTGAGATAAACAATCACAAAAAACGCACACTATTCATTTGTTCAAAAAAACTACCGTAACCCACATTGCATTCATCGACCAAAAATGTGAAATATGCATAGAGATAAAACACAACGAGATATGTGAAAAAAAACCCGTAAATGTAATATATTAGAATAACGCGAATAGATTAAATAATAAAAGCGATAAAAAATAGGAATTTATTAAGATGATAAGTACAGTACTTTTAGATATTTTAGATGGGCAATTGCTAAAGATCTTAAAAAGCCATGAAATTATCCAAAGAGTCCACCCTTTCCTTTGTATTTCGCGAGAAGAGCCGATGAAGTGGCCGCGTATCCCCGGGTTGAATCGGCCAATCGTTCCGTTGCATCACTTGTTGCCTCCAAGCGATCACCTCGCTCGTTTAGATTCTAAATGATAAAGTTAGCAATAGAATCTGAAACCGTTTCTCTATTAAGCAAGCATTCTACTACCTCGGACATTTCCACGAGTTTTTTCGCCTTTTTTCTCTTCTAAATTTGCATAACATTCACCTGTATTGTTTCTTTGAGCGCTTTTCCGGCACTTACTCCCTTTGAGACGAGACTTTGGAATGATGACGATGTTGAAGGGCCGGCTGTGCTTGACGTTGATGGAAGACGATCGCTTCTCGCCTCACTTGTTAGGGTTTCTCTAAAATGGAATGATCCAACTTATAAAAAAGAGCTTTACCCACCGTCTGACAGCTTTTTTCGGCGTTTCCGAAGCTCGAGCCGTCTCCAATCGCTCTTCGACCTGTTTCTTCACTAAAGAAATTTATTCTATTGGCTAAACAGTGAATTTCAAACCTTTTGAGAATAAGCTTATTCCTCGACCGAATTTCTCCTTTTTCTTCTCACTCTTTGGTCGATTAAATTTCTAAACTTGTATCTTTTTACTAAACTTTTGAAACATTAAAGTGCTAGTGTTTGATCACCTGAGGACGTTCGTTATTATGCTAAAACTTGGATAATTTACCTAGCCTGTAGAACTATTGTAACCTATCATAAATCCATTAGAATAAAGTTACTTGCCTCCTCTTGCACGGCTTCCTCTTGTTCTTTCTCTTTTCCCACTTCCGCCTCTTCGTCGATCAATTCGAGGGCTTCGTGTGCACTGTTCACTCGCGATCTTGTTCCATCCTCATCCAGTCGTCCGTCTTCGATCCCATAAACCGGTTGATCGCAACGTAAGATCAGCGTGAAGATAACCTGTGATTTAATTTGTAAAGTAAAACACATTAAAACTAACCCAAGTGATCGCCGCCCAAACACGTGAATACCAGGGCATCTGCTGTCGACCTAAAATGAAAAATCGTATCGTAGAATTAAATCTAAAGGTTTATCAACTCTAGAATTAAACGGATTTACCTAAGCTCCCATCCTCGTTAAGCATCGCGTATCGAACGTGGCCAGCTGTAGTGGAGCCAGAGTAACAAGCTGAAAGAGAATATTTTGAGATTCGATCAAAAGAAATGATGCTTTATAGGTAGCTAACGTGCTAAATTACATGCAAAACCTCTTCAGCAAGTATAATTTTCAAAACCTACCGTTATTTGTTGTTGAAGAAGAACTAGAGGCTGACCAAAGAAATCCGAACATCGATCAACCAGGTGAGTGATGAATCGCCTCGTTTTTTACGGAAAACGGTGAAAACCTGAAAAAAGATTAGAATGGAAAAAAAACTTGCAAAAATACAGGTAATGTTGATGTAACGAGGGCTAAAGCTATGGATGAGCCGGAAAAATACGATCTGACCAAATCATATCAAAGATCCCCCCCCCGAACTTTATTAGTACCGCTGGTTTAACCGAATTTCTCAACAAGTTTCGATAAAAAGGGGTTCAGGTGAATTAAAGCTTGTACAACCAAAAAATGTTCAAAACAATCAAAAAAGGAACAATGGGATTCATGTATGGGAAATCGATGGGGAAACATTCGAACGCGAGCCCTCTCAATTAGTCACCGCCCAATAACACTCTCCAATCACTCTTCGGAAAGCTTGCAAAACTTTATCAAATGATGTCACTTTTCTCAACTCATCACAAGATATTTGATGTTAAAAACTTGGATGCATTCTCTGCAAATAAATTACAACCATTTATTCCCTGAAAGCGATAAATAACAGATTGATACCACAGATAATAAACCCTTATCATGGGAACACCGTCAAAATTTAAGTAAAGCCATAAATTACGATAAAACGGTGAAGGAAAGGCTAGAAAATGATTACAAATCTTGTCCTTGGCGCTCGATTTTCATCAACTCGACCTCGAAACGAAGAGTGGCACCTGGAGGAATCTTTGGGGGAGCTCCACGCTGAAAAAAGATTTGAATAAGTGTTTTGAATTAATTTTAATATCCATCTTTGTTACTTTTTCATATTCGTTCGACACAACTCACATCTCCATAAGCAAGATGCGATGGAATGGTAAGGCGACGTTGTTCTCCCTCACACATGTTTAACAAACCTAAATAGAGTTCTAACAAGTTAACGTATTTCAAAACCTTGATCCCATCCTTTGATAACTTGTCCTTGTCCGAGAGTGAAAGTGAATTCCTGAAGAGAAAAAGATATACTGAAATCTGTCTGGAATCACAAAGTCTACCTGATCCCTGGAACGAGATGAGTCGAATTCGGTCCCATCAAGAAGAGTTCCCACGTAGTGCATATGGAGGAGGTCTCCCTTTCGACTCTTCACCTCACAATTGTCCACACGTTTCTATAAAATTAGTTAAAGCGTTTCTCACAAGAGAATGTCAACTGGATGATGGCCAAATGACATGTGCCACGGGTTATTCGACGCAGAATTCAACGCCGATTTTGAGTCTGCTTTCCGTTTCTGCTACGGAGCACTCTGTCAAAAGTTATAAGCGTGCAAAGTTTTGTATGGGATTTCAAAAATCACACCTCGAGTTTATAAGCAGATTTCCCAGAGACTTTAAGAAGCAATGGTGGCTATACTTTCAAAGTTCAAAAACTTTATGTTGACTAAACCATACCTTGATTCCAATTTGAAGTTTCCCTTGTTCTTCTCCATAGACGAGGGCACAAAGAGCCACAAGGCAAAGAAAAGTTTTCATCCTAAAACAACAAAATTCCATCCAAAATGTTGTTTGCAAGAAAAAAATTCACATATCCAAATGCCTGAACATTCCTCAAAAAAGATGAATAAGTCAAAGAATATTTATTAAATGACACAAATAAAGTATGGCAATTATGCAACAAATGAAAATACGATAATCCCTTCTAAATGGCTTGAAACTTATCACTATCGCTACACCTATAACATCAAAGCATCATGTACAATCGTTTTCAATCTTTCACAATCGGATTTTCCTCTTCTTCCATCTGAAAATGAAAAAGAATACTAAAGTGTCTAATTGTATATATCTAACAAATTCTAGTAAAACAAGCATTACCTGAATCTCAATGATTCCCGAATGAACGGCAAAAATGAGCGACAGTGTCAGCGCACCCAGCCCAAATAGAATGGCATCTCTGAAAATAACATTAAACTAGCTTTTTAGAATAATTCTTGAGCTAGTTACTCTAAAATTACCTAATCGGCAAATCTTCTGCTTCCTCCTCTTTTGGCTGTGCAGCGCTAGCTTCTTTCTGTTTGATCGCCTTAGCCACACGAGTTTGCCAGAAAGTATTGCTTTTAGATTGTTTTGAATCGGTTGACGGTAAGTAGATGGAGATGATGAGCTCAACAAAACGCACAAGGTTTGGGCAAGCGGACAAATGTACCTAAACCGTCAATAAAACTGAGGCATTAACTTTTAAAAACCTGTAGCCGATCATTTGGCAGAGGGACTCTCAAAAGTACCGCTAAATATCCAAAAACCAAAGCATCAAGGCTTGTTGGCCTAAAAGTTTTATGAAATTGACAAATAGATCCTACTCACTTGTCTCCATAGAAATATTTATTGTCACCAAGTTTTGCAGAAAGCATATTCAAAGCCTAAATTTAAAGTCACTAAAAAAGATGTTGACTTCAAACCTGCAAAGCATCAAGCATCATCTGATTGACATTTTTGTTGGCCAAAGTTCGGAGGACACGTTTTCTAAAGAAAATAGCGTTTGTTGATTGAAAACATCAATGTACCTTCTTCTCTCCACATAGTACAAATTGTATGGGAATGAAAGCTTGCTTGTATACCAATAATGAGTAGTTGTGTGGTAGTTGAGATCATCGGCCCACAAAGTGTGATTCTAAATCGATTTTTGCCTCGGAGCAAAAGCATGAAAGCTCACCACAGCTGGTTGCAATCTTTGCTGCAGAAAGCATGCAAACGCATCAATTTGTGCTTTCTCTTTTGGCGTTAACCCTCCATCGATCACCACTGCTTGTCCATTGGTTCGCAACTCTTCAACAAATCTAAAAGAATTCGATTGCAAGATGGGCAAAATGCTTGCTCACTTGTCGAAATCACAAATCGGCTTTCCTTTTCCCTTCCGATCAACACAAACTGGGTATTCTCCTAAAATGGCTTTATTGCATACTCAAAGCCTTTCAATTTCAAAATTTCAACTTCTCATTAACAACACAAATTTCATACAAAAAAACCACCTGTCGGCGAGTTCCAAGGGGCCGTCGAAGTGACATACGTGATCGGGCTAGCACAGAACTTGCTACAAGCCTAAAAGAGGAGTTATTGGTTTTTTTAAAATGTAATCTCACCAAAAAGTGCAAGCACGACACATCGATGGATGGCAGCCCAAAGTCGCCGGGCCAGATATCCAATTCCATCTAGCTAATCTAAACATCATTAGACTTTTAGATGCACTCTTACACAATCAATCAGGCAATAAAATAACAAGATATCCACAGGTACTCCGTTTAAAACATAACAAATCGTTAATAATTTAAATTTATTCATACTTAAAAGCGAGAAATGTACATCAAAAGACTAGAAAAACAGAAAATATGCATCAAAATACCCATAAACAAGGAAAAGGAAAGAATAAATAAATAATAAATATTATCTGCCTATGTTTGTTGAGATTGTTCACACAGTTGCATCAATTTGTTCGGATGAAGAAGCACCGGATCAAGCGATCGTTTTAAAGCAGACGAGAGAGCCGCATCGGTTAACGAGTTTACGATCACCTGAATAATTTTGTAATCTTTAGCTACCTCTTATAATAACTTACCTCATCAGCAACAAGTGGAGCAAGATTTCGTTGTAAATAGTAGCAATCTACCTAGAAGCAAACGATTCTTTTAAAATTTCCTTCAAATCTTACCTGAACTTGTTCGATCGCATGTTTCCCAAATGTTTGTGCGCGAACCGCTTCGATGAAAATCTTCAAAAACATTTTCACCACACCGCTGATGATCGAACCTCGGTTGAACTATAAAAAGTAATCCCTAGCTAATTTCTCACAACTTACATGTATAATATCGTGAAAGTCGACTCGTTCACTCCACAATGTGTCTCGTTGAAAAGTGTCGATTGTGGCTCTGAATAAAATATGATTTATTCTTTAACTTTAACATACCTGGGTACTCGTGCCGATTTCAATTCCCTCTTTCCATCGTTAAGCATTTGTGCGAGGAGAGTGTCAAGTTCGCGAATCTAAAATTAATAATAGATTTTCAACTGATTCGAATAACCTCATCCACCACTCTTCGAACGGCCGAGCGCACTCCTACGGGTGTTGTCGACAATTGTGAGCTCGATTCGACCGCTTTTGCCAACGATTCTCCACAGGAAAGACCCTTAAGGAGTGCATGCACACATCTTTCTACTACTGACACTTACCTTATGATCGACGAATCGTTTCATTACTTCTTGAGCCGCTTCTCTAAGCTTCCCAACGACCGTCTCGACGCTCGTCAACTTTTTGTTCTAAAATAGTCATGTTTATTGGCACATTGTACTGAGTGTGCAAGCGTGCAAACAGAACCCAGAAACACATAGTTAGGTTGCAGAAGTGAAATGTTGAGTAAAAGATACTTCGAGATTCAGGTAAATCTTCAAATAGCTAAATACAATTGTACAAAAAATGACTCTTTCACCAAACATCTGAAATTTACAAAAAGGTGTTGTTTAAACGCACAGCAGCACGTGGCATGTCGTTGTCATTCGGTAGCTGTTGGTGTCCTCCATCTGATCTCATCACAATCGATCGCAACTTCTCAATCGTTTTCTCCTTAAAAGCAACACAAAACATAAGCAAACGAAGGTTGGTAGATCTCTTCAGTCAATCCTGTGAACACCACACTTCCACCACAACACCCATGTCATTTTAGGAAAATCTTCGTCGTTAAGCACACTGAACAAACCCGACAAAATATACCTTTTTTTCGACGAGAAGAAATTGCTCCTCACACAGTCTCATCAAATAATGAGTGCTCTTGACGGCAATATGATGCAAAAACACTCCGATCACCAACAAAACGAGCGGTGAAATAAAGCGGGTTTCGTTTGATGCACCTAAACACACACATTTTTGGTAATTACAACAAAAACTCGTACCTGAATATTTCTTCACCGCCTCAGCCACATCAATTAGCGCCCCAACCAAAAGGTCCTCGTGAACACTGATCGCAAAATTGTTTTGAAAGAGTGATGCGGGGATTGCTGAAACAAGCTCCATTTAACCTAGGTATACTTCTACCGTATTTTACTTACCCGAAAAGGTGACATCACTAGCTGTGAATAACAAAAGATTCGCCAAAGATGTCTTCACGTTGAATACCAGCAATTGCTCGAGACGGGGGAAACACGAGCTGAGATCGACTCCATCCGAAAGTACCAACTCTCGTAACTAAAATCATATTAAACCACAATAGGACAAAGTAATAGACTTGATTTTGGGGAAAAGTTCTTACCTCTTGAAACGCAGACTCCAACTGATCGACAATTTTTATCCTCGAAATTTTCATTTGATGACGGGAAACCTGAGAACATGTTTTTTTATTTAAAAAAGCTTAACTACCTCATTGATTAACACGATGCAGTCGTCGGAGAAGTTAAGACCTAAAATAAGATCTAAAAAGAACAAACCCCAAAAATTACTAGTTAGAACTTGAGAACAGGCGTTCATCTTTCGATAATATCGATCTAAGGCTCTGACCACAATTGAACAATCCTTTGGATCACCGGAAGAAAGGAATAATCTGGAAAATTGTTAAAATTAAACCTTGAAAGGCTTTTTAATTGATAAATTACCTTTTTACAATTGCGTGAAACTCGGTTAACAACTCCTGAACACACTCCAACAACTCTTGACTCGTTTCCGGAAAAAGACGATTGTGCAAATCCACAAAAAGAGTTAAATTCGGCAAGAAAGTGCCACAACCTAAAAGTATTCAATTAAAGGAAAGGAATAAAGTTCTACCTCTATCAACAAGATCAAGTACATCCTCAACTTTCGTCTCCAAACCGACCAAATCGTTCTTCAGGCATTTTTGTGCCGCAATCAGGAAATCAACCTAAAATATTTGACTTCAAGAACGATAAAGCTTTAAACCTGTAGATCATCCTTCGAAACGCCGAGTTTCTCAAGCAATTCCACTGCTTGCACGATCTCTTCAGTGTTATCAATTTGTCCTGATGTTATAAGTAGTCGCAACTGAATTCATTCTATCAAAAACAGAACTCCCAACACTTACTTCTCCTTCAGCTTCTTTCACAATTGATTCACACTTGTTGAGAACACTCGAAACTTTGTCCAGATCCGAATAAGCAGTCAGCGATGACTTGGCCAAAAGGTAGATACGGATCAACGTGGCAAACTTTCGTTCATCAAGGTAATTCTAAAGGAAAGAGTTAAGATTTTATCAATCTACTAAACAACTAGTCCGTATAAACCCAAAATATCTTACCTGTAGGGTAACTGGTAGATGAAAGATAAATTGAACGCTCTTCACAGCTCGATACGATCTTGCCAATTGAGCGATGTCTGTGTGTTGTCGTCCAAGCACTCCGCCCAAGTCGCCAATTAATGATTGAATTTTCCCCATCGACGAGCCTATCTCCGACATACCCTGGAAAAGAAAGTGTCATTGCTCACCAAGAAAGTATAGACACAGGTTATCTTACCGTTTCAAGTCCACTGAATTCATCTTGAATCTTCCGCACGGTGTTTGTCGCCGTCAGGAATTTGTTGTAATTCTCGTAAACTATCTGATGCACATCCGAATCAAGGCGACGAACCTAAAAATAGAAAAATGGGATGCTTTTCAAAGAGTAGCTTCAATTCTATCTTAATTTGCAAAGAACCGTTAATCGACTGAAATCTAAGACTAGTGTGCGGGAATCGTCACTGATAAGAAATCGAAGAGCCGAAAGAAAAGGAAGAGCAGTAAATAAGCTCAAAGATGTAGAAGAGCTTATTTTAGTATTTTAAATTTAGAAAACTTTATATAAACTGATGTGGTTGGACTAAATTTACTAAAACTAACTTCAGCTATAGTTATTCAAAGCTTGTAATTGAAACGTACACTTGTCACCATTTCCTCCTCATTCTTGATTAACTCGTCTAGCGTTTTTCTCTTCAATTGTGCACTGATGTAGGCGTCGACGTCGAAATTCCGCGATTTGATGTCGAATATTGAACCAGACGTCGATGGCTCCATTACTTGAAAGAACAATAAATTTTCATGATAACAAAAACGCAACAATAACGGTAACAGAAATAACAAAATGTGGGAAAAACAATCATTTTCATCACACACGAAAAATTACTTGTTACACCAAATAAAACGAAAAATGAAATTGTATCATTTGTCCATTTGCTTCTGTATTTTCTCCAACAGAACGCTGACTTGTGCATTCAAATTTGGCTGTCCCTTTCGATTTGTCTTCTTCAAAGCGTTTAGCATTTTCTTTTTGCCTTCTTGATATCGTTGAATTGCTTCACCTTTTTTCTTCCTTTCATCGAATTTCTGCTCCCTTTCTGCCTAAAACAAAATTATATTATCTTGGTCCAAAAAGTTAGTAAATAGCAATAAAGAATCAAAAACTAAACCTGTCGATTGTCCTGTATTCGTTCAAAAGTCTGCCTTGCTCGTTCAAAGTTCTTCTGCTTTCTCTTCCTTCCCTCAAACTGAGCAATCTCTTGGTTCATTTCTTTCTTCTCGACCGCATCCAATTCCTCAAATCGATCGACCACCCTCTTTTTCTTCTTCTTAATCGGTTCTCCTTGTTCTCTGGATCGTTTTCTCGATTTCACTTCAATCACCTTGCTTGGCCCAGTTTCTTCGACTCGATTTTGAGGAGTCTTTCGCTTCTTTACCTTCGTCGAATCCATGGTCAGTTCACTGAAAGACAAAGTAATAATTAGTTATTTCGATCAAATTTATGTAATCAGTAAGCCAATAGCAAGGTTTTCCTTTCCTACTCAAATCTTGGCAAGTGTTCCATGTAGGGTTCTACGTTGCGTAGTTTGATCAGGATTACGGTAGAACATCCATGAGATGTTAGCCACACAAGTTGCGAATCAACCCATGCAACAACCACTTCGACATGAGCATTTGCTTTTCAGTTTAAATGGAATGTTTGTGTTCGATAATCTTCCATTGGGTCAATTGCAACTTTTTATTGACAAAACCAACTGTTAAGAACAACAAATATTTATTTTTCCGACAAAGAATAAACAACAATTTATCCACGTTTTTATTGAGGGGCAGGTGCACCACGCCCGAAACCAGCACGATAAACGGGGGCAGCTCCAGGTCCGGCATCCGTTTGTTTCTCGGCTGTTCGATAAGCATCGCGATCACCCTCAGCCTTTGGTCCTGAATATGAAAGATTAGAAATAGGTTTAGTCAATAGTAAGTATTCAAACACCAATTTTAAAAGGCCATCCTCACATCGAGATCGAAAAGTCTATTGGATCTCTAATTGTTAAAAAGACTTTCATATCACAAAAACACTCACCAGATCGAGATGGGCGATCTCCAAGTGGCAATCGGTTCTCTCTTGGTTTGCTCTTGATTGTGGCTGGAACGACTCCTTCGGGAAGGTTGAGGTACTCGCGTAAATAGGTGATTCCCTCATTTGTCAAGTACCAATAGTAGTGTCTCCAGGCGAATTGTTGTTTCACAAGCTCCCGCGAGGCCAAGCTCTGAAAGTCGAAAGAATGAAGAAATGATATATTAAGTAAGCGCTAATCAATGTGATTTATTAGCGTTCGGCTTTTTATTGGCTTTCCAAAGCTTCAATAGCCATTAACTGCTCGCTACAACCAAAATTCTTGAACGTAGGCTCAGGGTATAAATCCCTACTCTCTCACCTACCTTCGTATCTTCACAAAATCTCCAAAAACCCTCACCTTCATCGCCATCATAACTTCCAAATTCGTGACTCCCTCAATGTTTGGATGGGTCTTTGCATTGGGGTCCTTCTTTGCGACGGTCACTCCCTCGTTGAACAAGTATTCGTAGATTGCACGTCGATGCGATTTCGGGATCAACATGTTGCCAAGTGTCTAAACAAACCAGTTTAAATATGAGTCTACAAATTGCTGAAATTGAAAGGAAAAGTGATAAATTGGGGCTATTTGGTGAAGGGAGGAATACATATGGTGCACATGTTGAAGTAGGCACACAATAATTACCAGCAAAACAGCTAACTTTTAGCTGCGCCAGCGGAAAAGGGGTTCATTTTGAAGGTATTGCTTGATTAGACACATAAAAGATAGCCAAACTATCAAAGACGTTACCAAACGTCGCTGGACAAACAATATCCATTAAGGATTACAGCAAAAACGATGAAAACCGTCTTTTCGTTTTCTTTTTAAATTCTGGAACTAGTGAATGCACAGGGAAGAGGCTTAAAAATAGTACTTTCGATTGGGAATTTGAAAAGGCAATACTCATGCGCTAAACAAGGAGATTTCCAAAGGCGTAAATAAATTTGGGACTGAAACTCGGAAAAATGATGGCGGTTATATGCGCCAACGGTTATACGTTAAAAGTATTGTCGCGTTTCGACAAACCAGAAGAATAACTGAATAGCTTATTTCCACGAAATAAAGCATAAATAAAGTGTCTTGTCTTTGAGCTTATTTTTCGATTAACTTTTACTTAAAACTCCTTACATTTTTCTCTTTTCAGGATGGGCTCCTTTTCAAAAGCGAAAGCCGGTCAACGGATTCATCGAGAACGAACGCAGCCCGAGAAACGAAAGAAATTCGGACTACTCGAGAAGAAAAAGGATTACAAAAAGAGAGCGCTTCACTACCAAGAAAATGAGAAAGAGTTAAAGAAACTCCGAAAATCGGCGATCGATCGTAATCCTGATGAGTTCCATCATCACATGGTCAGCTCAAAGCTGAAGGTATGCTTTTGATTATAATAAACTGTAGGGAAATGGTGGAAATTTTCTGGTTATGATTGGTACTTTGGGGGGGCACTTTTTTTCACCAAAACCATTTTTCCGGGGATAATTGATGACGCTGGTCACGAAAAAGTTATTTTTAAAGCAAGTGAGTAGTGAAAAAAGTTAGTTTTTGTCCGCCTATATAGACCTAGGCTTTGGCTCTGCACCTTAGAAGCACGTGGCTTCTAGGCTATAGCCTGATTCTCCTACGGCTAAGGTGAATACCGTTCCAGCTAGAAGCCACGTACTTCCGGTACGAAACTCACCTCAGCCGTAGGAGAATCAATCTAGCCTGGGTACCACGTGGTTCTAAGGTGCGGAGCCAAAGTCTAGGTAAATATAGAAGCCTGGAATGTTATTAAAAGCTACGAAATGTTGTGTAAAACCATCACCAATGGATTCAGCATAATCAAAAATCCCTGGGTGCAAAAAATCAGCTTATTTGGCGAAAAAAAATTCCCCCAACTACTATAGCACCTTGAGTTTTAAAAACGGAAATTTTCCATTACTAACATGCCTTAAAAATAACTATTTTGTCATCAGCGTCATCAATTAACCCAGATAAAATGGTTTTGGTGGAAAAAAGTCCCCCGCTCCCCAAAGCCCATAGTACCTATGGTTTTCCAAAGCTTTGCAGCTTTGCTAAACTACAAAGAAGGCTAATTGCTTGTATAAAACATACACTTATCTTGTGTTTATGGTCGTTTAAAGCCTCGTAACTTGATTTAAGCTAAACATGTGATTGATCCTTTATCAAAAATGATTCTTATCCTCTGTTTATGATATAATTTTTGTTTTCAGGATGGCCAACACTTTGAAAAAACGATCGAAGACGAGGATACGTTGCTGCAAAAACAATTGAGTGATGTGAAGGATCTGGAATACGTGAAGAATGCCCTTTACACAGAAAAGAAACGAATCTCCACAATGAAGTCTGAGCTACATTTGATGGATGTTGCTGGGCCTTCGCAAGCGAAACACACGATTTTTCTTGATGATAACGAGGAAGGTGGGTAATTTAACTGGAAGAAAACTTTCATTTTTTAGTTCGCCGTTTTGATCCGGTCAAATATTTTGACACTGATGTGGCACTTCTTGGACGTAAAGCAAATCGGTTACGAAACAAAGATTTATCCGATAAGCGAATTCTTGGAGCAACAACTAAACAAGGAGTAAAAGTTAGCTTTTTGCAGTACTTACCTTTGAATTAATTTGTGTGCTTACCTTTGAATTAACTTAGGCATTTAATTTTTAGACTTTTCTATTTAGGAAGCCGAACAAGAGGCCCAAATTCGATACAATGAGTTAAGCAAAAGGATCAATCGAGCTAAAGAATTGGAAGTTGTAAGTGTTTAGTGTATTATGCAGTGTAAACAGTACGATAATCTATTGTGGTTAAATTCAAAGTTATTTTTCAGGTTGTTGCGAAACTGGAGTTGAAGAAACATTTAGCGAAAGAAAAGGGAAACGAATTGAGGCCGAAAAAGATCAAGAAAGGAAAAGCGAATCGAGCGGCCATTTATGAATTTCCGCTTGTAAGGAAACGTTAGTTTTTGTGATCACTTTGTTACCTTTTGTTGTGTTATTTCAAAGTTTATTGGATAAATTACAAAAAAACGAAATCGAAATTGCATTGTAACGAGCTAAAAGCGCTTCAATGACATTTTAATCTTTTAGACATCTCGTACACAGTACTCGCAAGGGTTTTACAGGGTACAGAGCTGTGTTAAGCTTTGGTCTTAAATGAAAAACTTTACAGTTGGTTTTGTCCAGCTCCTACAATACGACATTTGTACTGTAGGCCAATCTTTTAATCCATCAGCTTTGGGTACTATAAAAATTGAGCAATTCACAAGAGCACACTCAAATTTGACCCCAGAAGTGTCAAGAATCTCAGCATTATTTTCACAGGGCTATTTTTCAGGTTTTCATTTGGCCAGCCTTTCATCTCAAAGCCAAGAACCCTTTCGGCTACTCGTCTAGGTGTAGCGGCTTTTTCTTATCCTTTTTTTGCCAAAAGGGAATTGGTAGAGTGGGAAGGGTGAGCGGGGGGCTTGAAGTGGGAAAGAAGAGGTATGGGGGGGTGGGGCAGCCTCCACCCCTTCATAGGCCCATCGATCCGTCGCGGGCTCCAGAAAGAGTGAAAGGCGGCCTTCTTTACCCCTTCTTTCCTTTTCTTTCCACACTATGCCATACTATTTCTTTCCGCCTTATCTTTTGTGCGTCTTCATTTTATTTTTTTTGCCCCCCCTGCCCCTTGGTGAATGGTCCCACGCCCCTTTCTCTCCCTACAGGGTCCCTAATTTTCGTTGTTCTTCTCCTTTCTCCCCAAATACAATCAATTATCCATCCAGAAAATAGCGAATTTTCAAGTTTTCTTCAAGTTTCTCGAGCTTTAGAAGCGGAACTTTTGACTCTATTGATAAATTTTGATAAATTTTCTAGATTCTTCAAGATCTCCAATTCTAGAGTCAGCTCCACATGGGTGATTACGATTATCTAATCAAATTCTTGGCTCTCGGCGATTCTGGAGTCGGGAAAACCTCGTTTTTGGTGAGATTCAGGAAAAAGATATTTAGATATTTAGATTGAGATTATTGTATCATTAATTGTGTTTTTTAGCATCGCTACACGGATAACACGTTCACTGGTCAATTCATCTCGACGGTTGGCATCGATTTTAAAGAGAAGAAAGTGGTGAGTGGCTCTTTTTAAATATTAAAGTAATGTCGTAGTCGTAGATGTAAAGCTATTTACTATTATTTACTGTATTAAAGTTGAAAATCCCTATTTTTAGGTCTACAAATCGGCTCGTGGTGGTTTCGGTGGTCGAGGACAACGCGTTCTTTTGCAATTATGGGATACAGCTGGACAAGAGAGGTTGAAAGATTGAAAAATTTCTAAACTTTGACCGATTTTCAATTGGTCTTTAATAAGATAAGATAAGATAAGATAAGATTAGAAGATTAAGTGATTTAATAACAATAAGATTACTACAAGATAAGATAAGATAAGATAAGATGAAATAAGATTAGAAAAGATTACTATAACTTTAATAAGATTATTATAACTTTAAGAAGACTATTATAACTTTAAGAAGATTATTATAACTTTAAGAAGACTATTATAACTATCAGTAATTCGTAGGTGATTGTAGCCTTACGGTAACTTGAGATTATTGTAGGCTAACGCTGCAAAGCCAGATAAAAGTTAGAAACTAGTTTCCGAAAGTTTCAAGGAGCAAAAATTCCTGACCGCAACCGGGATCGAACCCGGGAGCTCCAAGGCGAGAGACAGCCACAAATGGCACTGCGCCACGTAAACAAACAAAGCGCTGAGGCTTTTTTTTTGCGTCTTTTTAACCTCTTTAAGCCTTCTCTCGCGTCTTTTCAAGCATCTGCTTTATTGAGGACTTTCGGAGGCTTGGCTAAATCTAGATGCAGATCAAAGATTCAATCTTTGATTCAATCCCAACTCGAAATTTCTATTCTTTTTCAGATTCCGTTCCCTCACAACAGCTTTCTTCCGCGATGCAATGGGTTTCATCTTGATCTTTGACATCACAAATGAGCAATCGTTTCTGAATATTCGAGACTGGTTATCACAATTGAAGGTATTTTAGTCAAATTGAGAAATAGAAAGATTTTTTAGGTGCACGCTTATTGTGAAACGCCTGATATCATCATTTGTGGGAATAAGGTGAGTTTAGATAAGCTTAGAAATAGGGCAGGGATAGTATAGTATTTTTAGAAAACCGTTCCAGGGATTACGATAGACTTGGTGTTTTTTAAAGTGAAACTTTTCTAGGCTGATCTCGAGAATCGACGGCAAGTAAGCACGGCGAGAGCGAAACAATTGGCTGATCAATTAGGGTAAGTACGGTGATTAAAAGCATTTTGTAGCTTTTCGTACGGTACTTACTCGATTTCTTTTTTTTTAGATTACCCTATTTTGAGACTTCCGCATGCACATCGACAAACGTGGAAAGAGCAGTGGATTGTCTACTCGATTTGGTCATGCAACGTATACAACAAAGTGTTGAAACGAGTGGTGAGTTGAGGAAAGGAAAACATTTGGTTCTGAGATTTAAGACCTTTGTAAGAAGTAATGAAAGCTATTTCAAACTATTTCAAGCTATTTCAAGCCATTTCAAGCCATTTTAAGCCAAATCAACTCCTGCAATAGTTTGTGAAAGATTAGACGCTAAAAAAAGTGAAAACAAAAGAATATTTGCGCAGGCCGGGAATCGAACCCGGGTCGCCCGCGTGGCAGGCGAGCATTCTACCACTGAACCACCTGCGCGCTGTGGGAGGGGGCGAGAAAGGGGGTCAAGAGGGGACCTGCAGATGGAGAAAGTGATGCAAGCTAGAACTAGAAAGCGAGCCAGTAAGCAAACCAGCTTTTCTGAACGTCCACATCTAACCGATTTCTAGGTTTACCCCTTGCCGAGTGTCGGGGTGTCTCTCTGGATGCGGATGCTCCGCCAACGGCCGGTTACTGTGCTAATTGTTAATAGGTATCAAAAGATATTCAGTTAATGTGATTTCTTTTTAAATTGTTGCCAAATTTGGAAGCGGATTCGGGAAAAGAGGGACAAAACGGGCTTTTCGAAGCCGAGCTTGGTTGCACCCATGGCCGAGTGGTTAACGGGGCTGCGCTCGCTCTCATCGTGCTCGAGAGCTCGAGGGTTCGATCCCTCCAACTTCCAAAGAGTTCTCCCTTTTCCCAAATCGACTTCCAATCATTTCCCATTCATTCTATTCTTTATTCTCCTACTGTAATATCCGTATTTCACTTTTAAAACCAAAAAAAATGGGGCAATTGATACATATTTAGCGAATTTCTTCAAATTTCTCACAAATTTCTCAAAATTTCTTCAAAATTCTATTTTTCAGCGTGCTTTCCATCATTTCATTAGATTTTAAAATTATTATTGAAAAAAAACCCAACAAATCGATCTCAAATTCTCCTTAAAAAAGCTTTCCCGCTTCTCCAAAAGAATCCCTTTCTTTTTTTTTGCTACAATTGCCTACAAATTTGCATTTTTTTTCTTCCCTTGCGATTTCCAAGTTTACAGAGAATTTTTATCGAAAATCAATCAAATTTGTTTGTAAATATCTCGATAATAAAGAAAAGCTTAGATTAAACGCAAAAATAGGTACAGAAAGGTACAAAAATGAGGCCAAGCAAATGAAAAATGACAGAAAACAACCTAAAAATAGATGCCAATTTAAAAATGAGCATCTCTTTAGCTGAATAAATTGAAAGAGAATATGGTTAATTCAACTAAGTCCTAAGTTGCGTAAATGCCAATTTTATGCTTTGAAAATCTAGTGTGACATCCAGATTGCCCATTTTGGACTTTAAACAATCGGATTGTCGTACAAAGGCTCAGGGAATCCCAGAGGAAAAATATGTTTGAATTACCCAAGTGCCCTAAATTGCGTAAATGCCGATTTTATAGTTTTGAAAAACTAGTGTGACATCCAGATTAGCCATTTTGATCTTTAAACAACCGGGTTGACGTACAGATTATATAAGAAATACGGGGAACCCCTCCGTACACTAATTACCCAAGTGTCTAAGTTGCATAAATGTTGATTTTATGTTTTCGAAAATCTAGTGTGACATCCAGATTAGCCGCTCTGGTCTTTAAATAACCGGATTGTTGTACGAAGAATGCCAGAGAATACCCAGCTACCGACCGGCTCAATTACCCAAGTGCCCTAGGTTGCGTAAATGTCGATTTTCTAATTTTGAAAAACTAGTGTGACATCCAGATTAGCCGTTCTGGTCTTTAAATAACCGGATTGTTGTACAAAATATATCAAAGAATACCCAGCTACCGTCCGGCTTAATTACCCAAGTGCCCTACGCCGATTTTATGATTTCGAAAATCTAATGTGACATCCAGGTTGACCATTTTCGCCTTTAAAGAACCGGATTGTCGTACAAAGGCTCAGGGAATCCCAGAGAAAGAGAATATGAGATCAATGCTTGTAATCTGCTCATTTTTATTCAAATTTCGATAAATTTTGCTTACAAGGGAGTACAAAGTACAGGCTTGATCGGGTTGTTTGTTGTTTCGGCGTTGTTTCGTCTTCTTATCTATCTCGAATTGGATCTTTTTGGTGCGACGGGCGACGTGTTCAACAGCTCCATATTCGAGCATTCCGTTTGACCAGGACTTCGACTAAAATAAGGAACAGGCTCTATACTTACAGTACCTACAGTACCTACATTACAGTATTTACGGTACCTACAGTACAGTACTGTGAGTCTAGCAAAGGGTACTGTAAGTCTATGGTTACTGTAGGTATTGTAAGAGTACTGTAACGATTGTGTCTTTAACCTCTGAACGTACATCGGTCCCGCCGTTTGCGCATTTCTACATCCGATCGCTCGCCTCAAATGGGAGCCATTGAAGAAAAACCAGATCCACGGGTTCACACACGAGTTCAAATTGCCAAATAGCATGATGTACGTGGCAACGACTGGGCCTGGAAATCGTTGATTATCCGGCTACAATTGTTTTAATGATCGTTACACTAGCCCAAGCCTGAATTGAACTGAACTGAACTCTAAAGTACGCTTAAATCTTGTGCCAATAACTCAATAGCCAATAGTTTAACACATAGTACAGTTAGTGATCCCTAGACTACAGTAACCCTGTTACAACAGTCCCAGCTACAGTACCCTAAGTTACAGTAATCTACGGTGCAAATCGAGTACAAATGTTTTGTTGAAAATCAAAAATCTGACTTCTGAGAATTCTAGTGTGACATCCAGATAGAAGAAAAAACGAAATGAAAATAAAATAGCTCTTCTCAATTTTTTGGAATAGCCACGAACTCTTGGCAACAATTGTTTTAATGATCATTACACTAGCCCAAGCCTGAACTGAACTCTAAAGTACGCTTAAATCTTGTGCCAATAGCTCAATAGCCAATAGTTCAACATTTGGTTCTTATAGAATTTTATTTGATTATTCAAAAAGAATTTTGTTATTTAAGCTCAACTCGAGGCGAAATAGCCTACAAATTGGTTCGCGAGAGTTCGCGATTATTCCAAAAAATTGAAAAGAGCTATTTTATTTTCATTTCGTTTTTTTTTCGATCTGGATGTCACACTAGAATTCTCAGAAGTCAGATTTTTGATTTTCAACAAAAAACTTGTACTCGATGTGCACTGCTGAGAGTTCGTGGCTATTCCAAAAAATTGAGAAGAGCTATTTTGTTTTAATTTCGTTTTTTCGTCTATCTGGATGTCACACTATTCAAAGCCGAATGCCCAAAAGCGAATGCCAAAATGGCGAACCTAAAAGAAGTACTGCTAAAAATGCCTTACTGATCGCTTTCGGGGTGAGCGAATCGATGACAGAAATGACACAGAAAGGAGTCCATAAGATGAAATGCGCGACAACGATCGTCATCGTCAATTTGACGGTCTGAATTCGACGACGATCGAGCTCGATTTGGTGAACACGAACCCCTGAAAAATGGCTGGAAAATTGCGTAAAATATTGTAATTTGCCATGGCTACGGGCTACGGTAGCTCAAACAGGCTACGGCAGCTTTTTCCACCGTTTAGAAAACGGTGGAAGTTGAAGTTGAGTCTTCAAAACGTTTTCCAGAAAAAGCTACAGTAATCCAATATAATTTTTGGTAGGATAGCTTTTCCTGGAAGTCACACTATTTTTCGATTCAACTCTCCAACCCTTTTCATGAATCTGAAGCTCAGCCGTTTGTCGATTCTTCAATAACGGCATTTTTCTGGAATTCTTTTTTTTCGAGAAATTTCTATCACCAACTTGTCCCCCTTGAAAACGTCTCCAAAACGAGTACTCTGCCAAACGGCTTTGCACACACAATAGTATAAATAGCCAGCAATAGCTGACGGAAGTAACCAAACGACCATATTGAACAGAATGACATAGGCTGGATACTGGAAATCGGGGTTTTGCTTGAAATCCTTGAAAAGCTGTCTTCTCTGCTTGAGAAGCCTTTCTTTTTCTTTTCTTTACCTGCCACTGACTCGTGTAATTCTCGGTGCAATATTTCCCTTGTTTGTGAAAGATTAGAATCTAAAAACGTCTTTTATTCCTGAATAACAAAAGAATATTTGCGCAGGCCGGGAATCGAACCCGGGTCGCCCGCGTGGCAGGCGAGCATTCTACCACTGAACCACCTGCGCGCTGGGGAAAGGGGCGAGAAAAGGGATTGAAAAGGGGGACCTGCGGGGTAGAGAAAGCGATGGCCGTGCTCCAAGCCATTCCCGCGAAAAGAGCCGGTCGATTGTAGGCCGAAGATTTGATAGAAGCGAGAGGGCGGCAGATAGCCTGTACATTGGATTGCATTGTACAGATCATTTACATATGTACAATTTACAGTAAAGGCTAGGTTTAAAGCTCGAAAATTTAGAGCTAGAGCATCAAAAAGGCAGTTTTGAAAGGCAAGAAGGCACTTTCGGTATTGCTTCGATCTGTTTAGATTTTCAGATCTGTTTAGATCTACGGTACTGTCTAAAAAGATATCAAATCGACTACCGTAGTCCAGGAATCTCTTTCTAGGCATACGGTAGTCAACAAACTGTTTAGAAAACCAGACTAGTGTCGAATTTTTGACCTGATATCGATCGGCGCTGATGGCGACTAGGAGAAAAGCGCTCGCGTACAATGGGATCACCTAAAATGAGTTCTCTAGACAAAAGGAGTTTAGCTAAAGCACAGAGCAAAGCATAGAGCAAAGCGCAGAGAAAAGCACGGTACCTGTATAAACTTGACAAATTTGCATAGCTCATCGGGTCCATGGAAGACGTGTCCACCGGCGGTGATGCCCATTTCGGGAAGGATGGTGATCAACGCGAAGAGGAGATCCGCTGCACACATGTGCAACATTAACATCTGAATATCGAGAGATAAGCTGGGCAATTCAATCTAAAGAAATCTAAAGCTAAAGAATCTAAAGAAACTAAAGATCTAAAGAATCTAACGATCTAAAGCTAAAGAATCTAATGAATCTAAAGAATCTAAAGATCTAAAGCTTCTAAATCGAAAGCTTTTAAATCTAAAGCCTATAAACCTAAAGCTTTTAAATCTAAAGCTTAAATCTAAAGCTTAAATCTAAAGCTTAAATCTAAAGCTTAAATCTAAAGCTTCTAAATCTAGATCTAAAGATCTGAAGCTTATAAAACTAAAGACCTAAAGAATCTAAAGATTTAAAGCTTCTAAATCGAAAAGCTGGATATCACAGAGCATTTACAGGACTCTATCCCGGTCGTAGATTCTATTTCAAAAATCGTCCACCTGTACCGGTGTCACCCTTTTCCTCCTCAAGACTCGATTATTTCTTAGAATCACAAAAGCAAGGAGCCCATTTCCAATCAACGTCAGCACAATGATCATCAATTGTTGAGTGAGAATTGTCATTAGCTATAAACGTGATTAGTTATTTTTACGAAAGTTGATTATAAACCTGTGGCGATGCTTGACTCGTCAAATTCGCATCAGATTGTTTCTCGTCAAGAATTTCCTCGAATTCGTCCATCTTTGAATTCTTTCTAAAGTGTTCTAGTCCTAATTTAGATGATCTCAACTTTCATCTACATTCCTCAATACAGGATTACTGACTTTTAAAAGGGCAACTTTTTAAAAGGGCAATATAAAACTCTAAAATTCTTCAGAGGAAATGAAAGATTTGCGGCTGGACTCATAAATCTCGTGAGGCATAAATTATTTTTACAATTAGAACTGGGTTTCGTTCGGGAAAGGTTTCAATGGTTTTTCTATGTTTAAAAACTCAAATAAATCAAAAGCAAGGCTTATTTTGAGTGAAAAATGAATAAAAATTAAGAAAATTGCAAATTTCCGTGTGGTTTGTCCGACGCAATTCGTATTCAGATGAGTCGACTTTCGAGTTCCCCGAAAACAGATGCATCCCGCTTTTTGGACGAAATTTGTATTCCGAACGATTTGGGCCACGGGAATTTCTTGGAATATTTTGGAAAAACGTCCAAAAGTCCACTAGAACCTATTCAGACAAAGAAATCTAACAAAAGGACGAATCTTTTAACACTATTCCCCTGTTTTCTCCAATCGCTGCAATTTTTTGTTTAAAAAAGAACCAACTTTTTATTGACAAAACCAACTGCTAAGAAAAACAAAGATTTATTTTTCCACAAAGAATAAACAACAATTTATCCACGTTTTTATTGAGGGGCAGGTGCACCACGTCCGAAACCAGCACGATAAACGGGGGCAGCTCCAGGTCCGGCATCCGTTTGTTTCTCGGCTGTTCGATAAGCATCGCGATCACCCTCAGTCTTTGGTCCTGAATATGAAAGATTAGAAACAGAGATAAACGCCATCCTCACATCGAGATCGAGAAGTCTATTGGATCTCTAATTGTTAAAAAGACTTTCATATCACAAAAACACTCACCAGATCGAGATGGGCGATCTCCAAGTGGCAATCGGTTCTCTCTTGGTTTGCTCTTGATTGTGGCTGGAACGACTCCTTCGGGAAGGTTGAGGTACTCGCGTAAATAGGTGATTCCCTCATTTGTCAAGTACCAATAGTAGTGTCTCCAGGCGAATTGTTGTTTCACAAGCTCCCGCGAGGCCAAGCTCTAAAAAAGAAAAAATTATTTCGACTATTATGTAATCACTAAAGCAATAGTAACATTTTCTTTCGTTTTGACATAGATTTCGATAAGTGTTTAGAGCCATGTATCAACCTCATAGTACCGACGCTCTAATGATCATAAACTGCGGGGCTAGTTGGGGAGGGGCAGTCTGGAACTTGACCCAAAAGAAATATTTTTCTACAAAAACTTGCACACAGGGGTTTTTAACTATGCTGAATCGATTAGTAATACTTTTATAACTTTTCTTTAAATTAATTTTATGTTTTATTTGACTTTGAACACATACATTTTCCTAGACTTTGGCTCCGCACCTCTGTCGCGCCGAAAACGCCTGTGATCTTGCAGCACCAGCCCCGAAGGCACCAGCACCGCAGCCTTGAGGCTTAGACCTGGCGTGTATAAGTGGGGTCATTTAATGTTGACCGTTAGGCCAACATTTAAAGGCTCCACAAACACACGCCAAGCATAAGCCTTAAGGCTGCAGGGATGGTGCAAAAGCGCCTCTAGAATTTCCCTTACATAGTACTAGAGGCGCTGGTGTGCTCGGGGATGGTGCTGCAAGCTCACAAGGGCGCCTTCGGCGCGACAGATGCGCGGAGTCAGTCTAGGAAAATATAGGTGAAAATAAAAATAAGCAAATACGATTTAACATAGTCAAAAACCTTTGTATCAAAAACTTTTCGTGGAAAAATATTGATTTTGGGTCAAGTTCCAGGCTGCCTCTCCCACCAACTACCTAGTGTCGAACCTACTTGTTACCATCAAAAGCTTTCCATGTAGGCTCTAGTCATAAACCTTTAGCACAGCATACCTAGCCAATTTTCACAAAATCTCCAAAAACCCTCACCTTCATCGCCATCATAACTTCCAAATTCGTGACTCCTTCAATGTTTGGATGGGTCTTTGCATTGGGGTCCTTCTTTGCCACGGTCACACCCTCGTTGAACAAGTATTCGTAGATTGCACGTCGATGCGATTTCGGGATCAACATGTTGCCAAGTGTCTGAAAAGAAGAAAATGGTTTTAGATTCGGAAAAGTAAAACAAAGAGAAGCAAAACAAAAACAGAAAGAGTCGAAAATTGCACAAGAGTTGGGCAATCGGATGAATGTTGAAATAAGCAAAAACAGCTGAAATTTGGCAATAAATCAATTCAAAAGGCGGTTTTAAGTGCAATTTCAAAACAAAGCATCAATTTTGTAAACAAGAAAACGACTTTTAAGTTAGCAGTTAGCAGTTAGCAGTTAGCAGTTAGCAAATTTTATTCAAAATTTCGCTGAACTGGTGACTTTTCTAGAAAAACAGCTTAACAATTGATATCTAATTTTCATATTTTAGCAGAAAAATCCTGTTTCTAAACGTTTTCAAACAATAAAATGCATAATTTCGCTTGATTTAGACATTTTTAAGCTCAAGAAAGAAATATTTGGGATAAAAAGGGAAAGAAAAATGCTCGTGGTTATATGCTTGGGAAATGTTCAGGGTACTGACGCGTTGTTTGAATAAAAATAAGTTTAGATCGAGATGAAACGAAGGAAAGAGACTCGGAAAGGGAAGTTTGGCGGAAAAATGTGGTGCTAGCAAAAGCGCCAAATTTTTTGCGTATCATTTGCGCTAAAAATCCTTACCCCACGTATCATTTGCGCTTTTCCGCACACTTTCCTATCAACTCTGATCGTTTATTTTTATTCTACTTTTTCTCATCGACGATGCTCGCTACTTCGACGCCGTCGCCGGATTTGAAAATAGCATAAAAAACGATATAAAGAGTTAAAAGCCTAATCAGTGACACAAAAAATGACAGTTTTTGGATCTGCATAGGTATTTAAACGTGTTTTATGACTGCAAACAACAAATAAAAGCAGAAAACTGAAAAAAGTTGGTTAGAAGTTGGAAAAAGTTTGTTACAGTGATTTCCATAAGTAATTTTGGCGCAAATGATACGCGGCGCAAAAATTTTTGGTACAAATGATCCAGTCGTCAAAAAGCTTGGCCGGCCAATGTTTTCTCATTTTTCTCACGTTAGATCTTCAAATAAATCGATCCAAATTAGTTTTTTGTAGGATTTTCTGAGAGCTTTACGATGATAAAGATGATATTCTTAGATTTTTGATGTCGCTCTAAATAGAATTTTTCTAGCTACTTTTGCATAAGGGTAAGGTAAGGGTAAGGTCCTTTTTTTGTTTGTTCAAGGCTTCAAAACTGCTAGTAGCCTTTCATTTTCACCAAAACAAAATGAACAAATAAGTAATAGACGAGCCAATGCTATTATAGTGAATGAATCCCATTGAAAACGTTTCGAAGAACCATTTTCAATGAAATCATTCCTGAAATAGAGATTTTTAAAAATCATGCTCAAATAAGGTTTTTCGATTATAAAACTCGTAGTTTAAAGGGTAACGAAAAGTTAAATGGTTCATTGAAGGTTCTAAATGGTTCAGCTAACCTTTGAAAATGCTACATAAAACTATTTGTGGTCAATATATTTGAATGTAATCTAGGGACCAAGTGAACACTGACCGGCAAAGACTTTTTTTGACGACTGTATAGACTTGCGTATCGATATTATCAATACAAACGGCAAGCTCATGTTTGACCGTTCAGATCTCGCTTTCTAGAACAGCTATCGTCCTAGAAAGCCAAGAATGTCAGCTTTTGATTGTTATTTTATACATAGCTACTTTTAATGAGTTAGCATCGCATAAACCTTACTCAAATATCGATATCAAAAGCATCGATTATCGATAAGCTTATCGATACTTGAATATCAATAAGTATTGATAAGTTTTTTAAGGCACTCACCTACGAAAATTTGCTATGTGAGATAGGAATCAAAAGCTAACATTCTTGGCTTTCCAATGAAATCATTTGCAGATTGATAGCTGTTCTAGAAATCGAGATTTGAACGGTCAAACACGAGCTTACCGTTTGTATTGATAATATCGATAAGCAATTGTAATTTTGGCGCAAAAAGCGCAGCGCTTTTGCCAGCACGTCGCAAAAAATGAAAATCTGTCGAAAAAATCGATTAAATAGCGCAAAAAGGTGATGTGTCTTGAGTTACGGTACTTTTGTCAAAAGGTGCATTTTAGAAAACAGCTTTTGACAGCTTTTGATCTATTTTTTGGGGGTGGGACAAATGCGACCTTTTTTTTGCGCACCTTTTTTTGCTGGAAAAGGCCTTAGGCAAGGCCGTAGAGCTTCGAGAATATTTCGAAAATATTTCCATATAAGGGAATCGTATGCGTAGATTCCGAATTTCGACAAATCAGACCTCGCTGACACGTCAAATTTGGGCTAAAAGGCAAAAACTGCGGAAAAGCGTTAAGTTGCGTAGTTTTTGCCTTTTAGCCCAAATTTGACGTGTCAGCGAGGTCTGATTTGTCGAAATTCGGAATCTACGCATACGATTCCCTTATATGGAAATATTTTCGAAATATTCTCGAAGCTCTACGGCCTTGTCTAAGGCCTTTTCCAGCAAAAAAAAGGTGCGCAAATGTCCGGGTGCGCAAAAAAAAGGTCGCATTTGTCCCACCCCCTATTTTTTGTTTTTAGAGGTTTTTCATGTTTTTGTTTATTTGTTTATTTGTTTATTGTTTATTCCTTAAGAGTTTATTGGATAAATTACAATTCCTAGCCAACAACATCGTCTGTAGCATAATCCTGGATTCCTTTATTCTTTCGCTCGATGCGAAGCGTCGGATTCTCGACAATTTGCCCAGTGTTACCCGTGATTTTGATGGAACCTAGAAATTGAAAACTGGCTTTTGCAAACGCTACCGTATCTCATCTAAAGCCTAAGCCTGCGCTTAAGCCTAAGCCTTTTAGAAAACAATTCAACCAGTCTACTCACCAACTCCTCCACCCAATCTTCGATAATTCATATTACTATGTTTACGCCAAGCTTTCAGCTCCGGATCGTAGACCTGAAAATTGGTTGTAAGATTACGGTAGCTTTTCCAAAAGGATAACTGACAGCGCTTTTAGATTTTATACAAACCTCAACAGTTTCCATATATGAGCATCCATCAAAGCCGCCAACTGCGAAAAGTTGATCGTTCACGACAGCCAAGCCAACCTAGAGAGAACGGTAGTGCGATAGGCTTAGGCTTAGGCTTAGGAGATCTACAGTAATAGGATCGAATTCTATATCCCATCCTCCTACCGTACCCCAGATCGTCGACTCTGCATCGCGACAATGAATCTCCACTCGTTTGTCTGTGAATCGTAGCATTCTGCAGAGTTTAGCTCACTTTTATTATCCCGTCCGCCAACCTAATATTAATTGTCTATTATAAAGCTCGCTATGAAATAGCCGACCGTAAATACTGTAATAGTACCCCCTCGTACAGTCGCGTAGTCGCGTAGTCGCAAAAGTTTTTTAGTATTTCATTTTTTTCAAAGCACCCGTACTTTCAAAAAATGCGTCTTTGGTATCAAAAGATAGCCCTGAATTTGTAGCCAAAAGATAGCCCGTCATTATGGGGGGCGGGGTACTATTACAGTATTTACGGTATCTATTAAATAGCTATCTATATATCAATATCTACCGCATATAGCTTTCCATCATATACAGCTGATCCCAAGTGCTTTCTCGGGGTATTCATTGGTTTCATGAATGTCCATTTGTTAAGGCGTGGATCGTATCTAAAGTTGATGACAGTAGGATGGCTAAAAGGTCAGTAGAGCGGGCTGTAGCCCAGTAGAGCGGGCTGTAGCCCAGTAGAGCAGGCTGTAGCCCAGTAGAGCGGGCTGTAGCCCAGTAGAGCAGGCTGTAGCCCAGTAGAGTGGGCTGTAGCCCAGTAGAGCAGGCTGTAGCCCAGTAGAGCAGGCTGTAGCCCAGTAGAGCAGGCTGTAGCCCAGTAGAGCGGGTTACGAGAACCTACAGTACCTCTATGACGATAGAGCTGCTAAAAAGCTAGTTACTAGCTAGTTACTAGCTTTGTTACTAGTTACTAGCTACTTACTACCTTCCTCACCCACCTCTCAACAGTGTTCAATGGATCTTGTCCATCGGATCCTCCAACAGCATACAAACATCCTTTTAGCACTGATACAGATACACCCAAACGACGTGTACTCATCGGTGCCACTCGACACCATTCATTCAACTTTGAATCGTATCTAGAATAAAGAAAGATTCAGCAAATAACAAATAAACTCGCTAAGGAATGTACTCGTGGCTGGATAGGGACAGGGCCCTGCAGGGGACAGTAACTTCCATTTCATCTACAACATCAACCAACCTCTCCACTAAATCCAGACAGCTCACCCCATCTTGACCACCAACTGCATAGAGTTTACCTGAAAGGAAACTTATATAGCTTAAGCTTAGGCTTAGCTTAGCTTGGCTTGGCTTAGCTTGGCTTAGCTTGGCTTAGCTTGGCTTAGCTTGGCTTAGCTTGGCTTGGCTTTAAGTTATCTAACCATCAAGGACAGCTACGCCAACTGATGTACGAGAGGTGGTTGTTGGAGCTATATTAGAGTCCCATTGATTTGTTGCTGGATCGTATCTGAAAGTGGAGCATACCCATTTACTAGCTTTATAGCTGGGTTACTCACCTCTCGACACTGTTTAGATAAGAATTCCCATCGTGTCCTCCAACCGCATAGAGTAAACCATCCATCACAGCCACGCCAACGCCACAACTAGAAGATAGGGATTGGGATAGGGATAGGGATTGGGATTGGGATTGGGATAGGGATTGGGATTGGGATAGGGATTGGGATAGGGATTGGGATAGGGATTGGGATTGGGATTGAGATAGGGATTGAGATCTTCAAACTCTAGTCAAGAAGCAATGCTATGAACCAAATTGGATGAAAAGGAAGATGAAAATTTCTGTAGTTGCTCTGGAGACGAATCAGGGAATAGGTTAATCTTGATCCATTCCCGGTCAAGCAAAAGACTTGATCCATTCAGCTATCAAGCAACTTGATATCGAGAATTCCATCGAGAATCAGCTCTTCCTTTTTGAAGCAATGGATCTTATCATCGCTGTTTCTCGATGGAGTTCTCGATGGAATTCAGCTCTGCTTGTAGGAAATAAAGACTTCGAATCACTACTTGCTAATTTGGATATCGCTAATGAAGAAGATAATGATTGTGATGTTACTATTAATGTGGTAATAGTGTTGTTACCTTTTTTTTGTTGTTGTTATCATTTTGTTCACGTTCTTTGTTTTGGAAAGTTATCCATGACCTTTTTGATGATCTCCATACCTCCATACTGTCAAGTCCCAAGCTCCCAAGTTCAAAGACTGAATTGAAGCCTTGGACTGCAAGATCGATGAAATTCAAAAGATTCAAATCCGGTGGACTTCTAGATCTTCTAGATTCTATACCTTCTAGATTCTATACCTTCTAGATTCTAGACCAGGAGGCCATCGTCAACTGTGATCCAAAATTCTTTGCGATCCAATCCAATAGGAAGAATGGGTTTCTCTATGAATCGATTTCTGGATGTTTATGGATCGATCTTCAAAACAGATGGATGATTCTGCTGAAGGTTTAGGCTTAGGCTTATTTCCAAAGTGCTGTTGACTGACTGCTGACTGGCTGCTATCTGGCTGCTATCTGGCTGCTATCTGGCTGCTATCTGGCTGCTCTCTGGCGGCTCTCTGGCGGCTGTCTGGCTGCTGTCTGGCTGCTGACTCTAAGGCAAAATTTCTGTCCAGATATTCATCCTTGTTGACTTTGACTCAAGATGAAAATCAAAGGCATCTTCTCGGTGTATATCACTACAAGTGTTGAGGCTTGTTGAGGCTTCTGTTGCTGTGAGCTGACCAAGCGAACAAGCTGATCAAGCGAACAAGCTGATCAAGCGAACAAGCTGATCAAGCGAACAAGCTGATCAAGCGAACAAGCTGATCAAGCGAACAAGCTGATCAAGCGAACAAGCTGATCAAGCGAGAGTGAAGTGTGAGATAACTGATCAAACAAGAGTGGATCCTTTGACCGATGATCAAGCAAGAATAGATCCTTTTTTTCGCAAGTCAGAAGCAAGTTCTAATCCAAGGCAAGTGGAAAAGCCGTTCTATCATCGATCCTGAGTCACGGCTGTCATGTCAGAGTCGTAGCTGGTCGAAAATCAAGTAAGAAATATGGTATACGTCAAGTTTTGATCATTTTCCTTTAGAAAAAGATGTTTAACCATATTTAACCAACCGTCTCTTCTTCATATGAAGCACTTTCTCCCATATTGGTGTTGCTCGACTTGGATCCATTCGTTCAACCGATGCAATCGCGTCCCCACTGCACCAACCACCAACTAAAGATCGAAAATAGATAAAAATAGATAAAAATAGATAAACGAGGGTTTATAGCGAACAAAGTAAACAATTGGGAAGACTAAGATGATCAGTGAGTTTGTCGAGACAGACAATTGTCGAGAGTTTGTCGAGTGAGACAAACAAACGTTTGTCGACAAACGTGACAAACAAACAGTTTACTCACCCGCATACAGCACTTCTCCTTGATTCACTGGTTTTCTTGGTCTTGTCCTTGGCCCTTGCATGTTCACTCGTTCTAGTGGTAAGAGGAGATAATTCTGAAAGGATTACGGTAATTGGAGATCAATCTTTGCCTACCTTAGCCTCATCAACTAAATCTCTTGCTCCTGGATCGGTTTTCACTAGAGCATCTTCAGAAACGATTGAGACAAGGAATTTCGGATTGCAGAGTGGGAGACGAACGTGTTCGAGCACCTGAATGCTGGCTTAAGTCTAAAGGCTTAAGTCTAAAGGCTTAAGTCTAAAGGCTTAAGTCTAAAGGCTTAAGTCTTTAACTCGTAATACAGTGACTACAGTAGTTATTCTTGTCCGTGTAATATCCTTGATATCCTTGATATCCTTGACATCCTTGATATTACAAGGGCTACGGTAGGACTCGTAAACTCGTTATACGGGGAATACAGTCGAATACGATCCAGCCATACCCCTTATCCAGTGAGTGAGCTAGAACGTCTTACCGTAGCCGAGCTAGGACGTAGTCGAGCCGTATCCAACTCTGTATCCCAGATTACAATAGATTGGTAAAGCCTAGATCTTGTCCTTTCAAAAGTTCTAAAGACTTGAGTGTTTATTGTTCACAAAGAGAAAAGAATCGAGAGATATTTGTTCCTTTCTGAGTCTCTTTCCGGTTGTTGTCTCATCTTTCTCTCTTTCTCTTTCTCTCTCTCTCTTTCTCTCTCTCTCTCTTTCTTTCTCTCTCTCTTTCTCTCTCTTTCTTTCTCTTTCCAGTGATCCCATCCCGTTGTTGTCTTTTCGATCAGTCAGCTGATCAAATGACCAGTCTTGAGACCCGTTAAAGCTTTGAAAACAGATCTAAACAGATCCAACTATAGCTTAAATCTTTCCATCCATTCCTTGTCTTCTTTCGAATTCTAACAATAACCCTTGACTGATCTAGAGCTACAACTTACAGCTTTGTAGTCTTATTTGAAGGATTGTCTTTCGGATTGACTAGATTTCTGAATTGACTGGATTGGACTTCCGAATTGGACTGAACTTTCGGACTTATCTTGTTACAATAATATAAACCATAGCTTGTAGCTTTCTATCTTCTGAATTTGCCTTCTGGATTCCTTTCTGTATACTAAATTGTTCAATGTTGGAAAGCTGTCTAGCTAGCGTTGGAAAGCTGTCCAGCTAGCAGCCAGCAGTCAGCAGCCAGCCAGCAGCCAGCAGCCAGCTAGCATCGTAAATCAGCTCTCAAATCAGATTGAAGTTGAATCGATAACAGTCGATAGTTGATCTTGATTTGAAAGTGATCAAGCTTTGATTGAGTTCAACCAGCTTGCTTGTTTGCTTGTTTGCTAGCTTGCTTTACTTTGAATTGCTTGTTTAACCAGCACATTTCTCAACTAACCTTTTTAGAATCATTTAGACCTTGTTTATCCTTGAGTGTACTTCATTCCCAGTTCATTCCCAGTTCATTTTCAGTTCATCAGCTCATTCCCAGCTCCTTCCCATCTCATTATGGCCACAGATTTTCTCACTGATCTTGAGCTACAACATTGGTTGATCACTGGGAAGTTTGTCATATGATTTAAACAGAAAATTTTCGATTTCAGATTCTCCACCCCGACAAGAGAAAATGAATGGAGAGAGATTTTAGAAAATCGTTTGTTTTATGAAAAGTTTTTGCAAAAGTTTACCCTTTCTAGAAACTCTTTTCAATAAAAGAGAAAAAGATAGAAAAGGGATAGAAGGATAGGAAAAAGAATTGAAACTATAGAAATAAAAAGACTATAGAAATAAAAGCTTTTAGAAGAGAATCGTCTACAAGAGGAAGATCTTGAGGAATTCATCGCGCCTGTCATCCGTGGGGCAAATGATGAGACACCATCGTTCGTTTATCTTCATCTAATTACAGGACTAAGCACTAGACCTAGAAGTAGACCTACTAGACCAGATCAGTTGATAGTATTGGGCCAACTAGTCCATAGTATTAGGCTAAACCAGTTCCTATTATTAGTACTAGTCCAATGGAATTGGTAAAAGGCAGGGTTGGTTCAGAGTGAGGTTTAGGGTCGGCTAGAAGCCCGATAGCTCATCCAAGTTGGCTTAGTACTCTAGAAATAGATCTGTTCTACTCTAGATCGACTCTAGATCTCTAGATTGACTCTAGATCTCTAGACTGACTTTAGATTGACTCTAGATCGACTCTAGATCGCTAGATTGACTCTAGTTCTCTAGATTGACTCTAGATCTCTAGATTGACTCTAGATCTCTAGACTGACTTTAGATTGACTCTAGATTGACTCTAGATCTCTAGATTGACTCTAGATCTCTAGACTGACTTTAGATTGACTCTAGATTGACTCTAGATCTCTAGACTGACTTTAGATTGACTCTAGATCGACTCTAGATCTCTAGATTGACTCTAGATCTCTAGGCTGACTTTAGATTGACTCTAGATCTCTAGATCGACTCTAGATTGACTCTAGATCTCTAGATCGACTCTAGATTGACTCTAGATCGACTCTAGCTTCTATTGTGGATCTAGATCGCCTCTAGCTCTCTAGATCGCCTCTAGCTCTCTAAATCGACTCTAGATCTATTCTACTTTAGTTATTCTAAAACATGACCTTTATAAGTAAACATAGGCCTTATCTACGCACCTTTAAAGTAAGACTGTTTGACTGGGAAACGGAAAAACGAAACTTTATGAGCTGATGACTCCCAATCTCCCTTTGTGAGTCATTTTTAAATACCAAACATCTAAAGCTATCGTTAAATCTATAAAAATCACAAAAAGCTTTAAAACAGATCAATCCTAATCGCTCATCTGGGCCGTGGGCACACTTCGTTTCACCAAATCGAGACAGTTTTCGGGGATTTCGGAGAAGTTTGATCATTTTTCGATAAGAGATCTTTTTCTTATAGCTAAATAAAGCTATCTATAGCTATCTAGAGCTATCCACAGCTATCTACAGCTATCCAGAGCTATCTACAGCTATCTACAGCTATCTATAGCTATCTACAGCTATCTATAGCTATCCATAGCTATCCACAGCTATCCACAGCTATCTTTAGCTAACGATTATTGATCGAAATCCGTATTACACGGAAAAGGGCTATGTGGCGGTTGGATTCGAGAGGGAAAGAGATGCCATAGAGGTGAAGGGATTAGGAATAATGTAAAATCGATTTACTAAAAATCTAATCAATACAAATTTTTACATGATATCCAACTAAGACAAAAGCCAAAGTTTCATTCAAATCTGTTCACCCAAAAAAAAGTTAATAAGTTGAACAGGTTCCCAAGCTATTTCTTCCAGAAGCCGTAGACAGATTTTAATGAAACTTTGACTTTTTCTTAATTGGATATCATGTAAAAATTTGTATTGATTAGATTTAAAAAAAATCGATTTTAGACAATTTTAGAAAATTGATTTTAGACATTTTAGACGATCAGGTTACAGTAATCCGATCATTTCAGCTTTTCGTCGGAATACTAAGCTATAGGTTTATTTAATAGGTTACAGGCTTACACTTCACTAAACCAGCCGGGTCGCCGGGTTGAGAAGCATTTGAATCGACGGATTCGTTGTTACTATTATGGTGGTGAGGATTTGATTGCACAGGTAAAAGAATTATATAAATTATAGGCAATTGCTGAAATTTATTATCCCAAAATGTTGCGTGCCATCCAGATCAAAGAATTTTAAAGAAATTAATTGAATATCTTTACCAGAAAGGAATATTTAGCTTAGGATCAGATTCTGGGTTACTGTAGAAAGTTTATTTCACTAAAACTAAAAACTGAAATGTCCCAAAGGTTATGTGCCATCCAGATCAAAGAATTTTAAAACAATTAACTGAAGATCTTTACTAGAAAGAGATATTTAGCTTAGGACCAGATTCTGGGCTACTGTAGAATGCTTATTTCACTAAAACTAAAAACTGAACTGTCCAAAATGTTATGTGCCATCCAGATCAAAGAATTTTAAAGAAATTAATTGAATATCTTTACCAGAACAAGTTAATTAGTCGAGAGATCGTTGTTGACTTCGATCTAGCAACTTCTCTATATCCATTCCAAAATCACATCTATCCAAACGCTAATCTGGATGTCATGCTCTATTTTGGTTATCATATTTTGGTCATCGTGATGTTTAGAGAGCCTAGTGGATAGATACAGTGGTCTGTCTGGTCTATTTTAAGTTCAAAAAGTTATATTTATATAGTTGTAGAGCTCTTTAGCACCTTCTTGGCCCTAGCGAGCCCTTCTTGGCTTTAGGGGCCCTTCTTGGCCCTGGGAAGCCCTTCTTGGCCCTAGCGAGGCCTTCTTGGCCCTAGCGAGCCCTTCTTGGCTTTAGGGGCCCTTCTTGGCCCTGGGAAGCCCTTCTTGGCCCTAGCGAGGCCCTCTTGGCCCTAGTGAGCCCTTCTTGGCCCTAGTGAGCCCCTCTTGGCCCTGGGAAGCCCTTCTTGGCCCTAGCGAGGCCTTCTTGGCCCTAGTGAGCCCTTCTTGGCCCTAGTGAGCCCCTCTTGGCCCTGGGAAGCCCTTCTTGGCTCTAGCGAGGCCTTCTTGGCCCTAGTGAGCCCTTCTTGGCTTTAGAGGCCCTTCTTGGCTTTAGGGGCCCTTCTTGGCCCTGGGAAGCCCTACTTAGCAAGCATCTAGGATTAAGTTTCTACATCAATTTCAGCACTAGCTTTCGAGAAGCACTAGCTTTCCTTTTTAGACTTATTCGGGCTTTGAGACGAGTAGCCAGGCTTCAAGTAGTCAAGCTTCAACGAGTTCAAATCGATCGACAGGTAGAGAAATGGATAGGATTTATAGAGAATTGATAGACAATAGATAGAATAGATAGAATAGATAGAATAGATAGAATCGATAGAATAGATAGACAATAGATAGATCGATAATAGATAGAATAGCCATTAGACAACTTAGATCTTAGCTTATCCATCAAATCCATCAAATCCATCAAAATCTTCACTATCATCGAGTTCTCTATCATTTCGACTTTCAGCTCAAGGTTCTAGAGTGAAAAATCTTCGAGATTTACTCGAGAAACGCCCAGGAAACTCAAGGATTCAAGGTTTCTTTTATGAAATAATGGACTCTAGCTAGATCTAGAGTTATCTAGATCAGTAGTTTATCCAAAACTAATCTATATCTTTGATTCTTCAGATGAATCAGTCGAAATCGAAGAGATGCTTAATCAGAAAGAGAAAAAAGCGGAAAAAGCAGAAAAATCAAGGTATTTCACTGAGAATTTGCATAAATTTAGAAGAAAATTTGTTAGATAATAGCTAAAAAAAGCTAAAAAAGGCTAAAAAAGGCTAAAAAAGCTAAAAGCTTGCCAAAAATTGTTTAAAATATCGATTTTAGTCAAAGTTCCGCAGAAGTTGAAGAGCTGAGTCCAGGAATTTGCAAAATTTGCACAGTTAAAGTGGTCGACGTGGCGTTTATCCCGTAAGTTTACATGCACTTTGTATTTCCCTTCAAGAAAGTTTGCATTATGGATGTCACAGAATATTCTGGATAGGAAAAAAGAAGCTAAATTGAAATTTTTGAAATCTCATTGATCTAGTGAGTAAATCTCATAGATGATAGTCGTTTTTTGCGGTCCTTGGAGTCCCTAGGGTCCCTAGGAAGCCAGTTTTGGCCCTAGAGAGTCTTTTTTGGCCCTAGGGGCCCTTCTTGGTCCTAGGAAGCCCTTCTCGGCCCTAGAAAGCCCTACTTGGCCCTAGGAAGCCAGTTTTGTCCCTAGGGGCTCTTCTTGGCCCTAGGAAGCCCTTCTTCGTCCTAGCGAGCCCTTCTTGGCCCTAGGAGCTCTTCTTGGCTCTAGGAAGCCAGTTTTGGCCCTAGTGGCTCTTCTTGGCTCTAGGAAGCCTTTCTTGGCCCTAGAACGTCAGCTTTCTTGGCCCTAGGGGCTCTTCTTGGCCCTAAGAAGCCCTTCTTGACCTTAACGAGCCCTTCTTAGCCCTAGGGGCCCTTCTGGGCTCTAGGACGCCTTTCCTGGTCCTAGAAAGCCATTAGTGGCCCTAGGGAGCCCTTCTTGGCCCTAGGAAGCCATTAGTGGCCGTAGGGAGTCCTTTTTAGCCCTAGGGGCCCTACTCGGCTCTAGAGTTCTAGGCCTAAGCCTAAAAGCCCTTTTTAGCTCTAGGAAGCCAGTTTTGGCCCTAGGGGCTCTTCTTGGCCCTAGGAAGCCCTTCTTGGCCCTAGAAAGCCATTTTGGGTCTGAAATCTATCCAGGACAATCCAGAGTACTTCAATTCCAAATTGCAGCTGTGGACACACCGCGTGCACCTCGTGTTTCCCCCAACTCAACGAGTGTTGCCCATTCTGTCGACTCACCGTCATCCACTCGAACAAAATCTATCTATCGTAATGGAATCTCTCTCTCTGTCTATCTATCGTTACCCTATTTTCCCCTTTTCTTATGTTGTATATTTGATTTCCTCAAATAAACGAACTTTGCTCAAGTTTTGTCGTCGATTGGGTAAATCGTAGCGAATCCAGCGTATTGCCGCCTCGTAGACCTGGAATTTATCGATAAAACTTGCTGTGTCTGGTTTGAATGGTGTAAATATCTAGTAGGGCAGATACAATACTGTCTCTAGAGCCAGCTGAGACTTCTATCGCTCAGTACAGACTTAGTACAGACTTAGTACTAGGCTTGGGATCGATCCTAGGCTAGCTGAACTGAAGGATTGGATCAGATCAGATCTGTTCAGCTCCTAAGCTAGCTAGTCTACTAGTAGCTACAGTAATCTATCTGCACCTTGTCTAGATTGTCTAGGGTCTATCTAGGTTCAATAGTTGGGTCTATCTAGGGCCAATCTCTCACCTGTTCCTCCGATCCGACATTTAATTCATCACTTGAGATCAATGAGAGTAATTGATCAAGCAGGAGTTGAAGGAATTCATCTGATGCTGTCACTTCCTAGAACAGTCAATGGCTGCAGACAATGGCTACAGTCAACAGCTGCAGACAATAGCTACAGACAATAGCTACAGACAACAGCTCCAGTCAATAGCTACAGACAATAGCTAGACAATAGCTACAGACAGCTACAGTAATCTTCTAGAGTACCCTAGTCTTCTAGTCTTTTATCTACAGTACTCTTGATCTTTACTGTACCCTGTACTCTTTTTACAGTACTACTTTACCTGGAAATTCTTCTGAGTATATAAATCAGCCATTCGAACGAGTTCTCTGCATGAATGTGTGTCAGCAAATGCACGAATTCCCAAACAATTCGTTGGATCCAGATTCTTCTCGAGGAACTCACAGCAAGCGTCCTGAAGCAAGGTAAATGAAGGTAAATGAAGATGAATAGATGCAGATTACGGTAATAGAAGCTCCTACAGCAAACCTTAACCACTTTTACTCTACCACCCACCTGGATTTCACTCATTTGCAATAGACAAGCGGCTGGAAGAAGCGATTGCACTGAAGTCTCGGTGATTTTGATCTGAAATAGAGATTTAAAATCTAGATCTATCTAAAAAGACTAGCTGACATCCAGCTAAGAAAAAAACCCAATCTCTAGCCTCACTTCTCCCGAATAACAGAAATTGATGAGCTGTTGCAGAGTTCTCCCCTCGATATCGACCATTCGGATTTCGGCTGAGAATTTTGAGATTAGATTTGAAAGTTCTGGATGTCACAGGAGATTTAGAATAGCTGAGATCAAAGATTTCACTTACATAGTCGGCTCTCTTTTAGATCCGACATAAACATCGCTCGGAAGTACAGAGAGCACGCGGAGAGGACGACACGATGAGCTGGGATACGGGTGTCTAAAGGGAATTCATCTAGATAAGCTAGGCCAAGCTAGATCAGACAAGCCCAGGCACACATCTAGTACAGATCATCTAGATAAGACATCTGGATAAGACAAAAGGCTGTAGAAAGTGGATCGTCAAGAGTTCGTGGCTATTCCAAAGAATACAGAAGAGCTATTTGATTTCAATTTCGTTTTTTCTTCTATCTGGATATCACACTAGAATTCTCAGAAGTCAGATTTTTGATTTTCAACAAAATACTTGTACTCGATATGCACTGCCAAGAGTTCGTGGCTATTCCAGAAAATTGAGAAGAGCTATTTTGTTTTAATTTCGTTTTTCCTTCTATCTGGATATCACACTAGAATTCCCAGGAGTCAGATTTTTGGTTTTCAACAAAATTTGTACTCGATTAGAATCAGATCTAGATCTAGATCCAGATCTAGCTTTAGACCAAAAGCCAAAACGCACGTCCAGCTAGAAGCACGACGTCACACAATTGCTCATCCAAGCGAAGAGCCGCCAATTCGTTCAGGAGATAGCGATCATGGTGTTTACTCTGAAAGCGATAGTCAGTTATTGGCTTTGACAGTCAGTTATTGACTTACCTTATGAATGTAATGCGATTGATTGGAGCTCGACGAGGAGGTCGTCGATTGATTGTTCATCCCTAGATTTCAGGTAAACGCATACTCTCTGGCAAATCAAGCGTTAGACAGTAGACAGGGAAATCAAGTGTTAGACAATTCGATAGGGATTCGATAGTGATATCAATATTAATATTAATCTCCTCAAAACCCACCAGAACATGCAGGTAAAATGGAGGACGGATCGTCGTCGTTTCCCATTTTTAGACGAGCTAAAAAGCGCCAAGTCGAGAACATTTGGAAATGAAATTTACAAAAGGAAAAAGCTCAAGGAAAAGCTCAAGGAAAGCTGTATAAATAGAATTGTATAAATAGAAAAAAAAGTTGGGCGTGAAATTAACAGAACCGGTCTTTCCAATTTGTTGATTACACTGGCAAAAAGGCAAAAAAAGAGCGCAAGAAAAGGGTAAATGGAGCATAGAAATCGGATGGAAAGAGGTGTAAGTTGTAGGCAATGGGCTATCCAATTCCTGAGACCATTCCTTAGACCATTCTTGAGACCAGCTGACTACAGCTTTCTCTTATTTCCTGCTTCATCAGCACTTCAAAGAGTCTAAACTTTTGTGAAACTTATTGTGAAACTCAGAACTCTCAAATCGACTGTACAATGTAATCCATGAAAGACGCAAACTGGTCAAGCGATTGGGATTGAGATTGGGATTGAGATTGGGATTGAGATCAAATGAATAGGGGAGCCAATCTTCCAGCCAGAAATGACTGGCTGGAAGATTGACCTTCCACCAGCCCTGTGTTTGCTCTAGTTCGGATTTTGGCAATGTTGAATGATTGAAGAGTTGCCGGGAGAGCTCGTTGCCCAACTTCGATTGTTTTGGCGGTGCTCCACCGAGAAGAGCTTCTCATCGGAGAACAAGTTTCCGGGTTGCGGAGAACAACTCCCAATTTGAAGCTTGACCCGTTCTCGACATCTCTCGTCGAAAGAATTGTTGTCATCGCTTTCAAAAGCTAGAAGAAGCTAGAAGATACCATTCGAATGGTATCTTAAGGAAAAAGTAGAAATCTCGGTATTTGGAGATTCTTCTAAATACCGGTAAAAGTCTCGGTATTTGAAAGAATCGGTTGTTTGTTGTTGTTGTCGTTGTTCTTCTTGTTCTTGTCATTGATTGTTTGTTGTTGTTGTTGTCGTTATTGGTTGCTGTTGTCGTTGTCGTTTGTTGTCATTGGTTGTTGTTGTCGCTGTCGTTTTTGTCGTTTGCTGTCATTGGTTGTTGTTGTCGTCGTTGTTGTTGTTGTTGTCGTTATTGGTTGCGGTTGTCGTTGTCGTTTGCTGTCATTGGTTGTTGTTGTCGTCGTTGTTGTTGTTGTTGTCGTTATTGGTTGCGGTTGTCGTTGTCGTTTGCTGTCATTGGTTGTTGTTCTTGTTGTCGTTGTTGTTCTTGTTGTTGTCGTTTGTTGTCATTGGTTGTTTGTCGTTGTCGTTGTTGTCGCTTGTTGTCATCGGTGAGCATTTATCCTTGTTTGGGCTTGTATGAACGAAGATTTAGACCTTTTTAGCAATCATTTGGACAGTTTCTCGATTAACTTTGATATTCTTTTGATTTTCAAAGATTTTCAAAGCGAGATCCTCAAATTTCGCTTGATTTTCTTCTTGATTACTTTTCGATTCCTGGGCGTGTTTTCAGTTCGGTTTGTTCTTCTTCCGAGTCGAGTTTGTTCCTCTTCCTCCAAGCTCCTCAAATCATTTGATAGTTTGAAACGGTTTAGCAGGGTACAGGCAACAAATAAACGAGATAGAGAAGGAAATAAAAGAGAAGGGTTTGGGGAGCCTCGTTTCTCACTTTGCCAGTGGTTTTCAGCCATACAAAGAGCACTTTGCCAGTGGTTTTCTATTCAAAGCTAAGCTAAGAAAGCTAAGCTAAGCTAAGAAAGCTAAGCTAAGAAAGCAAGCTCAGCTAACGTTTAAACTGAATGCCAACTCTTTACTTCCCTTAGAAAGATTCAGTTTTCTAGAGAAAAAGAGAAAAAAAGGGGAAAATCTTATGAAATCTCGTCACATGAGTTGTTTTTGTTCGGTAAATGAATCGAATTTTTCCTTTTATTGGAATTTGTCCTTTTATTGAAAAAATGAACAAATTTTAAACAAAAAAAAAACAGATTGTTATTGTCATATTTAATATTGAATTTCAAATTTCAAATCAAATCAAACCTCTAGAGGTATTTAGTTCAGCTACAGTAACCCTGCCCTACAGTAGCCCTCGTTCAAATCTCTCATGTAGATAGTGTAACTCTAGTGTATTTAGATTAATCTAAAAAGCCTAGCTGACATCCAGCTAAGATAAAAAACCCGATCTCTAGCCTCATTTCTCCCGAATAACAGAAATTGATGAGCTGTTCGGGTTCGGCTCTCGATATTGATCACTCGGATTTCGGCTGAGGATTTTGAGATAAGATTTGAAAGTTCTGGATGTCACAGGATATTTAGAATAGCTGAAATCAAAGCTTTCACTTACTCAAAAGATTTACTTATTTTGTTCATGCTTTTCAAGTTTTCTCAACTCGTTTGTGGTGAAGAATGGTTACTGTAGTGTTTAAGTATTACTATTAAATATCTAGACAGTCTAGATTTAGATCTAGATTTAGTTCTTTATCAGTTTTTATCTTTTTTGATTTTGGTCTAATTTGAATGAATTTATCGAAGCAGAGAAAGGAAAAAAAGAAAAAGAAAAAAAAAAGCAACTGCTTTTCACTGGAAAACGTCGCGGTTGTGGGGAAGAGAGAAAAGTTTCGAAAGAAATTGAAAAAGGAATGGAAAAGATTGAAGAAATGTGGGGAAAGGATGGGAAAGGGAAACAGAAATAGTGGGGTGGAGGGGAAGAGGATGGAGGGGAGGAGGGGGCAGCCACGCAGACATCAGTCCCCTCCTCTCCCTTCCACTCATCGACCCCATCCCCATTGCCTAGTTTCATTTAGCTTCTTTATCTTGTTTAGTTCTTCTTGATGGTTAATTTAGTATTGTAAGCTTGTCTGGCTCGTTTGGCTTGTCCCTGGCTTGTCCTTGGCTTGTCCTTGGCTCGTTCTTGGCAACAAGCAAGCAAGCCAGCTTCAGCCAGCCAGCCAGCCAGCAAGCCAGCAAGCCAGCAAGCCAGCCAGCAAGCCAGCCAGCAAGCAACCAAGCAACCAAGCAAGCAAGCTTCAATCTTCCTCAACCTCATTTCTATGCATCCATTTCTTCTCTGTGACATCCAACTAAAAGATTGTGCTGTTAAACAGAAGCTATTTCCATACTCTTTATCGAAATATCAAAGAGATATCGTCTACGATGTTTCGGCTTCAAACTAACCCAGACTAGGCCAAAGACTAGGCTCTAAAACGAGACGAACTCAAACTCGTCAAAAACTAAATTTTCCAAATCACACCTATTGACGTTTCTTTATACTCAAGGGTTGCTGTGACATCCAGAATGACCAGTCTAGTTTTTAGAATTTCGAAATAACTCTCGATTTGCTCTAAAGCCAGACGAACTCAAACTCGTCAAAAGCCAAATGTCCCAAATTACACCTATTGACGTTTCTTTATACTCAAGGGCTACTGTGACATCCAGAATGACTAGTCCAGTTTTTAGAATTTCGAAATAACCCTCGATTTGCTCTAAAACCAGACGAACTCAAACTCGTCAAAAACCAAATTTCCCAAATCACACCTATTGACGTTTCTTTATACTCAAGGGCTACTGTGACATCCAGGAAGACAGATTTTATAGTTTATAACTTTAAAACATTTTCGATTATATGCAGAATCGAACCAGCTCTCGAAGTCATTGAATCGATTTGTTTTCCCCAGCTTTTTCCTCAAAAACAACTTGTGAAAGGCATTGAAAAACAACGTCTATTCACTGAATATCTTTTCATTTCTCAAAAGTTTGCACTTTAAAAGAAAAACAAGACAGAAAAGTCATTTTTTAATCATTTTTGACCAATTTTGATCAATTTTTGATGATTTTTGACTAATTTTGACCAATTTTGATCATTTTTGATCAATTTTGCTCAATTTTTGATGATTTTTGACTAATTTGGACGAATTTTGACCAATTTTGATCAATTTTTGATGATTTTTGACCAATTTTGATCAATTTTGATCAATTTTTGATGATTTTTGGCTAATTTGGACCAATTTTGACCAATTTTGACCAATTTTAATCAATTCTTAATCATTTTTAATCATGTTTTAATCAATTTTATTCAATTTTATTCAATTTTATTCAATTTTTGAGGTTTTTGAACGTTTTTGGAGCCTTGAAAAGTTTGAAAAAGCTTTCAAAAAGCTTAAGCAATCATTTCTGATCATTTCTTATGAGAATCTCTTTTAGAATTTGTTTTAGAATCTTTTTCTAGCATTTTAATGATAACCAATAAGAAAAGATTGTTTATTCAATTGTTTAAAGCAAAAAAATTCAAAAAAATCTCGAGTTTCCATCAAATTTCCGAATTTCCACCAAATTCCGATTAAATGAAGCCCTCAAAATATTGGGTTGGGGAGAATGAGTCGGCGCCGAACTTTAAAGGGACTTTTTGCACACATAAAGCCTTCTTTAAACATACGTTTGGTTTGATCAAAAGGATCCACTATTTCTCTACAAAATCACTTTTGAGAGATTCCACAAAGCTTTTCTTTCGTCGAGTTTATGAACTTCGAAACGCAGCTGGTTAAAATGGCAAAGAGTCCGACTCATCATTTGAACAGTTTCTTTCACATAAACCTTCTTTGGTGTTTATATAAAAAAGATAGAGCACATTCAATTACTTAAGTTGCCAAATTTGCAGGAAGATCCCACCAATGGTTTTTGCTAGATCACAGTTTGTAGTTTTTGTGAAAAAATGGCTTTTTCTTGAGCGGAGGCGCTGTTTGAATTTTCTTTTAAATGTCATTTTGTAGAGAATTAGTTAACCATTCTACTGATATCAAACGCATATTATTTGACGAAGTCGAATTCAAGTTTTAAACATTTTTTTGATTTTCGGCGCCGACTCATTCTCCCCAACCCAATAACTCTAAAAGCTAAATAAAGATGAAATATTTCATATTTAAAGAGCTTAAGCTAGAAAATAAACCTTTATCTACACTTTGATTTGTTCATTTCCAATTTCTCAAAGCGTCGAGCAGATTTCCAATTTCTCAAAGCTTCTCCTCCACTTTGTGGAGGAGAGGAAAGTTGTTGGGTGTAAATTCTTCCCCGAAATTCTTTGATAACAGAAAAAGTTTTAAAATAAAAGTTTCAATCTGGAAGTCACTAGACTTAAAAAGTCTTTCAGAAATCGGATTTTATTATTTTAAAATTTTTTTTGATATTCTAGTGATTTCGAAATGTTTTCTATAAAAAAACATCGTTTCCATAGAAACTTTTGTTGACTAAGAATCGAAAAACGCTTCTAAGAAGCGTTGTTAGAAGGTTAAATTTAAAGCTGTTCATTGTTTTCTATGACTTTCGACAATCTTTTATTGTTGAAATGATTGGTTTTGTTTTTTTTTTGATTACCGTCTTTTTTGATTTTTCTCTAAGTGTACCCGGCGCCTTTCTCAAAATCTCGAGAACCGCTTATCAGAATCTATCGATGTGGGATCGGAAAATGTAGCTAACGATGAGATATTGACGATGATTAGAGTCTTGAGTTTCTGGGAAAGCTTAGAAACTGTAAAATAGTCGCCAACTCGGCTCGGGTGCATTACTAGAGAGAAAACGGAACTTCGCTTTTCGGTTCTTCTTTTTCGTTCTTCTTTTTCGTTCTTCTTTTCTATATTCAATTTTCAGGTATTCGAAAAGCTTAGCGCTTAATTCTTCAAAGAAAACTTGTTGAGTGAATTTGAAAGTATTCCGAAAGCTTTCTCTGTTATTTGTATCAACTTTTCTTTTCTTTTTTCCCGTCTTGCACGCTCCAGGGAGAGGTCAGATTTAAAGATTTTCTTTTTAAGCAAACAAACTACAAACAAACTACAAGCAAACTAGAAACAAACTACTAACAAACTTACTTTTTAAACAAACTTACTTTAAACAAACTACTTCTAAGCAAACTTACTTCTAAACAAACTTACTTTAAACAAACTTACTTTAAGCTTAAACTTAACCTTAAAACTTACATAGAAAAAGATTCTAGAAATAGCTTTGTAGTTAAGGTTAAATAGCTTTGGAGTTAAGGCTTCTAATTTTATCTCGAATATCGAATTTCTAATGATTTTTTTAGGGCGTGAAAGACTCACATTGGACTGTCCCACTCGGCCACAAACATTCCGACAGAGGACACCGCTGAGCCCGCCTTAAAACCCTTAAGGGGCCTAACTGTGAGTTTATTTGGATAGTTACAGAAACTATGTTCTGTCTGATGTCCATTTCAAGGCTACAGCCAAGCCTACAAGGCTACAAGCCAGCCTACAAGGCTACAAGCCAAGCCTACAAGGCTACAGTAACCCTAGAGTACCGTATGATGTCTATCTCCAGCCTACAGTTATTTCCAGGATAAAATTGATTTCCAGGTAGAGGAGATTCACGGCGTACTGCTCGTGGACTCGGCACGACCACAACCGCGTAGCAACCAGGTGATTACTGTAGTTTATCAACTAGGTCAGCTACTCTGGAGCCCTTTTTGTAGCCTAGAATTACTTGAATACTTTTTCAATCCCTTTTCCAGTACCTCGACAAGAACGCCGAGCCTCCTTGGGATCCGGATCCGCTTCCCTGAGACGGTGAGTGTTAAAAGAGAACATAGAATGCTTCAATCTTCTAGTTATATACTCTAGATCTGTTACAATCCTCTAGATCTGTTACAGTAATTCTTGCAATAACCCTAAGTAACTACAGTACTTCATAAAGTTTTCTGGATGATTGACAATCCCTTTAAACAGTTTTCTGCACAATTTCCTTAAACAAAGAGCCTGTATTCCCTTGGAAATCTTCAATAGGATGGATAGGTAACTACAGTACCCCTGGATAGGCAACTATAGTAACTTACAGCACTTCCGACCAGCTTTTAGAATCTATTGTGGAAACTATAGCACTCCAGATTGTTATAGAATCTACAGTACCCAGTCAGCTACAATGTGATTGACGGGATACTTTATTAACCGGGTTCCTGTAGCTTTCCTATAGCTCTAGATTCCTGTAGCTCTAGATTCCTGTAGCTCTAGATTCCTGTAGCTCTAGATTCCTGTAGCTCTAGATTCCTGTAGCTCTAGATTCCTGTAGCTCTAGATTCCTGTAGCTCTAGATTCCTGTAGCTCTAGATTCCTGTAGCTCTAGATTCCTGTGCTCTAGATCCTGTGCTCTAGATTCCTGTAGCTCTAGATTCCTGTGCTCTAGATTCCTGTAGCTCTAGATTCCTGTAGCTCTAGATTCCTGTAGCTCTAGATTCCTGTAGCTCTAGATTCCTGTAGCTCTAGATTCCTGTAGCTCTAGATTCCTACAGCTCTAGATTCCTGTAGCTCTTCCTGTAGCTTGACTAGATAAAAGAGACATCCCAGCATACTGTAGATATCCTTGCATTCCCTGGAGTACAGTAGCGACTACTTCCAGGATAGAATCCAGACAGAAGAGGCAAACTTATCAGTTACTCTACCCACCTCTATTTCATTATTTCAAAACTCAAGGCTTTTCAAGACTCACGTGTTCTCTGGCCTTTCCAAGCTTCTTATCAATGAAATCTTTGAAAATGATTGAAAGATTGGGGGTTTTTCTCAACAAATCGATTCTCTGATTTGTGGTTTTTTTAGAAGAAAATCGATTGATGACTGTCATTTCAAAACTAAACTTTTCATTTATTTTTGTTTGTTTTTGGGGTTAGTGAAGTGGCCTGGAAAGGAAAATAGCATTCTAGACAGCTGGGTACTGTAGCCATCTCTCTGCTTTCTAGAAGACAGCTGGGTACTGTAGCCATCTCTCTGCTTTCTAGAAGACAGCTGGGTACTGTAGCCATCTCTCTGCTTTCTAGAAGACAGCTGGGTACTGTAGCCATCTCTCTGCTTTCTAGAAGACAGCTGGGTACTGTAGCCATCTCTCTGCTTTCTAGAAGACAGCTGGGTACTGTAGCGATCTCTCTGCTTTCTAGAAGCTGCCCTAAACCCTAAAAATAGCTAAAGTCTAAAGTCTAAAGTCTATTCTGCTGTCTGTTCTAGTCTGCTTTCCATGAAACAAATTCCTTGTTTGTGACATCCAACTAAGACTTTCAGCCTTTAAAACAGTAGTTGTTTACATCAAATTCTTTCACAAATAACCCGTCTGAAAGTGATCGGATCGTAAAATCTTTTACATCTTTTCATTTACAGTCTTATCTCCAAATCAACAACAACAATCGTCTGTAGCTGATCGAAATCGCCAATTTTCTTCAATTTTCTTCAATTTCCTTCAATTTCCTTCAATTTCCTTCAATTTTCTTCAATTTTTCCTTGATCGCTGTTGTTTTTGAACGGCGATCAAATCACCGACTCATACCCGAAAATTTCGTGGGTTTATTTTGACTAAAAACTTAAATTATATTGGTTTTCTTGCATCTCTGCGAGCATCTCTGCCAGAAGACGAGCGTTTACGAGCGCCAAAGTACACTAAAGTACTCTAAACAGCCTCTAAACACTCTAGAAGACTTTCACTGATTGTTTACAAGTAAAAGTACAAAAATTTAAACGCTATTGTTCATTCTGGATGTCACAGTGTACATTGGAATCCAATTTACGGCACTTGCCTGATTTTAGTACTGTACTAGTTAGTCGTTGGCTGTCCAGGGGTGTTCTTTGTACTCCCTTGTAAAAAGGACTAAAATTTGAACGCTATTGCGCGTTCTGGATGTCACAGCGTACGTTAGAGTCCAATTTACGGCACTTGACGGTTTTTAGAACTTTACTAGCTAGTCGTTAGCCGTTCAGAGCTGTGCTTTGGACTCTCTCTTAAAAAAAGACCAAAATTTCGAAGGCATTGCGCGTTCTGGATGTCACAGCATACGATAGAGTCCAATTTACGGCACTTGACTGATTTCAGTACTGTACTTGCTAGTCGTTGGCTGTCCAGAGGTGATCTTTGTACTCTCCCGTAAAAAGAACTAAAATTTGAATGCTATTGCTCATTCTGGATGTCACAGCGTACGATAGAGTCCAATTTATGGCCTAGTTTTTTGTACTGTACTTTTTTTAGTCCTGTACTAGTTAGTCTTTCCCGGTCTAGAGGTGTACATTGTGCTTTCACGTAAACGCGCGCCTTCTGGCACACAGCTCGTCACCGCCGATTTAATGAGCCAAAAATCGTCAAAATTGCTTTAATTTTGCTGAAAATTAGGGAACTAGGGTTTTCCGCAATGCAGATTTCGATGGGAAACTCGATTTTCTCGATTTTCAGTTCAATTGTCACATCTCGGGTGCCCGTTGGCCCATCGCCTTCATCGGGGAGTGCAAAATCCCCAGCACACTTCACGCCGGCACTTCCAATTCTTTGGGCTCGTCCTGACGAGGTTTGATTGATCTCTATGTTTACAATAAACCCCTCATCTTTCAGGTAGCTCGTCGCGTGGCCAACAACTCTCACCATCGTCCACCGTAATTCTTCGGGGGAATTTCGTGCCTATAATTCCTCCATTTGCCGCATGATCGAGCGTGTCTGCCTTCGACGGTCAGTTTAAAGCAAAGGAAGTTGGCTAGAAAGTAGACTAGAAAGTAGGCTAGAAAGAGGCCTAGAAAGAGGCCTAGAAAGTAGCCTAGAACGCTATCGTAATCTTGAGCCAGTGGCTTAGATAGCTACTGTAACCCGAGCTGTTAGAGTACTGGAGGAAAGCTTTGTGGTCTGGAAGCTAGAGGTTAGAGCTAGAGGTGGCTTGGATTGGAAGGTCCATCCAGGCCAGAGCTTGGATTCAAAGGCCCATCCAGGCTAGAGCTTGGATTCAGAGGCCCATCCAGGCTAGAGTTGGCAAAGGCCCATCCAGGCCAAAGCTTGGATCCAGAGGCCTATCCAGGCCAGAGCTTGGATTCAAAGGCCCATCCAGGCCAGAGCTTGGATTCAAAGGCCCATCCAGGCTAGAGCTTGGATTCAGAGGCCCATCCAGGCTAGAGCTTGGATTCAAAGGCCCATCCAGGCCAAAGCTTGGATCCAGAGGCCTATCCAGGCCAGAGCTTGGATTCAAAGGCCCATCCAGGCCAGAGCTTGGATTCAAAGGCCCATCCAGGCCAGAGCTTGGATTCAGAGGCCCATCCAGGCTAGAGCTTGGATTCAAAGGCCCATCCAGAGCTTGGATTGGAAGGCCTAAGTCTAAGCCTAAGCCCAAGCTAATAACTTTGGATAGCTACAAGCTACCGTTCTCTTAACTAATACCAGGACTTGCCTTGCCTTGCCTAAGCCTTGAAAAGTCACCGTATCCTACCATATGACTACCGTATCCTACTACAGTACCCAAAATGACCTTCCAGGCGTCTCGCCTCCTCAACCTACCATCCATCGTCACCACTAGAGGGAAATGATCTTTCCCAGGAGACCCTAGCTGATCAAAAGATTGCCGTTTTTGGGGGAAACTCTCCATCTTTGGATGACGTCTGTCGACATGTTGCATCAAAGGAAAACGAAAAAGGATCCTTGCCTTTCTTCGTCATGTCAATCCCTAGATTGCAACAAGCTATCAAGCAATGGAGTGAGAGGATGATCAGAGTCAAGTGAGTCCTTAGAAAGCTAAGATCAGGATGACAGAGTGTGATAGGATGTCTAGATCTAGATCTAGATCAAGACCTGCTGGCTTAGAGAGATCTAGAGCTGGATCTAGGGATCAAGAGCTGATCTAGATTTAGAGCTGATCTAGAGCTGGGTTAAGGAGATCTAGAGCTGATCTAACCTGGAGGATCTTGGACATGCTCTGGTCTAGATCCTGATCTAGTTGACTAGTCAGGCTCATATCTAGTTTGCAGCTGGTCTAGCCTGGCTTGCAGCCTGGCTAGCCTGGTCCTGGCTGGTTTAGCCTGGCTGGAACCTGACCTAGCTTGAGTTTTGAGTCTGCTACCCAATCGATCTCAATTTCTAGACCATTCTACTCTCTCCGTTGCAACGCGGATCCCGTTCTTTGTCGTCTTTTGGCCGATCATCCAAATGAAATGTTCAATTTCGAGGCTCAAGACGCGCATCTCCTCGAAAAGGCTCTCGATCTTGTCCCACCCGATCGAATCCTTTACTCAAACCCATGTCTCACTCGAAAAGCCCTCAAACACGCTGATGAGGTTCAGGTACGTGCTGGACAAAGGACAAAAAATGTTTCTAGATCTCTAGAGCCAGGCTATTGCTCTGTGCTGTTTTAAGAATCTGTGCTGTGTTCCAGATTGTCTGAAAAGTGCTTAAACTTTGAAATTTTCTAGGTGGGAACGATCATCATCGAGTCGGAAAGAGATCTCCTCAACGCTATCAGCTATGCGCCGAATGCAAAGTGAGTACTGTGGTTAGAGTACTGTTAGTAGAGTACTGTTATTAGAGTACTGTAGACAGAGTACTGGGGATAGAGTACTGTTATTAGAGTACTGTACTGTGTACTACTAAAATTAGCATCATCTTTTCAGATTGCTCATTCGCGTTTGTATGATGTCATATTTGAATTGTTTTTCGAATGATGTTGAGACTCGATTTGGTTGCTCATTTCAAGAAGCACGAGATATTCTATTGATTGCATCAGAGTTGAGAGGAAAAGTCATCGGAATCAGGTAAAGCTGGCTATTGAAGATCTTGCTTAAACAAGAAAAGAAAACAAGAAAACAAAGAAAGCTCTTTGAAAATTGATTGACAACAATTGGCCTTCGCTTTTGCTTGAATTTTAAAGTTGATAAAGAGAAAGAAGATCAATGATAAAGAGAAGCTCAAGAAAAGTCAATCGTTTTGCTTGCTGTTGATCTTGTTGATGTTTAGAGCTTTACTTGGGAGCTTGCTTAATAGCTTAATAGCTTAACAGCTTAGTTAATAGCTTAGTAGCTTGCTTAATAGTTTAGTTAACAGCTTAACAGCTTACTTAACAGCTTAATAGCTTACTTAACAGCTTACTTAACAGCTTAATAGCTTACTTAACAGCTTACTTAACAGCTTACTTAACAGCTTACTTAACAGCTTAATAGCTTAGTTAACAGCTTAATAGCTTACTTAACAGCTTACTTAACAGCTTACTTAACAGCTTAATAGCTTACTTAACAGCTTAACAGCTTACTTAACACCTTAATAGCTTAGTTAATAGCTTAATGCTTACTCAATAGCTTAATATCTCAATTAATAACTTACTTAATTTCTAGCTTCAACATGGATGCAAACGCAAATCCATCTCTCTACTACAAAGCGCTTCGTTCTGTGAAAGAGTTGATGGACGAGGGTGAAAGAGTTGGATTGACAATGCGGACGATTTGTTTAGGCGGTGGATTCGATGGAGAGAAGAGAAACGATTTCAATGAGGTTGATTCATTGATTTTAATCATCTTTCAATTTAATCATCGATAATCAATTCAATTATCGAAATTTCAGTTGAGTGATATCATCAATGATTCGATGGATTCCCTCTTCCCATCGTCGATTGATTTCATCTGTACTCCTGGCCGTTTCTTCGCCAGTCCCGCATTCAATCTCTGCACAACCGTGATCGCAAAACGATCTACTGAAGCTCAAGTGCTTACAAATGATGGTGAGAAGAGATTTGGCTTTATAGCTTTTTTGATTTGATCGACAATCAACAATCAACAATCGACAATCAACAAATCTTCAATATTATCTTCTAGATTTCGATTCGGGTTTTGGTTTCATCTATCAAATCAATGAGGGAATCTATGGCTCGTTTGGATGTCGTTTAGACAATTGTAATCCAAAATGTCGACCATTAGACAGCCTTCCACATCATTTCGAGCAATTCCCCGCGAAAATCTTAGGACCAAATGTTGATGGTAGGTTTTGGAAAAAAGTTTTGTGCCTTCTGGAGTACACTAGAAGAAACTAGTGACAGTGCTCGAGACTTTCTATGTACAGTACAGTACTACAGTACATCTACAGCATTGACGTTCTAGGCACTGACGTTGCTCAACCATTGACCTTTCTCCCACAGCTTTCCATTGGTGAATGGCTTGTTTGGGATCAAATGGGCGCATATTCGATGCCATATGATGGAGAGACACCCCAACTACCTGTCTACTATTATGATTCAAAAAAAGCATGGTTAGTTTTGGCTTGGAAGGCCTGGCTGGACCTGGACCTGGACCTGGACCTGGACCTGGCTTCCGTTCCTAGTCTGGCCTCGCTTCTGATTATGATTCGAGAAAAGCATGGATACTTTCATCTTAGCCTAGCTTCTCGATTTTCTAATTGAATAGTTTAGATTAGGCCAAGTCAGAAGCCATCTTCTACTCTGGTTCCTAACTTAGTCCGCTTTTACTGAACCGAGGTTTAAGCCTGGATCTAGACCTGGGTTCTGGTCTAGCTTTTGACTTCTGGCTTGCTGAGCTGGCCTGGCTTGCTGAGCTGACCTGGCCTGGCTGATAGCTTGGTCCTAGCAAAGTCAAAGGGTAAAACCTGAGCTTACCTGGGATTCTAGGACCCAGGCAAGCTTAGACAGACCCTAGGACCGTCCTAGGTCAAGTCTGGACAAGCCTGGACCTAGACTGGGAAGGCTTAGACCAAGCTTGGTCTTTTGATTGTCTAGCTTGTCTAATAGCCTGTCTAGCTAGTTTACAGTTTGAGCTAGTTTACAGCTCCAGTTTGAACAGCTCTGATTCCAGATCAGATTCAGATCATCTCAGACCAAGCTTTCGTCTAGTTTAGTCAATTTTCGACAAAGTTTGAACATGACAAAGCTGCTTGCAGGGATGATCGGCACTCTCCAAAAAATCCCTTGAAAAGAATCGACTCAGACTCGGGCCTGGGATCCGATGCCGGCTCCGAGCCTCCATCCGATTCCGAGGATTGGGGAGACGACGAAGATCAAGAGAATCTCAGCCCATATTTCCATCGTTTCTTCCACCAAATTCAGAGACAATTTTGAGCGTACTCTTAGGATTTTCTAGAAGCTTTTAAAACCGACTTTAACTTCAATAAATTCCAAATCTTTTCATATGATTCTTCAATCGTTTTTTGGTTTTTTGATTTTTTTCGTCTTTTTTTAGAGTGACTAATGAATTTGAAGAGTTTAAAATAATGCCATAATCGATCAGTATTGCAGAAATGGTTTAGAAATGGTTTAGAGATCGTTTAGAGATGATGAAAATGTAAGAATCCTTTAGATTTGTGTTTTCTTTATCATTTTCGACGTTTTCATTGAAAATCTCTCGGAAAAATGATTCCTTTTCGCATCTTTCATCAAACATTTCTCCATTTTTCTTTTTTTATTCGAAAAATTAGTTCAGGAAATAAATTGTTGATTGAAAAAGATGGCCGAGAGATCGAAAAGAACAAAAAGAAGCACGAAAACAAGCAGACAAAACAATTTGTGCAGAGAAGAGTGCTTCCGTTTGAGAAAGAGATTTGAAAGAATCAACAATTGACTTATTTCGATTGATTTATTTCAATTGATTTATTTGAATGTCGCTAATTAAACAAACAAATGAATAAATACAGATAAATAAACGAATAAACAAATAAACAAACAAATAAACGAATAAACGAATAAACAAACAAACAAATAAACAAATAAAAAAATAAACAAACAAACAAATAAACAAACAAACAAACAAACAAACAAACAAACAAACAAACAAATAAACAAATAAACAAACAAACAAATAAACAAACAACAATAATTAAAGATTAAGGCTAGGGAAAGCAGTCTGAAAAATGGATTTAATAAAGTACAAAAACTAGGGAAACTGAATACAGTCATGGACAAAAGTCTTTACCCCTACCGAGGTCAGCTTTTAAAACGCTAAATTTTTCAACTTTTTAACAAGTTTTAAAAATTGTTTTCAAAGTATTTTGTAGCATTTTTACTCTAGTTTTTATATCCCATAACCAAAAGAAACAACAATTTATTTTAGGCAACAAAGAACGACGTTAACAAAAAAAAACCCTCAAAACAGGTGGACAAAAGTCTTTACCCCTCGAACAAAAAGTGAGAAAAAACCGAGTATTTTAATATTTGGTAGGGCCTCCTTTTGATAAAATTATTGCTTGAATCTTTCTCGGCATCGAGTCGACCAAATCCTGTAAAATTTGAGGACCGATCTTTGTCCAGACGTGTCGAATGAAGTATCATAGCTCAATCTTGGTATTGAAGCGTTTTCCCTTCAATTTCAGCTTTAAAAACGCCCACAAATGTTCGATAACGTTCAAATCCGGACTGTAGGGAGGAGCAGATACGAGTTGAACTCCATTCGATCGGAACCATCCGGGTAGACGAGCTCTACCACCGTTGGCAAGGCGAACAACTCGTCCCATTAGCAGTTGCGACTTGTGGCATGGAGCGTTGTCCTGGTACAGCAACCATCCTTGTCCAATTTTTGTGATCGCAAATGGAAGAAGATCGTTCTCCAAAATCGCCTTGTATCGTTGAGCGTCCAAAGTTGAATTGAGAAGAACGAGCGGACCTGGTGAACTTTCTAGTCATCGCTCCTGAAAAAAAAAAGTCAATAGGCATAAAGATAAAAGTTTCTTACCGCAAAACATGATTGATCCGCCACCAAATTTGACTGTCGCACGAAGGTATTTGGTGCTATATCGTTGTCCGACAGGTCTCCGGATCAAATGATTGCCGTCGGGATTGAAAAGGTTGATCTTCGATTCATCGGTGAAGATGACATTGGCCCAGTCGTTGCTTGTCCAACTTTCATACTTCTTGGCAAAGTCGAGTCGAATCTTCCGGTGTTTGGCGACCATCAGGGGCTTCTTGGCAGGTCTTCTAGTCATCAATCCTGCATGAATCAAACGTCTGCTTACTGTCTTTCGATTGATGTCCTTGTTAAATTGATGCTTGATTAATCTGACTCCATCGGAAGCATTAAGATTTGGATCCTTTTTGTGGGCCAAAATTAGAACCTTGTCTTCTCTTGGTGTTGTGACGGGTGAACGACCTGTTTTGAATGCTCGGTGAGGAATTCCAGTCGTTTTCTCTTTCTTGCAAAGCTTTTTCACCGTTTCGGGGCTGCATTTGAATACGCTCGCAACATCCTTTACTTTGTCGCCTCGTTTCCCGGCTTCCACAATCTTTTCTTTGTCGGGAGTGGTCAGATAGGCTCCAGGCATCACTAGAATTAAAAAATAATAAAGCATTGTTATGTGAAATCACTGACTGTAAAATCAACCAATTATTTGGAATTATTTGGAATCGGAGCTTCAAATGAAGATGGGACCACTGCTCGGATCGGATTGCTCGATCTCTACAGAAATGCACATGCTTAAGGATGCTCGCATGGAAAAAGAAATAGCTTCAAGAGATGGCTTCAAGGAATCGCTTCAAGGAATCGCTTCAAGGAATCGCTTCAAGGAATCGCTTCAAGGAATCGCTTCAAGGAATCGCTTCAAGAGATCACGTAAATTACAGTATTTAGCATACATTCTAGTAGATAACTATTAGATTGGCGGGAAAATAATGCGAATTTGTTTGACCCGAATTTTTATTTCAAAAAAAAACAATAAGTAAATAGGATTAATATAAATGTTATTCTCCATTAATATTTAGGACATCATGTCATCTTTTGCTCAATTCAATAATTTTATCTTTAACGAACTGGGGACTTTTTGACGGAAAATAGTTGGTGACCGCATTTTCGACTTCCTGGGAATCCTTGAACAGCTGATCGGAGATCGGAGATGAACTGCTTTAAAGACTTGAATAAGTCTGATGGTCTGATCAGGTCTGACCTGAATAAGTCTGATGGGACCAAGTCAGGGCTGTATGGGGCGTTAGGTAGAAGCCCACCTTTTTGATTTGTCGGAGTCCAGCCAATCTCTTCGATTTGTCGGAGTCCAGCCAATCTCTTCGATTTGTCGGAGGGCCATCTTTGCGGTGTGCGGTTTTGCATTATCGTTTTTGAATTTTTGAAGTGTTGTGTCGAGATTTCGATAAAGCTTAACACTCTCTAACTGCTCACTGTAAAGTTTAGCTGTAAAGTTCAGCTGAAACAGTTTTATCCGGTTTGAGCAGTTCAAAATAAATCAATCCACGAGAGTTCCACCAAACAACATCAACTTCTTTCCATGCAAACCAAGATTTGACGTGACAACCGGGGCTTGCTTTGGTGATAGCCATTGATGATAGCCATTGATGATAGCTATTGATGATAGCCATTGGTGCTTGCCATGGCTTTGGTGATAGCCATTGCGCTTAACGTTATCATATAATATCCACGTTTCATCAGAAGTAACAATTGATTTCCAAAAATCATGCGCTTTTGATTTTTGAATCAAAATTGAACAAGTGTTCATACATAATGAACAAAAGAATCATTTTTTGATTGAGGGTCAGTTCATGGACTGATTTTCCGCATCTGTTTCGCTTTCCAATCAAATGTAAATGCTCTTCAATGGCTATGATGAACATTGAACATTTCCGACAACTCCCACGTGGTGCAAGTGGGATCTTCTTCAATAATTTGCAAAAGTTGAGACTCATCGAGCTTTCGAGAACGTCCTTCATGATGCTCATCTTCTAGGCTCTGGTTTCCACTTTGAAATCGCTCAAATCATCGATAACATTGGCTTTCGCTAATACGATTTTCCTTAGGCCTTTAAAATAGGCTTTTAAAATAAAATTATGCGATTCTCGAGCAGATTTTTCAAGCCTAAAGTCATAGAGTAAAGCAGCTCGAATATTTTTTTCTTCGAAATTTTTGTTCTGTCATTTTTTTGATAACAAATGAACAAATGTTTTCAAATAATATAACGATTGTGTAAGCAAAGACACTCAACTCGTCTGTTACTCTGTTACTATTTGTTCTCTGTTACTATCTTAGCGGTTTTCTCTGTTTGTCTGCTCTTTCCCAAGAGCACAAGTTGAGAATTCGCATTATTTTCCCGTCAACCTAATACTAGAAATTAGCTAGAAAGCTAGAAATTCTAAAATATAATTAAAACTATGGAAAAAGTTAGAATTTCGAGTTAAATCGCAAGCGAAAATCGGATTTTAGAGAGTTTTCTCGAAGCGCTTTTAATCTTGAGCTATTTTAATGGATTCAGCTTCAGTTTTTGATTACCCAAGCACTAAACCATTTGATAAAATGAAGCATTTTGTTGAATCGCAAGGCTTATTGAATCCAAGACTTTTATTGAATCCAAGACTGAATCCAAGACTGAATCCAAGACTGATCTAAGACTGAATCCAAGACTGAATCCAAGACTGAATCCAAGACTGAATCCAAGACTGATCTAAGACTGAATCCAAGACTGAATCCAAGACTGATCTAAGACTGAATCCAAGACTGAATCCAAGACTCGAAGCCTCAAATAAACTCCTCTTCTACTCGATTGAATCAAAACAATCAAATCAAAACGATCAAATCAAACCGATTCTTAAAAACAATTTTCATCGTTGTAAACACTTTGATAACTATTTATAGAGTACTTCCGGTGGACTTTGACTCAAAGAATTCGATTGATTTAGTCAAAAATTCATCACTGATAAGCGGAAAATGAGAATTTCATGGAATTTCATGGAATTTTTCGAATCTCGAGAGTTTAGAATTCCAAGAATTCGTGTCAAATTCGATTTTTTCTCTTTCCAATACTCTCCTAATGTTCTAAAAGTTGTGTTAGTCTGAAAAAGTTGAAAGAAAAGAAAGGCAACGAAATATTGAGGCGATTTATGGAGCCGCCAAGAAACCATTGATTTCTTCCCATTTTTGAGTTGTTTTTTTAGGAAAAATCTGAAAATTTTGTGGAATTTAGATATTTTCAAAATGAAATGTATGGTAATTTGAAAGTTTTAAAGAATTTTGAGTGCTTCAATTACCCAATTGAACCCTTAAAAAGCGGGGAAATGTGATTTTTCATTTGAAAAGCACAAAAGTTTTATTGAAATTGCTAGAAAAAACGCTGGAAATGGGTTTAAATTGGTGGAAAAATGTGGAAAATACAAAATTTGTTCAAATTTTTTTAAATCAGTTCAAAATTGGATCAAAATTGGATCAAAATTGGGTCCAAATTAGTTCAAAATCGTTCAAAATCGTTCAAAATTAGTTATTAGTTCAAAACCTTAAAACAATCTCCTTTTCTTGATCTCTTGCAGCACTCTTTCCTTCAGCTCATCCAATTGTCTCTTCTTGATTTCTCTGATCGCTCGTTCTTCGATCAGCTCCTCTTGCAAATGCTCAATCCGAGAGTAGAGATTGGCTGGATCGATTGGATTTCGCTGGAAAATTAGTAGAAATTTGAAGGAATTAGCAGGGATTAACAGGAATTACATGCTATACAGTAAATGCTGTATTTGAAATGCTTAAACTGAACGACATCTCGCGTCAAACGACACCCCAGCTTAGCTTAGCCTAGCCTAGCTTAGCCTAGCTTAGTCTAGCCTAGCTTAGCTTAGTCTAGCCTAGCCCAGCTTAGCCTAGCCGAGCTTAGCCTAGCCTAGCTTAGTCTAGCCTAGCCCAGCTTAGCCTAGCCAAGCTTAGCCTAGCCGAGCTAAGCCTAGTCCAGTTTAGCTTAGCCGAGCTTAGCCTAGCCTAGCCTAGCCCAGCTTAGCCCAGCTTAGCCTAGCCTAGCTTAGCCTAGCTTAGCCTAGCCTAGCTTAGCCCAGCCTAGCCTAGCCCAGCTTAGCCTAGCCCAGCTTAGCCTAGCTTAGTCTAGTCTAGCCCAGCTTCGCCTATCCCAATCTAAGCCCAGCCTTTTCCACAGCAATGTCCTTCTAGAGGAAAAAGCTGGACACTCGAAAACTGTTCTTGAAATTCTTGTCTATGCCAAACTTTGGAGCTGCAAGCAAATTTGCTGTATCACTTTTGTCAATCATTTATTGGAAAAGAAGGAGAGCTCAGAGAAAAGGGTTGAAATTTTAGAATCTACCTCATCGTGTTCCTGCTCTCCATCAACTCCATCCTCAATCCAGGCGGCTTTTACAATGGCGAATACCTGGAATTTGTTGTCTATTTGTTGTCGATTTGTTTATTATTTCGAAAATAGATAAAACTGACGTCATCTTCTGCGATTTCTTGAATTGGTTCTTCCTCGAAATCCTCGATTTCCTCATCCTGGAATTCGTAGAATTGTAAGAGTTAAATTAAGAATGAAAGAATTCAAACCTCATCTTCTTCTTCCAATTCATTTTCCGAATCACTTTCTTCATTGTCATTGACCTGAAAATAAGCAATAGCTTTAATTTTAACGATTCTAGAGCTCTAGAGAGTTCTAGAGAGTTCTAGAGAGTTCTAGAGAGCTCTAGAGATCCGTATGCTAAAGCCTTGATCAAACAGGGTTACGGTAGCTTTGTTTTGACCGGTTTATTGCTTTAGTCTTGATTGATGGGTAACTTTTAGGAATTAAAAATAGCTAAACTACTCAAACAGCTTACAGTAATCACTTACCGGGATGAAATCCACATTTTCCAGCTGTTCTTGTTCATCTTGAACACGTTGATTGATGGGAGAGCAACAAAATGATAGGAAAAACACGGCGATTCGATTTCGCAATTCATCCAGTCTTAACACGTTTTGTGGTTCCTAAAAAATGATTTACAATTGACGGTAGAATGGGTAGAATGTGGTTACGGTAGTTTTAGAGAGCTCTAGAGAGTTCTAGAGAGTTCTAAAGAGTTCTAGAGAGTTCTAAAGAGTTCTAGAGAGTTCTAGAGAGCTCTAGAGAGTGTGGAAAGAATCTGGTTACGGTAGAATCAAAAAGCTCGAGTAATCTCAATTTCTCATCAAATTCCAATCTCAGTCTCTATTTTAGTCCTTTCAAAGATCCGGATTCAAAGGAAACCCCAATTTACGACTCAAAGAAAGAAAGGAAAGAAGACGCAAAGAAAGGGAAGGAAGAAGACTCAAAGAAAGGAAGGAAAGGAAAGGAAAGAAAGAAAGAAGACTCAAAGAAACGTCAATGCTAGCATAATGATAAGGTTTTTGAGTAAAAACAGTAAAATTCGTCAAATGTTTGCTTAAAAATGAAAGAATCAACGGGAAAACCAAATTTGAATCCAAATTTGAATCCAATCCAATTCAAATTAAATGCAAACCTCGTTATTGAATCCCGATGGGGTCGTGCGATGGCGATAATCGGGTCCTGTAAATAGATGACGACTTTTTTTGGTTACGGTGCGCCATAATTGTCGCAAGGTATCACTATTCAACGCTACGGAGCTATGGGAACAATTCCTGAGACATCTAGAGCTATTGGGACAATTCTTGAGACATCTAGAGCTATGGGGACAATTCCTGAGATATCTAGAGCTATTGGGACAATTCTTGAGATATCTAGAGCTATGACAAAACAACTAAACTAACAACTTGCGTGCCTCCCAGCATCCCCGAAAATTCGTTTTCCGAATTTAAACCCCTTATGATTAGCTTGATTTTTTGCCATTCTCAAACAAGCAAAAATACCCATTTACAAATTTACATCCCAAAGCCGATTTAAATGTCTCAACGTTCTCTGTGCGCTCCAGCTTTTTAGAATAAAATCGAATTTTGGTCGAATTTCTTTGTATTTTTGCGTATTTTTAACCAATCTCGAATCCGTCAATTTCCTTGACTCCTGTACACAAATGAACCCATCTAGCTACTATTTTGCAGATCCTGGAACGCACAGAGTATTTGGGAAGATCAAGGGAGTCGAAATCTCTAAAGTACCGGCTAGCGCAGTGGTTAGCGATGATGTATACCAATCTGAGGGTCCTGGTTCGATCCCGGCCACTGCCAAATTTTTTCTGTTTTTGCAATCTAAGCTTTTAAAATCCTTTCGTGACATCCAGCTCAGGTTTTCCAAGTTTAAAAATTGGCTAATTGTTGATTAAATTACGACTAAATGGTCAATTACAGCTTTTCAAGTTATCAAAGTTGCTTTCTGGCTTTCCAAGGCTTTCCAAACTGGGTTTCCAAGGTCGCTTAGCTCTAGAAAAGCACTGTACTGCAGTGTACTATTCTATTCTAGGTTACTGTAGCTTTGTTAAACGGTAGTTTTGCCTAGTAGATTACTGTAGCTGGAGTTAAAAGAAAGTTTTTGTTAACTTTAAACGATCCTCACTTTCCCCTCGCCTCTCCATAATGATCTTCTTGAATTTGCGTCAGTTTTGGGGATGAAAACTAGAAAAGTTTGTTTGTTTTTTGTTTAGAATTAAAGTTCTCAAAAGAAATCTGAAAAGAAATCGAAATTTTATAGAAAAAACCTCGAAAATAAAGATTTCTTATCAAAAAAAACACAAGAAATGAAGAAAAAGTGAGTGTTTTGCTGGTTTTGCCGGTTTTTTTTCGGCTTTTGAAGGCTTTTGAAAGCTTTTGGAGGCTTTTGAAAGCTTTTGAAGGCTTTTGGAGGCTTTTGAAAGCTTTTGAAAGCTTTTGAAGGCTTTTGGAGGCTTCTGAAGGCTTTTGAAAGTTTTTGGAGGCCTTTGAAAGCTTTTGAAAGCTTTTCAAAGCTTCTGAAGGCTTTTGGAGGCTTTTGAAAGCTTTTGAAAGCTTCAGATCTCTATTTTCTTTTTAGTTTTGCTTAAAATGACAAGTTAAAGTAGTCAATTTCATAAAAAAAGTCAAAAAGTCTACTGTAACGCGAAAGCAAGGTAAAAAGAGGCAAGCCAAAGCCCAGCAGCGTTTGTTTGACTTTCAGTGTTCCCGATCGAGTGTGGGGGCAAAAATTCTTATCTCTATTCCAAAATCGTTCAAAAAAGCGAAAGATTAAAAAAAGGGGACGAATTTAAACGTCACGAAAAACAAAAACCCCCGTAAAACCGCCAACAAATGTTTGGGTTGAACTTTTATATATATGTCGTAACCGTTTACGAAATTTAGCCGAATGTTAATGGCTAGCCGATAAAGAATCATTCGTACGGCTAGCTGCTAAAGAATGATTCGGACGGCTAGCTGTTAAAGAATGATTCCGGACGGCTAGCTGTTAAAGAATCACTCCGACGGCTAGCTGCTAAAGAATGATTTGGACGGCTAGCTGCTAAAGAATGATTTGGACGGCTAGCTGCTAAAGAATGATTCGGATGGCTAGCTGCTAAAGAATGATTTGGACGGCTAGCTGCTAAAGAATCATTCGGATGGCTAGCTGCTAAAGAATGATTTGGACGGCTAGCTGTTAAAGAATGATTCCTTAACGGCTAGCTGATTACGAATGATTCTTTAAAGGCTAGCCGATTCCGAATGATTCCTTAACGGCTAGCCGATTGCGAATCATTCGTACCGCTAACGAATCATTCGTATCGAACCGATTGAAGATCAATTAAGTCGACTTGGCAGCGTTCATTTTGCTCCTTCGTTATGATCGATCGATCGTTATGATCGATATTTTTCGCTAGTCGTGTACAATTTTTAATCGATTTCTGCGAACATGGCCCCTGATTCAAATGTTTTTGATTTCAAACTATTTATGCAAGACGCAAATCAGCTTATCTAGCTTAGCTCAAATTGTTTGCCTCAAATCGTTAACGAATGATTTGTTAGCGGCTGATTCGTTAGCGGCTGAATTTCGTAAACGACTATAGATAAGATATAGATAACACAGATGACTAGAGCTCCACTAGAGCTCCACTAGAGCTCCACTAGAGGATCCACTAGAGCTCCACTAGAGCTCCACTAGAGCTCCACTAGAGCTCCACTAGAGCTCCACTAGAGGATCCACTAGAGCTCCACTAGAGGATCCACTAGAGCTTCAAGATCAACATCATCTACAGATCATTTTAAAGATTTCGAGACTATTGGACTCTCTCAAAACTCTGGGGAATCGATTCCAAATTCTGGCAGTTCTTATTGGAAAAGAGTTATAGACAAACTGATTGGAGATGACTGGAATTTGACTGATGACTGGGATTTCTAAAACGAAAGAACCTCTCCTTGAACTAACCGTGAACCCCCGGCGACAAAACCGCAACAAATCCGGAATCCAAAACTCCGACGGTCCAGAAATCCGAGACTATCTGTAGAGACCATGTGCCAGAAAGTGAGAGTTGAACCTCTGCTAGCATACCTCAAAGGTACGCACAAATCGCCTCTGCTAGCAGACGCTTTGCTAGCAGAGATTGCTAGCATAGATTGCCATCGAAAACCCGACAAAACCGCGACAAATCCGGAATTTCTAAGACAAAAGAACCTCTCCTTGAACTAACCGTGGGATTAACTTTGAATAAATCTCGAAAAAGAGGGATAGGTTGCCTGAACCAAATGTGTAGAGAAAAGGAATCAAATCCAACCAAATCCAACCAAATCCAACCAAATCCAAACCAAATCCTTTACAATTTCGAAACATTCTATTAAATCCGTGACCAAGCGGCGGTTTCTAAGAGATCAAGAATTTGTGAGTCTATCTGTGTAAGTCTATTTGTCTAGGCGAGCGATAACAACTTGTGTATTTTAAAGGGAAATTGACCATTTTCATTGTAGCCCTCAAAATAAGGCTTAGCTGAGGAGTTTTGATAAGAAAACTGAAGAAAACAGAAAAAAATGTCAAGGAAATTTTAAAGGTCAGGTGGAAAAGGATGGTGAAATAAAGAATTTTAGATTTTATGCTAAATGCCGGAGCTTTTGGCACACGAATATATCAAAATGTTATACAATTTCTAGCTAAAGCTAAGCTAAAGTATTGTAATTAATCGGCAATTCTACGCAAATGTACAAATTTTTGGAATCAAGGATTTAGAGAACATGGAGAACATGGAGAACATGGAGAACATGAGGAAAATGAGGAAGACTAGGAAGACGAGGAATTCTTCAGGAAAGAAAGCTGAGCTGAAAGAAGCGAGTGACTCATCGAATCATTTGGAATGAGGAATCGATTTGCTGATGAACGATTGGCTGATGAATCGTTTCCTTGAAGTGATTCCTTTCAAGAGAAGCCACGGATGAATTCAAGAGAAGCCAAGGAAGTCATTCTTGAAGCGACACCAATTCTTCTTCACGGCTACAACTACACGTCAAAAGGTGCCAAGCGAATTCTAAAAGGCCATCGTTAACCACATTCTGTTGACAAATAACACGATTCTGTTGATAAACAGAATAAAGCGTCTAGCAAGTCTTTGCTTGTGATGAGACAGCAGTGTGGTTGGATGCTTTAAGTGTATCGGATTGATTCGAGCGAAGGAAGTTAGTGTTCTTCCTTGTCTAGCAGAGGAAGTTGATGTTCTTCCTTGTCTAGCAGAGGAAGTTGATGTTCTTCCTTGTCTAGCAGAGGAAGTTGATGCTCTTACTCGCGGCTAAATGAAGATCTCAATCATATTGACCGGTTTAATTACCCAAAAAACATAAAACTATCGTCAGAACTAAACCAATTTTACTGAAAATTAGGAAACCCGGGTTTTTGATGTGGAGAATTCAATGGCAATGTTAGTTTTGCTCAATTTCCATGCTGAGAGAACAAGATAGGCCAGAAGGGCAAGCAATGATGTGTAATTAAGCCAAATTTTTGGAGAAGCCTTTCCAAAATGAAATCATTCTTTCAAATCTCCTTCTTCAATCTTTTTCTTTGAAGACTTCCACTGAAATTCGACAATTTTCAAAGATCATTCACATCACAAAGCGATTTATTTTCATGTTGCAAGAAATAAAGACAAAGAAAAGAAGAGAAAAGACCTATGAATCAGACAGAAAATTGTAAATAAAAAAAGTTTCGAAATTTTCGTGTCTCGCGCTTTTCCATAAAGAGATAAGACAAGGCATTAAAAATCAGAAAGATTTGAGTGACCAGAAACTACGTGGAGTACTATTTGAAAGAGTACGACTTACAAAAGACAGGTAGAACTTTTAAAACTGTGCAAAATTGGCCACTCCATCGAATTCCCGGCCAAAGATTAGCTAGTAAAGTTCTAAAAACCGTCAAGGTACGTAAATTAGACTTGAACGTACGCTGTGACATCCAGAACGCACAATGCCTTCAAAATTTTGGCCTTTCTTACGAGAGAGTACAAAAAACACCTCTGCACAGCCAACGACTAGCTAGTAGAGTACTAAAATCAGTCAAGGCACGTGAATTGAACTTGAGCGTACGCTGTGACATCCAGAACGCGCAATGCCTTCAAAATTTTGGTCTTTCTTACGAGACAGTACAAAGAACACCCCTGAACAGCCAACAACTAACTAGTAAAGTTCTAAAAACTGTCAAGGTTCGTAAATTGAACTCCAATGTACGCTGTGACATCCAGAATGATCAATACCGTTAAAATCTTGGTGCTTTGACGGGGAAAGTACAAAGTACACGGTCGATTTGCACAAAAGAATGCATCAATCGATAAAATAGCTCAAAAACCCTCAAAAACCAATAATTTCAACTAAACTATGCATTTTAAATAGATAATAAATCAGATTTTTCACCTTTTCAAGCTAATTTCAGGCTCTTTTAAAGGAATTTTTCGTTATCAACGAATAAAAAAAGGCAAAAATTCTTCTAAAAAACAAAAAAAAATGAAAAAAATGAAAAAAAATCCTTTTTTTTGGATTTTATCGAGTTTATTTGTGATTAAATTAGTGAAAATTTGCATGCAAATTGGCTCGAATTCTCTATAATTCTCTATGCTCAAAAATTGCTTTAAAACTCAAAGTTTTCGAATAAAAACAAATCGAGGTTTATAGCAAAAAAAAAAAAAAAAGAAAACGTTTAAATCACTGAAAATTGATAAGAAACGGCTTTTCGGGGAATTCCTGAGAAAATTCTTTCGAAAAACTATCGATTTATGTGGCTTTTCAAAGTTTTCGCCTTATTTTTACTCTATTTTTCGAAATTTTCCCTTTCCGCTGATCATTTCATCGATTTGCAAATCAATAAAGGCACCGTGAATGCGACGATTCGGGGTTGGTGCTGGGAAAGGCTTCGGATTGGAGACAATTGAGGAAAACCGATTTGTAAAACGGGCTTGAAGGGGGATCTTGATGATTTTTGTTTAGAAAAAGGCAAACAATGGGTTCAAATGGATAAATAATGGATAAATAATGGTTAAATAATGGCTAAATAATGGCTGAATAATGGCCAAACAATGACCCAGCCTTTTATAACCAAAACCCCCAGCGAAATTGCCCCAAGGGGAACCTGAACCCCTGCCCCCGTCCGTTGAGAAAACCTTAACCCTGCCCCCCTGTACCGGGGGGCTTCGAACGCCTTCCCCGAGTATTAAAAGACCCCTTAAAGGCGACCCGGAAACCCCTTTGGTTGCGGTTTTTCCTGGGGACCTCTCATGTCGCAGTAGCGCAGTCGACAGCGCATTGGTCTCTCACCCACACATCCCTGGTTCGATTCCGACTCGCGCCAAAACTTTTAGTTTTTTGGAAATTTAAAACGAGATTTCACAACTATATGTAATTCTAAGACCAATGGACTTAAAATCATTTAAATTGGCTCACAGGAAGCCTCGCGCGTACAGACGGACGGACAGACATGGCTTAGACAGACAGACAGACAGGCGGACAGACAGACAGACGACAGACAGACAGACAGGCGGACAGACAGACAGGCAGACAGACAGACAGACAGGCAGACAGGCAGGCAGACAGGCAGGCAGACAGACAGGCAGACAGACAGGCAGGCAGACAGACAGGCAGACAGACAGACAGGCAGACAGACAGGCAGGCAGAAAGTTCCCAAATTCCAGGCATTGAGCACGACTATGGACGCTCGTTTCGCGGGATTCCTTACGCTCAAAAACCCATTGGATCACTGCGTTTTATGGTAGGATTATTTACTATTTTTCTGCCAAATCTTCATAGCAACCCCAGAACTACAGTACTTTTCGAGACAATTCCCATTTAGCCAAATCTTCCTACCAATAGAACTACAGCACTTTGACAATAATGCCCATTTAGTCAGCTCAACGCGCTGATCCCCGTGGGTTCATCAATGCGACAGGCTATGCGGCGGCTTGTGCCCAACAATGGGACTCGAACAGTCAAGAGGATTGTCTGTACATCAATGTATTTACACCGGTTGTAAGTTTTATCTTCTCTTTCATCTTCCCTTTCATCTTCATCTTCCCTTCCCTTTGAATTCTAGAATATGACGTCAGCTGCGAAGCTTCCGGTCTTCGTCTGGATCTATGGAGGCGGATTTGTTGGTGAGTTTAAAGCTAAGTTTCACTTAAAAGTTTGTAATTGAACAGAAATAACACTGCCATCGAATTTCCCAATATCGAAAAACCCGGCTTCCCAAATTTTCACCAAAATCCCTTCAATTTTGATGTTTCTAGAGCTAGAGATTAAGCCGGATGATAGCTGGGTATTTTTTGATGCACTTTGTACGACAACCCGGTTGTTTAAAGGTAAAAATGGCTAATCTGGATGTCACACTAGATTTTCAAAATGACAGAATCGGCATTTACGCCACCTAGGGCACTTGGGTAATCTAGCCGGGTGGTGGTGGGGTATTCTCTGAGCCTTTGTACGACAACCCGGTTATTTAAGGCAAAATGGCTAATCTGGATGTCACACTAGATTTTCAAAATGACAGAATCGGCATTTACGCCACCTAGGGCACTTGGGTAATCTAGCCGGGTGGTGGTGGGGTATTCTCTGAGCCTTTGTACGACAACCCGGTTATTTAAAGGCAAAAATGGCTAATCTGGATGTCACACTAGATTTTCAAAATGACAGAATCGGCATTTACGCAACTTAGACATTTGGGCAATTGAGCCGGATGATAGCTGGGTAATTTTTGATGCACTTTGTACTACAATCCGATTGTTTAAAGGCTAAAATGGTCAATCTGGATATCACACTAGATTTTCAAAATGATAGAATTGGTATTTACGCAACCTAGGGCACTTGGGTAATCTAGCCGGGGCGGTGGGGCGGCGGCTGGGCGTCGATCGGTCTACCAGAGAGGGAGCACAAAGTAAAAGTGCTTATTGTTGACAGTGACATCCAGAACCAACAAAAACTCTTCAAATTTCAGGTGGAAACGGTAATTTGGGTGCTGGGATGTACTCGAATTTGATCAATCGTGGCCCGTTGATCGTTGTCTCGATGAACTATCGTGTTGGAGCTTTTGGTGAGGGAAAATTGTGGAAAAGGAAAGCTCTAAATCATGCTCTACGTGCTCGATATCTAATTTCCAGGTTTCCTAACAACTAGAACCTACGACGCGCCCGGGAACGCAGGGATCTCCGACGTTCTTGAAGCTCTAAACTGGGTCCAGAGATACATCTCGTTTTTCGGTGGAGATCCGACAAAGGTAGATCAAGCTAAGTACAGTACAGTACTCTGTACTACGCTAAGTACAGTACAGTACTCTGTACTACTCTAAGTACAGCACTCTGTACAGTACTTAGAGTAGTAATACAGTCACCCAAACATTCAGGTGACTGTCGGCGGGCAAAGCGCTGGCTCCGAGGCGGCCTCGTTCGTTTCACTGAGTCCCTGGGGGCTGGGTTTGTCTTGGAACAATCTAGAATCTCTCTATTTTTATCTCAATTCTTTTTCCAGGCCTTTATCGTGGCCTCATTCTCGAGTCCGGTAGCGCTTTCGGCGCTGCTTTGATGTCCTACTCGGAGAAAACGCGAAATACCACAAAGGATTTAGCGATAAGGCTCGGGTGGATATCTCTAAATGTCTAATATCTAAATTATAATATTAAAATCGAAATCGAAATCTAGATCTGAATCTAGATCTGAATCTAGAACTAGATCTAAATCTAGATCCAAATCTAGATCTAAATCTAAATCTAAATCGAACATCTACAAATTTCCAGCTGTACAACGAGTGCCGACTATGATCAAGGTCGATCGTTCCATGTAAGTCTTTTTGGCGAAGCCATCTGGCCCACTGATTTCATTCCTTTTGAGCTGATTTTGCCTAAAAAAGATTTAAAGACTTGAATTCAATATCTAGCCGAGATCTAGGACATTGTTTTGTGTCTGCAAAGCAAGAAAGCCGCCTCGATCATGTCCGTTGATGATCAGCTGCCAAATCATCGAATGAAATGGGCGCCCGTTCAGGTGAGATAGCTCTACCCAAGTGCCTAAGTTGCATAAATACCGGTTTTCTAATTTTGAAAAACTAGTGTGACATCCAAAGCGGTCATTTTCGCCTTTAAACAGCCGGATTGTCGTACAAAGTGTATCAAAGAATACCCAGCTACCGTCCGGTTTAATTACCCAAGTGCCTAAGTTGCTTAAATGGCAATTCTATCATTTTGAAAATCTATTGTGATATCCAGCTTAGCCATTTTTGCCTTTAAATAACCAGATTGTCGTTGAAAGGCTTAGGGAATAACCGGCCGCCGCCACCGTCGCAATTACCCAAGTGCCTAAGTTGCTTAAATGGCAATTCTATCATTTTGAAAATCTAGGGTGACATCCAGATTGGCCATTTTTGCCTTTAAATAACCAGATTGTCGTTGAAAGGCTTAGGGAATAACCGGCCGCCGCCACCGTCGCAATTACCCAAGTGCCTAAGTTGCTTAAATGGCAATTCTATCATTTTGAAAATCTATTGTGATATCCAGATTGGCCATTTTTGCCTTTAAATAACCAGATTGTCGTTGAAAGGCTTAGGGAATAACCGGCCGCCGCCACCGTCGCAATTACCCAAGTGCCTAAGTTGCTTAAATGGCAATTCTATGATTTTGAAAATCTATTGTGATATCCAGCTTAGCCATTTTGACCTTTAAAAAATCGGATTGTCGTACAAATTATATAAGAAATACGGGGAACCCCTATGTACACTAATTACCAAAGTGTCCTAGGTTGCGTAAATGCTGATTTTCTGATTTTGAAAATCTAGTGTGACATCCAGATTGGCCATTTTAGCCTTTAAACAATAGCCTTTCAAATGTCACACTACCCTAATCGATCCCTTTCTTCAGTAACGCAAAAACGTTTGCAGGACACGAATATTCTGCCACAACGCCTCGAGAATCTGGCTCGTTTACGGCAACAAGTGCCCGTTTTAGTTGGCGATGTAAAGGATGAATGGGTTGGATGGGGTAAATGAAGATTTATATGTAAATGGAGAAGAAAATTCATTTAGATCAATTAGATCAATTATCTATTTAGATCAATCTTTGATTACAAATAATCTGAAATGGTTCACGAAGGGAAATGTGGAAAATTCGCTTTCCAGCTCCTACGAAATGACATATTGGGATAAACAGGGTAAGTCGATGGTTAGCTGAATAGCCGATGGTTAGCTGTTCAGCTGAATAGCTGAATAGAGTTTGTAAAATAGCTAAATAAGGTCCTTCCAGAACTGCTCTAGCTTTGTTTTCAAGCTTGTCTCGAGCTTATAAACCTTTCAAGCTTTACCTTTTCAGCTATAAACCTGTGCAACTCTATAAACCTTTCCAGACGATGTGACAAAAGCTTGTCTCAAGAAATACACAGAAAATCAACCGTTCAGCGATACGGATTCAATCCAATGGGCTTCTACGCATATCCGGGTACAATTAGCTATAGCTATACATAAACTAGAATAGTTTTTTTTTGTATTTTTAAGTATTTGAGTGAATTTTGAGATAAAAATTAGTGAATTTTGAGTAAAAAATTGTTGACTTCCTCTGTTGACTACTTTCAACTTTCTCCAGCTCTTCTCCGAGATGGTTTTCGTCGGTCCAGCGCTTCGAGACGCTAAATATTTCTCGTATACTGGCAGCGATGTCTTTCTTTACTCGTTCGATTATTTGAATCCAGCTGGTTAGTGAAATAGCTCTAGAATTGCAGATTGCTGAGCTCTAGAACGGTTTAAAACCATTTTGCTGAACTTTAGAGCGGTCTAAAACGGTTTGCTGAGCTTTAGAGCGGTCTAAAACGGTTTGCTGAGCTCTAGAACGGTTTAAAACCATTTTGCTGAGCTTTAAAACGGTTTAAAACCATTTGCTGATCTGCAGAACGGTTTAAAACCACTTTGCAGATCTGCAGAACAGTTTAAAACCATTTTGCTGAGCTTTAGAACGGTCGAAAACTATTTTGCTGAGCTCTAGAACGGGTTAAAACCATTTTGCAGATCTGCAGAACGGTTTAAAACCAGTTTCGCTGACCTTCCGAACAGCTCAAAACTTTCAGCCATCCCGGAGGAGAATATCACAGCCTTGCGGGGCGTCCCCCATGGCTGGGAACTTCAATACATTTTCAACGACGGACACTCATGGCCAACGACTGATAATGACACGAAAACCACGGAGCTTATGGGGAAATTGTGGACGAATTTCGTTCTCTATGGGTATCGTTCTAAATCTCCAAAAGTTACGCTTATGAGGAAAGTACACCGTACAAATGTAGAGTATTCTATAAAATGTTCGTCTTTGAGTCAGGATCTGGTTTGGTGACTAGGCCCTAGCTACAGTATTCTAGCTCTAGAGTGTTCTAGCAACAGTATTCTAGCTCTAGAGTACTCTAGCTACAGTATTCTAGACACTAGCTACAGTCTTCTTGACCTTAGCTACAGTATTCTTAAACCAAACTAAATTCCCTATTACTTACCAAGATTACTACTTTTTTTTGGCCTTTTGATCATCTAAAGTCTACTGTATTCTAAGCTGAATTCTATTAGAAGTGATTCTCGAAAGATTCTTTAGAATTAAGTCTTTAGAATGAATCCTTTAGAACTAGTTCTTTAGAACTAATCCTTTAGGAACCCAACTCCAGCCAATGGGCTCAAGACCGGATTCACTTGGCCAACGCTGTCGGCTGCAGGGGATACAAATGAGGTGAGGGATACGAAGATAAGATAATATAACTGAAGATAAGTTTGTAAAATGCTGCATGATATTCAATATGTTACGTCTAGAGGATCGGTGTCCATTCTAGAGGATCGGTGTCCATTCTAGAGGATCGGTGTCCGTTCTAGAGGATCGGTGTCCATTCTAGAGGATCGGTGGCCGTTCTAGAGGATCGGTGGCCGTTCTAGAGGATTGGTGTCCATTCTAGAGGATCGGTGTCCATTCTAGAGGATCGGTGGCCGTTCTAGAGGATCGGTGGCCGTTCTAGAGGATCGGTGGCCGTTCTAGAGGATCGGTGTCCATTCTAGAGGATCGGTGTCCATTCTAGAGGATCGGTGTCCATTCTAGAGGATCGGTGTCCGTTCTAGAGGATCGGTGTCCATTCTAGAGGATCGGTGGCCGTTCTAGAGGATCGGTGGCCGTTCTAGAGGATTGGTGTCCATTCTAGAGGATCGGTGTCCATTCTAGAGGATCGGTGGCCGTTCTAGAGGATCGGTGGCCGTTCTAGAGGATCGGTGGCCGTTCTAGAGGATCGGTGTCCATTCTAGAGGATCGGTGTCCATTCTAGAGGATCGGTGTCCATTCTAGAGGATCGGTGTCCATTCTAGAGGATCGGTGTCCGTTCTAGAATCAAGCCGATCACTCTGGGATCAAATGACTGATTTAGAGTGATCGGCTTGATTCTAGATCGGACGTTTGACCTCATTTCACTCTAGATCCGATCTAGAATCAGTCTAGATTGGACGTAACATCTAAATGAAGATGAGGATATAATACTGTGAAGATAGGTCTGTAAAATAGACCGTAAAATAGATAAATCTGTAAAATACTGTATGATATTGAATATAGTACTGCCTGTAATCCATATCAAATCTACAGTATGTTTCCCTTGGACCAGACGCAATTGTATCGAAGAATTACCATCCGAGTGCGATGTTTTGGGTTTGCGATGCGCCGACGATCGACGGATGGAAGCCACAATATTGTGCATAGAAAAAGAATAAAGATTTATCGAAATAAAGGAATTCAGCATTCGGGTCACGCTAGCTGTTGTACAGAAGACAAAGTGAAGAAATTTGATTTCAACTTCTTTCGCAAGCGAAAAATCGCGGTACTTTTCCAATATCGGGGGAGCGGAAAGATTATCGGGTGAGCGAAAGGAAAATCGGGTGAGCAAATTTTGCCCCCTCGAAAAATGCATTTCCGGGACTGTATTTTAACTGCAACGTTTGTTTTTAAAAACTTTAACGACGATGCGCTTCTCCGATATTTGTGCGTTCAAGAAATCGACGGCAATCGATTATTTCGTCACCAAAGAAGTCATCCAGTCGTGGATTTGAAACTGTGGCGAATCGATGGAAAAGTCCGCTCAAAGGGAAAAGATCTATTTCGCTGGGCATGTGACACTTGCGCACCGCGAAAGGTCCTCAAGCATTCAAGAGGAATTCGAGTCGATAACTTTTTGCAACAAAGCAAGCTCCCGTTCGTCACAATTTTAAATAGGACTTATGTAGCGCTGCCAAAATTTGCTCCCCCGATTTTCCTTTCGCTCCCCCAATAATCCTTCCGCTCCCCCGATATTGAAAAAGAACCAAAATCGCTTCCGGCAAATGAATCGGCATTTTTAATCGGCAAAAATCGGCAATTTTACGCTTTCCCAAATCAACAATTTTACTGTTGAGAAATCTTAATTTCTTTTATTAAAAATCTTACTTTCTTTTTTGTTTTCATTATTTTCTGTACTGTTTTCAAAAGAAATCTTTTTATTTTAGTGATGGCAACAAAGGAAAGAACTTTCTGATAAAGAAAAGGAAGCGATGATGGAAGATGGAATGGAATGATGGGGAATTAAAGATCGAAGCAATGAATCAAGCTGGGACAGATGTCGAGAAATTGTGGAAAATCGGTCGTTCACACCAATTGATTCATCTCATCATCTCAACGATCCAACCGCTTATGATAGAATGAAACATACGAGACGAAAGCCAAGCAGGGACTAAAGCCGAGCAGGGACTAAAGCCGAGCACTACAAAGCCGAGCACTAAGCCAGCACTACAAAGCCGAAGCAACGACTAATCATTCAAGCCACAAATTCGACATTAACGTTTGACATTAACGTTTGACATTGACGTTTGACATTGACGTTTGACATTGACGTTTGACATCTCCTCAAATAGGATCTCCATCTCCATCTCAATCCGAATATGTCGCCACGAGAAAACATTTAGGATAAATGTAGAAAATGTCAATAATCGACCGTATGCAGAAGTGAATTCATTCAAAAAAGCGATTGATTGCAGCTTGGCAAATTGTGGATCAAAAACTCATTAATAACCTTGTTTTAAGCATGGACAACAGAGTTCGGAAGGCTCAATTGATTATTGATTTGTTCTTTGAAAGTTTAGTTTACTTGTGTTGCCATTTTTTTGAGAAGCAGCTTTCCAATACAACGATGTTGCCAGGAAAATCGGTCGTTCACACCAATTGATCAGTGTATTTCACTCCCTTCTCAAATCGTGCCAGTAGGGTGGATAGCTTGATTCAGCTTGATTCATTGCTTCCATCTTGACGATAGCTTCACTCAGCTTGATTCATTGCTTCCATCTTGACGATAGCTTCACTCAGCTTGATTCATTGCTTCCATCTTGACGATAGCTTCACTCAGCTTGATTCATTGCTTCCATCTTGACGATAGCTTCACTCAGCTTGATTCATTGCTTCCATCTTGACGATAGCTTCACTCAGCTTGATTCATTGCTTCCATCTTGACGATAGCTTCACTCAGCTTGATTCATTGCTTCCATCTTGACGATAGCTTCACTCAGCTTGATTCATTGCTTCCATCTTGACGATAGCTTCACTCAGCTTGATTCATTGCTTCCATCTTGACGATAGCTTCACCAGCTTGATTCATTGCCCATCTTGACGATAGCTTCACTCAGCTTGATTCATTGCTTCCATCTTGACGATAGCTTCACCAGCTTGTTCATTGCTTCCATCTTGACGATAGCTTCACTCAGCTTGATTCATTGCTTCCATCTTGACGATAGCTTCACCAGCTTGATTCATTGCTTCCATCTTGACGATAGCTTCACTCAGCTTGATTCATTGCTTCCATCTTGACGATAGCTTCACTCAGCTTGATTCATTGCTTCCATCTTGACGATAGCTTCACTCAGCTTGATTCATTGCTTCCATCTTGTCAATAGCTTCACTCAGCTTGATTCATTGCTTCCATCTTGTCAATAGCTTCATTCATTGCTTCCATCTTCATTCAGCTTCATTCAGCTCCATTCATCGCTTCGATCATTAATTCCCCATCATTCCATTCCATCTTTCATCATTGCTTCATCTCTTCCTTTCCTTTATCAGAAAGTTGATTCCCATCACTAAAATAAAAAGATTTCTTTTGAAAACAGCACAGAAAATAATGAAAAACAAAAAAGAAAGTAAGATTTCCCAATAGTAAGCCAAATTGCTCTTTGTACACTTATGATCACTTGGCGGAAGGGATTTTTCAAAAAATTAGTTATATCAAAGATTTTTGAAGTCAGATTACGGCTTTTAGAAATGATACCTTTTTTCGAATTCAATTTTAAAGCATTTTTTAAAAATCTCTTGCATTTCTCTTGCATTTCAAAGGTCTCTTTTAATTTCAACAAAATTTTTATTGGACTAGAGAAAGAAAAAAACAAAAATTAGCAAAATTTTCAAAATTTCCAAAATTTCCATTCTAATAAAACTAAAATTTTTCATTTTTCTCTAAAATTAACTACACGTATCATATGTACATTAAATATTCGAATTTTAGCAAAAAAAAGCTTTAAAATAAGCGGGGTAGGCTAGTTTCCACAACTTTTTTTGCGCAACAGGGTCATTTGCGCAACTCGGCATAACTTTCTTCTAATTGAACCAATCTTTATGATTTTGGTCTCATTTTGTAGAACTCAATAAGTGCAACAAAATCAAATCAAAATCATAAAGATTAGCCCACTTGGAAGAAAGTTATGGTGAGTTGCGCAAACGACCCTGTTGCACAAATGACCCAGTTGCACAAAAAAAAGTTGCGGAAACTAGCCTACCCCAAATAAGCTTTAAAAAAAGCTTTAAATAAAAATAGGCTTCAAAAAAGTGTTAAGGCAAATTTTGAGCATAAAACGAGGGAAATGAAGGGACAAAATTGTGAATTTAAAGGATTTTCTTGACAAAAATGGTGACTTTAAGGGATTTTCTTGAGTAAAAATTCGAAAATTAACTGATTTTTGTGGAAATTTTGCGTGAAAATGTGAAGAAATAAAAAAGAAATTTCGATTTTTGAAAGAAATTTTTAAGCTCTCTTCGTTTTTTTTTGTTTTCCGGTGAGACGAGTGAGCATCTGAAAAGTAAACAGTTTAAACATTTAAACGAGCAAAAATCACACGCTTATCCTACTGTGTGAGATCCAGAACGTGTGATAAGCGGTGTGCTAGAAGGCGCGCGTTTACGAGGGAGTAAAAAGTACATCTCTGAACAGCCAACGACTAGCTAGTAAAGTTCTAAAAACCGTCAAGTGCCGTAAATTGGACTTCAATGTACGCTGTGACATCCAGAATGAGCAATAGCGTTTAAATTTTGATCAGTTGTACTTGTAAACGGTCAGTTAAACTTGTAAACGGTCAGCGAAAGCCTTTCAATTACGCGAAGGCTTCTAGAATTTCTAGAAGCTTCTAGAATTTCTTTTTCACCTCAAAACACTCCATAATGTTTCGTCGATTGAGCGGCTTTTTTAAGATCCTGCGCGAGTTGGTCGACTTCTCTGGAAACAAATGTTCAGTCTTCTACCGTACTCTTTCAAAACAACAGTACAACAGTACAACAGTACAACAGTACAATAGTACAATAGTACTAGGGTTACGGTAGCCGAGTCACAATATACCTTGGATCAACGCGGTGTCCGTGATCGGATCGAGTAACTGAGCGGATCGATCTCGTCGATTTTGTCTGTAAATTTGAGAGCTGGAAATTGCAGGACTTTTACTAGACTGTCACTAGACTTTCACTAGACTTTTAACTACATTATCTACACAAAAACATACCCTTTGCATAGCGTTATACTCGCTAGACGGTCTTGATTTGATTGGATAGGCTGTGCGAGTCTCTCCTGAAAACATTTTCTTATAGTTTAGTCTAGTGGCTGACACTTTTGGCTTAGGCACCAGCTCCAGGATTCAGAAGAGCTCTAGACTCAGAAGAGCTCTAGACCTAGGACTTGTCTTATGGTACTGGCTTCGATTTATTAGCTTTAAATATCGCTGTGCTTTCCATAGTTTACGGTGAGAGCCTAGAGAATTGAATTGGATGAGATTTGAGTGAGAAAATCGGCCAGTCCTGTTTCAAAGGATTCCCTGTTTCACAGGAATTGTGAAACAGGGGGTACTTTGGGAGTAATATCAAACAGGGAGTAAACGCAAGTCCTCTACTGCACAGGAATCGATTTCTCCGAATCTAAAACTCCCTTCTACTCAGTCAAATTCAGTGAACTAGATAGTAAAGGGAGTAAAGGGAAGTAAAGGGAAGCAAAGGGAAGTAAAGGGAAGTAAAGGGAGTAAATGCCACTCACCAACAATCCAATCATGTTGCAATGCTTGTGTTGCAGTCAGCCTCTCCCCAGCGTTTGTCTCCAATAAACTGTCAACAAACGTCTTTGCCAACTCTGATCCTGACCAAAACTATAAAAAAACTAAATATTAAAGATAGGAAGAAGATAGAAAGAAGATAGGAAGAAGATAGGAAGAAGACCTAAAGAAGAGCTAAAGAGAAGAGAATGAAGAAAGAGACTCTAGCTCTAGCTCTAGACTCTAGCTCTAGCTCTAGACTCTAGCTCTAGCCTCTAGACTCTAGCTCTAGCCTCTAGACTCTAGCCTCTAGACTCTAGCTCTAGCCTCTAGACTCTAGCTCTAGCCTCTAGACTCTAGCTCTAGCCTCTAGACTCTAGCTCTAGCCTCTAGACTCTAGCTCTAGCCTCTAGACTCTAGCTCTAGCCTCTAGACTCTAGCTCTAGCCTCTAGACTCTAGCTCTAGCCTCTAGACTCTAGCCTCTAGACTCTAGCTCTAGCCTCTAGACTCTAGCCTCTAGACTCTAGCTCTAGCCTCTAGACTCTAGCCTCTAGACTCTGGCTCTAGCCTCTAGACTCTAGCCTCTAGACTCTAGCTCTAGCCTCTAGACTCTAGCCTCTAGACTCTAGCTCTAGCCTCTAGACTCTAGCCTCTAGACTCTAGCTCTAGCCTCTAGACTCTAGCCTCTAGACTCTAGCTCTAGCCTCTAGACTCTAGCTCTAGCCTCTAGACTCTAGCCTCTAGACTCTAGCTCTAGCCTCTAGACTCTAGCTCTAGCCTCTAGACTCTAGCTCTAGCCTCTAGACTCTAGCCTCTAGACTCTAGCTCTAGCCTCTAGACTCTGGCTCTAGCCTCTAGACTCTAGCTCTGCCTCTAGACTCTAGCCTCTAGACTCTAGCTCTAGCCTCTAGACTCTAGCTCCTAGCCTCTAGACTCTAGCTCTAGCCTCTAGACTCCTAGCCTCTAGACTCTAGCTCTAGCCTCTAGACTCTAGCTCTAGCCTCTAGACTCTAGCTCTAGCCTCTAGACTCTAGCCTCTAGACTCTAGCTCTAGCCTCTAGACTCTAGCTCTAGCCTCTAGACTCTAGCTCTAGCCTCTAGACTCTAGCTCTAGCCTCTAGACTCTAGCTCTAGCCTCTAGACTCTAGCCTCTAGACTCTGCTCTGCCTCTAGACTCTGGCCTCCCAGACTCTAGCTCTAGCCTCTAGACTCCTAGCCTCTAGACTCTGGCTCTAGCCTCCTAGACTCTAGCCTCTAGACTCTAGCTCTAGCCTCCTAGACTCTAGCCTCTAGACTCCTAGCTCCTAGCCTCTAGACTCTAGCCTCTAGACTCTAGCTCCTAGCCTCTAGACTCCTAGCCTCTGGACTCTAGCTCCTAGCCTCTAGACTCTAGCCTCTAGACTCTAGCTCTAGCCTCTAGACTCCTAGCCTCTGGACTCTAGCTCTAGCCTCTAGACTCTAGCCTCTAGACTCTAGCTCTAGCCTCTAGACTCTAGCCTCTAGACTCTAGCTCTAGCCTCTAGACTCTAGCTCTAGCCTCTAGACTCTAGCCTCTAGACTCTAGCTCTAGCCTCTAGACTCTAGCCTCTGGACTCTAGCTCTAGCCTCCTAGACTCTAGCTCCTAGCCTCTAGACTCCAGCCTCCTAGACTCTAGCTCTAGCCTCTAGACTCTAGCCTCTAGACTCTAGCTCTAGCCTCTAGACTCCTAGCTCTAGCCTCTAGACTCAGCCTCTAGACTCTGGCTTAGCCTCTAGACTCTAGCTCTAGCCTCTAGACTCTAGCTCTAGCCTCTAGACTCTAGCTCTAGCCTCTAGACTCTAGCTCTAGCCTCTAGACTCTAGCTCTAGCCTCTAGACTCTAGCTCTAGCCTCTAGACTCTAGCTCTAGCCTCTAGACTCTAGCCTCTGACTCTAGCTCTAGCCTCTAGACTCCTAGCCTCTAGACTCTAGCTCTAGCCTCTAGACTCTAGCCTCTAGACTCTAGCTCTAGCCTCTAGACTCTAGCCTCTAGACTCTAGCTCTAGCCTCCAGACTCTAGCCTCTAGACTCTAGCTCTAGCTCTAGCTCTAGACTCTAGACTCTAGACTCTAGACTCTAGACTCTAGCTCTAGCTCTAGCTCTAGCTCCATCCATCCCTCCATCCAACCACATCACTCCCACCTGTGGATAGTAGACATAGTTAGCTGTAATAATATGCGTATAAAGCCGACTCCGACAATCGTCATCAAACGGCATGATTCCCGACATTAAAATGTACGCAATCACACCAACAGCCCACGTGTCCACCTGAAAAGATTAGGCAATTAAACCAATCAATTTCTTTCACATAACTAAGCAATAGTAACATTCTCATTAAATTCCCATCAATCCCCATCAAATTCCCATCAACTCCCATCAACTCCCATCAACTCCCATCAACTCCCATCAATTCCCATCAATTCCCATCAATTCTCCATCCCAAAACCCCCAGTTCCCTAATTTTTAGCAAAATTCCTTTAATTTTAATGATTCTAGAGAGCTTTTCTGTTTTTTTGGCTTTTTTTTGGGTAATTAAACCGCGGTGTAAAGCGGTGAGCAGTATACCAAAAAGCGAAAGTTTACGAGAACGCACAAAGTACACGTATGAACAGCTAAAGACTAGCTAGTACAGTCAGAGTACAGTACTAAAGGATTAAGGCAGGGCACGTAAATTGGACTCTAACGTACGCCGTGACATCCAGAATGAGCAATGCCTTCGAAATTTTGCTCTCTTTTATGAGAGAGTACAAAGAACACCTCTGGACAGCCTACGACTAACTAGTAAAGTTCTAAAAACTGTCAAGGTACGTAAATTGGACTCTAATGTACGCTGTGACATCCAGAACGCGCAATGCAGTTAAAATTTTGGTATTTTTTCCTTGCAAAAGGTCAGTTAACTGGGAGGAGGGTGTTGGGTGGATTGGATTACGGTAACTTTTGAATTTTTAGATAATTTTATAGATTTATCTACCTTATCGGTGTACGGTACTCTGAGCAACAATTCCGGTGCGATATACTCGGGTGTTCCGCACGTTTCCGTCATCGTTTCGCCGGAACGGGTCGCCTGGTGAGCGAGGCCGAAATCGGTGATGAGTAATCTAAAAATGAAAGAAAATTCTCATAGTACAGCTACAGTAATCTAGCTACAGTAGTCTTAGCTACAGTAAGACAAGTCTCACCTCGACTCGGGTCTAGTATCCGCATACAAGAGGTTCTCTGGCTTGAGATCTCGATGAGTGACGCGAATTGAATGGAGGTAGGCAAGGCCAGAGAGAAGCATCTGAATATCCGAATTGAAATTGGGCAAGAGCTTGGGAAGAGCAAGAGCTTTGCAAGAGCAAGAGCTTGACTAGCTTTGAGCAATATTTCCATTTCCACTGACTTTCAGCGCCGCTCTCGCCTCTTGTTCACTGTATCGTCCTTTAGCCACCACTCGATCATACATTTCACCACCCGATGCTAACTCCATCACAATAAATAAACGGGATGACGATTTAAAGACCTAAAAGAATAGATTTGTCTTTAAGAGAGCTTTGGGATTGATTAGGACAGACTAGGGTCGACTAGGGCTGACTAGGGTCGACTAGGGCTGACTAGGACCGAATAGGGCCGACTAGAGCCGACTAGGGCCGACTAAGATCAATGAGGATCGACTAGAACCGATTAGGACCGACTAGGACCGTCTAGGACCGACTAGGATCGATTAGGACCAATGAGGATCGACTAGAATCGACCAGAATCGATTAGGACCGGTTAGGACCATTTAGGACCGGCTAGGAGCGCCTAGGAGGGCCTAGGAGCTCCTAGCCGCGCCTAGAACTGACTGCAAGATTTCTACCTCCTCTAGCCGAATCACATACGGATGCTGGAGTCGGCTGAGAATGTGCAATTCGTTGTTGACCTGGAAATGGGATATAGTTCTTAGCGATAAGCTAAACTTACAGCTCCGCAATCAGCCGCCACAAGTTTCACCGCGAAATACGTCCTCGAGATTCGATGCTGTACCCGGAGCACCTGGAATGAAGATGTTTTACGGAGTTTTGTGGCGTACTTGGCCTGGATATATCTAAGCAGATAAAACAGTCAAACCAAGTCAAGCTAAAGCCCTCCTGCTCAACCAATGACCAGATCTGGAGCTGGACTAGAGCTGGACTAGAGCTGGAATGGAGCTAGACTAGAGCTTGACTAGAGCTGACTGAGCTAGATCCAATCCTTCTCTAGACCTTCTCTAGATCCTTGATCCGAATCCAAAGTCAGATTCGGTTGCATCTAAACCCAGATCAAAGCTCTGGTCTAGAGAAGGTCTAGAACGACCCAAGACCCAAGGTCTAGAACGACCCAAGGTCTAGAACGACCCAAGGTCTAGAACGACCCAAGGTCTAGAACGACCCAAGGTCTAGAACGACCCAAGGTCTAGAACGACCCAAGGTCTAGAACGACCCAAGGTCTAGAACGACCCAAGGTCTAGAACGACCCAAGGTCTAGAACGACTCCGAACTCTGACCTGAGCATGCTCTAGACTCTAAACCTATAGACCTATAGCAAACCTATAGATCTAAAGCAAACCTGTGAGAATGATCCTTTCCCGATGACGGAGAGTATCTCATACTTGCAAACTAATCTCGAGTCGAGTCGCATTGCAGGTCGATCTCTTAGCACAGTGCACTCGCCGATCGGCATCTCACCGCCAACCTAAGGGAATTGATTTGTTAACAAATATATATTGATTTATCTTTTCTACAGTACCATTGTGATCGGGATAATCCGGATGATGACTCTTTTTGAATCATTTGATGAATTTGATGAAGACTTTGGGAAAAGTGATGCTTTTTTTGGGAAATAAAACGGTTCTCTCGCAGGCATGCTGAGAGAGAAGTTTATTAAGATTTTGCAAAAACAAAAGCGAAACAAAAGCGAAACAAAAGCGAGACAATAGCTGAAGATTAATGGGTGAGACTGATTGATGGATTTCAATGAAAAGCTTGATAAAGAGCTCTCTAGAATTTGGCTAAAGCCTGTACTTGATCTTGGCTTCAAACCAAGACCAAGATTTTTGAAACCAAGACTAAGATTGTTGCTTGGTTTCAATGCCAAGCAACAACCTAAGCAACAATTGGTTCAAACAACATGAGCAATTAAGAAGACAGTTTTTGAGCTTCAGTTCAAGAGATTAACAATTGGGAAAATGAAAAACAGCAAGAATTTTAATCAACTTCAAACCAGAAATGGAAAAGAATAGAAGGAAAAGAGAAGGAGAAGGAGAAGAGGAAGAAGAAGAAGGAGAGGAAGAAGAAGAGGAAGAAGGAGAAGAAGAAGAAGAAGGAGAGGATTCTCTGTTTCTATTTCAATCTAATCTTACTATGCTGTTATGAGTGCGTATTGCCTTGAAAAGGGAAAGGAAATAGTCGATGATACAACCCTGTCTATCGAAAGAAAAGAGAAAGAATACAAGGCCATTCCATTGAAAAGATACCCTTTCTTTCTCGATTTTACGACACCATTTTGCTAGGAGAAATTCGGGTATGTGAATGGATCTGTATGTGAATTGAATGGATTAAGGGGTTAAAGAAAGAAGAAGAGGAAGATGATGATGATGAGAAGAAGGAGGAGAGGAAGGAGGAGAAGGAGAAGGAGAAGAAGAAGGAGAAGGAGAAGAAGAAGGAGAAGAGGAAGGAGGAGAAGAAGAAGAAGAAGGAGGAGAAGAAGAAGGAGAAGAAGAAGGAGAAGAAGAAGGAGGAGAAGAAGGAGAAGAAGAAGGAGAAGAAGAAGAAGAAGAAGAAGAAGGAGAAGGAGAAGAGGAAGGAGGAGAAGAAGAAGAAGAAGGAGAAGATGATGGTGATGATGATGAGAAGAAGAAGAATCAGCTGAAGGAATCGAGAAATTCAGACAGAGCTTATAAGAAAAAATTACTGGTAAGTCTTTTTGTAAATATGGCAATTTATGTAAATATGGCAATACGACTCTCCCCTCAATTCCTCAAGATCGTTAACCCGGTTTTTGTCTTTTCTCAAAGAATCCCTTTCAATTCCTCTCAAAATTCATAAAAAGAGCGCACAAAAAGAGTTTCAATCAATTTAAGAAAGCTTTTGCAAAAACAAGTGCTTTTTCAAGCTGTCCAAGCGTTAATTTGTTCAATCTCTTATTGAATGAAGCATTAAGATCTTTATGGTGTACTTTGTGCGTTTATGGAGCACACAAAGTACACTATAAAGACATTGAAATGAATTTTAAAGCTAAAAAACAGCTTTGGATATCATTGGATAAATTTGGATAACTTTGGATTAACAATAAATATCTAAAAAGGTTATCAAAGAGTTCCCCATCGAGTGATCAATCAAAGAAAGCCGCACCCATTTTTTCAGAGAAATTTTAAAAGAGAAAGAAAATCTTAAAAAGGAAATCTTAAAAAGGAAATCTTAAAAAGGAAATCTTTTAGATTGTCTAAATTTTCTAAATTTTCTAAAACTTTTTAAATTACCGCTAAAATTGTTCAAAAGAATGACGGCAAATGAAAAGAATGCAGAAAAAGAAACAGTTGTTTAAGTCAATTTTCCATGTTTTCAATGATCTAGCTAGAATTTAAATCTAGCTTGATCCTCAAAGCTTAAAACCTGGTCAAGATCAGCTTCTCGTCAAGATCAGCTTCTCATCAAGATCAGCTTCTCATCAAGATCAGCTTCTCGTCAAGATCAGCCTAACCTGGTCAAAACCTGGTCAAGATTTTGTTTTCAAAAGCTTTTCCTTTCAAAAGCTTTTCCTTAGATTTTGATGGAAGCTGAAAAGCATAGAGTTGAGATTTTTTTGAGATTTTTGATCTTTGTAGCAATGAAAAGATCAAAGGGAAAGTGTTCAGGAACTCTGTCGATCAATCAATGAAACGCTTTGGGGGAAATTGAGGGGAAATGGGGAAATGGGGGAAGGGGAAATTGAAGGAAGAAATTTTAAGCACTTTACGCAATGAGCCACTTTACGATAATTGGCACATTATTTGAGATGGCTTTTGAGTTAAACTTGAATTCTAAGGAGATTAGAGATGGATCTTGGGTTAAACTTGAGCTCTAAGGCTTTAGTGCTTGAAAAACAAAGCTATAGTTCTAATTCTAAGGCTTTAGGCTTGTAAGGCTTGAATTCTAAGGCTCTAAAACAAAGCTACAGTGCTACTGTTAGCCATAAAAAGATCAATACAATGGTAGAGCCAGGAACCTGGGAAAGGAAACGCACCCCGGTGCACTGAATTCTTCAGTCAATGTCAGTCAAAGTCAGACAAAGCCAGTCAAAGTCAGTCGGATAAGTTATCAAATAAGTTAATCAAATAAGACTCTAACTAAAACTCTAACAGATAAGCCGATCTATCAGAAAAGCCAGATAAGCCGATAAGTTACTTTTCCTTAATGATTAAAGAAAGACATACTTTATAGCTTTAGAGCTTTAGAGCTTTATAGCTTTATAGCTCAATAGCTTTCTAGCTTTATAGCTCAATAGCTTTCTAGCTTTCTAGCTTCATAGCTTTATAGCTTAGAGCTTTAGCTTTAGAGCTTTATAGCTTCATAGCTCAATAGCTTTAGAGCTTTAGAGCTTTATAGCTTAGAGCTTCATAGCTTTATAGCCTTACAGAGCTTTATTGATCAACTTAAAATTGTTAAAGAATCGAAAAAGAAAAAGAAATCTGGATTTATATTTGTTGGAGGGGAAGGTAAATACTCTAAAATGGGAATGGGAAAGGAAATCGGTGAAGAATTGAAAAACCTGTTCTGAAATAAAGAAAGATACACAAAATGGATAAAATCGAGAATTCTATGACTAAGAAACACAAATATTTGAGGAAAAGTAAGGATTTGAGTTTGATTTAAGTTTGATTTGATTTGACAGAGATTTGACAGAGTTTTAAAAGCTATAGACTTTGAAACCTCTATACCTTTATCTTATGGAATTAAAGAGAATATTTGAGCAGATATTTGAGTAGATATTTGGGCTCTTTCCCTGAATCTTGGTCTTTTAAAAGTTTCAAATCTTTAAGTCCTAAGCCTAAGCCTAAGCCTGAGCCGGGATGCTAGCTAGCTCAGCCTGGATGCTGGCTAGCTCAGCCTGGATGCTAGCTAGCTCAGCCTGGATGCTGGCTAGCTAAGCCTGGATGCTAGCTAGCTCAGCCTGGATGCTAGCTAGCTCAGCCTGGATGCTGGCTAGCTCAGCCTGGATGCTGGCTAGCTCAGCCTGGATGCTGGCTAGCTAAGCCTGGATGCTAGCTAGCTCAGCCTGGATGCTGGCTAGCTAAGCCGACCAGCTAGCTGTCGATTGGCAAACAGGGTGGAAACAGATGCGCCACAAACCGTGATGAGACTCGAAAGCTAGACGATCAACAGTCAAGAAGAAGGCGACGCTGCTGGTCCGAATGAAATGTTGGCCGCAGAAGGCCGCAGAATGGCAGAAGGCCGCAGAAGCCTATGATGATTTATGCCTTGCTGAGCCGAGACGGACAGCTAGCTGTCGATTGGCGAAAGGCCCCAATCGCGGTCACCACCAAAAAAGAATCTGGCAATAATGCAACGATGACGAAATAGAGGCTGAAGCTGATAACGATGTTGTTCGAGGCTTGAGGCTCGAGGCTATGAGCTCTAGGCTCGAGGCTATGAGCTCTAGGCTCGAGGCTATGAGCTCTAGGCTCTAGGCTCGAGGCTCGAGGTTAAGTTGAAGAGGTACTAAGGAAGATCAAACATCGAGCTAAAGATGCGGGACTTGGCTTACGGTAACAGAGAAAGCCTTTCATTTATGTTGTGGTCGCTTCGAAGGGATTCGAAGGGAAAGACCAGGATTCAGGGAAAGAGGTTGATTTGCTTAGGCTTAGGTTTGCTTAGCTTTTGATTTGTTTAATTTTTGATTGACTCACCGGTGGTGGACACGTTTGAGCTAAAGCAGCTGCATCGAGATGGGTTTTTGCGAAAAGTTTCCGGAAAAAGCTCTTCTTTTGGCGATTCTGGAAAAGTATTGTTTAGAAAAGAGATTTAAAAAGTAGTATTTAGGTAAAACTGGTATCTTTAGGTAAAAGTAGTATCTTTAGCTTAACTGTAAGGTACATTAGAAGGCGATAAGCTATTACTGGAGTTAATAGAGTTACTGGAGCTCCAAGAGTTCCTAGAGTTACTAGAGTTACTGGAGTTCCTGGAGTTCTAGAGTTCCTGGAGTTACTAGAGTTACTAGGGTTCCTGAGACTGGAGTTCCTAGAGTTCCTAGAGTTACTAGAGTTCCTGGAGTTCCTGGAGTTCCTAGAGTTACTAGAGTTCCTGGAGTTCCTGGAGTTCCTAGAGTTACTAGAGTTCCTGGAGTTCCTGGAGTTACTAGAGTTACTAGAGTTCCTGAGACTGGAGTTCCTAGAGTTCCTAGAGTTCCTAGAGTTCCTAGAGTTACTGGCGTTTAAGAAACCCTTAGTTAGATTGGCTAAATGGGGTAAATCAGTTCTTAAGATAATTCCTCAATAAATCCTGTAGAAAGGTTACTTTTAAACACTCCAGAATCGTTTAAAGCTTTTCTTTAGCTCTATATTAGCTAGATTTAACTATACAAGCACTTTTAGATATTCTTTTGTATTGTTTTATAAACTCTAGCTCTAGCTCTAGCTCTAGCTCTAGCTCTAGCTCTAGCTCTAGCTCTAGCTTGATTCACCCTTGCCGAGGATTGTGGGTGACTTTGTGAGCTGCCCATACAATTTCCCATTCAGAAATGTTTCAGAATGTTTCAGAAGTCGAAAGCTTCAGAGAATTTCTCAGAAATTTGTTAGAAATCTTGAGCTTCAAAGCCCTGGAGAGTTGCAAATTTCGCCAATTTTCACTTTTTTTTTCTTCAAATTTGAACGATCACCTGAAATTTGAAGAAAATTGAAAAAAATGATAAAAAACTTTTGAAAAACACAGAATTTAATGAGAAAATTCGCTCAATTAGCTAAGAAATCCATAAGTTAAAAGAAAATTTGGAAAGATTTGGAAAGATTTGATTTGGAAAGATATTTGGAAAGATATTATGAAAAAATGATCTTTTGCGTAGTTGGGTAAATGCTTGGCTACATTAGTGTCCATTGTCCAATTACCCAAGTGCCTAAGTTGCTTAAATAGCAATTCTATGATTTCGAAAATCTATTGTGACATCCAGATTAGCCGTTTTGGTCTTTAAACAACCGGATTGACGTACAAAGTACCAGGGAATCCCAGAGAAAGAATATGGTTTAATTACCCAAGTGTCTAAGTTGCATAAATACCGATTGTCTATTTTTAAAAAACTAGTGTGATATCCAGATTCGCCATTTTGGTCTTTAAACAACCAGATTGTCGTACAAATTATATAAGAAATACGGGGAACCCCTCTGTACACTAATTACCCAAGTGTCTAAGTTGCATAAATGTTGATTTTATGTTTTCGAAAATCTAGTTTGACATCCAGATTGGCCATTTTGGTCTTTAAATAACCGGATTGTTGTACGAAGAATGCCAGAGAATACCCAGCTACCGACCGGCTCAATTACCCAAGTGCCTAAGTTGCTTAAATAGCAATTCTATGATTTCGAAAATTTAGTGTGACATCCAGATTGGCCATTTTGGTCTTTAAATAACCGGATTTTCTTTCAAAATATAGCAAAGAATACCCAGCTACCGTCCGGCTCAATTACCCAAGTGCCTAAGCTGCTTAAATAGCGATTCTATGATTTCGAAAATCTAGTGTGACATCCAGATTGGCTATTTTTGCCTTTAAACAACCGGATTGACGTTCAAAATATAGCAAAGGATACCCAGCTACCGTCCGGCTTAATTACCCAAGTGCCTAAGTTGCATAAATACCGATTTTCTAATTTTGAAAATCTAGTGTGACATCCATATTGGCCAATTTCCTCTTAAACAAACTGGACCGGATGATTTTATACTGGAAAACCTCTCAAAGCGGCTTGGGTTTGATGTTTTTGCAAAAATGAATCAAAATATTTGTGAAAATGCGGAGAATTCGGTCATTTCCGTTAAAAACAGCTAGATTTCTTTTGATTTCTTTTGGCTATTTCAGCTTTTTCATGATTTTTTTGGCTATTTTAGGGAAATTCAATGAAGCATGGAAATCTTGTGAAGAAAAAATTTGAAGTTTGAATTTTGAAGCTCACAAATTCAGAGAACATAAAGGATTATTTTACAAGCAAGCTGGCGAGCACGAGCGTGAGCATGAGCTCTAGATAATAAGCCGGATAAATGGAAAAGATCTTTGCCTCAAAAGAACTTTTGAAAGTTTTCGTAAACGAAAGTTTTTTTGTGGAAAACGGCCGCTTTGTGGAGAGCTTTTAGAAAATGAAAAAAGAAAAGGGACACCTGTTCCTAGGCATCATTTACTTTGTGCTCACGCCTTCCGAAGCTCCGATTTATCTAATTTATCGAATTTCTAGCCTTTTTAGAAGCAATTTTCATCCAAAATCACCCAAGTCACCCCGCGTTCTTTGTGCTCGCCTGTAAACGCACGCCTTTTGGCACATGGCTCTCCACCGCGCGGGATTGAGCATTCTGGATGTCACAGCGTACATTGGAGTCCAATTTACGCACCTTTACTTAGTTTTTAGTACTGTACTAGTTGGTCGTTTGCCGTTCAGAGCTGTACTTTGTACTCTCTCTTTAAAAAGACCAAAATTTCGAAGGCATTGCGCGTTCTGGATGTCACAGCGTACGTTAGAGTCCAGCTTACGTGCCCTGCCTTAATCCTTTAGTACTGTACTTTGACTGTACTAGCTAGTCTTTGACTGTTCAGAGATGTACTTTATGCGTCCCCGTAAACGCGGGCCTTCTGGCACACGGCTCATCAACCCCTTTCCCTTGGTGTCCGGTTTAATTACCCAAAAAAAAAACGGAAAACTCTCTAGAATCGTCAAAATTGAAGGAATTTGGCTGAAAATTTGGGAATTTGGGTTTCTCGGGATGGAGAATTCAATGGCAATGCTAGATTTGCGCAATTTTCCCGCTGAGTTTACAAAGTAGACCAAAAAAGGAAGTAAAATGACATGTATTTAAGCCAGAATTTTATGGAAAATGATTGAAATGATTTTAAATGATTTTAGATTCTATTAAATGCTTTTAAATGCTTTTAAATGCTTTTAAATGCCTTTTAAATGCCTTTAAATGCTTTTAAATGCCTTTAAATTCTTTTAAATGCTTTTAAATGAGTTTAAATGATTAAAATTCAACTCAAAATCAAATGATTCTTCTCAAAAAATCGACAAATGAGTGGAAATTTGGGAAAGAAATTGAGAAAAGAAGAGAAAATAAGAGAAAAATTGAGAAAAGAAGAGAAATCAGATAAAATTATATAAAAAATTGAGAGAAAAAGGGAAAAGCAGCACCATTTTTGTCGCTTTTCGTTTAATGAATCGTAAAATTTAAGTAGAAATGGTAAGAAATGAAAAAAATGGAAAAAAATGGAAAAAAGAGGAAAAAATGGAAAAAAATGATGTTTAAGAAAGGAAATGGTTGAAAAAATGGCTGAGACCTGGGCCACGACACAGACCGCTGAACGAGTCCTGAGAACGACGCATCGAGCCCTTGAAAGGAACCTCCTCGGGTACAATAGGAAAACGCAGCTCGATCAAGACCTAAGAAGTACGGATATGCGCCAGCTCTCGGGACTCAGAGATCCAGTGGAAGTGATTGAGAGAAAAAGACTCAGATGCCAAAAGAATTAGAAGAAGGACCACGTAGCCAGAAGAACAGACGACAGATGGACGATACGGATGGACGATGGACGATCACAGAGTGGCTACCACGAGACCAGAAGAGGCCCATCGGAAGACCAGCAACGAGCTGGAGCACAAGAGTGGCAGAGACGGTCAGAGAAAGGATGGCTAGAGTGCAACCACCACCAGCATCAGCAAGTCGAAGACTTCGAACCAGGAACAATCAAGCTAGGAAACATTGGATGACAATAGGGATAGAGAAATGTGGAAGCAGGTTCTGATCTGCGCAAATAGGAACATCTGAGTGCGAAGACAGATCAAAAAAAAATTATTGAAAATGATTGGTTTAGAAAAGGGAAGAAATCGTTTTTATAAAGAAAAGACTATATAAAAGACAGTTTTTAAGACAAAAAAAAACGTTTGTAGTAAAAGAACGTAGTTTTTGTAAAAGGACGTCGTCTTTGTAAAAGAAACTTTAGATTTTAAAAGATTTAATGAAAAAATGAGCAGGGAAGTAGGGAAAGTAGCTAGGGAAAGCTAGGGAAAGTAGCTAGGGAAAGCTAGGGAAAGTAGCTAGGGAAAGCTAGGGAAAGCTAGGGACTAGGGAAAGCTAGGGAAGCTAGGGAAGTAGCTAGGGAGCTAGGGAAGCTGGAGCTAGGAAGCTGGGGCTAGGAGCCAGGCGCTAGCGGGCTGGGCCCTGGGGGCCTAGGCAGGCTCGGCTGGCTGGGCTCAGGCCAGGCTGGGCAGGCTGCCGGGCTGCTGGCCGCTGGGGCTAGGGAGCGGGCTAGGAAGCTAGGGAAGCTGGGAGGCTAGGGGCTAGGCTAGGGAAGCTAGGGAAAGCTAGGGAAAGCTAGGGAAAGCTAGGGAAAGTAGCTAGGGAAAGCTAGGGAAAGTAGCTAGGGAAAGCTAGGGAAGTAGCTAGGGAAAGCTAGGGAAAGTAGCTAGGGAAAGCTAGGGAAAGTAGCTAAGGAAAGCTAGGGAAAGCTAGGGAAAGCTAGCTAGGCAAAGCTTTATTTTAAATACCAAATTTCAAAGCATAAACCCTATTTTTCTAGACAAAAATCGAGTTTTTGATCGTCTAGGCTTTTCCTGAAAATCGAAGCTTTCTTTCTGAAAGATCAGATATTTTTAGAGGGAAATGGAAGGCACTCAATGTGCTAAGGCAGTAAACAGAGAGCTTCAATGCCTTTTTTTCTTTTCTTTTTACTTTCATTCTCTTTCAGCCTTTCACCCTGAAGATCTGCGAATCAAAAATCACTTTTTAATTCATTTAATTCGATCAGGTTAAATAGGAATTAGATCTGAATCTAATTCAGAATCTGAATCTGAATTAGATTCCTCAACTTCAGTCTAAGCCTTCAGTTGTCGAATTCCCGGCCAGTCATCTAAAGCTAGACCCAGATCTAGACAAGGCTCAGGCTCAGGCTCAGGCTGGACATGATCAGGATTAGATCAGGATTAGATCAGGATTAGCCCAAGGTTCTGTCCTAACTTCTAGATAGGCTTTGGGAGCTTGTGGTCAAGATCAGAATAGTCTAAGTGACAAAAAAGTAAGCCAAGTCATAGTAGATCATAGTAGGATAGAGTCAGGTCAAACAAAACAAGAGCCAAGGCAGGCTAGGCAACGCAAGAGCCAAGCAAGCCAAGCCAAGGAAGCCAAGGAAGCCAAGCCAAGCAAGGCAAGCCAAGCCAAGCAAGCAAGCAAGCCAAGCAAAGCAAGCCAAGCCAAGCAATCCAAGCCAAGCCAAGCAATCCAAGCCAAGCCAAGCAAGCCAACCTTGTTAGGTCAAACGATCCTGGCCTTGTGCCCTTCTGATGGCTTATTCGGATCGCTTTGAACCCAGCGAAGAACCCAGCTAATAGAACAAAATTAGTGTAAATACTTCAAAGAAAAAAAGTGGATTTTACCCGACTATCCCGGTACCAAAGAATTCTCTCGAATCGACCTTTCCCCCTCCACACCCTCTCACCTTTCCCTCCTCAAGTTACCTCGATTCTCTTGAAGAGAGACAAAAATCGGAGC